TAAAGTCCACAAAATAACCAGTCCCGGCATAAAAATATTTTTTTAGATTTTTTCTATATTATCCTCCCGATTTGGTTCATTCACTCTCCTTCTTTCCTCTTTTCAAAGCTTTTCAAAGGACGAGAAAATTTATTTTTATCCATGGGCTCCGTGACGGCAAGTAAATGGGGGCTTTTTCTTTTAATAACAGAAAAGATTTTTTTTTTTGCTTTTCTTTTTCCCGCTGCTCCAAAAAATTTTTTTCTTCTATTCTCGCCCAAGTGTTTGACCCAGATTTTCTCATTTTTTGCAAGTTGTGTGTTTTAACTAGGCTTGTTGTGATGTGCCCGGCTGGTTGTTTAGAGATTGTCCACTTTTGCGCATCTGAAAATATCTCTCCTTTCTCTCTTTTTAAAAAAGGCTTTTTCTTCCTCCTTCCATTTTTCTCGTAGTTAGTGGGGCCGTGACGTTAAGTAAAGAACTATAGAACTGTTGGAGTGAATAAACATATTTGTTTAAATAAACTTTTTCCGGAATGTTTTGTTAGATGTTTATTTCATTTATTATTTAAATGATGTTTTTCCGGAAAGTTTTATTAGATGTTTTTCCGGAACGTCTTAATATAAACATTTTCATTGATGTTTTAGTAAATGTTTTCCGGAAAACTTTTATTTAAACAACTAAACAAATGTTTTCCAAAACCTTTCCGGAAAGTTTTATTAGATGTTTGCCTGAAAGCCTTGATATAAACATTTTCATTGATGTTTTAGTTAATGTTTTCCGGAAAATTTTTATTTAAACATCTAAACAAATGTTTCTCTAAGCCTTTCCGGAAATGTTTTAATTTAAACATTTTCATGGATGTTTTATAAAATGTTTTCCGGAAAGTTCTATTAAATATATTCTTTCCCCTTTTTGCTTAATTTAATAAAATAGCTAAATTATAGTAAAAAGGCTTTTTCTCTCTTTAACCCCATTCCTCCAATCGACGAAGGCCCTTCCCGGATTTGGGGCAACCATCTGACCGGAGACGTAAAGAATGAAAGAACGATGATTTTTGCTAAAATTGGAAGGAAGGAAAAATCGCCAAATTTAGTAAAAGCCTTTGATTTTATAAAAGAATTTTTTGTTTTATATAAATTAGGTGAAAATCCTGAAAATTATACAGTTATGAAAAAAGTTTTAATGACCTTTATTTTTTTATTAAATTGAGGTGGACAATTTTTTGATTTTTAATAGTATTTTAAACTTCTCCTTCTCCGTTAAAATTTTTCTATTAAATTTTTCGGAAAGGTTTAATAAAAACATTCTAACCACTGTTGTTTTAATGTTTTCCGGAAAATTTTAATTTAAACATTTAAAAACATTTTCCGGAATTTTATTTAAACATTTGTTTAGATGTTTTAATGTTTTCCGGAAAATTCTAATTTAAACATTTAAACATTCTGATAAACATTTTCCGGAAAGGTTTAATAAAAACATCCAAACATTGTTTTAATAGATGTTTTCCGGAAAGTTTATTAAACCGTTAAATAATTTATTCAGTCTTAATTAATCCACAAGATCACCTCACTATTTATCAATCCTTTATATCTGATCTTTTCTTTCTTATTCAAAATAATTTTTATTTTTTATATTTTAATCTACTAATTTGATTAATTTGGAGGGTCTTCAAAATCATTAAGTAATATCTACACACATTTTCCATTTTCATTTTCTCCTTTGTCGGCATTTTAATCCTTCCTTTCCTCCTTAATATTTGCCCCACCAAATTTCCAACTTGATTCCTCGTCCTTTGATTGGTGAACTTTAAATATTTTCTTTATTTATTTTAATAATCCTGCCAATTTAAAGGACAAAGGCACACATTTTTTAACGTTAATTTTCCCCTCTCTTCCCTGTCCATTTTTTAATCCTTACAGTCTTCAAGCAATTTTCTACCTTCAAAAAATGCTCTTTCCTCATTTTAGTTTTTTCAAATTCTGCACTTTTTGGGCATCGAATTAACCCAGAGAGAGAGGGAATGCTTGCCGCTTTTCACTCATACACAGGGCCGTCCATTTTACGGACCTCTCTCTTTTTCCCTCTCCACGGACTTTCAAAATGTGTGATCCCCCCAAACGTGCAAAAAAATTTTTCTTTAGTTGACCCGTATTTCAGAGATCCAAGCCTTTTTAGAGAGCTATAATCGGCTTCGGCCCTGTTTTTTTTCTTTTTTTTTTATCCTTTTGCCCTCTCAAAAAGCGGCTGGCGCGCGAGTATATTTTTTAATTGTGCTACTGAGCGGTCCTTTTTTGGCTGATCTTTTTTTTTCTTCCTTCATTTTTTCCTTCATTTTTCCTTCATTTTTTTGATTTTTAATTGTATTTTAACTTCTCTCTCCCCGTTAAAATTTTTCTATTAAATTTTCCGGTAAGGTTTAATAAAAACATTCAAACATTGTTTTAATAGATGTTTTCTGGAAAGTTTATTTAAACATTTGTTTTGATGTTTTTGTAAATGTTTTCCGGAAAGTTTAATAAACATTAGATAATCTACTCATTTGAAGTTAGTCCACAAGATCACCTCCCTATATATCAATCCTTTATATCTTATCTCTTTATTCTTATTCAGAATAATTTTCATTTTTATACTTTAATTTTACTAATTTGATTAATTTGAAGGGTCTTCAAAATTATTAAGTAATATCTACACATATTTTCATCTTCATTTTCTCCTTTGTCGGCATTTTAATCCTTCCTTTTCCTTCTTAATATTTGCCCCACCAAATTTCCAACTTGATTCCTCGTCCTTTGGTTGGTGAACTTTAAATATTTCTTTATTTATTTTAATAATCCTGCCAATTTAAAGGACAAAGGCACACATTTTTTAACGTTAATTTTCCCCTCTCTTCCCTGTCCATTTTTTAATCCTTACAGTCTTCAAGCAATTTTCTACCTTCAAAAAATGCTCTTTCCCCATTTTATTTTTTTCAAATTCTGCACTTTTTGGGCATCAAATTAACCCAGAGAGAGAGGGAATGCTTGCCGCTTTTCACTCACACACAGGGCCGTCCATTTTACGGACCTCTCTCTTTTTTCCCTCTCCACGGACTTTCAAAAAATGTGTGATCCCCTCCAAACGTGCAAAAAAATTTTTCTTTAGTTGACCCGTATTTCAGAGATCCAAGCCTTTTTAGAGAGCTATAATCGGCTTCGGCCCTGTTTTTTTTCTTTTTTTTTATCCTTTTGCCCTCTCAAAAAGCGGCTGGCGCGCGAGTATATTTTTTAATTGTGCTACTGAGCGGTCCTTTTTTGGCTGATCTTTTTTTTTCTTCCTTCATTTTTTTCATTTTTTCTTCATTGCTTGTTCCCATTCCTTTCCATTCCTTCAATTTTCTTCCCTTCAATCATTTCATTTATTTCATGGGGTCACTCTGCCACCTCCCCAACTCATCAACCAAAATGCCCAGCTGATCAACTACAACATACCCAACCCTACCCAACTGATCACCCTAACATACCTAAAAAGATCAACATCTTTCTTTTCCCCTTTACCCCAAATATATTCTATAAATCTCCAAATTTGTTCCCGTTTTTGCGCATTGGACGCCCCTTGTATGATTAAAAACGTTGAACACACTCCCGTCCTATTTTCAGAGCCGTCGTTTAGCCTTTAGAGACCCTTCCAGACCCTTCCTTTTCTAGACCCTCTCCTCTTTCTTTCATTCCATCCAGCCGATCCTAAATAAATATCCCCACAAACATTCACCCAGCCAGAGGGCAACAGCGCGCGACCCCATTTAAAACTAAACTAACCAGCCGGCCTGGATACGATGGGGCGGGGCCTTATTTTCGAGAGCCGATTAATTCTAGGAAACCAAACATAAAAATCCTTGTGCATTTTTAAAAACTGGACAAAAATAAAGCAAAAATATATTTTTATTTAATTTATTTATTTAATTTAAAAATATTTTTTAATTTCCTCTTTTATAAGCCGCATAGCTATTTATGTAAGGTTTATTTTAATGTAAACTTTCCGGAAAATAAGCTTGTTCATAATTATGAATAAAATGTTTTCCGGAATAATAAAACCTTTCCGGAATATAAATTCTATTCCATAAAATAAAATATTTTTCTCTAAAATAAACTTTCCGGAAAATAAACTTACCTATTTTTAATAAATAAACTTTGTTTTAATAAAACCTTTCCGGAAAATATTCTATTTATATTTTCCGGAAAATTATTAAAGAAAATACATAGTATTTACGTTTCCGGATTATATTTTATTCTCTCCGGAAAATATAAATACACGCTATATCTATTCTAAATATATTTTCCGGAATCTTCTACATTTTCCGGAAAATATTTCCCACTTGTTCTTTACGGAAAATATTTTATATACCTATGTGTATTTTCCGGTAAACATATTTTCCGGAAAATTATATTATTACTTTTCCGGATTTTATTCTCTAACCATTCGAACTATCCGGAAAATATATAAATTAATTTTCTTTCTCTAATTTCGCTTTCCACTAATTTTATTTATCCCTTTTATGTTATCCATTCATTAATCTAAAATATTGCCCTTATATTCATCTTTATCCCTATTTTTCAAATAGTATATCTTTATCCTTCCACAGTATCCCCCATTTTTAAAATTCCTTTTTTCCACTTTGCCCTATTTTTCCCCTTTATTTTCTTCCTTTAAGCGTTCCTTCGCGCTTTTCCCCATCTCTTCGCGGATCTAACTATATAGCCCCAATTCTTCGTCCTAATTCTTCGTTCCATTCATTCTGTCCTCATTTCTATATACATCCTTTATTTTTTTCACACATCTCCTGCAGAGAAAGAAGTGCTTCTGATCGGCGAGCCAGTCGCCTGGCAAATTGAAGGAGGAAGGGGGAGAGCCGTAAAGGTGGCAGGTCATTCTCCTTCACCTTTCCTTCATCCTTTCTTACAATTTTCCGAAGATACAGTTCTTCCCCTCCGGCGATTTTGAATTGCCAGGTCAATGGGGATGATCATGATGAGGGGGGGGGGGGAGGGAGAGAAATGTTTTGGTAGGGGAGGGAGAGAATGGCCGACTGACCGGCCTATTTATTAGAGAATCCCTACTTGAGGACATTCAAAGAAGGAAAAAGAACATTTCTTCATTTGCCCATAAAATTTGAAAAAAATTTTTCAAAAAAAAATTTTTTTTTCAGTAAAATCAAGTAGTAAATGGATGCAGCAACAACAACAACATCTACTGCAACAAATAATAATTTATTTGGAAATATGGAACAAAAATTTGACTTGGCCGCGTTATTAAGAAATGTTGCGGCAGCGGGTAGAAAATACTTTGAGAATATAATAAATTTAAAATTTTATAGCGGCTGCTAGTTCTAGCAATAATAATGGTAATGGGACAGTTTCTATGGTGGCTACTACAGTGCCTGGTTCTACTGCAACCTCTCCAAATTCTGTGAGTGATTTTTCTAGAATTCTGATTTTTTAATTCTGATTTTTTAATTTCTGATTTTTTAAATTCTGATTTTTCTAAAATTCTGATTTCTCCAAAATTCTAATTTTAAATTCTGATTTTTAAATTTCTCATTTTCAAAATTCTGATTTTTCATAAATTCTGATTTCGAAATTCTGATTTTTCATTAATTCTGATTTTTCATAAATTCTGATTTTTTAAATCTAATTTAAAAATTCTGATTTCTCCAAAATTCTGATTTTTCATAAATTCTGATTTCGAAATTCTGATTTTTCATTAATTCTGATTTTTCATAAATTCTGATTTTTTAAATCTAATTTAAAAATTCTGATTTCTCCAAAATTCTGATTTTTCTCAAATTCTGATTAAAAAATTTTTTCTCAGGTTGACAGTTCAGCCCCAAGCAGTTCAACAACTTTAAACGACGGACATCAAAACCATCATCACCTTTTAGGCAACGGAGACTCGCTTTCTTTAATTGCTGAATGCAGTGGAACTTGTGGTGGTGGTGGAAGTAGCAGTCGAAGCAGCACTCCTTCAACCAATACTACTTTGAATCAACAAACTCCACAAAATTTGAAAGAACGCAGGCAGAGACGTTCTCCAATTCCAGCATTGTCTTTGGCTCCTCCGGGTATTTGAAATTCTGATTTTTCTAATTCTGATTTAAAAAAATTTAAGGAGTGGTGAAACGACATGAATTGCCCTTCACGCCTGTTCAGGTAGACATTTTAATTCTGAAATTCTGATTTTGTGTTTAATTCTGGTTCTGAAATTCTGATTTTGTGCTTGTTCTGATTTTAAATTCTGATTTTGTGCTACTTCTGATTTTTCTAAAATTCTGTTTTTTAGCCAATTTATGCACCAAGCGGTCATGGTCGTCAAATTCTGATTTACGATTCTCGTTCGCATCCTGGCCGAAGACGGGAATTTGCTTATAAAACGCGTTTCACTAACCAATCTGGGTTGACTACAGTTTATTATCGTTGTATGGCATGTCGGGCTCTTCGACATCGGGTAAATAAAAAATAAAATTTATTCAGAAAATTAGAATCAGAATATATAGGGAAGTTATAACTTGGAAATAAAAATTCCGGAAAACAAATAAAATATAAATTTTCCGGAAGGAAAATATATAATTTTTACAATTTTCCGGAAAGGGAATAAACAACGTTACAACTTTCCGGAAAGAGTGAATAAACAAATTTACAAGTTTTCGGAAAGAAATTATATAACGTTACAACTTTCCGGAATACACAAACATAATATAATAAATTTCCGGAAGGAAAATATATAATTTTTACAACTTTCCGGAAAGGGAATATACAATGTCGTTACAACTTTCCGGAAAGGGAATATACAATGTTACAACTTTCCGGAAAACACACATAAAATATAATTAATTTCCGGCTAGAATATAAATAATTTTAAAACTTTCCGGAAATAGAGACACAATTTAAAAAAAATTTTCATAATTATAAAAATTATTTTCCTTCTCTCTCACAGCTTCAAAGAACTCTATCAAAAGACCGTTTACCAGCCGTTCCTTGTATTGCCGTCAAAAATGATTTATTAATAAATGATCCAGACTTTCCCGACGCTTCTGATCATTTTTGTTCACCCTTAACAATTGGGGAATCTAATCAACGTTTAAAAAATACTTTTGAAAGAGGACATAAAAGGGCTAGAATGAAAATGGCTAATTCTGCTGTAGAGGAGACTATTAGAAAAGTGGGTTTACTCGAATTTTTCTAACTTTCGAATGGATGAACCGATTTGAATGATTTTTGTGTCATTCGATAGAGAATTAAATTTACTACAAGATAAAAAATAAAATTGAATTTTAGGGTCTTTAAAATTTAAAGTTATAGGCAAAAAACCTCCAAAAATCACTAATTTTACCAATAAAAAAATTTTTATTAAAAAAGGTTGGAATGTTAAGAGCAGCAAAGTCTGAGATTCCTATGGAAGAGGGTAATAATGAATTTTTAAATGGAAATAATAATGTAACAATAAAGAATGATATTGATAACAATGAAGGAAGAGATTCTCCTATTGTTGATGTTATTAATAATATTAAAGGTATTTTATTAGGTATATTATTTTATTTTTACAACTTTCCGGAAAGAAAATAAATAAAATTGCAACTTTCCGGAAAGAAATTAATTACTTTTACAACTTTCCGGAAAGAAAATAAAATAGTTTTACAATTTTCCGGAAGGAAAATAGATAAATACAATTTTTCCGGAAAGAATTTTACAACTTTCCGGAAAGAGAATATAAATTATTCTACAATTTTCCGGAAACAAATAAATAATTTTACAATTTTCCGGAAAGAAAATAAATATATTTTACAACTTTCCGGAAGGATAATAAATAAAATTGCAATTTCCGGAAAAAAATAAATAATATTACAATTTTCCGGAAGGAAAATAAAATAGTTTTACAACTTTCCGGAAAGAGAACAATTAAATTATAATTTTCCGGAAAGAATAAATAATTTTACAATTTTCCGAAAAGAAAATAAATAATCTTACAACTTTCCGGAAAGCAAAATAAATAAAATCACAATTTTCCGGAAAGAAAATTTCCGGAAGAAAAAATTATTTTTACAACTTTCCGGAAACAAAATAAATAATTTCACAATTTTCCGGAAAGAAAACAAATATGTAAAATTTACAACTTTCCGGAAGGAAAATAAATAAAATTACAATTTTCCGGAACTTAATTAAAATAATTTTTAAGATGATGAAGACAATACTCTAAATAAGCAATTAATTTGCGAATTAAATCTACTCAAAAATAATAATCCGGAAATGATATTAAAAAAAGAAGAAAATACAAATAATTTATTTGTTCAACAAAACACACCAAAATATTTATTTAATCGACAACACAGTCCAAAACAATTAAATCAGAATATTTTACAACATTCTTTTCAGACCTTGTCTAATAATAATTTAATTTCTGAGGGATTATTGACACCAAAATTAATGAATAACAATTTTGGACATTATCCAATCTCCACTGCTTCTCCAAATATGTTTTTGGGAAATAATGGGAATAATAATGAAAAGGGGAATAATTTGTGCAATACGCCTGATTATTGTAAGAAATTCTGATTTTTTTTTAAAACTTGAAAATTCTGATTTTTTCCGGAAACAAATTTTGATTAGATCTTTCCGGAAAAGTTCTGAACTAAGTTTTCCGACCTCAAGTTTTTCCGGAAAAAATGTTTTCCGGAAAAAAAGTTTTTCTGAAACAAGGTTTTCCGGACCTGTTTTGCGAGAGAATATTTTTTATTTAGAAACTTTCCGGAAAGAAATTGATTTAAGACCTTCCGGAAAGTTTATTAAAAATAATTCCGACTATAATAATTCTGATTATATATTTTATACAAGTTTTTCCGGAAAAGTTCTGAAGTAAGTTTTCCGGTCTCAAGTTTTTCCGGAAAAGTTTTTCTGAAACAAGGTTTTCCGGAAACATGTTTTTGCTAAGGAATATTCTTTAAATAAAAACTTTCCGGAAAGAAATTAATTTAAAATCTTTCCGGAAAATTTATTAAAATAATTCTGACTATAATAATTCTGATTTTATAGTTAATTTGGGTTCACCAATGTTGTCTGCTGTTCTTTTTTCTGCTGCTGCTACAATGATTAGAAACAATCATCAAGCAACCCAAAATCAAGTTCAACAGCAAAATCAAAATGATTTCCAAGAAACTATGAATAATAATTTTGTTAATAATAACAACAATTATTTAGCAACACCAAATATTCCCGTTCAAAATAATTTATTTAAAAGAAAGGGAGCAATTGTAAATGGAATTCTTCAAAAGTGAGAAACTTTTTTTAATAAATCAGAAAATATTTATTTCTTTACAATTTGAATTAAAAAACTTTTTACAAATTGTAGTTTTGTTTTTACAATTTTTTTACAAAACTTTTTACAATTTGTAATTTTAATATAACTTGAAGTAAAACCTTTTACAATTTGTAATTCTCCTTTAAAACATGAAATTAAAACTTTTTTACAAATTGTAATTTTATTTTGACAATTTGTAATTTTCCTTTAAAACAAAAAATTAAACTTTTTACAAATTGTAAAATAATTTTTAGGCTTTCAAATAAAGCTACAGCTGAAGCACACAATAACAACAACAACAACAACAATACCTCTCCCATTACTTCTCAACCACAAAAAACGCCTTTAGAGATTAATAATGATTTGGAAAAAAATAATAAAAATAAAATTATAAAACAAGAATTAAAAACAACAAAAAGGTCTTTGGTAAATGTTCAAACACAGACAGATATTAGTGGAGTAATTGAAATGAAGGAATATATTCATGAAGGTAAAAGGATTAAAGTTATTTTAATTGAACAAGAACTTTAAAAAATATGTATACAATTATTTTATTTAATTGAGCATTTGTGATTCAACAAGATTAAAAAATATTATTTAAATATTATATTTATTTTTTACTTACCTCTTTTTATTTTTTTTTAAATTACTAGAATAGAGCCTATCTGGAGAATTTGTAATTTAAGATTAAACTTGAAAATAAACTTTTTACAATTTGTAATTCTTATAGAGGATTCAAGTAAACTTTTTTTACAAATTGTAATTTTAGTTTAAACCCGAAATACAACTTTTTTACAATTTGTAATTCAAGATTAAACTTGAAAATAAACTTTTTACAATTTGTAATTCTTATAGAGGATTCAAGTAAACTTTTTTTACAAATTGTAATTTTAGTTTAAACCCGAAATACAACTTTTTTACAATTTGTAATTCAAGATTAAACTTGAAAATAAACTTTTTACAATTTGTAATTCTTATAGAGGATTCAAGTAAACTTTTTTTACAAATTGTAATTTTAGTTTAAACCCGAAATACAACTTTTTTACAATTTGTAATTCAAGATTAAACTTGAAAATAAACTTTTTACAATTTGTAATTCTTATAGAGGATTCAAGTAAACTTTTTTTACAAATTGTAATTTTAGTTTAAACCCGAAATACAACTTTTTTACAATTTGTAATTCAAGATTAAACTTGAAAATAAACTTTTTACAATTTGTAATTTAGGAGTAAACTTGAAAATAAAACATTTTACAAATTGTAAAAATAGAAATAACCTTAAAAATATAAAACCTAGACAGGCTCTATTTTAATAATCTACATACTTTGACTTCTTGCCAGATTAAATTTTTTGTCTTTATAAAATATCATAATATTTTTCAAATCTCCACATTTTATTTGTTGGCAATTATATCACTTTTAAGTGCAATTATATATTCAAAAATTTTTTTTCAATATTTTAAGTTCAGCATTCCTTTCCTATGCGCGTGCCCTTAAGTTTGTAATTAAATTTCACTTCAATTTTATTTATTTTTAATGATACAAGAATATTTATTCAAAATTTATTTTAATCATTTTCATAACATTTTTGTATCAAAATCACTTCCTCTAAAAAAGACATTTATGGCTGCTATCTACTGCTTTTACACATATACTACAATATTTTTAAATAAAGTTGTATTTTATTTCTGAATAAATTTTTGGTTGGAGTTTTGAATTTAAATAAACTTTTTACAATTTGTAATTTAAGTTTAAAACTTGAATTAAAACTTTTTTACAGTTTGTAATATTTAAATAAACTTTTTTTTTACAATTTTTAAAACTTTTTGGTAAAACTTTTTACAATTTGTAATTTTTAGTTTAAAACTTGAAATAAAACTTTTTTACAATTGTTATTAAATTCTACAATTTGTAATTTATTTTACAATTTGTAACCTTTTTGTTAGTTAATGCCGTGCTTACATAAAAAGCGTCTTGCGTTTTGCGGAAGAAAATAGCATTCAAAAGAAGGAGAGACAAAATCGCGTCTCTTTATTTTCAATGCTATTTTCTTCCGCAAAACGCAAGACGCTTTTTATGTAAGCACAGCATAAAAAATAAAACTTTTTACAATTTGTAATTTTCTTCCTAGACCTTTAAATAAACTTGAAAGCTGAGAAACATGCTTATTTTATTCAAATAACCATAACGATTTAATATAAATGCTTATAAAGAGTGAGGATGAGAGGTTCAACGTTTTGTTTTAATCTGTGTTTCCAACAAATAATCTTCTGTATAATTGGCATTGACAGGTTATCGGTACACGGATTACTCCATCAACAAAATCCCCCACATCGCCTTCCATTCGAATTCCGGCAGGGCGAAGTTCGTAAACTGTTACACATTTTGAAGAGTAACTGTAAAAAATAAACGAATTTTTAAGTTGTAGTTTTTAAGTTCTATTTTTAGGTTTATTTTTTAAGTTTTATTTTTAAGTTTGCAGTTCTTAAGCTTGTAATTTTTAAGTTTTGTATTTTCAAGTTTTATTTTCAAGCTTGTAGTCTTAAGTTTGTATTTTCAGGTTGCACTTGTTTTCAAGTTTTATTTTTAAGTCTTATTTTCAAGTTTGTGGTTCTTAAGTTTATGATTTTAAGTTTGAATTTTCAAGTTTGCAATTTTAAGTTTTGCATTTCTGAGTTTAATTTTCCGGCTGAGTTTTTAAGTTTGTAGTTTTTAAGCTTGTATTTTCAAGTTTTATTTCCCAGTTGCATTCTCAAGTTTGTATTTTCAGGTTGCACTTATTTTCAAGTTTTATTTTTAAGTTGTATTTTCAAGTTACATTTCCCACTATTCCCATTTCCGGAATTGTTATTAGGTAATTACAATTTGTAATTTTTATTAATAAATTAGCGTTGTGCTTTCCCTATTATTTTTCATTGTGTTTCCCGTTTCTACATTTGTTTTTATTATATTATAGTATCATTTTATTTTCATTGTAGTCTTGTAGTTTATCTATTTTTGTCTTATTTTCTTGCCATTTTCTTAATTTTTTTCTTGCTCTTTTTTAACCCCCAAAAATGGAAATATGTATAAAATGCTTAATGAGGAAGGTGATGATGCGCTTAATCCCCCTTTTTGTTAATAATTTATTTTCGATTAATATTAATTCCCTATAGAGAACAAAGCACTCTCTGTACCAGAGAACATTTTTAGCAATTTTGTCAATTAAAACATAATTTTTTTGTTATTTATTGCAATTTTTCTTTTTGCGATTTTTTAGTAAAAAATATTATTTTTGGATAGGTTAAGGATTATTAAGAAAAAATAAAATTTACATTAAATCATCAATTCCATGGCATTGATCTCCTTTAGAATTAGCACACTCAATAAAAGTAGCAATAAATTGACGTCTCCCATCTTGTTGGATTTCAACAGGATTGTTGTCTTTATCTTTAAAAATGGAATTAACATAGATAAAACATAAAGTAAACTGAAACCTTCCGGAAAATAGAAATATAAACTAGTAAATGTGTAAACATCTAATGAAATTCCGAAAGATGGTTAAAACTTTATTTAAAACACCCAGTAAACTTTCCGGAAAACTTTAAAAAATATTAGACATTAAACTTTAATAAACTACAAGGAAGCTAGAAAGCTTTCCGGAAACAAGGAATAAAATTCCGGAAAACATTAAAACCTTAAATAAAACATGAAGTTTTCCGGAAAATAGAATAAAATTGAAAAACATTCAAGTTTAATGTTTCAGGAAAAACATTAAACAAACAAAACATCAAGTAAACTTTCCGGAAAAACATTTTTCCGGAAAAACATATGTTTTTCAAAAACATTTATTGTTGTTTTTCCGGAAAAACATTTGTTGTAAACATTTGTTTTATAAAAACAAAAAAAAAATAAAACAAACCATGTCCTCGTTTTGGAGCATAGTCCCTTCTAATAATTGTTGTACAGACATGCTCATGTTCGGATAGATGTTCAGAAATGATAGATGTTCGTTTTTGTTTATTAGCAAAAGAATGTTGTTCTTTAAAATGTTTTCCTTCTTCAATTTCTTCCTTCTCCTTGTCTACAAAGGGAAGATTTAGGGAGGAAAAAAATTTTTGTTGGGCATTCCAGTGCTGTTTTAAAGGATTTATTTTTTGGTTAATTTTGCTGAAATAATGAGGGTTATAATTTAAGTGCTGTCGAACAGGTAGAGTTGAGTACCTTGCCAGAACTAAAGAAGATATGAGTTTTGGGGAATAAAAATTAAGACAAACCAAAATAAGAGGAAACTGCTTGTAAACACCCACAAAACAAAATTATTTGTAACAAAGAAAATAATGTGGACAATTTTAAGCGAGAAAAATATGGAAATTTCAATGATTTTTGCTGTTTTCGTAGTTGTAGCATTTTAATTTTAGTTGTTGACGTGTTTGGAGGAGAAACAAAACAATTGCAACATGGAGATGTTGTTAATGATGTTTTAGTTACCATAAAGGTTTCTAATAAAGTTCGAAAAGAAAACACCTCTAAAACAATAAATATAAACTTTCCGGAAATTAAAAGAAAAATATAAGTTTTCCGGAAAAATTATAAATATACTTTCCGGAAATTAAAATTATAAATATACTTTCCGGAAATTAAAATTATAAATATACTTTCCGGAAATTAAAATTATAAATATACTTTCCGGAAATTAAAATTATAAATATACTTTCCGGAAATTAAAATTATAAATATACTTTCCGGAAATTAAAATTATAAATATACTTTCCGGAAATTAAAAATAATTTCCGGAAATTTATATACTAATTATAAATTTTCCGGAAAAATATAATAGAAAATATAAACTTTCCGGAATTATAAAAATTAGTATTTAAGTTCCGGAAAAATATAATAGAAAATATAAGCCTTCCGGAAAAATACAATAGAAAATATAAACTTTCCGGAAATTATAATAACGGAAATTTATATACTAATTATAAACTTTCCGGAAAAATAAAATAATAAATAAAAGTTTTCCGGAATAGAATAGTTTTATGCTAAACGGAAAAACAACTATTTCAGGAAAACATCATGTAAACTTTCAGGAAAACTCGTTTCCTGTTTAAATATTCTCGTAATGCTTTAATTCTTGTAAAAAATACAAATAAATGCTAATTAATTGAGTAAAATTATTTTATTTTATTAATACAAATGTGCGGCTATCATTGGCATTTCCTTTTACATAGGCTTCTGCCACAATAAAAATTTAAAATTCTATTAAGCCACGCCCATTAATATCCCTCTCACTCAAGAATGAGAGAATTTTGACATTAGAGTCTGAAAAAAATTTTTTCTATATTTTTTTATAAATTTTAACCACCTGTTTATATACTATAAACTATTTAATATCGAAATTAATAATTAATTTCGTCAAAAGATAGAAAAAATAATGCACCCTTTTTACTTGATTTTACTGGCCGTGTTTGCGTGGGTGTCCAACTTTGTAAGAATCCAAAAATATTTTTAAATATGTGTATAAATAACTTCCGGAAATTATTATATAAATAAATTATACTTTCCGGAAAATATAAAATAAATAGGCAAACTTTCCGGAAAAATATAAAATGCTTCTTCTAAAATTAAGCTTTTTCCGGAAAACATTAATGTATACTTTCCGGAAATAATTTCTCATAAACTTTCCGGAAAAATATTAGTGAATATATTTATTATTTTTCCGGAAAATTATATATTCTTTTATTATATTTCCGGAAAAATATAATAAAATAAAATTAAGAGGGAAACATTCCGGAAAACACAAATAAATTCTTCAACATTTGATTTTCCGGAAAATATTATAAATACTATACCGGAAAAACTTATTAAAAAATTTTATAAACAAAATATTAATTATTAACCTTAAACTAAAACATATTTAACCTTTAGATAAAATTTAATAAATAAATTAATAATTGTTTTATTTTTCAAATGCCATTAAAAAAATTATTAAAAAAATATTTTAACTAAAATTAATTTTTTTAATTTTAAAGAGATTTTAAGAGATTTATAAAAATGCTAGAATAAATTAGCATTTTTATATATAGACAGGAAGTTTAAATTTTAAAAATAAATAAATTTATTATTTAAAATTCTATATTCAGTAACTAAAATGAGACGTTGGAATATTAAAACATAAGGTGGAATTTGTATTTGAAGTATAACTATAAATATAACTCAATAAAACTTTCCGGAAATAAACCTAGAAATGAATATATTATAAACTTTCCGGAAAAATAATAAAAATAAAAGTTAGGGGCAAACTTTCCGGAAAATCTAATTTCCTGAATTATTTTTATTAAATAGTACACATATTCTTTCCGGAAAATACAGTAAATAGACTCTAATAAAATTAAACTTTCCGGAAATATATTTTATTAACTATTATTTTCTTTCCGGAAAAATGAAATAAATTATCTAGAATAAATTAAACTTTCCGGAAATAAACTTAAAAATAATATAAACGTTCCGGAAATACTATAAAATAATATAAACCTTCCGGAAATCTTATAAAATAAAATTAAAAGGGAAACATTCCGGAAAAAATAAAATAAATTAACACCCCTATAATTAAACATTCCGGAAGTATTTTTTATTAGGCTATTATTAAATGTTACACTTTTACCCCATTATTTATTTTGCATATTCCAAAATAGAACAAAAATAAATATTATTTGTAAAAACAAATCAAAACATCTGTTTTTAATTTGTACTATTTTTTATAAAGATAATTATTTTTAAAATGTCATTTAATTAAAATATTCTGACAAAAATAAATAATTTTGTAAAATTTATTTAATAAAGTTCAAATGGCGTAATATTAAATAAAATGTATCTACAGGTGGAAAAAAATGTTTTTAATTTTACCGAAAAACATTCTTTATCTGAATATGTACTATTAAATAGACCTTCCGGAATGTTTAATTATTTGTGTTTATTATATAGTTTTTATATTTCCGGAAAGTTTTTATATTTTACACGATTTAATTGATTATTCAATCTTTCCGGAAAAATTAAAACTTTCCGGAAAATAGTTTCTTCTATAAAAGAAATTTTCCGGAATGTTTATAATTTGTTATTTTCCGGAAAAATATAAACCTTCCGGAAATTTTATATTCATGTATTTCTATTAATCATTACAACTTTCCGGAAAACATAGTTTATTTCTATCGCTATAAAATAGTTTCCGGAATATTTAATTGTTCGTTTTTATTTATACCTGCAAACTTTAATACTTTCCGGAAGGCGTATATGCATATATTTTTATTAATAAATTTAATTATTCTACTTTTCCGGAAATAAACCATTATCATTTTTAGACCAATTAATAAAGTTTAAATATTTTCCATTTTTAACTTCCTCTTTTTCTCTTCACCTTTCTTTTATTAATTTACATAAAATTTAAATAAATTAAATTTAAATAAAAAATTAATTCTTTTAAGCACATCATTCATTTCCAATTTATTAAACAACTCCCAAAAGGATTGGTATAAAAGTAAAAATTAAAATATATACGTAATTAAGGAAATATTTTTATGAGTCAAGAAGGGTGTGTGAGAAGCAAGGGAATGAACGGGATATTTATTTAGCTTAATTATTTCTTTTCTCTTTTTGTTTTTATTTATTAAATAAATTGTTGAATAATTAAATTTATATATTAAACACAATTAATTTATTCACGCAAAAAAAATGTTGAAATTAAATATTTTTTACTAAAAAAAGAAAAAAAAATTTTACAAAAAAAGGTAATTTGATAAAATATATAAATGGACTGTAAAAAAGATGGAAATGAGGGGAATAGCAAAATTACCCCATTTTGTAAAAATAAAAAAACCAAAAAAAAAGTAGCAACAAGCTTTAACACTAAAGGGAATGATTGGAGGTTTCAAAAAAATTTTGCGGACAAAAAAAAGTTTGCGGACAGATATTTGCGGACTTTTTTTTTCAAACTTAAACAAAGTCACTAAAATCCAACAAAGTCACTAAAATCCAAAAATAACCTCTAACCTCCAGGAATAAACGAAGAAACGAAAAAAGGGTCCTAAATAATATGATCACCCAAAAATTAAAAATCAAAACAACAAAACATCACCAAACATCTTTTGGGGTATTTTTAAATATTGACAAATTAGAGGCCAAGAATCTATTCCAAAAAATTCTTTTCTTGAATTTAAATCGTTTTCAAAATGAAGAACAGTCCAAGGGATGCCGAAACACTTTAAAAAATTAATTTTTAAATTTAAAAATTAATTTTCAAGAAACCTTTGCCTCCACAGCCTCTCTATGGTTTTCGTTTAGTCTATTACACCATTCATCATTTGAGAATGAATTCTCGTTCAAACCGAAATCCAAACAAATCTGGGAAGAATTAAGAGCCTGAAAATGAAATTTTTTAAGTCCGCAAAAAATTTGCGGACAATCCGCAAACTATGTCCGCAAAAATTTTTTGTCCGCAAATTTTTTAAAAATAATTTTAAAAATTAAAAAACCTCTTCCAAATCCTTTTCTGAATTTAACGCTTTGTTTTCAACCCAAATTCTTTGCCAAAATTGTCTTGAAATTTTTTGAAATGCAGAAAATCCGAATTTTGAGGCAACCATGTTCAATGCACATTGGGGGTGGAAAGAGCTGGAAATGCCGTCCAATAGATTGTCTATTGTTTCCTATAAAATTAAATGAAAATTTTAGATGAAAATTGATGTAGAGATGTTAGGTTATGAAAAAGTCCGCAAATCTTGTCCGCAAAAAATTTTTAATCCGCAAAAAAATTTTTTGTCCGCAAATATTTTGCGGACAAATATTTTGTCCGCAAATTTAAATTTGAGAAAAAATGAACAAAACTAACGGGATCAGTCCTAATATTTAATCCATGTAGTCGTGCAAACAATCTTTGCTCTTCAAAATAATTCTTTTTTAAATTTGGAGTGGTATAGGGAACTTGAACGCCTTTAAAAATTTAAAAAAAATTAAATTAAAAAAATACCAATTGTTGTAAACAAACTTCCAGCATGTACAGGGCGAAAATTAAAATTAATTTCGTTGTGAGTTGCTTTCAAAATTGAAAATCTCTGAAAATAAATTGAATCTAAAAATTTTATCATAAGAAACCTCAAACAAAACCCAAGCAGGGATAGAGACAATATCAAAGTAATAATCAATGGAAGTTACTTTAGGCAGTTTCTGTAGCAATGACATGACTGAAAAAATGAAAAAAACAAAAAGAAAAACAACGGAAAAAGACAAAAAACTTATAAAAACCCCAAAACAACGGAAAAAGCTTTTTAAAATATTTACTGAAAAAAGAAAATTAGCATAATGTTTATTTTGTTTATTTTCTCCAAATCTCTCACTGTCTCTCTTAACTTTACACAGTATTTCTCTTAATGGTTTTTAGCCTCTCCACATTTGACCAATACCACATTTTGCCAATAAGGGCAAAATCCTACATTTTGACACTAAGACCCTGTTGGCAAAACGCGTGGTTTTAGCCTTGTTGGCAAAATGTGGTATTGGTCAAATATAGAATACGCGTTTTTTTACAATAAAAGTTTTTTTGTACTTGTCCATTGATTTTCTTGTAAACTTTTCTTAAAAAAACTTTTATTTTTCAGCTTTGTTTTAACCGTTATTTTTGACCTTGTTAATTTAACGAGCTTAATAATACAAAAATGTCTTCATCCGATGACTCTTCAGTTGACGAACCAGTTCCGGTGACTAAAAAAGGGAAGGCTAATGGAAAGAAGGCTGCGGCGCCCGCCAAGGCGGCACCGGCTAAGAAGGCTGCTCCAGCGGTATATTTTTTTTGGTTTTTGAGAGATTCTAATTTAACTTTTAGAAAGGCAAGAAGGCTGCTCAAAAGGATTCTGACAGTGATTCGAGCGCAGATGACCAGCCGCCACCGGCAAAGAATAGCAACAAGAGGAAGGCTGAAACGGACGAATCTGAGGATGATGCTTCTAGTGGTGATGATGAGGAATATCAGCCTGCAAAGAAGAAGGAGACTAAACAACCTCCGCAGAAGAAAGGAAAGGCGGCGGCTAAAAAGTCGGATTCTGATGAGGATGTTTCTGAGGATGAGGAGGAGGAGAAGGAATCTGTTAAGGCTAAAAATGGGAAGAAGGAGAAGGGAGGGGGAAAGGCTGCTGCGGCAACCAATGTTGAAGTCAATGCCGAGGGAAATGAGGTTTTGTTTAGATTGGAAATGTTTTTATTTTTACTTGAAGATGTTCCCAATTGGTATGAAACGCTTTGCTGCCATCAACACTTTCAAAGGCCAGCTTCATGTGGACATTCGTGAGTACTACCAGAAGGATGGAGGAAAATGGCTTCCTGGCAAGAAGGGAATCAGTCTTACGCAGGCGCAGTTTTTTGAGTTTGAGAAGGTTTTTTTTTAGTTTTTTTTTTGAGTCTTGTTGGTGCCCCCATTTTCATATGAGCCATAAATTGATTTTTGACCCCAAAAATAAGCGTGGTCCTTCTATGATTTGACTGTTTTAGGCCCTATGTCTCTGCCCAAATTCAACTCGAGCTTTTTCAAATGACACATGATCCAAGCATTTTTATTTGGCAGCCATATTTGGCACTTGAGTTTTTTTCGTTTGCCTTGGTGTAGTTGAAAAATGGGATTTGTATTTTGGGTTTTTGTTTCTAATCCTCCTGGGGTACTTTTATTTTTTCCTGACAATAGTGGAAATGAAGGGAATGAAAAGGAGGAAATGAACGAGACTATAAGCCATTTTTGATTATTATTTTATTTTTTTAGCTGATACCAACACTCAAGAAGAAATTGGCATCGACCTAAAGTCGGGTTAAAGAATTTGATTTTTTTGTTGAAGAATGCGTGTCAAAATATATAAGTTATATATTCCAACTCTTATATTTATTTTGAGAATTAAAAAATCATTGATCTTTTGAGTATTTATCTGTTGACTATTTTTAAATTTAAATAAAAAATGTGTCGTTATTTGTTGAATGCATTGTTTTTGTTTTTATATTTTTTTAATGGTTAATTTTTTAATTAATTTTTGTTTTTGGAGGATGTCTGATACTGGAAATAATGCTGATAAAGGGGTAGGTTCTTTGAAGATTTTTTTGGAAATTTGTAAGACTTGAGGAGGTTTGCTTGAGCGCTAGGACTTCATTAAGTATTTTTATAGCTTTTGATGGTGTAGTTGTATTTTAACCCAAAATTTTAAAAAAATTATCTTAAGTGGTTAGAATTTTTAATAAGGACCCGCATACTTGCATGTTAAATAACTCTTAATTTCTGTTTGCTGCATCTCTGATATATTTTTTTATAAGTTTATTTGATTAGGCCTTTATTGTGCCCACAACTCTTGTTTTACAATTTTTTATTTTAAAGAATGCCGAGTCTTCATTTGCTTTGACATCTGCTGCTTCAAATGAATTTAGCGGCGTTTTAAGCCCTTTGGAACCTTTGGATCCAAACAAATTCAGAAATATAATGTTGGATAAACCTGAAGTATCTTCTAGCAGTGTTGCCAATGTATGGATACAAAAGGTTTTTGTGACTTTAAAAAATTTTAGAAGACGTCTGCTCAACGTGTTTCTATGGAATCGTTGTCTATGGATAGCTCTACGAGCAATGAATTTCGAGGTTTTTAAAATATTTTGGCTCTGGTCTAGTTTAGGAGTCCAAAGAAGGGTTATACGTCTGGGAAGCTTTGCTGGAATTTTGAACTTTTGGACTGAATTTTTATTGGACCTTTGTTGGACCCCTCAATGGGCTCAATCTCTTTATTCATCTTTTAATCCTTTATTAGAATCACTCTATTGGACTCTCATGTCATGCCTTTGTTCTAGTCGTAGACCCTTTAATGGGCTCATAAACCAGTCTAGAGCCAAAGAATATATTTTTTTCTCTAATTTTTAAATTTTACAGAAAAAAGTGTTTCACTCGATTCAGCAACCCCAAAAAGTTTTTACCATCAAACAGCTCCTCCAACTCCTATAACTCATTCTCATCAACACCAACCACCACAATGTCATTCACAGCCACCACAGAGTCCAGCTATTCAACAATTACAACAACGAAGTATGTCTTTGCAGCAACATCCACATGTTCAACAACAACAGCAGAGTCATTTACATCAATATTTTCCGGCACAACGTAAATATTTAAGTTTGATTATATATCTTTCGTAACCTTATGTTGGTGGAACCTCGGTGTAAGTTGCACCCTCTTTGCCTTATAATGAGGTCTTTTTTAAATAGTGGGTTTCTTCAAATTAGTCCTTTACCAAGTGGTGAGATAGCTTTTTATTCAATTAAGGAGCTGCCGAAGTGTGATACTCCGTATTTAAGTTAACTTTATTATAAGGCAAGGGCGTAGCCAGTGAGCTTTTGAGGCTATAGGTTATAGCCCTTCCCTTGAAATGGGGGGGGGGTCTATAGCCTGAAATCGACCTTCTGGCTACGCCCTTGTTATAAGGTACAAGTTTCAACCTTAAGGATTTATTGCATGGTGTTGGTTAGTTTGTGAAGAGCTGTCTTATATAAGTTTTAACTTATAAAACAAAAATATTAATTTCTATAATTTTTCTAAATTTTCAGCTCCAATGCAACAAATCCAGCAGCCTATGCAATCTCAACACCCCTCCCAAACTCTACTTCCTTTCTCCCCAATCCACCAAGGTCAATATGGCATTTCTCCACAGATGATTCAACATCCAAATAGTATGATGCATGGGCATCCACATTGGATACATCATCAACAGTTACAGCAACAACAACAATTACAACAGCAACAATTACAGCAGATTCATCAGGTTTGCCTTTAGATTTTAGTAGATTGCAAGGGGTAGTCAAGAATTGATTTCGCGGGTCTAACATTGGGTGAACGTCAAAATTTTAGCATTTACTTGGGTTAATTTTCTGCGCCGCATGCGAAAATTTTTTTGAATTTTGGAGCTCAAGAAGCTACGCCCTTGGTAGATTTCTCTAATAAGATCCTAATTTGAAGACAATCTTTTTCTTGTTGTATTAAAATTTTTAAGCTAAAGTTAAGGACTTTTGTTGACAGTTTGTATTACTAACACATACATATGTACCGTATAACCTGTATTAATTGCCCTCCCTCAAATAATTACCCCACCTCTATTAGTTACTCCGTCTAGCGAGAGGTTGAAACAATAATTACCCCCCAACAAATGCCCTAAAACACGTTCAAATCTAAAACCTCATATAATTACCCTCCTTCTATTAATTACTCCCTCCAGGGGAAGGTCGAAACAATAATTACCCAGGGTAGTTATTAAAGGATATACGGTAAGTTACAAATCCGGGACTCACCACCTATGGATCTGCAGTGACTTTGATTTCTCTTTTATATAGATTTAAATCTCCGTCCTAAGCTTTTTTAACTGCTACCCAGCTGTGGTTCTTCCCTTTCCTTACATGTTTTTTTTTTCATTTTCCCTAAATTAGACTTATATTTTTTAGCAACCTCCACCATATCAACAACATATTTCTTCACCAAATCAACAACAACAAATGTATCAACAACACCAGCATGCTTCTTTTATTAAACAACAAGTAGTTCATCAACAAATACCCCATCCACAACAACATCAGCAACAAAATGTAGCGGCTTTTATGGGAACTGGTGAAGTTAGTGGCAGCAATGTACTTCTTCCAAATCAACAAATTGGTGTCCCTTCACGTTTTTCACCTCATCCACCTCCTCAACAACAGCAACACTTGACACCTTCTAACCAACAAAGGTATAAATTTATATGGACTAGTCTTTTGGGTTGCGACTTGACTTTGATTCCGAATGATTCGAGGTTGCATCAGTCTTACTTTTAAATGTGTAGAATCCTGGATTTTAAGGACCCGAGTTTTTAAAACTGCTACCCAGCTCTGGTTCTTCCCTTTCCTTGAAAGTTTAATGTTTGACACGGCCGGTTAATTTTTCCCTTTGGCGACTCACATCAGAAAGCTTTTTCTATTTGACCCGCCACAGGGCATGATTAACTGCTCAAGTCCAACTCTTGTCTTAACCCGCAAAGACTGATTCCTAATTTTTAACCCAGGAATACTCTGACTGCGAAGGTCTTAATTCCTGAAAACCTCTGATTATAACCGACTCGACCCCGAAGGTTTTGAAGACCCCCCACCCCACTTCAAATTAATTCCCTTTAATAAAATTAAAAGAATATTTCAGGCATCCATCGGCCTCAAATATTTCACCTGAATATTTAAACTATCAACAACAACAACTTAAACTTCCTCCACCTCGTTATGGTCAATCTCCACAAGTTGTCGCCAATAATTATTCTCAATACCCAGCGGGTTTTCAACAACATCAACAAAGAGCAGCAACGTTTCAATCTCCAACAGAGAACCTTATTCAATCGCAGCAACAATCACATCAAAATTCTTCTTCAGAAAAAATTATGCGACCTACACAGATTGTTGCACATGGAGGTTTTTTGTTAAATAGTTTTTTAGATATATTAAATACTTTGAAAATTAGATAAACCTCGGTTTTATCGTCTACTGGATAAGGGGAATTATATAAGTTATACCCTCTATTTAAGACACACCTCATTTTAAGAGACTTATTTCTTTTTGTCCCTAGGGTTGTTTCTTATATTGAGATCTGATTATATTGTCTATGAGATACCCTCTATTTAAAATACACTTCATTATGGGAGACAAAGAATTTTTTGTCTGTCCCAACGTGGATGTGGTTTTATTATCTCAAAAATAGGTATTTTTAAAATTTTTTTATTTTTTACAGCACCAGGCGGCTTTTCATCTCCCGAATATACTTCAAACTTTAATTTATCAAATTGTGCAAATGTTCCTGCTCATATGATGTATAATCAACAAATTTCTCACCAACAATTACCTCCACAGAGACCACAACAAATGTTACAGCATGGAATAATTCAACAGCAACAACAAATACCTTCACAAGCACTTGCTCAATCTTTAGGTTTAAATTTTAAAAGAGATTGGAGTGAGATGGAAGGGCAGAGGAGATGAAGAAATGTCTGCTATTAAAAAGATTTTTTGACCGAAAATTTTTTCTGAAAATTTTTTTAAATTTTTTCGAAAATCAAGATTATTTGGCAGGCTGTTTTATTTTTGATAGCTCGTCCAAGTCCTGTTTCTTTTTTTGCTGTAGAAAATTCATTGAATGGAAAATGTGTAGATTAGAAAATAAACTAGAAAATAAACTCAAAAAATTTTGAGCACATTTGAATGTTTTACCAATTTATCTTGATGAGAGGGGTTTTTATTCAGTCTTATATCCATTCTGCTCATACTAGGAGTAAGATTTTTTATGAATTGTAGAGGAAGATTTTTTTTTAATTAAAAAATAAATATTTTTTTCAGTTCAACAACATGTTATTGTAACACCTACTGGAAATCCTGTAAATCCAGAAATTTGTTTAACTGGTTGTGTTTTTCTATTAATTGATGATTGTAACCCTCAACTTGTTGACAGGTTATTTTTGAAAAGATTTTTTGAAATTTATTTTTTAATTTTTAAGTTATCAACTTTCCAGTGTTATCCGTTTTTATGGAGGTTTTTTTAAAAAAATATTTTGAAGAAAAAAATTTTTTTTAATTAAAAGGTGATGTTGAATCAAGCAATCCACGTGGTATTCCTGAGGTTTTCTTTTTGGAAAAAATTTTTTTTCAATTTTCAATGGATTATTTTAAGCGTATTACTCATATTGTTTGTTCTAGTTGGTAAGTTTATTAAAAAAAATATTTTTTTTGGATATATTTTTTGCATTTTGTAAGGTTCGATAATAAGCAACTTTTAATTGGTGCATTGGCCACTGTTGGGTTTTTTTTCTTTTATGTTTTTAAAAAAATTCGCAAGTTTTTTTAAGTCTAGTTTCGGATCGAATTTTTCAAAATTTTTTAAATCTGGTTTTGATTTTGGGTCGAAAAAAGACTGGGTATTGTGTTTGTCTTAACCCTTAATATCCCCGATAGGTATTTTTTTAATAAAAGTTAAATTTGAGACTTGCGGACTAAACTTGCGGATTTTTATAAAGACCCATTTTCTAAAAATATTTTTTTAAATTAATTTATTTATTTAAGGAATTTATTGATAAACATCGAAATCGTCGTTTTCAGCGCAAAGCTCAACGTATAGTAACTTTACATTGGTTAAACGATACAATAGGAAAAAGACTAGTTGAGCAGCCATCAAAAGCTGCTCATTTGCCAGGGTTTTTTAAAGAAGTTTTTTTAAGTTTTTGTTTTTTTTAAAGATTTTGGAGTGTTTTAAATCCAAATCCAGAAATTTCTTCAAAAATAATTTCTTTCCATGGATTTGACCAAAATGATTCCAATGCGATAAAATATATGATACGTTCAATGGGTGCTTATTGTGTACCGTTTAATTCAAAAACTGATTTTCTTGTTATTAATAAAAGGTTTTCTTTTAATTTATTCAAAATTTCATTTTTTGAGATTTTTTATTAAAAAACCAAGCTTAAAATAATTTTTTCCCAAAGTTGGATTCGAACCTTGCTTGTAAAAGCTAATAATTAAATTGGAACCTAACGTCTTAACCACTCAACTAAAATTTTCTTTTGAACAGCAAACATGTTTAAAAGAATTTTTTCAAGGCCTAAAAATTTTTTGAAATTTTTTCTTGTTGAGAATTTGTTTTCTTGTTTAAAAAAATATTTTTTTCCATCGTAAGGTTCGAACCCTGCTCATCAAAATATAAAATTAAAATGAAACCTAGCGTCCTAACCACTCAACCAAAAATTTTTAATTGTCAAAAAAATCGAAAAAAAAATTTTTGTCGAAAAAATAAAAAAAATTCAGTAGAAAAATTTCTTGCTAAAAATTCATAAAATATCAATTTTAAAAAATAAAAGAAAATTCTCAATTTATTTTTTCCCGGTTGGGTTCGAACCCTGCCCCCAAAAAGGGATAAATTGGAGCCTAACGCCTTAACCACTTGACCAAAAAAAAATTTTTTTTTAATTAAAAAATTTTTTTAATTTTTTAAGTTCATTAACTGACCAAATAATTGAAAAATCTCATTCATTCAACACTCAACTTGTCAACTATAAATGGCTTTTCGAATTATATTTTGGAAATATTAATGTCCTTGTTCCAACAGAAGCTCAACGTTATTTTCCTGAAGCTGAAACTTTATTAACTTGTGTTACAATTTCTCCCTATTATTTGGGAAAAATGAGTGAATTTTGTTCTAGATTGATGGGTAAGTGTGGAAAATTTTTTTGAAATTTTTTTATGAAAATTTTAATTTTTTTAGCTCCTTGGAATTTACAAATTCCAGTTAAAGATGAGATTATTAATTCTGCTTATTTAATGAAAAGAACAATTTTTCAAGATGTCAGCGTTTTTCCTGAAAAGCTTTTTAGGTTTCCTTTTTAAATATTTTTTTAATTATGAGTTTGTGGACCTCATTGTAGGATACACCTGAGCGGGAAAACGGAACAAATAAAATTAGAGGGATATTGTTTATGTTAGTTGGATTTCTCGCTCTACAACTAACATTAAAAAACATTTAAATTGAATCTTACAGTCAGTGTTTGCTCATACCTTTACTGAAATTTTACTCATTTGTGTACCAGGGATCTTGCCGACAAAAAACAAAATTTTCGATTTTCGGTAACCGATTTTCGCGAATCGGATACAGAGCAAATTTCATTTCAATTTTCAAACATTTCTTATAAGAAGATTTGACCATATTTAAAAATCTATTTTTTAAAGATTAACCGATAATGCACCAAGTGAGGAACAAATATCAAAAGCAATAGATGTAATTTCTGCTAGCAATAAAGAACCTATAAATGTCTGTACTTTTTTAAAAGCCTTTTTTTATTAAAATTTTTTTTATTTAGATTTTTGTTTTATTTGATGGATTCACAAGCGAACAAGTCGATAATATGTCCAAAAAAGTTAGATTTTTGGCAGCAAAAGTAGTTGAGTCGCCCAATGAATGTACTCATTTTGTAACTAGTTCTCTTAGAAAATGGTTTTCTAATAAATTTTCAAATATTTTTTTTAATTTTTTAAGCGTCAATTTGGTTACATGTATCGCTTTGGGGAAGCATATTGTTTCTCCTTATTGGGTTTTTTTTATTAATTTTTTTATTTAAATAATTTTTTTTCTGATTTCTAAGGTGGAAACAAGTTTCAAATGTTTACAGTTTGTCGGTATTTTTTTTTAAATTTATTTTTTTGTGTATCTAATTTTTCTGCTAATTTGTTTTTGACATTAAAATTTTTTTTAAATTTCCCAAGTTAATTTAAAAAATTACTTGTTTCAGATCCTCTCCCTTTCTTTGTCAAGGATCGTGAAAATGAAAGAAAATATTGTTTCAGGTTTTCTAAGAATTTCTAAAAATAAATAAAATTATTGGTTGATCTAGTTTATTCCAAAAAAAGCTTTTAATAGTCTTGGAGTCATGTTTATTGGACTCCTAAATTTTTTCATTATACGCATAAATTCCCATTAGATTCGTAAAATAAACTTTATTAGACCTAAATTATTTTATTTTCAGTTTAAAAGTTTCTGTTCTTCGTGCAAGACAACGTAAAATATTTAAGGTTAATTTTTTTAATTTTAAAAAATAATTCTTTTTTTAAGAATATTATTTTCCATATTGGTCAAGGAACTCAACCTTCCTTTGGAATTCTTCGCCAACTTGTTGAAGCAGCTGATGGGAGAGTTGTAGAAGAAAAACCAACAAAAAAAGAATTGGTTGAATATATGCAGGTTTAGATTTTTTATGTTTTTTTGAGGGGGATGTTTAAGCTTTGAAGGTTGCAGATAAGAGATTTTTGCGGATTTTAATGATCTTTTGCGGAAAAAAAATTTTTTGCGTATTTTTTTTAGAAAAATATTTTTACTGTCGTAATAGTTCGGCTTGCTCGAACCCCGGATTTTTTCGACCCAGAACCCTTTTTTTTCTTTATCCGACTCATCTCTGATGTCTCCATTCCGTCTGGAGTTGTAAGAAAAGGGAGAATGACCGTTAAAACAAAAATCCGCAAAAATGTCCGCAATATTCAATCTTCAATTTAATTTTTTAAATTAATTTTAATTTTAAAGAATGACCAAACATATTTTATTGTTTGTAATCACAATGATCTAGTCTTTTATCAATACCTTATCAATTGCAATTTTCGTAAGTTTGGATTTTTTGAGAAAATTAAAAAAAAATTTTAAAGCAATTTTCAACGAGGATTTCATCATAATGTCAATTTTACGTCACAAAATTGATCTCTCACCAGATTTTCATGCTTATCAAAGTTTATCAATTCAATCATTAAATATTGGGAAGAAATGAAAAAAGATTTGATGATGAAAAGAGACGAGGAAATGTCTTGAAATGATCGAGCAGAGCTCTTTTTTAAACTTGTGGATGTTTGGATGTTTATGCATGGTTTTTTTTTATTCTCTTTTAATTAGAAAAATAGGGATCCTACTATATATCTAGAATGGTAAAAGTTTTTTTCATTCCTCCCAAAATGGCAAATAGAGGGGGAAATAGTGGGGGAATAGAGAAAAAGCTTACTTAAACCGAACTTCTACTGTATAGGGTTCTTTATTTTTTAGTCGGATCTCGGTTTAAATACAACCCTTTTTCCCTCTCTCCAATTTTAAAAATATTCCCCCAACCCTCATGTTTAATAATACCAACTTCTTTATCTTCATTGGGTTATTTAAAATCGAGTTCCTTCTAATATTTTTAAAATAAAAAATTTTTTTTTAATTGTTTATGCACTTTTATCTTTTTTCTTTAATAAAAATCAATAATATTTTTATTTTAATACACGTGTAATTTAATGATTGAGGGAATGTTTGCGCATTGCCTTTAATAAAAAAATTTTTGGCCATTTTTTTATTTAGTGCCATTTATTGGAAAAAAATTTTTTCTCCTTTCTCTGATTTTTTAGAGAGAAAGTGAAAGAGAAGAAAAAAATATTTAAGTCTAGAGAGGTCTCTTTAGAAGGCTCTCAAACTTAATTTAAATTGAGAAGGCTAGAATTAAAAGTAGGTTAGCACCCCCTTCCTTCGAAACCGGAGAATTTTTAGATAAAAAAAACCCCGAAACCCGAGACTCCCGCCAATTAAGGCTCGAGATGCTACCCTAATTAACTACTAGAGAAAGATTCTCTGGCCTTGGTCTACCAAAAGTTTTTTTTTAATTTTTTTAAATTTTTTATCTTTTAGTTTGTTTTTTCCTTATTTTAGAAGAAAAAAATTTTTTTCTATCGGAAGAGAAATGTTTTCAGCACCTTTAGTGGTGGTGCTTCTCCCCTTCCTTTACTTGACCAATTTGATAGAAACTTCATCTAGTCAACAACCCGATTTTCAACAAATGTTTGGAAGTTTACTTTCGGGGGTTCAATCTGCTTTAAAAGAAATACAAAAACCTAAAGGTTTGAGGGGGTGGGGGGAAGAGAAGAGAAAAAATTTTTATTTTTTAGGTAATGGAGGGAATGATAGTGATGATGAAGACGATGAGGGAGATGGATTCGCTGGAATTAAAAAATTAATGGAATCAATTGATACGGAAAAAGTTGGACAATTTATCCAAAATTTTGCTAATCCGGCCAAATTGATGTCTTGGCTGCCGATGAAATTTCAAGGTTAATAAAAAAAATTTATTTTGAAATAGACATAAGATACACCAGGAAATATTGGATACATCCTAATTTAACAAGTTTTTTAAAATTAGGTTGGCTACTGGGTTGTGGAGCAGACATGGCCAAGACGTTTAATTTCGCGTTGCCCGGAAAGTTATCCGTATCTAGCCTAAAAAGAAATATATGGGAGGGTTTCCTTTTCTTATCCTCTTTTTATTAATGCAATCAACCCACCCAATAGCCAACCAAATTTTAAGAAAGGTCTCTAGTATTTGAGGGCGTATCTTATGATGAAGTTCGAGATTTGTCTTGACTTTTCACTCTTTCCAGATTATATACCCGAAGGTTGGCGTGAAAAAATCATAACAATTATAACCTCTGAATTGGACAAACTAGCGGCCGTTTGGGATGCTTTGGCAAAATACAAAACTTTGGAGCATGTTTGGAAAGCTTTGAAACGGAATACCCCTACTTTGGCTTCTCTTTTGGAAGATGCCTGGAAGATTATTAAGCAGCGTTGGGCTAAGTTTAATGGTGGATTGGAGCCGGAGGCGAAGGAATACATGCACAATGTGAGTGAAATTTTGTGAGGCTTTATTTGCGGGACTCTAATGGATTGGTTGGCGAAGTGGTCATTTGACCAAATGTCAAGTTCCCAAATGCCCACTGGCGAAATGTCACTTTTTGGGCAGTTGGCTAAGGATTTATTTTGAAGACAAATGAGGATTGGCGAAGTGTCTCCATGACCAATTGTCAAGATGACCAATTGTCAAGTTCCCAAATGTCCACGGGCGAAATGTCAAATGACGAAAAATATAAGAATTTAATTTTGCAGGTTAAATCTTCATTTGGTCATTGGCTATCAGACAAAGTCCTTGTTCCTTTCAAAAATCTTCCACCAAAAACATCAACAAATGTTCGCAATTCATTAACAAAAGCATTCCCTGCAGTCGAGCCATATTTGACAAAATTATCAGAAAGTGAAGTATTTTCAAAATGGGCTGCTGATTTGGCTGGAGAAGAAGAATTAAAAAAGAAGGAAAAGGAAGACGAAGAAAAGAAGGATGGAGAAGGGAAAAAGAAGGAAGGAGTTAAGAGTGAATTGTAGTGAGGAGAGAGTATGAGAGATAGAGAAAAGAGGAAACAGAGAAAAAGAGGGAGAGAAGCAAAGTACAAAAGGCGTATACGTTTCAAAGCCTTAACTTGCTTCAAAATTTATAAATCCTACCAAATTTTATATTAAATGATTCCTCCCATCGAGCTAAAGAGTTTGGTACCAAAACTGTAAGGGCCAAAATTTCCCAGCAAGTTATGGCTTTGCGCCGTTTGGCCCTGTTTTTTAGTATTGTGATATGATTGCTCTCTATATTTATTTTTTTAAAAAAGGGCTCTGTTGATATTGAAATCTGTAAAAATTTTTTTTGTTTATTTTCCTATTTTTAAGGCTTTTTTACCCATAGTGTCCTTGGGCGTTTTGTCCTTTTCTCGAGTTTTTGATATTTTGAAAAATTTACAAAATGTAATTTTTAACGTTTACTTTGAGTTTTGGACACGTTATCAGTTTTATAAAAGTATTTTTTTATTTGTCTCCTTTTTTGTTAAAATTTGTTTAAAATATACACGTTTATCTCTTTTATTAAATTAAAAATTAAATTTTTTAGACAATTTTATAGACTTAAAATTAAAATGGACAATATTTTGCTTACTTTAATAGCTCGAGTTAGTGATGGCTTAATTTTGGCAACTTCAATTGAGGGAGCAGACAATGTATATTTTTTTTTATTTTTTAATTTTGGTTAAATTTTTTAAGCCTGACCACAATATGGTTAAATATATGAGTCAAGCAAAAGTGATCTTTCGAAAATTGAATAGTCCAAATACACCGCAGATTCAATCAATTACTAGTGGACAATATTTTTTTCAGTAAGTGATTAAATTTTTTTGGGGTGATTTTGAGTTTGGGGAGGAGGGATTGATCCCTCAAATTTAATTTTCCTTTTCTGTTAAACATTTTTGAGATTTAAAAGTTATTTGGAGCGGTTCGAACCCAGGATCCCGTTCACCAGATTTTTTCATTAATTCGTGATTTTTGGGCGATGTTGGATCAGGAAAAAAGGGGGGATGTGTCAGTTTACTTGGTTTTTTCTGTTGTATTATTTTAGTGCTTTCCTGGGTCTCTAAAAAATAATTTTACCTTAAACGGGTTCGAACCCACGACCCCCCTCCTCTCACCAATCCTATTTCGATTTTTTTTAAATTTCAAAAAATTTTTTAGTTATATTGTGAAGGGTGCAATATGCGCTTTATCTTTGTGCGAGCAGAACTTAAATAGAAAAATAGCTTTTGCTTATTTGGAGGATGTTGCTGTTGAATTTCTTAATCAATATGGAACTCAAGTGGCGTCGACAACTAGACCATATCATTTTTTGGAATTTGGTATATTTTAAAATATAATTTGTTTTTGGGTTGTAAGATGATTTTTGGGAGTTCCTGACATTCCTGGATTTTAAGAAAAAATAATTGGACTCCAGGCGTGTTCGAACCCACGACCCCTTCCCTCCCCTCATTTCCTCAATTATAATTTTTTAAATTTCGGGCTATGATAACCTGGCAGAAATCTCAGTTTTATGTTTTCCGTTGTTTTTTATCATTATTTGGAATTCCTGGATTTAAGTAAAATTATTTGACTCCGAACGGGTTCGAACCCACGACCCCCCTTCCCTATTCCCTCTCGATTGTCTGTTAACTTTAAAAATTTTTTGTAGATACTTACATCCAAACTGCAAAAAGAAAACATATGGATAAAGGACGTAATGCATTTGCCGCGGTCAGTAATGAATTACAAGATGTTACAAGAATTATGGTTTCTAATATTGAGGACGTTATACATCGTGGGGAGGCATTAAATAGTTTGTTTTTAATTTTTGTTTAATTAAAAAAATTCTTTTCTTCGTTAAAGTTCTTGAGTCTCGTGCTTCCGATCTCTCCCACTTAAGCAAAAAATATCGCGAAGATGCTCGACAATTAAATCGACGAACGGCAGTGTTTAAATTATTTATTGCGATTGGGGTTGCTTCAATTTTATTTTTAATATTCCGATTTGTCTATTTTTGAGCTTTGTTTTTGCTTTTGTTTTGTATGAGATTTGAGGACTAAATTAAAAATAAATATATTTTTTTCAAAAATATAAATTCACTTATTTTTGTGTTTCTTTCATTTAAATCGATTGTTGTTCGATTTAGAAATTTATTTGTTTTTCCTTTTAAACTTGATTTTTATTTTTTATTAACCTTAAAATAATGAGCATTTATGTAAATACAACTACATTGGTTATTGAATTAAATATTGGAGAATTTTTGGAAACCAAAGTTTTCCGGCTTGAACAAGGTTTATTTTTCAAATAATTATTTTATTAAATTATTTGGGGTAGGGCTGTTTATGTGTCTTCCGAATTGTTCCCATACCACATGTCTAAATTATAATTTCTGATCAGTACAGAGTCTTGGCTGATTATCGTTTAGGCTGTCTTTGACCTGGGCCCTAGAGCATAACTTCTCATTAACTGTTTTCACACCCCCATAATCATTTTCTAAATATTTTGATTCTACTCTTGCAGTCCAATTTTCTTTAAAATTTAATTTTAGGTTGGAAAATACACTTCAAACTTGGAGAATCTCTTCTAGGAAAAGCTATTCGCCTAAATATATTGGACACTGATTTTGATCAAATATTTCCTTCATTTTTTGGTGATGCTTATAAAAGTTTGGATTCTAACAACAATTTTTTGGTTTTTGAATGTGACACTTTTGGGGCTTACAAGTAAATTTAAAATTTTTTTAAATTTTTTGGGTTTTTATGGGTTGATCACAAACCTCCTGAAATCGATCCCCTGGCTGCGCCCTTGCTATATCCGAGAGAATACAGGGTCCTTATTAATTTAGTCCGCATAAAGCTGGTTTGGTATCAAGTATGGGTCAGGGTTGAGAAAAAAAAGTCGGGGCGGTCTTTGAATCGAGATTTCAAAATTATCTTTGGATCAGGTCTCCTGTTGAAAAAACAAGCTTTGGGTAACTCAACTCTGGGATAATTCGTAATTACCTTGTATTTTTTAACAGATACCAATTTTATGCTGATACCTCCTCCCTTCCAACAAAATCTACCCCTCTTGGTTCTGGTTATTTTACAATTTTACCTCAATGGAGAATTGGAAAAGAACAAAAATTGCTTTCAGTAAATGGCCTTTGTACAATTACTTTTTTAACAAAATTGTTGGGCCCTTTAAATGAATGGGAAGAGAGGTTACAAGTTGCTAACAAATGTTGTTTTAATGTTATACATTTAACTCCTGTTCAACAATTGGGAATTTCTAATAGCAGGTTTTTGGGAATTTTTTGGGAAATTTTTTGGGTTTTGTTTGGAATGTATATATTTTTTGGTTAAAAAATTTTTTTTGGAATACCGATAATTTTTGGAAATTTTTTTTGGAATTCTTTGGGGTTTTAAAGTTTTTTTTCTGTAAGTTAAAAAAAATTTTTTTGGAAGGTTTTTTTCAATTTTTTTTTCTTTTTTTTATATTTCTAATAAAAAAATTTTTTTTTAATTTCTAATAGCAGGTTTTTGGGAAAATTTTTTTGGGTTTTGTTTGGAATTTTTTTTTCAATTTTTTGGAATCTAAAAAATTTAAAAAAAAATCGAAATTTTTTTTTATAATTTTCAAAAAACATTTTTGAGTTTTTTTTGGAATTTTAAAATTTTTCAGAAGTTCAAAAAATTTTTTTCCGATTTTTAAAATTTTTTTTAATTTTCCTTCTCATTATTAGTTATTCAATCGCGGAACATGACAAATTAAACCCTTTATTTGAAAGTGATTTTGATGCACTGGAACGTTTAATAAGGAAGATCGAAACAAATTGGAATATTTTAACAATTCAGGATGTTGTTTGGAATCATGCAGCTAAAAATGCTTCTTGGCTACAGGTTTATTTTAAAAATTGAGAATCCTTTAAGAAATTAATGAAAAATTTAAAAATGTGTAGAACATTTAGGGTAGCCTCTTTTAATGCCAAAACATTGAAAATCTAAAAAGCCATTGAATGCCAACATGTTCCCGTTGTCGCAGCAACTTGTTGACATTTTGTAAAATTTTTACGGGTCGGAAAAGATTCACGATCATTTCCATTAATTTTCAATGGCTTTGTAGGCAAACACTCCCACTTTAGAGGCGTAAAATGGCAAGATTTGTGTTTCCCGGGCAGACATCGATCTTACTATTTTTTGATATTTATTCTTAGGCGTTGCTTTCGCTCTCACCACAAATTTACTTATAGACTTCAAATTTTTGTTGAAAATTTTAATAAATTAAAAAAATTTTAATTTTAGACCCATCCAGAATGTGCCTACAATCTTTCCAATTCTCCACATTTGCGTCCAGCATATATTTTAGATAGAGCATTGCAACAATTTAGCAGAGAAATATCTCAAGGAAAATGGGAAATGAAAGGAATTCCTTTTTTAATTAATTCAGAAACTCATTTAAATTCAATTTATTCAATTTTAAAAGATGAAATTATTTCTAAATTAAAATTGGAAGAATTTTATCAAATTGATAGGGAAGAAGCGTTAAAATGCTTTGAAACTAAAGTTGAAGGTTATTTTAAACTTTTTTTTGATTAAATAAGGGTAAGGGGGACATTTTGCCAAATTTCCGTTTTGTGTCAGTCTTGAGGCCACATTTTGGCTCATAACTTTTTTGGTTCTTAACCGATTTGGATGATTATTGTGTCAATCGAGAGCTCTGAATTTGAGGATTATTTTAACTGACTGGATTGATGTGGTCAGATAATCCCACAAAAAGTTACATTTGTGTAAGTGCGCTCAATCGTGATTTTTGATTTAATAGAGCATTCATTTATTCAGCTGTAACTTTTTGTAGGGTGGGCTGAGCAACTACATCCTGTTAGATAAAATATTTCTCACATTCATAGCTTTCGAATGATATAAAACTTATTCAAAACGATTAAGAATCAAAAAAGTTATGAGCCAAAATGTGGCCTCAAGACTGAAACAGAGTTTGTTCGGAATGTCTCCTACCCTTTTTAATAATTAAATTATTTTATTTTTATAGATATTTATTCAAATAGTGAACCCTTGTCAACTCAAACTAGCGGAAAAACATTAAACGATATTGTAATTATTCAAGACAAGGAATATAGACGTTTAAAATCAACTGTTGATATTGATACTGCAATTGAATGGGCTGTGAATAATAAAAGGTTTCTTTTAGATTTTTCAAAATAAAGTTTTCTGAGAAGCAAAAAGAATTTTCCGGAAAGAAAATATTTTTTGTAGTGGCTTCACCTTTGCAGAGGAAAGTTTGTCGCTGTGGTGTAGTGGGAAAATTCTTAAATTATCAATCAAAAGGGTCTAAGGTTCGAATCTTTTTGGTTGAAAATTATTTTTATTTTATAAATAAGATAAAATAAATAACAAAATACGAAACTATTTCAATAAAAATTTTATTGGATATTTTTTGAAAAATTTTTCTCAAAATTGAAAAAAATTTTTCTCAAAAAATTATTATTTTTTTTCTTTCAGTTCAGACTTGACGGAGACTATTAAACTTTTCAATTCCCATTTAATTCATTTAAACGAACAAGTAAGACAAACAATTGATGGCCATATATCTGCCGCCATTGGAGCAATAATGGGACATATTTCTTATGAAAGAGTTGCTTCACATGGACCTAAGAAAGGGTTAATAAGTGATTGTAGTCCTTTGGTTACTAGGTAAAATAATTTTTTCAATTAATATTTTTTTTAATTTTTAAAAAAATTTAAAAAAAAATATTTAATTTTTCTCATGCTAATTGTCCTTGTGGTGTAGTGGGTAAATTTTTAATTCGAACACCCAAAAGGTTGAAGGTTCGGATCCTTTTGGGAGAAAACAATTTTTTATCTTGTAAATAATTAAAATAAAGTGAAAAATTAAAAAAAATTTTTCGATAAATTTCATAAAAAATTTTCAAAAAAATTTTAAAAAGTTTCCGGAAAAAATATTTTTCCATTAGATGTGTCACTGTGGTGTAGTGGGAAAATTTTTAATTTAACAATCAAAAGAGTCGAGGGTTCGAATCCTTTCGGGATTTCTATTTTGTATGTAATTCAAAATAAAAAAAATTTTTCCAGTTATTTTCTTCAACCACCGCATTTTTCTTCTCAAACATGGCAAGAAGACGAATCAACTCTCGCTTTTAACCCTTCTCTATCTCCTTACATCATGGCTTTTAATGGTTGGGTAATGGACTGTTCTAACCCTTTAAACAATTTTGCTGAATTTCCTTCACAAATTTATTTGCGAAGAGAATTAATTTGTTGGGGGGATTCTGTGAAATTAAATTATGGAAATTCAAAAGAAAATTGCCCGTTTTTATGGAATTATATGGAAAATTATACTATTAAATGTGCAAAAATTTTTAATGGTTTAAGAATTGATAATTGTCATTCGACTCCTATACATGTGGCTGAGGTTTGTAAAGATTTTTTCTGAATTTTTATTTTCTCCTGTCGTTGTGGTTTAGCGGGATATGTTTCACTCGAACAATCAAAGGGACGAGGGTTCGAATCCTTTTGGTTGGAAACAATTTTTATTCTATAAATAGGCCTAAATAATGTTTTTTGTAATTAATTTTTAACTTTAAAAACTAAAAGAAAATTTTCTTTCCTCTTTTTAGCATCTCTTAAAAATCGCTCGAAAGGTACGTAAAGATTTATATGTCGTGGCAGAATTATTTACTGGAAATGAACATTTGGATAATATTTTTGTTAATCGTTTAGGAATAAGTTCATTAATTAGAGGTTTTTTGAAAAATAATTTTCAACTTAAAATTTTTTTAATTTTTTAAGAAGCTCAAAATGCCCATAACTGTCATGAACAAGGTTATTTTAATTTTAAAATTTTAAAAAAGTTTCTTCTAAATTTAAGGCAGATTTGTCTATCGTTATGGAGGAGATCCTGTTGGGGCGTTCCATCCAAAATCTGTTCGCCCTGCTCCATGGGATGTAGCCCATGCATTGTTTTATGATCAAACACATGATAATCCGACACCAATACAGGTTTTATTTATTAAAAAATTTTTCAAAAAATGAAAAAATTTTAAGAAACGTACAGTTTATGATTCTCTTCCAACCGCATCAATGTGTGCAGCTACTTGTTGTGCTACTGGAACAGTTAGAGGATATGACGAATTCTATCCAAAACATATTGATGTTGTTAACGAAACTAGACTATATCGTAAATGGACAGAAAATAATTTTGAGAAAGCTATGTTTAAAGCTACAAGAATTATTAATGGTTTGCTTTTTATTCATTAGAGAGCTTGGGGTGAGGGTCTTCCATTTCTTTTCAGAGCCTATCCATTTTTTACCTCGGAGGTGTAGTCGGTAAATTCTAGGCTAGGCAAATTCGAGGTCATGGGTTCGAACCCTTTCAGGGAAAATCAATTTATTTTTGATTGTTAGGAGCCCCTATTTCAATTTTTGATTAAAACCTGATTCAAATTTTTCAAAAAAATTTTTTTTCGATTTGCTTAAAAAATATTTTTTTTAATTTTTAGAGCTTCACTATAACCTTTGGAATGATGGATATACTCAAGTTTATTTTTAATTTTTAAAATTTTTAAAACTCAATTTTAGACTTTTGTTGACCAAATAAATGAAGATATCACAGCTATAACCCGCCACAATCCAACAAATAATGAATCAATTTTGTTAATAGCCAATACTTGTTTTTCAACATTTAAATGGACTCCTACAAATTACAAGGCAATTTTAATTGATGGAAAAATTGAAAAAATATTATTTGAGCTTAAAACTGTTGAAAAAGTATTTTTTATTTTTAAAAATCAAAAAAAAAATTTTTTTAATTTTTTGGGACATTTTATCCAAAAATTCCGAAAACAACGAAAATTTTTCCAAAAATAATTTATTAACTGGCTTACCCAATTTTGTTGTTGAATGCTATGAAAATGTTGAATTTAATACTTCTGATGCAATTCAAATAAATTTAAATGAAGATGGCAAGCAATATATTAATTTTAAATTGTTTACGTCGGGTTCTGTTGTTGTTCTAAAGTTTGTTTGTTTTTTATTATTTTATTTGTTTTATAATTTCCGAAAGATTAGAGTTATATTTTTATATATTTCCGGAAGAATTATAATTTATATTTTCCTGAAAAAGTTTATTAAATAATTTCCGGAAAGGTTTTAGTTAATTTTATAATTTTCCGGAAAATCTATAGTTATTTTATATTTTCCGGTTAGATTATATTTTTCCGGAAAAGTTTGTTATTTACATATATTTTTCTGAAGGAACATATAAAATTCCGGAACACTTTTATATGTTCCGGAAATGTTATATTCTACATTTTCCGGAAGGTTTATATATTTTTCCGGTAAATCTATAGTTATTCTACTTTATATTTTTCGGTAGATTATATTTTATATTTTCCGGGTGTTATATATTTTTCCGGAAAAGTTTATATTTTTATATTTTTCGGAAAACATTTTACTAAATATTATTCATTTTTTCCTGAATGCTTGTTTAATTAAATAATTTTCTTTTTATTTAAAAAATAGAATTAATCCAACCGAAAGTACCAGAAAAGGATGTATGCTTATTAAAGATATAATTGAGAATAATTCTTTAATTGAAGGTTTTTTTATTTTTTAAAATTTTTATTTAATTTTTTTTTCAAAAGAAACAACCAAATTGCTCAATTCTTTAACGCTTTATGATTTTAATTTTTTACTCTTTCGTTGTGAATCTGAAGAATTAACGACTTTATCTACTGGAGCGTACCAAATTCCTAATTTTGGAAAATTACCTTATTGTGGTCTTTTGGGTATACGTCAATTACTTGTAAATATTCAAGCAAGTCATGATCTTGGCCATCCATTTTGTGAAAATTTGAGACAGGGAACTTGGTTAATTGGTAAATATTTTATATTAAAGGGTGTATAATTGGAATAAAAAAATATTTTTTCAATTAAAGAATATTCATAAAAATATTTTCTTGAAGTTATTAAGCTTTTCACTTATTTAAAAAAAGTTTGACCACCAAGCAAGGGCGTATCCAGGGGGTCGGTTTCGGGGGGGGGGGCTAACACTGGGTGGGCGCAAAAATTTTTGGCGTTTACCTTGGCGTTCCGGACGCAAATTTTTTGTACATTAATTTTCATCTTTTTCAGCGCCGCAGGCGAAAATTTTTTGAATTTTAGAAGGCCGTAGGCCAAAAAATACACTTTTTCAGCGCCGCAGGAGAAAATTTTTTTGAATTTGGAATCGAAGAAGCCAGATTTCTTCCTTTTTTAGCGCCGCAGGCAGAAATTTTTTGAATTTGAAGGGCCGTAGGCCAAAAAAGTTCACTTTTTAGCGCCGCAGGCGAAAATTTTGAGGATTTTGGAGCTCAAGAAGCCAGATTTCTTCCATTTTTTGCGCCGCAGGCGAAAATTTTTTAAAATTTGAGAGTTATAGGCGAAAAAATTTCACTTTTTTGACCATCCTTCTCCTAATTTTTTCCCCCTTTCCCCCATTTCGGGGGGGGGGCTCTAGCCCCCCCCCCCCCCCCAGCCCCCCCCTGGATACGCCCTTGCCACCAAGCGGAGTCGAACCCATGACCCCCTCCCCCTTTGACTTTTTTGATTTTTTGGTTATATTCTAAAAGGGTGTATAATTGGAATAAAAAAATATTTTTTAAATTAAAGAATATTCAATCAACCGCCTTAAACGTTTCTCCCCAACACTTGAAAAATTTGCCATACTCTTGGAACATGCATTTAATTCACTTAAAAATTTTCCTCATCATTTGCGGCCTTGTTATTTTGAGATGATCTTTACTTATTTTTATGTGGCTATTGAACGTGTATTTTTAGAAAAAATTTTGTAAGAAAATTTATTTTTTATGGCAATTTTATTTAAATGTTTTTTTCTATTTTCGGAAAATTTATTCACCCGAAAAATTTTATTTTTCTGGAAAAGGTCTATTTTTCGAAATATCTCTTTATCTTTCCGGAAAGGGGGGGGGGGGAATTTTGGCCCGGAAAATTTTTTTCTCTAACCTTTCTATTATACTCTCTTCGTTTTCAGTTCACAATCTCCAACTCTTCCACGTATTCGGATTACTGAACTTTTATGTATTGCTTCAAATGCTTTTGTTGCTCATATTCCAAATGCATTGCTACCACCATTAGCAAATAACAAGGATAATAAAGTTTCTCTTTCTGCTGGACTTCCTCATTTTGCGGAAGGAATTTGGCGTAATTGGGGACGTGATACTTTTATTGCTTTACCTGGAATTTTTCTTTTAACTGGACGTTTTGATGAAGCTAAAAATTGTATTTTGGCATATGCTGGAACTCTTAGACATGGACTTATTCCAAATTTATTGGCTGAAGGAAAGTCGCCTAGATACAATTGTCGTGATGCTGTTTGGTTTTGGATGGTTGCTATTATTAGATATATAGAAACGGTTTGTTTTTATTTTTTATTTGATGTTTTTTTTTTAATTTTTTTGAATTTTGTATAAAGAGACTAAACTAAAAAAGATTTCCCTTGAGAGGGTTCGAACCCATGACCCCCTGACGACTTTAGCCTAGACATATCCAACTACACCACAAATTTAAGAAATTTTAATTTTAAAGCCGAATTTTATTAAAAATTAAAAGAGAGTTCATAGGAAACAAAATTAAAAAAGTTTCCCTCGAAAGGGTTCGAACCCACGACCCCCTGACGACAACCAAGACTTTTCCGACTACACCACAAATGTAAAAAATTTAATTTTAAGGCCAAATTTTATTTAAAAATTAAAAGAGAGTTCATATGAAACAAAATTAAAAAAGTTTCCCTCGAAAGGGTTCGAACCCACGACCTCCTAATAAGCCTAACCTAAACCTATCCGACTACACCACGCAATTAAATTAATTAAAAAATTTTTAAAAAGGCCCCCGATGGATTTAAAATTCTGCAAGAACCAGTACTTCGTTTATATCCAACAGATGATTCAACTGGAGAGGATTCAAAGGTTTCTTTCTATTAAAACGTTTTTTAAATTTCAAAATTTTTATAGACACAACCTTTACATTGTACAATTTATGAAGCTCTTTGTCGTCATTTTGAGGGTATCAATTTTCGTGAACGAAATGCTGGGCATCAAATTGATGAACATATGAGAGATGAAGGTTCGTAAAAAATTTTTTTTGGTCAGATCTCATTCTAATTGTAAGATACACCCACTAGATGAACTTTAGTTTAAGATAGGCTCTTTAAGATCTGGTTGTTCACATGGTGGGTGGTGCTTCCTAAACGTTGCCCCCTAATTTGAGATACACTTCTTGGACAACAACAGACATCCCCGATATTAATTACACCAAAGACATTTTTTAATCTGTTTGGCCACTGGTACCTTATTATGAGGGACTCTTTTTACGTCCCATAGGTGTTTCTTATAGGATGGTTTTCCTGTATTTCCAAGAAAATTTATTTTCCAGGATTTAATGTCCAAACCTTTATTTGTCCCGAAACTGGTTTAATATTTGGTGGAAATCGCTGGAATTGTGGTACTTGGATGGATAAAATGGGTAGTTCATCAAATGGAGGAAATAAAGGAGAACCAGCTACACCACGTGATGGGGCTGCTGTTGAATTACAAGGATTGGCATTTTGTGTGGCTAAAGCTTTGGATAAATATTCGAATGAGGGAATATTTCCGTACAAAGAATTAAAAAATGGTTTGAAAATTTTATTTTTAAATTAATAAAAAATTTGATTTTTAAAAATAAAACGAAATTAAAAAAATATTTCCCTGAAAGGGTTCGAACCCATGACCCCTTTAGTTAGTCTAACCTAGACTTTTCCAACTACACCACTAATATTAGGGTTGTTTAATTTTCCTTGTATTTTTCCGGAAAGGAATTTAATTATAGTATTTTCCGGAATTTTTTTCTTTCCGGAAAACGGGTGTCTTCGGAAAAAAAAATTATTTTTAATTAAAATTAAGCTTTTTCAGGCCTTATTAATTTTAATTATTATTTTTTCAGATTCCCTTGGAACTTCATTATCTTGGTCTGACTGGGCCTCAAAAATTCAAAAATCATTTTTGGAATATTTTTATGTTCAAGAAACGTGTACAGATAAATATGTGAATCGTAAAGGAATTATAAAAGATTCTTTTAAAAGTTCACTTGGTTATACTGATTATCAATTGAGGCCTAATTTTTGTATTGCCCTTGATGTGGTGAGGAGAAGAATTTTTCTTCCAATTAAAAAAAATTTTTTTTATTAATCAGGCACCAGATTTAATCGACCCATCTCTTGCTTGGAATGCTTTAGAATGTGCTGGCAATATTTTGGCATTAAACGCGCCTTTGGGTATTTGTACACTGGATCCTGAAGACTGGGCATATAATGGATATTATAATAATTCTGATGATGGAAATAATAAAGCGACAGCAAAAGGGTGGAATTATCATCAAGGACCGGTTTGGATTTTTTTTAATTATTTTTGTTAATGAGCTTATAACAAGCAAAAATATTTCCCCGGAAGTGTTCGAACCCACGACCCCCAATTTGCCTAAACCTTGAATTTTCCGACTACACCACTAATTTAAAAATTAGGTTCACCTCAAATTTTAATCCAAAATTAAAATTGAGCCCATAACAGTCAAAAATAAAATGATTTCTTCCGAAAGGGCTCGAACCCAAGACCCCCAATTTGCTTAACCTAGACTTTTCCAACTACACCACAAAATCAAAAAAAATTTTTTAATTAAAAGGAATGGGTTTGGGTAGCTTGTGCCTATATGAGTGCCAAATTAAAAATAGCTTCATTACTCTACAAAAATGGCAGAAAATTGGAATGGCAACAAACTTTACATGAAATACGTCGTAGATTATATCGTTATGAAAAAATTTTGACAAATGGAGAATGGGCATCTTTGCCTGAATTAACTAATGCTAAAGGAGAAAAATGTGGAGACTCGTGTCCTGCACAAGCCTGGTCTATTGGATATGCTTTGGATGTTATTGAAACTATGAGAAAATGTCAGGAAGAAGTAGGGATAGTAAACTAGTTAATCTGTTAATCTTTAGGAAGAAATTTTTTCTTAGTCAGACAAGGGTGTATCCGAGGTTTGGGAAATCTAAATTAGGGTTGGCAAACGCCCTTTCATTTTAGACCACATGATATCCATCCCTTGGATGTGCCCTTATAGTCAGACCTCAATTCTTGATACCTTTTGGGCTTCAAAAGTTGTAGCTTATATTGAGGGGTGGGATACTATAATGAGGTATATAAAATTGAGGTTCGACCTTAGTTTAAAAATTTTTACTAATTTTTTTTCACTCTTATTCTAATCAGCTACTATATACTTAAATTTTTTTATTATAATTAATGTTTATTTCTAAATTCTGGCTCAATTTTCTTTGTGTCATATATTTTTTCAGTTAATAAAATTAGTCTCTGAAATTAACTGGATAATTAAAAACAAGAAAATAAGTAAAAGAAAAGTTCTCCCGTTTACAATTTTGACCTAAAAATTTTATTTATTTTTCCAATATTTCTCTATTTTATTTCATAATTATATTAAAAATTCCATCTCTTATTGATACACAATATGCTTGTTAAAGTTCTATTAATTATTTTCGTCTTTACAAATTTTAACAAAATTGTCGGATTGAGCCTTACCGGTAAACTTTTCAATATAAAATGGAATCTCTACCTTTCAAACCGGAGTTTTCCATGTAAGAAGAAAGCGACTTAGGAGAAGGTGTCGTTCTAGAGATTTAGTTATACCGTGGTGTAGTGGTTAACACCCCCGACTTGCAGTTAACGGAGACCCAGGTTCGATGCCTGATGGCAGTTTTATGACTGCTTTAGTGCAGTATATGTTGGAGATCGGTACAGATCATGATCCCGGACGAGATTTTACGAGATCCTGTCCCGAAATCCAGTGTTTTAAGCGACAAACGCGAGCCTATCTTACCTATTTACTTTAATTCAGAAAATACAACAAACAACTCAACAAATACTTATTTTAAATACACTATTATTCAAACAAATGATTTATCTTCAACAAAAATTCCAGTAAACTACACAGAAATTTACGAAAATATTTTAAACGAAATTTCGGCTTACTGTATATCAGACAAGCAATATGAAGAATTATATTCAAATAAATTAAGACCTGGGCTAGTTTCTTTGTTTTTCCAGTTGCTTTTAGACAATGCTATCAAGCAAATCGGACTGAGCGAACTTCGTAATTATCTCAAGTTGAAAAAACAAAAAATAAATTTAAATGGGACTGTTAAAGAAGAATTTGAGGACAAAAACAGAACGGGTAAGGGGACGTTTCTGCTTGAGTCTCGAAGCCAGATTTTGGGCCACAACTTTTTTGATCCTTAACCGATTTGAATGATTATCATATCAATCAAAAGCTCTGATTGTAAGGATTATTTAAGCTAGTAGGATCGAGCTGATTAGATTATTCTATGTATAAAAAGTTGCATTTGGGTAAGTGCGCGCAATCGTGATTTTTGGTCGTTTTTAGTCCTTAGCTGTTTGTAGGGCTGTCTGATTGCAACAGCCCTATTAGACAAAATAATTCCTACATTAGGAGCTTTCGAATGATATAATACTTATTCAAATCCGCTGAGAAATAAAAAAGTTATGACCCAAAATGTGGCCTCAAGACTGAAACGCTTAAAGTCCTACTAACATCCCTTTTACCGAAACAAAACAGATCCAAACAACACATTACATCTTATACAAGAGACAGTTGGATTATTCACTTCAAACAGAATTGAAAATGAAATATTTTTGCCTGAAGAGGTGTCTGTTGGTGAACAATTTTTGGACAGACATTTTCCCCAAGTCAGAAAATTGTTTAAATTGAAATTTGAAGAAATGAACGTTGAAAAACTACCATTTAATAATTCAACTATGGACAAAGTACTTTGGGGAGTCATGGGGACGGCAACTAGTATTCATCAAGCTTTTGTTAAATCAAATATGAAATCAACAAGTGTAAATCCTCTTGGAGTTTATATGCATAATTGTTCTGACCCGAATTTCTTCGATGTGGAAAAGATTCTACGAGAGCACAAATTTGAGGAGAAAGGGAAATAGAGAAGGATGAAGGACGAAAATCTGACCTTTTTGTACATTTGAAGGGAAATCTTGGAGAAGAAAAAGTTGGGGCAACAAAACTCAGTTCACTTTAAATGCCTTGGGTTCATAAAGTTTAAAATGCTCTAATCCGGAATACACGTTATGCGTCCAATGGAAACATTACTCCCCCAGAGTTATGACACCCACAGGCTACCGGACCGTAGGTTCGTTCTAACACACAGACCCGAGTACCTATCGCGTAAAGGTTGTGAGTGGACGCGTAACTGGACAAGAGCCTTTTTAAATTGCCTAAGGGCAAATTTCTAATAAAAACAAAAAATTTTATTCTTTAAACGATTTAAATGATTTAATTTCTATGTATAAAATGAAATAAAATATTTTAATTAAGAAAAAGCTATAATAAAAAATCAGTTTAAGAAGTAAATAAAAAAATTAAATTAAAATTTTTGGTTACTAAAAATATCTAAAAATAAAAAAATATCAAAATTTAAAAATGGATGGAGAAAAAAAAATTTAAAATTAATTAATTTAAAATTAACACAAGTATCTAATTTTGTGGAATCCAGCCAGAATTTAATGTATTCCCTCCAGTAGAATTTAGTCCATAATTATTATTGTTGGGCATTATTGCAGCAGCAGCTGACATTCCAGTCATACCGGTGGTGAAGGGGAAAGCGCTTAATTATTAGAAAAAATCAGAATTAATTTTTCAGAATAAAATCAGAATTTTTCAGAACAAAATCAGAATAGATTCTGAATTAAATCAGAATTCTTCTGAAAAATTTCAGAATTATATTCGGAATAAAATCAGAATATTCTGAAATTTTCCCAGAATATTTCAGAAAAAATCGCAGTAAAATCAGAATTATTCCAGAATTAAATCAGAATATTCTGAAATTTTCCCAGAATATTGTCAGAAAAAAATCAGAATTTTTCAGAATATTTTTCAGAATTAAAATATTTACCCAAATCCCCCGGCATAAGGGTTCGAAACAACGGCTGCTAAAGACGCAGCAGCTTGGTAAGGATTGTTGGACGCAGAAGAAAAAAGTAAATTATTGTTTGTATTGTTTAAATTAATGTTTGTAGTTGTTGTAGAAATATTTGTTGAATTAAAATTGTTATTATTTAAAGGGGTTGTAGACGAGGAAAGGACTTGCTCCTTTAAATAAAATTAAAAATTTGATTTAATTTGTAAGTGAAATTTGAAAGTTTTGCCTTCCTAGTTTTAGAAACCATCAAATAAGGTGGAAATAAACCAACCAACTCTTTAATTTTTAAAACCCGGACATAAACTTGTAAAAATTATTGACATGTCAAGGATTTCTGAGTTAATATAGAGAAGTATCCCTAAAAGTGGATTTTGTGATGCATAAAAATGAGGGAGTGATATTTACGGACTGTCATGCTCGGACGCTCAGTAGGCCTCGATAATTCCTGATCCTACTATCACCTAGAGATCGGACCGAGACGAGATCTCGATTGGAAATCTCGGTAATCGAGAATCGAGATTTTTTCAAGAGCTCGAAATGATTCTCGTAACGATCTCCCAGTCCGATCTCTACTATCCCTTACTTAATTAAAAAAGACTCACATCCTCAGGACTAATACTATTATTATTCCTTCCATTATCCCCTCCTCCACAATCAGAATTTCCAGGAGAAGCACCATCAACACCTCCCCCTCCACTTCCCCCATCAACACAACTACTACTTCCTTTACGTCTACGATTTTTAAAAACAGCAACTGGGCGACCTGCTCTATTGTTAGAGTCTATCATTGGTTGGACTATACGTCGACGGGCATTAATAAACCTTAAAAAATATTCATTTTTTAATTAAAAAATTAGGGAAAAAAATTTTTTTTGAGGATTTTATTTTTGCTGATTTTATTACCCAAGATCAGCTTAGACAATAAAAAAAATTTTTTTTGTTGCGTAATAAATATAAAAAAATATAACATTTTTATATTCTTCCCCAAAAAATATTCCCCCCCCCCTCTCTTTCTTAAATTTTCTCGAGATAATAAAAAAGAAAATATAAATAAATATTTAGTCATCTCGAGATTATAAAAAATATTTTTTTTATAATTTATTACTTTCATTCAAAAAAAAATTTTTTTTGTTTCTCATTATGCAGCTCAAAAATCCATCAAAAAATCCACCCCCCCCCCCCCCCATTTTTCCCCTTAAAAAATTAACCACCAACCAATTATTAACTTGTAAAATGGTTAGCCCCGTTTCTGCTGCCAATTGACGTTTTTGTTCTTCTGCTGGATATGGATGCTAATTTATAAAAAAATTAGAAACTAATGAAAATTTAAAGGAAAAAATACAAAAATACAGTCAGATCTTACTATAAGCGCCCTTGGCGATGAAAATAAAATTCCATCTTTAGTGAGGTATATCATAAATTGAGGGGTATATCGACTACTAAAATGCCCTCCCTATACTGTGATTAACTAAAATATCTTAAAACGGGGTTACATTTTAATTGTATCTTATATTGAAGTATATCTTAAATAGGAGGAGGTCTCGCTTGGACAGCTCCTCTACCTTATATCCAACCAAAAAACCTTATCTTAAACCAAGGCTTATATTTTGGGTTTATCCTATAGTGAGGTCTATGACTTTTTTAGTTTTTAGGGACCCACAAACTGTACGTTACATAGAGGTCTGACAACTACCAAAAAATACAAAACACAAAAATAGTAATACAGACAGGTCCTAAGGTCCTACTTATAAACCACACCCTTAGGCTTTAACCTATAGTGAGGTCTGCCTGTCTCTCTTAAAAGCCCCCACAAGTGTCCATAACATAGAGGTCTATACGAAAAACACTAAAAAAACCACAAACTACCACACACACCGTAATATTGTTGAAAAGCCACGCTCTAAACTTGCTTATCGCCTCTTTACTAAAAACTTTGGGGACTCTTCTTCTTCCACTTCCAATACCTCCCCCACCTCCCTCACTTTGTCCACCATCATCATAATCATCAAAATCCCCTCCAATTTCTTCGTGTTTTTGTAAACGGCGTTGGAAAGAATTTAAAAATTTTTTGGAGGGTTTCAATTCCCCTCTAGAAGCATTATTGCTGTATTCACTGTCTCCAGATTCATAGTGTTGTTGGTCATCGTCATAATCACAAGTTCCGTTTAACGAAATGCCGTCTTCACCTAAAAAAAGACAAGAAAACAAAGGAAGATAAGGAAAAAGGAAGGGTTTTTTTTATAAATCTTTGGTTCACTCGAAAGTTCAATATCACTCGAACTAGCCCAAAAAGCAGCGCATTCTTAAGCTAATAGATTTGCGGATTGCTTACTCAAAAACAGAGTAGTAGGGTTGTCAATTCTTGGAAAGTCTTCGGATATCCAGAAGCGAACACTGGAAAATCCTCGGATTCGGGTTTAAACCGAAGAACGCTAATATGAAGGGATAAAAAAGAGAGGGAAAGCTTGGTGGAGAAATTATCGCTATCTCTCAAAGGATTAAATGAAGTCCATTATAGTTAAAAGAGCCATTTTAAAGAAGAAAAAAGGAAGACAGAGGACTAATAGAAGAATAATTGAAGAAAAGTTTGGATAGAAACACAAAAAAAAAACATACAATAAAATACAAACAAAGCACAAACAAACAAACAACAAACAACCAACAGCAAGAAAAAGCATAAAAAATTTGTTCACCGTAACATTAAGAAAAAGCCAATGCTTCAACTTATTTGTAGCATTTTTAGGGAAACATCCACGCTTTTTATTTCCAATAATATTATTGCTATAATAGGTATAGGAAGATGACTGATTAAGCGATGTATTAATTTGATTATTAGACGAAGATGATGAGGAAGAACAACTTCGATTGTTAGGTATTGAAGAGAACATTGAAGAGTGTTGGATGTGTTCTTCTTGGAAGAGAAGAAGAGCTTCTTCCCTTCCTTCATATTTTTCTTCCTCATCTTCTTCCTCCTCTTCCCCCTCTTCTTCCTCTTCCTCGTCTTCTTCCTCATCCTTTCCTTCCGACTCTTCCCCATTCACATCCTTTTCATCTTTCTTCTTCTTCCTCTTCCTTTCCCCCTCTTCTTCAGTCTCATCCCGTTCTTCTTCCCTATCTTCTACAAACTCTTCCCTCTCTTCTCCCTCTTCCCCTCCCCCGTCTTCTTCCCCATTCTCTCCATAATCTTCTTCTTCATCATCATTCCAACAACAAAACCCATCTTCATCTTCCCCATTATAAAACCCTTCCCAATAATTATTGTTCTGTTCAAAAATAAATTCTTGGCGTTCTGTCTCTTTATTAAAAGTTGACGGATTTTCTAAATTTAAACAACTCTTTTCTTCTTTAACTTCTTCATCTTCTTCATCTTGTTTAGTCTTCCTCTTCTTTTTGTCAATTTTCTTCATCTCCCCCTCCTCCTCTTCATTATTTTCCCCCTCTTTCCCCTTTCTTTTCCTTTCCTTTTTATTATTCAAATCATTTTTATTATTCATTAAAGCTTTGTCAAGATTAAGGGAAGACACTGTAGAAAGCAATTCTAAAAAAACAATAAAAGCAAAGCGAATACAAAAATTACAAAAATTTCAAACATATTTTTTACCTCCTAAAAAATTTTTTTCCTTAATTTTTAGAAAAGCAGAAAAGCAAGCAAAAGCAAGTTAAAATTAAAAACAAAGCAAAGGACAAGAGTGTGTAAAATTGAAAAATAAAAAGATATTTAAAAATATACATAAGAGAAAAAAAAAGTAAATTAAATTTTTATTTATTCATGCAGAAAAATAATAAGCTTTTTTCCAAAATTAATTTTGAAAAAATAAATTAAAGTCGCTTATTTATAAAGAAGAAAATTAATTTTTTTCTGGTTTTGACAGAAAAATAAAAAAAATATTTTTGATGATAAATTTAGTTTTATATGAAAAAAAAAGAATTTTTTTGGAACCCTTTTTGGTCATAATTTGTGAAATTCTAAATAGTTCTAAAAATCTAAAATTTTTGGAGAATATACGTAGATAAGGATTATTAAAGCTCGCGCCAAAACATCCCCAAACATGTAGGGGGTATAAGTATTATAGTGAGGGTATTTTTTATGACCCTAATAAATTTATGAGAAAGCCTAGATTATTTAATTGTGTTTTTAATTTTATTATTATTTTTTGTTTAGATAAGGCCAACAACAACCACCAAAAATAACTCTTCACTTTTCTCCCTAAAAAATTGTCCTTAATTTTTATTTTAACCAGAAGTCAGAAAAACTCCTTTTTCCAACTTGGTGTCAAGTTGTAAATATTTTTTAGCCAAGTTTTTATTTTTATTATTATTTTCTAATAAATAAAAAAAAATACATATGGAGTAAAAAAAATTTTTTTTTTCATTTTAATATTTCTTAAAAATGTAATAAATTATTATGGCACGAGCCAAGGTGTCTTAAAAAACTATTAAAAAATGTTTTTACATTTAAATAAAAAAAAATAATTTTTTTTGGGATAAAATGTCGTTTTCTTAAAAATATTTTTATTTTTGGGATAAAATGTCGTTTTCTAGAAAAAAAATTTTTTTTAATTTTATTAAAAAAATATATTTAAAAATACAAAAATAAATTTCAAAAAAATATACATAGAAAATTCAAAAAAAAAACTCTTCCGAAAAATATATCAATTTTAATTAACTGGCCTTTTTATCTCACTCATCTAGAGGTTGTTGGGCTTCTTATCTAAACAAAAAAAAACTCGAGTAGGGAAATGAGACAAAAATATTTTAAAAAATTACCAGAAAAAAATTTTTAAAAATTGTTAATAAAAAAAAATTTTTTTTTCAAAGAGACGTAAGAGAAAGAAGATGGTATCAAGAATTAGTCGAAATTTCGCGTTTTTACATAGTTCGATTTCGAAATAAGAATAGAGAAAGCATTAAAAAATGTAAGCATTAAAACATTCTTTATATAAAAATTCTATAGTAGTTAAGGCAGCAACTTGATCATTCGAGGCCGGGGGTGTCAGGGATCAAGGGGTAGAACCTTATGGGTTTAGGGGTCTTGCAGACATTAGAAGAAAAGTGTCTCGTTTCCTTTAAGGACCCGAATAAGATAAAAAAATATTGAGAGAGCTTTTCGAATGTTTATTCATTTATAAAATTTTTTTTTAAATTTTTTACCTCCATTTTCATCCAAACAATCACCTCCACCAACTAATTGTTGTTGCTGCTTATAACCCCCACCATCATTAATTATTCCCCCTTCTTTACCAACCCCTTCATTTTTAGTTATTTTTAAATTATTATTATTAAATTTTAAATCTTCATTATTATTATTATTTTGAGCATTTAATATTGTTGTTGTTGTATCTGGACTTTGATTTATTTTTACATCCTTTTCAATTTTATTGTTTGGAGGAGGAAAGGTTGAAGTTGGGGTAATTGATGAGGATTTTTTTGGTCTTTTTGCACTAAAAGATTTTTTTAATTAATTGGCTTATTAAACCAATGATTAGATACAGAAATAGTATATAATTTTAATTTACTTCTAATAATAAGGACAAAAAATCTACTCCAATTATAAGGACACTTCTTTCATTCTATGTGCATTCCCCGAGGTCCTACTTTCGACTACAACTCTATCAATTCTTAAATGACCCTCAGGGGTCTTAAATTTAAAGCTATTGTTCTTCTACTACCTTTTAGGGGCATCACAAACATCCTGGGGTTGTTGTCCACTTAATAACAAAGTTTGTTGTTGTTGTCCCTCAACAAGATTATTATTTAACAAATGAGGATGGTGCCCCCCTAAATTATTTAAATAATTCTGTTGGTAAAATAATTGTTGTTGTTGTTGTAATAGGGATGAAGGATTGTTAATTATATCAATACCATTAAATACTCCAAAATGTTGTTGTTGGGAGGAGGATGAGGAACATGAAGGCAATTGTTGCTAAAATTATTAAAAAATAATTATTTATTTAATTAACCGAAAAGACAATTCACCGAAAAAAATTCTTATTGTTGTGGGAGGATTCACCGAAAGGACAATTCACCGAAAATTCACTTTTGGGGCAAGAATGCTTGAAAAAAAATTAAAAAAAATTTTTAATAGATAGTACAATAGAAGAATTGAAATTTTCTTCTTTTTTCTCTTTTTCAGATTATCCTTGTTCCAATTTCAAAAATATTTCTTGTCCCAAAACATAAGCAGAATTTTTTTTCGGTGAATTGTCTGTGTATGTTTCGGTGAATTACCCCCAAAACCATTTTTAAAAATTACAGTAATTATTTACACAATATATATAATTAGCTTATTTTTAATGACTTTTTACGGTTTATTACCTTCTCTTTATTTTTCAAAAAAATCGCCGATCTTTCTCTTTTTGTTCCGGTCATTTTGCGGTTTTAACGAGGGATTATTTATTATTTAAAAAAGAGATCCGCTTTATTTTACCGGAAAAAATTGTTGTTGTTGGTTTTCCCGCATAGAATAATAATTATTTTTTTTTTTAAATTATTCTACTGTTGGCCCTCATATTAAATATACAAATATACCATTGAATTAAAAAAATGATATCCCAAAATATATTTTCGGTGAATTGTCCTTTCGTTAAATCACCCCACAATGATAACCCACAAAGGTTCTCGGTTTCATCAAATTCTTAGGTTACCGAAACCGAACCAACAAACCGAATAGAAAAACTTCGATTTCTCGGTTCGGTCTGGTTTGAAACCAGGTCACATGAATTTTTCGGTGAATTGTCCATTCGGTGAATTACCCCACAATGGTACAGAATATTTTCGGTGAATTGTCTTTTCAGTGAATTACCCCTAATAATTGAAATTTTTTTCATTTTTTCACAAAAAATTTTTCGAAATTTTTCTCAAAAATACTAAACTCACAAATTGTTTATGGTCAATATTATGTAAATATTGTTGTTGGTGTTGTATATCCCCCATATTATTAGAAGAAAAATTTGAGGGAGGTTGTTCTAGGGAAGACGAAGTGCCCGGGGACTGGTTAGACCCCCCTCCAGCTCTATTAGCTCGATGATGTTGATGGCTGTTGCTTCGTCTTTGGTGCTCCAACTTGAAAAAATTTTAAAAAAAAATTTTGAAATTTAAAAAAAAATTTTCTCTCCCCTCACACTCACCATTCCAGGCGGCCCAGCAGACGGGGGTTGTTGTGGCTGTTCACCAGCTATAATATCCATTTGTGTCCTATCTTTGATTTTGTTGACATATTTGGCACAAAAGTTGTCACACAATTCGTGGACCTAAAAAGACAGGAAAATGTCAAAATGTCGAATTGACATTTTGGAAAGTTGACATTTCGAAAAATTGACATTTTACGAATTTTCCTACACTCAATAAGTCAAAATGTCAACTGGACATTTGCAAAAGTTGACATTTTGGAAAATCGACATTTTGACATTTTTCCAAAAAGACCCATTTATTTAGGCTGGCGTTTAAAATCCCCATTTTTCCTCTCTCAATATTTTTTTTTCAAAATTTTTTTCCTTGAAACTCTCTGCGGGAGATGAGAATATATTTACATAAATTTAATTTTTAATTGAAAAACAATAAAAAAAGAAGACAGTAATAAATGTGAGGAAAGAAGGAGAGATTTTTAATGAGGAAAAAATTCAAAAATTAAATTTTTAAAAAAGCTTTGGTTGTTTTAAAAATATTTTTAAATTTTCAAAATTAACTACCCACCTTTTCCAATTCTAACAAATGAAAACGAAGAACTTGAATAGCGTTAAGCATCTGTAAAATGTTTATGTATTTTGTGTAGAAAGTTTTTGTTTCTTGAATATACTCACTTGAAGGGGGGGGGGGAGACTTAAGGAAAGTTCTCCCCTCAAAAAATCCAGGCAGGGTAATCCGCTTAGTAATCCGCTTACTATAACCCCCAAGGAGGCGAGAAACAAAAATTTTTTGCCACAAAATTTAGGGATGGATCCCAAACTCTGACATTTTTGGTTAAAACCCTGGAGCTCACCCTCAAGGGTTCACGGTCATCCCTGGCCAACCCCCAAAATTAAAATTTTCAAAATTTACCAAAGAATCAAGCTCAGGATTAGGTACATAAAAAGGTTTATTCATTTGTACAGTAGCAGCAAATTCAGCAATATCTTCGCTAAATGAACCGGCAGAACAAACATTTAAAATATCAACTTGATCTCCCCCTCCTACTGCACCAAATTCATTTGTCCGTACAGGTTCTCGAGGTGTACATGTTGCTAATTCACATTTTTCGAATAAAACGGTTAAAAGAGGAAAGAGTGGATGGCTGAAATAAATTTTGAAAATTAAAAAATTTTTTTATTTCGTGTTTCGTGTTTCGAGTTTCGCAATTTGAGTTTCGTGTTTCGAGTTTAGTATTTAATATTTCGTGTTTCGTATTTAGCATGTAATATTTGTGTTTCGTTTTTATAGTTTAACATTTCGAGTTTTATATTTCGTGTTTCGCGTTTCGCATTTCGAGTTTCGCGTTTTGAAATATTTTCTCTTTCTTTCAAAATCTCATGTTTACCTCCCATTATTCTTCCAAAAAATGTTCATTAAATCCTCACCTATAAATTAAGTCTTTCTTTTGTTTAAGCTGGTTAGAGTCAATCTGTTCTCCACCTCCTCCACCTCCATTTCCACCCAATAACGACCCCATTTCAGCATGATAACCACTACCACCACTTCCTCCACCTCCACCAGCTGCAGCAGCAAAAAATCCCAAAGAAGAAAGTTGTTGAGGGTCTGGAGGATGGTGCCCAGTTGGTGTATGAGGTGGAATGATGCCATAAAGATGATGAGGTGATTCTCCTAACCCTGAGGGCAAATTGTAATTTAAGGCTGCGGCGTTTGAAGAAGAATGGTTGTTTGAGGAGGGGGTAGTTGTTGAATTGGTGTTGTTGTCGGCATACTATAAATAAATTGGGAGGTTTTAGGAAAGAAAAACAAATAAAATTAAAATTAATTTGATTTTAATTGTTGCAAAAAGACATTTCATCCCATAAATTAAAAAAAATGAGACATTTCATCCCAATTACGCATTTTCTCCTCTAATTATTTTTTAAACTTAAACAGGTTTTCCTCAACTTATTGAAGCTTAATTAGAGGCATAGGATTGTAAAATCTGACCATTTTGTACTTTGACCATTATATAATTTTCTCATTATATAATCTGATCATTTTGTAATTTGGCCTTTCGTTCCTTATTTTTTAAAAAAATTTTGGCTAATAAAAATATACAGTATTCCAAAAGGGCTAGAATTAGGGCTAGACTTAGGGCTAGAAAAATTTTAAAAAATTTTTGAAAAATCTCCAAAGACCCCTAACCACCCCAAATCTACTCCTCTCCTATTTAGTCCACTAAAAAAAATTCACAACATTATGCCAATAAATTTTACAAACCAAAAATTTACCAAATTTATAGCCTAGAATCTCCCCTATTTTTCAACATAAAATTAACTTTTCTAACCCTATTAATTACAAAGTTATAGAGTCAAAAACAACTCCAAGTTGCTAATTTATTTTTTTTCGTCGGCTTTTTTTCTTTTTCGTTTCCACAAATTTTTAAAAACAAATAAAAAAAAAATTTTTTTTCTAAAAATTTTGCGCTCCTCGTTATTCTCCTTTTTTTATTTTAATAGGACAACAAGGAGAACATGCAAATTTTGTTGATAGCAAAATTTTAAAGAGGAACGGTTGGTTGTCGGGTGGAGACAGTTAAAAAGAGAGGGGGGGACAGTTGTGGTTCCAAGGACACAAAATAAAAATAAATAGAAAAATGTTTTGATGACTTACAGAAGATGTTAGAAAAAAAATATACTTTTTAAGAAGAAAGATGAATGAGCGGTATAATGAAAAAAAAAAGAAGAAAAAAATAGGGGGAGGGGGGGGGATCAAGTCTCTCTTCTCTCCCCCTACTCACTGTATATATTTATTTATAAACAACAAAAGAAAGAAAGATTATGTAGATTAATGAATGGATATATTTTATGGATATTTAAATTTAAATAAAGGAATATTTAAATATTTTTGTTGCTGAAGAAAAAAATTTTTTTAAAGAAATAAATTAAAAAATAATTTTCGGTGAAATGCCCCCTGTAGAAATGCCCCTATAAAATCCAAAAATCCTGAATCTGGATTCTGGATTTGGGTTAGTAACCTGGACAGGATTCTTGATCTGGATCCAGAAAAAATCAAGAACGATAAAAAAAATGCCTGTATTTGAACTCTGGATCCAGAAAAAATCAAAGACTGGATCCAGATCAGACCTACTATCTCTAGCCATCTCATCTCTCTTCCATTTTCCTCCACACTTTAAATTTTAAAAATTGAAAAAAATTTTTTTTCTAAAATTTAATTTCCCCCCCTCTTAATTTTATTTTTCTATAAAATCTGTCTCAATTTTCAATCCCATTAAAACTATTAAAAAAGAGACAGAAAATGAAAAGATTAAATAAGCATCAAAAGCAAAAGCCTTTTAAAATTAATTATCTTTCTCCTTCTATCCTGAAACAAAAATTTAATTTTCTATTTATTTCTAGGATAGAAAAATTCTATTTTTTTTTCAATTTTAATTTGTCTTGACATTATTTTAGTAAAATTAAAAGAAAAAATTTTTTCTTGATTGGGGAAGGGTGTGACTGGAACACAAAGATAATTTTGTGAAAAAAGTTTGAAAGGTCACTGGGTCAGCTTTCTTACTTTTTTCCTAATTCCGGATATTCGGATCAGCTAATTTTCCGAAAGTCTTAATTAAAAATACAGACAATAAATACCCATTTGAAGCAAATTTTTTAATTAAAAAAAATTTTTTACCTCCCTTAATTTTTTTCTTTCTCAGAGCTCTCCCATTTTTCATTGTTTTTCTTCCCCTCTTCCCTTCCTTTTTTTCTTAAATTTTTTAAACTTTCCCTCTTCCCCCTTCTTCTCAAATCCTCTTCTTTTACACTTCTTTTACACATTCTTCTTTCCCTTCTTTTCATTCCAACCCCCCAAAAATCCAAAAACAAAAAATCCGAAAAGCGCAACAGCTGGCCATTTATCTAGTATAATATCCCTCCTTCCCTTTCCCTTAAAAATCCAAACAATTGGGAAAGAAAAAAAATAAAATTAAGAAAGAAAAGGATATAATAGCTTCAAGTTTAAGAGGTGTGTGTGTGTAAAAATTAGGTTAAAGATTCTTTCTACTTTCCTCCTCTTATTTAAAACAAAAATTCTTTAATTTTATAAAGTGCAAAAATAAAATTAAAGATTAAAAAAAATTCAAAACGAGAGAAAGAAGGCAGACAATAGGGGGAGGGTGTAACCCGGAGTGCAGCTCGTGCCACAAAATACGAGACACAAGAGATGCACTTCTGAGAGACCGAGACGAGCTACACCCCTGGTATGTACTTCAAGGTCCCCTTAAGCTATAACTTGGAATGAAATTGTCGAATCCGGGACCTTTTGGTATTATTCAATGTTCTAGAAGAAGGGCATCGAAGGGGTGGGGGATTAAGGGAAGGAAATTAAAGAATGAGGGCATTTCTGATTCAAAAATTTTTGAACCAAGTTAGATAGCTTGGCAGTACCTTAGGCTGGCGATATTCCTCCTTTCCAAGATTCTTTTAATTAAGAAAAAAAAGGAAAGTTTTTTTTACATATTAGAGAGAGATATTAATCAGAAAAAAAATTATCCTCCAAAAGAAAAAAAAGTTTATTTATTTTTTCTTTTTTACCGCTACCCAATTTGCGCGGCGAAATTTTTTCATTTTTTGATTGAGTATTTAATAAAAATATAGAAAAATGGATATATATAGGATGATGATAATGAGAAAAGATCTGTAAACGAGGAAGGAAAAAAACTCTTTTTTTTTTTTGAAAAAAATGATGGACGAGAAATATTTATAATAAAGGAAGAATCCCTTCTATCCGTCTCACTTTTACCCCAAAAAAGACCTTCGGGAACGGCACAAAAAAAATCATTTTTAAATAATTATTATTTTTTCCCTCCTTTTTATTTTCTAATTTTTACCTTTAATCTTACCTTAATTTTTAAAAAATTTAATTTAACTATTTTTTTTTCAAATTTACCCCTTGTTGTGACATTTCCTATAAAATTATCAGTATTGTTTTGTTGTTGTTGAATTTTTTTTAAATTTTTAATTTAATAAATTGCTGATTATATTAAAAAAAATTTTTTTTTAACAACTTAACTATAAATATTAAATTAATAATGTAAGAAAAAAAATATTCAAATAAAAATTAAAAAAAAATTGAGCGCGAAATTCAAGACACTGTACTATACTATAGAAAGTTTTTTTAGTTCTCTTTCGAAAAAAAAAAGTTTTTTTTGGTTCGAAACAAAAATATTTATTGGGGTATTAAAAAAAACATTTGTGTACGTGAGTATGTTCAAAAAAAAATTTTTTTATTATTTTATGATAAAGAGGGCGAGAAAAATAAATTTATTAAAACTAATAAATTCTTCTCTCTAAATTTATTATTTTTTAATTTATTTTTAAAGAAGCTAAAAATAATAAATTAGTAAAAATAATAGAGAAAAAAGAAAGAAAAATTAAGGGCGAACAATAATAAAAAAATGATATTTTTTTAATAAGCACACTAAAAGTTGCGATAATTTTTTTATTTGAATAGCAGTTATTTTTTTAATTGTCTAGCGTTTATAAAAGCGCAACAAATATATATATTACTCTATTAAAATTAAAAAAAAAACAATTAATTGGATAAAAGGAAAAAATAAAATTAGATAGTAATATTGGAGAGATTGGACTAATTTTTGAAAAAAATCCAAAAAAATTTTTCAAAAAAAAGAAAATTAAAAAAAATTTTTTAATGATAGTTTGATAGAGCTCTTCAAGCTGAATCGAATGACACCAAAATCAACCCTATCCGACTTTAATGGACAACGTTATGAATAAAATTGTTCACATAGTTTTCTCACTTGCGTACAAGTTTGTCCTACAAAAAGTTTTATTTTTATCAGAATTTTATTTAAAATTATCGGATTAATACAAATTTTGGTGTCGTTCAATTCAGCTTGAAGAGCTCTTTAAAACAAGCATTATTTATACCCCCAAAAAATTTTTTTCCAAATATTTTTCCATATTTTTTTTTCTTATCAATCCCCCTATTTGAAACACCTCCTCCCTGTTAGAAGTGTGAGTGACATAGCAAATTTTAAAAAGCGAAATACGAAAAGCGAAAATGCGAAAGTTAATTTAAAAAGCCAAACATGAGAGTCAAAAATTTGAAAGTCCAAAAAAAAGGCGAAATTTTGGCGAAAGGCTCAACTCTGGTCCCCCTGAATCGTTTTTATTTATCTTTCCCTCAACAAATTAACACCAAAAAAAACACAAAAAAAAAACACAAAACAAACAAATCAAAAAAAAGAGATTAAAATAAAATTAATTAAAACAATATTTATTTACAATGTCAATCATCATTAAAAAAATTTTTTTTTTCTTCCAAAAAAATTTTTGAAAGAGCGGTAAAATTGATTGATTTTTTTTTTCTCCCCCCATATTTGATTGACACAAATTGATGAGGATAAGGAGGGAAGAAATTAAAATTAAATAAAATGCATGAAAATGAACAAATTAAAAATGGTTTTTAATTAAAAATTAATAAGGGAAAATTTAATAAAATTTGAAAAAAAAATTTATTTCTTAAGGGGTACCAAAAGGGTCATGTACCAAAAGGGTAAGTAATAGAAAATAATTTTTTAAAAGGGTCAACACTAAAAAAGGGTTACTGTTTGACATTATCGAAAGATCAGTCTCGAAAGAGTCAATTATTAAATATGGTTCAAAAGGGTCATTACTCAAAAGGGTAAATTCTCAGAAGGGTAAAACTGTTCAAAACGGTCATTAATCTACTTTTTTAACTATAACATGACGATGGATTTTTTAACTGAATATGACATTTATTTAAAACTTCTATCACCTTCATGCTTAATCAAAAAGCACTTATTTGTTAGATCACACATCTACTAAAGTTATTTATCAATTACAAAATCGCCAAAACAAACACACAATAATCACTCTCAATCAAATATTACCACCTAATTAATAACCGGTAAAACAATATTTCAATCAACTTTTAACAAAGCGTATCCCCCCCTTCTACTCTTCTTTTCTCTGTCAATCACCCAACACAATAATTAATTTAATAATTAATTTACTTAAAATTAATCCATCTAAAATCATAAAACAAACACACACACACACTTCATAATCATTCATTTAATTATTCATTCATATATCAATCAACAAACAAAACAATAATCAATTCATCTAATATTTCATTTAAAAACACAATAAAGTCATCTATAATCGTCAAACAAACAAAAAAAATTTTTTACGCCTCCTAAAATTAATTTAATGGCCGTCACTCTAAATTTATTTTTTTTTTAAATCAAGACATTTATTGTCAAAAAAAATAAATAATAGCGGTAAAAATAGGAGGAGGAAAATAAATTTTTATATTAAAATATATTATAATAATATTTATTATATTTTTGCGTGAAATTAATTGCAGTTGAATGGCAGGCTCTGTTTTTCAGTTTGATTGACACTCTACTTGAGTGACGGCGGCAGCGGCGGGGAGAGGGGTAATTCTCTTCACTCTTTATTATAATAAAAATAATGCGATTCACGCAAAATTGATGTGTCTTCCGTTGATTCTAGTAAAAAGGGGGGAAAGGGAGGTGGTTGGTGGAAATAAGTAATGTATCTGTTTGGACACGCCCCCTTTTCCTCTTTTTTTAAAGAAAAAGTCAAAAAGCCTTCTTAAGCCCCGCCCACTTTTTCTCCTTCTCCTTTTAGCTCTCCTATAATCTTCCCATTTCTTCTCGCCATTTTTCTTCCACCCAACTTGGAGTGAGACAACTGTGGGATTACCCATACGCATTGCCAAAAGGGGCGTGGCCTATATAAAATATTTTTATCCGCTCACCCGACCGGCTCTCTTTCTTTTATGCCTGTTCCTCTCCTATTGGAGAGAAAATAAAAGAAAGGGGGGAATGATGGATGACTTTTCTTTTTCTACTTTTTTTCTTCCTTTTTCTCGTTTCTCCAAGGATATATGGAAAGGGATGGGGAAGGGGAAAGAACCGGGTGTGTAAAAAGAGGGGGGACACTTTTTAGTTAGAAAGTTGTTTGTTGGTCGTTTGGGACGAGGCAGACGATGGAAATTATAGAAGGGTAATTATAAAAAGATTTTTCTTCAAAATTTTCTCTTCCTATTTTACTTCCTTTATATTTTTCTTCTTCATCCTTCCACCATCGCTGGAGACGGAAGAATAGTGGAAAGAACTCAAAGTGGGAATTGAAGAGAAGATTAGAGAAAAGGGAGGGTTGACTGTTGGATCAATTACTCAGATCACTCTTCTCAGCAATCTTCAATTAAACTCCTGCTTTTCTTCTCATTTTCTTCCTTTCATTCTTCCTTTCTCAACTTATTCCTATCATCTATTCTTTCCTCCTCATCCTCTTCCATTTCCCTTCCTCCTTCTTCCATATTTATCTTCACAATCTTCTTGTTTCAACCTCTTGCTCCTCTTCTTCTTCTTCTTCTTCCTCTTCTTCATTTCATCCTTCCTTTTAAATTCTAGCTATCCTTCCTCCCTATTCCCTCTCTCCCAACTAATAAAAACTCATCCATCACTTCCTCTCCAACCTCCCTTTCTTCAAAAATAAGTGACAGCTGGCGTAAAATTGGTGGTGTTTTGCCCATTTTCTGGCCAGTGCGAATGGTATAATATGCTTAGGTTTTTGAAAATGTTGTGAAGGAAAATGGTGTTTTTTTGTGTTTAAAAACAAGCCCCGTTAAATTTTTTTCTTCCCAATAGGGGAAAGACTAGTCTCTTCCTCTATTTAATATAGTAATAATAAGACGCGTGACAGTCTGTATATTTTTATGTTTAAGGCGCGCGCATATTTTTTTGAGTGAAAAAATAATAAAAATAGACTCCAAAATAATTTTTATGGTTCCAGAGTGCTAAACGTTGCCACTAAAACCCTTCTTTGTCTACATATATTGAAATAAGATTATCCCGAGATCGATCATCCACGGTTTTTCACAACTCCAATCTGTTAGTCTCCCTAGGTCGAACTCTAGGAAACGGAGATTCCTCATGTGCCTCTCACCGAGAAAACTGGAATCTCTCAAAACCCGTGCCCTTAACTTGAATACCCAGATTTTTTGCTTTAACCTCTTCCTCCACCTTAATAGCTTAGTAATAAGCTCATTAATACCCCCCCCCCAAAATAACCCCAAAATAAATATTTATTTTTTCATCAAAATCCATTTAAACCCTTCAATAATAATCTTTTTTAAATACTCGCCCAAAATTATCGCCCTTTCCAATCTTCTCTCTCTCAATTTTCAATCTCGCCAATATAAAGTGCTAAACACACACCACACCAATAATTACCTCAAACGACCATCACTTTTATTTTTTTTTAATTTTTTGCTTCAGTTTCAAATTTCTATTTTTGCTTCTTCAAAATCACTTTTTTTGGTTACTCAATAAAAACATTTTTCAAATTACTACTTATTTTTTAAAACTATTATGTAATTTCATGTTTTCTTTTTAATAAATTATAGAAAAATAGCAATTTAGAAATGAAACATTTTCGAGAAGCATTTAAATATTAAACAAATAAAAACATGAAGCAAACTTATAATTAAAAAAATAAGCTTGCTTCTTTTCAAGTTTATATATTTACAAATTGTAAATGCTTCAAGTTTATTTAATTAAAATTGTAATTGTTTCAAGTTTATTTATTTACATTTGTAAATGCTTCAAGTTTTATTTCAAAGTTTTAATTAAATTTCTATTCACTTCATTTTCAGAGAAACATTCCAAGAAACAAAAAATATATGACTTTTTTATTACACATTTATATATTTTGCTAATAAAACAACTGTTGCATTTTTTATTTATTAGCTATTAAAAATCCCCAAAATATTTTTCTCAACAGAAAAAAAATTTTTTAAATAAAATATTACACAAACATTTATTTTTTTAAAAATAAAAGGTGTGAAAAATTAAAAGGGAGCATCTCTTAATAAATATTATTTAAAAGATTTATTGGAAAATAAAAACAGGAAGATTTATTAAATCTGTTTAGATATGTATTGTTTTACTTAAAAAATTAGCTCTGAAGCATTAAAAAATAGCCTAGAAAAATTAATTTAAAAATAAACTTGTTTCTTTACAAATTGTAATTGTTTCAAGTTTTAATTAATTAAACTTAAGTATTTACAAATTGTAAATGCTTCAAGTTTATTTAATTACAAATTGTAATCCAAGTTTAATTATTTCCAGGTTTAATTATTTACAATTTGTAATTGTTTCAAGTTTATTTAATTACAAATTGTAATCCAAGTTTAATTATATTTACAATTTGTAATTGCTTCAAGTTTTATTTTTTTCAAGCTTATTTTCTTGAAAACACCTAAAATGAAACATGTAAGAAACACCTGAAGCAAGCTTCAATAACTGCTTCAATTTCTAAATTTATTTAATTACTTCTCTCATTAAACTACCTAATATCTTTCCCCCAAAAATCATTTTTCCTTCCTTTTTTCTTTAAAAATAAAAGTGTATATAAGAGTGTGTCAATGACGAAAAGTGTGCCCGGTCATCAATTAAATTATAAAATAGATTAAACAAAAAAAGAAAGGAGACGAAAAGTTAATCGACCGAGAGGGAATGAAGGAAGGTTTTATAATCTAAACCGATAAAAGTAAAAAAAATATTTTTTTGTGCGCGTGAAAATTTTTTTAATGACAAAAATTATAAAAGTGTGAAGTAGAGGTGTGTATATTTGTCCTTTAGGTACTTTTCTGTTTTATGACCACACTTTAAAAATGTTTAAAAATGGTCATGAATATGGACAAACTATATGTCATTCGAAAGAGCTCTTCGAGCTGAGTCGAATGACACCAAAATCATGTGGGGTTCGAAATGGTACGGGCTCGAAATGGTCAAAAAATACAATGACCAAAATGGTCAAAAATCATAAATATGACCAAACTATATGTCATTTGAAAGAGCTCGACGAGCTGAGTCGAATGATACCAAAATCAACGAAATCTGACTTGATTTGACAAAGTTAAGATCGTTTATTTTAGCGTAAAACTCCACGGGCGCCATAGTTAAGGAGCTAAAATAAACGATCTTAACTTTGTCAAATCAAGTCAGATCTCGTTGATTTTGGTATCATTCGACTCAGCTCGTCGAGCTCTTTCAAATGACATATAGTTTGGTCATATTCATGACCATTTTTAAACTTTTTAAAGTGTGGTCATAAAACAGAAAAGTACCGTCCTTTATTTTAAAAGGTAAAATAAAAAAAATAATAATCAAGTAGATTTTGATTAAAATGAAGCAAAATTAAACAAAAAAAAAAGTAGACATTTGGTGGAAGAAATTTTCAAACAAAAAGTTGAAGCAAAAAAATTGAAGCAAAAAATCTGAAGCAACACAGAAAAATCTGAAACAAAAACTTGAAACAAAAACAAATGAAGCAAATCCGAAAAAGTAGAAACAACTTTTACAACTGAAAACTTGAAGCACCATAAGCTGAAGCAGCTTTCAACAATTAAAGCAAGCTTCAACAAAAATAAAATAAAGTATACCAACCAGTAGACAAAAGCTTTTACAGCCTTGGAGCACCTATTCCGCGGTGGAAAAATTAATAGAACTCCTAACGGAGTCGAACCATTATCAAAACAGGACACAAAATTCCAGAGCCTAACCAACTTAACCACACTTACAACCTAACGACTATACTTAAATTATTTATCCAATACTCTGTTGAAGCTTCAAAAAATCAAACCCAAAGCATAAAAAATTTTTTTTTAGGACAAAATGTCATCTTTATCAAAAATACTTTTCTTCCCCTTTGTTTTAAAACCTTTTTTTATTATTTTTCCATTTTCCTCCTAAATTTTTCAGAAAAAAAAAGTGGTTGGTATATCCTTTCTTTCCTTCTTCTTTCCAGTAAATTAATAGTTGGAGGGGAGGCTCTACGCCATCAGGCATTTTAAAAGAGAAAAAAGAAAAAGGCAAATTGCCAAACAAATAAAAGGAAAAGCAGAAAAAATCTTTTCCAAAGCTTTCCAAAGCTTCCAAGTCATTTGTCAAAATATTCACAAAATTGTATAGAAAAAAAAAGAAAGAAAAAATATTTTTACTGCCAAAACATTGAGGTTTAAAAAATGTTGAGGAGAAGAAAAAAATAAAGGGAAAAATGAAAGAAAATTGTAAAAATATTTGAAAAAACCTTTGCTAAAATTAAAAAATAAAATATTGAAAATTAATTTTTAAATCCCCCCATACATTTTTAATTTATAAGAAAATTGAAGGAAAGTATAGTACAGTAAAGACCGGACATAGACGACATCTCAATCGAAAATCTCGGAGATCCAGACGGAGTTTTCGACTTCCAATCCGGTCTCTATAGTAACACATAAGTAAATCATTAAAATCCAACTTTTAACATGCCAACGAGACAGACTGTCAACATTACACAAAAGGTCAATGACTCAAAATATAAACAACTCAAAATTCAAAGTAACAAAATAACCCAAAATATCAACAACAAAAAATGACACAATCTCAAAACGTCAAAAACTCAGAATGACAATTACACAAATTACCAATAAGCCTAAACTGTCACAGCCCAAATTTCTAATACCCAAAAATTACAAAATCTAAAAATGTCAATAATAAGGCCAAGAAACCAGTATTATTAGAATTCAAAATCCTTTCAAAATTCGTTACAAAAATTTCCAAAAACAAAAATCCATTTAGTATTTTTATTCCTTTCTCCCCTTTTTAACCCCTTTTTAACCTCCCCCAAAAACCCTCATTTTTATATATATTTTTCCTTTAAAAACATTTTTCTTTCTTTATTTTTTATCCTTTTTCCTGTCCTATCCAATCAGCATGCCATCAATCATTCCCCACAAAAAGGCAGAGCCAGTCGTTGCCCCTTTCTTTCCCCCCTTCTTCTCCTCGGCCTCTTTCCATCTGCCTTAAAGGTTTAGGCTTTCTCTCCATCCTTTTATTTTTTTTTACTTTTTTTGTCCCTAGAGGGGCAGAAGCGGTCAACCAACGTCAAAAATACCGTAATGCTTCTTTAAATATCCTTTTACTTATTTTAAAAAATTCTCTTCTCCTCTCCCAAAGAAAAGTGAAGTCATTTCGGCGCGACATTGGTTGGGCGCGCTTTTATATAATTTCAGAAGGAAAAATCTCTTAGCCTTGGAATTTTGGGCATTTATTAGCAACATTGTTAGCCATAATTTCTTCAAATTTCATAATTTTTGGTTTAGTACACACCCAGCAACTTCCTCTATGTCTTCCCTACAAAAAAAGCTTCCAGCATTACTCCTAAATTCACAAAAATTCTAAAATTTTCACTCACGCAAGCTAACACCTTCCAGAATACTCACACAAAATTTCACAACTCTATCATATCACCAAACAAAATTATAAAAAAATTCGTAACGTATACCCAGCAGACTTTCCCCTTTCCCCTACCTTCCAAACTTCTCCCCTTACATTCAAAAAAAACTTTTCTCTTTACCGCCCCAAACTAATAAAATAATATAATTTTTTCATACACAAAAAATTTCCTTGCGCAAAATGCTTGCTCCTTTTTAAATACCAAAAAAAAATTTTTTTTCCTCTTCTCTCTGTTGGAAGGCTGGTTTTTTACGTGTTTTATGAGCGACACAAAAATATTCTCTCAACTTTTTTATTTCACAAAATATGACCTTTGGTTTTTGGGAAGACGAAAAAAACCCCCAAAAAAGCAACGCAAAACTAATAAAATTTTTAATAGCTAGCAAATTTTTGTTAATTGTAAAATAATAAATATTAAGTAAAAAAAGAAGGTAATAAACCCAATTAAAATAACGATATTTTTTTAATGTTGGGATCAAATGTCACCTAAATTTTTTTGAGGTAATTTGGTAATTCTTTTTTCGTTTTTAACCCCTAAATTTGAAAAAAACACGAAAATTAAGAAATAAATTAAATTTAATTTAAAAAAAAATAAAAATTTTTTAAGAGTTGGGACCAAATGTCCACTCGGGATAAAATGTCATTTATAAAAAAATCCTCCAACTTATCGAAAAACTTGGAAAAAAATCAAGAAACACAAAAGATAAAGTTCAATTAAATCAAAGAAAAAATAAACTTTAAATGAAATTTTCAAAATTTGGGATAAAATGTCTCAAATGGGATCAAATGTCTTATTTGGGATTAAATGTCCTCTCCATTGAAAAACCCACAACTTATTGAAAATTTTTGAAAAAACTGGTTTAAAAACATGAAAATTACAAAATAAAACAAAGAAAAAAATAAATTAGATAAAAAATTTTTTTAAGAAATGGGACCAAATGTCTCAAATGGGATAAAATGTCATTTTCACCAAAAAAATTTTTAAAAAATTTCACCCACCACAGACTGCGGATTTTCATATTTGACAGTTTGAGGACACCCATTTGCAAATTGTTGTTTATTAGCTGCTGAATGTTCTCCAATTTGTAATAAAATATTTCCCCCACTAGTCGTTAAAGTTTTGGTGTCTGTTGTTGCTGGGGGTTGTTGTCCATTTGGATAATTTAAAAAATTTGGGGTTGTCCAATTATTTAATTGTTGATTAAATGAGGGTTCTGGTGGATGGTCAAAACAACTTGGAGCCCCTAATAAATGATACAATAAATGTTGGGGATGTTGAAAGTTGTTTGGGGGCTGTTGTTGTTGTTGGGGATGTTGTTGGGGGTTGTTGTCCATTGAATTAAATTAGGGAAAATTTTTTTTGTTAATTTTTCTAAATTTTAAAGATTAAATAAACCAAAAATTAATTAAAATTATTTTTAAGACGAGAAGAAAAAAAAATAAATTTAATTAAAAAAAAATTTTTTTGGGATCAAATGTCATTTTGGGATAAACTGTCATCTTTACAAAAATAAAAAATTTAATAAACTTAAAAATTTACAAGGTTCGAGAAAATAGAGCAGGAAATGAAACGATTTTTCGTATGGATCATCAAAATAAAATTAAAAATGGATACCTAGATTAATGAGAATAAAATAAACAATGAGACAAAAAAATAAATAAACACAATGCCAAAAAATTTTTATAAAATTAAAACTCTGAAAAGACGTAAAATAGCTTCAATAAGTCTTCAAAAAATTAGGAAAATTTTTATTTAATGTCTTTCTAGTCGAAGCTCGAGAATACGTAACCGTCGAGAACCGAAATGACCAGAACTGTATTTACTCGATTAATTCCCATAGGGAATTATTTTTTCAACCCATCGTGACATAAGGAATTATTCAAGGGAGGGGAATTATTCGAGTTTTGAAATTTGAACGTGTAGTAAGGTATTCGAGAGAGCGGGATAATTGTGTCAACTCATCCGTAGCAGGGGGAATTATTCAAGAGAGGGGAATTATTCAGAAAATACGGTAGGTATAAGGGAGAGAGACGAGCGCGTAAAGAGAGAGATGTCTAACGAGGAGAGGTACTATCTGATATTTGATTAAAATAAAAACAGCTTCAAGATTCCTTCAAGAAATTTCAAAAAATTAAAAAAAATTTTTTCCCCTCAAAAAATTCAAGATTTGAAGTTTACTTCAATAAATCACCCCCTAAAAACCCCTCCTCCCCATTTTCAACATGCCTTTCCATCAATTTAATTCCCCCCACAAATCAAAAAATATCATCATCATTATTCTTCTCCCTCCATACATTTTGATGAATTACAAGAACAATGATAAATTTAAAAAATATATTTTTTTGGATAATAAATAAATAAAAGTATTTCATCAATCAAAAACACCCCCGAGGAATTGATGAGATTTTGAATGATTTAATTAAATAAATATTTTGACTAAATAATTAATCATATTAAATGTTGCATAATAAAGGGGAAATAAAATTAATAAAGAAAAAAAGTAAGAAAAATATTTTTACAAAAAATTGGGATAAAATGTCTTGGTGGGATAAAATGTCATTTTTCGAAAATATTTTTTTAAACCCAAAAATACTAAAAAGCCAGCAAGGCTGAGGATTTTCCTACATACCTAACAGATCGAAATAAATAGAAATAAATATAACGCCAAGAAAATTAAAAAAAAATTCCAAGAATGGGATAAAATGTCATTTTTCGAAAAAAATTTTTTAAAACCCCGAAAAAATAAAAAAGCCGGCTAGGTTATGATTTTTAATCTTTAACAGGTTGAAAAAAATAAAAAAATATATAAATAAACATAATGCCAAGAAAATTAAAAAAAAAGTTCCAGAATGTTTCCAAGAATGGGATAAAATGTCATTTTTTGAAAAATCCAAAAATCAAAAAAATCTTTAAAAAAAGCAGGCAAGGCTGAGGATTTTCAATTTAAGCAGGTCGAACAATTAAATTAATTAACATAATGCCAAAAAAATTCTAAAAATCCAAAAACCCGAAAAAGACGCAAAATGGTAAAATACCAAAAACATTTAAAAAATAAGCAACAAATTTTGATGTTTATTTCAAATATATTTGAAGAGCTTTAACTCTAAATGAGTGCCGCTGCTATACTTTTATGATTGGTCTGTGGTTGAGGGAAAATGAAAAAATCAGAAAAAATAATGAGAAGGTAGGCGGGTAAATAGCCGTTCCAATTGATCACCACTGAAGTTTTGAAAAGTCCAGGGGTGATCAAATGGGTTGGGTTTAATAAATGCCGCAATTGAGACAATAAAAGAGAAAAAAATTTTAAAAAATAAAGAGGAGAAAGGTTAAGGAACGTTAAACAAAATGAGCTTATTTAGAATGAATTTGGTTGGAAAAAGGAAGAGAAGAAAGGTAATGAATGGAAAGGATTAGAAATGGCATAAATATTGGGCATTGAAAGAGGTTTTTCAGAAAAAATCAGAAAAAATAATGAGAAGAGATGGGGCAGGAAGGAAGGAAAAAAATTTATTTTTTAAATTAGACAGGTTGGGGACGTACCTGGAGATGAACCAAGTAAACTAATTTTGGAGGAGGTGAACCTGCTGAAATTGATTAAGGGTAAATAAAAACAGATGGAGCTGGGACAGGCCAGGAAGGAAGAAAAAAATATTTTTTAAATTAAACATGTTTGGGACGTACCTGGAGATGAACCATGTAATTTTGGAGGGGGTGAACTTGCTGAACTTGAACATAGATTTATTGAGGAAAGGACATGTTTAAATGTTTTTTACAAGCAAAAAAATATTTTATGGACCCAATAATTCAAAAAAGGATTATTTTTCTCTTCCATGGAGAAGGCAAAATACAGGCGCCAAGTACAAAAACAAAGAAAATAAAAATGATGGGCAAGCAAAAATAAATAGAAAAAATAATTTAAATATTGACCCTCCACAACTGTCTTAGTTGGAGAGGCAAAATATTTTAAAATATACGTTAAGGGTTGCGTGAGGGAAATTTTTTGGTGTAAAATTGGGAGAGACGAAAAATTAAAAAAATTTTTTTGGGGGGAAATTAAAAGGTATATGTAGGGGCTTTATCAGGTTGAGGAGGATGTAAGCTTGAAGGTAAAAATAAACGAGTGAAATTAAAACGGAAATTAAATCAGAAGAAAATTAATATGTATTTTTGGAGGTTTGTAAAATGATAAAGAAATAAGGAAAATAAATGTTAGAGAAAAAAAGAGAAAAAAAATATTTACATTATGCCAAACAAATTACAAAATGCCAATTTTTATTCAAAAATAAATATTTAAAAATATAAGGGTCTATTTAGAAGGACTGCCTCTTTATTTAAAGAAATAATTACAGCCCACTCTCAAAACTCGAAACTTCGAAAAAAATGTCGCGAAATTCGAAATTTCGAGAAAATTTCGAAATTTCTCTCGAAGTTCGAAATTTCGAGAAAATTTCGTTAAGGGTCTATTTAAAAGAAGGGTCTATTTTTTATTTAAAGAAAGAATCACAGCCCAAGCTCAAACCTCGAAACTTTAAAAAAATTTCGCGAAATTTCGACATTTTTCTCGAAATCCGAAATTTCGCGAAATTTCTTGAAATTTCGAGAAATTTTCGAAATTAGCTATTTTTGCGTATAAATTTCGTATTTTTATTAATTTCGTAAAATTTGTAAACCTCAAAAATTTTCCCGGTTTCTATAACTATTGGCACAAGGAAGGGATTAACCCTTAATATCAACATCAGTCCCCTTCCCCTCCCCAAATTTTTACACTAAATATCTTTCCCCATCACTTTATTTTTTCAAAGCTTTCCACCCCTTTTATACAGTAATGCCACTAGGTCCAAATTTTCTTTTTTTCCTCATTTTCTTCATTTTCTCGAATTTACCCCTTCCATTTATTTTTGCTTTTCTTTTATTCTTTCCCCTTCACCGTTCAATCCTCCCTCATCCCCCCTCCCCTCCCTCCCTCCCTTCACAATTGTCAAGGTTCTCGACAACTGTGCCTTTCCCCCTCATTTTCCCTTTTTTCTTCATTTTCCTCCTTTTCAGCCTCCATTTTACACCAATCTCACATTCCTCATCTCAGAATCGTTTCTATCTGTTTAAATGAAATCCCCAAGGGAAGGCAAAAATAGGATTGGCCAAAAATGAAAATTCTAAAAGAAAATTGGGGGGTTTTGGTAAAATTAAAAAAATTCTTTTTTAATTTTTAATATTCTCTCCTTTATTTTGATTGCTAAAAAATTCCTAAATTTAAGGAAAAAAAATTTTTTTAATAAAATATTTATTTTTTTTCTTCAAGAATATTGGGGTAGTCGGTAGGGAACAAAGGAAAAAATTAAAAAAAATTTTTTTACACAAAAATTTAAATAAATTACTCAATCTACATTGGTTGTAATAACTAGAAAATATATTTGTGGATTTAGAAAAAAATATAAAAAAAAGTTTAAGGAAAAATGTTCTGGATGGCACTCTGTTGAAGCGCCTCTGGCCGGGCAAAATTGGTGTAAAAAATAATTTTTGGGAAGAAAAAAGGGGAAAATAAAATAAAAAATAATAAAAAGAAGGTAAATAGGATTAAAAAATAAATGGTCACTATTCGAGAAAAAAATTAGGGAAAAAATTTTTTCCGGAAAATACAACTTGGAAAGGTGTTGTAGTCGACGACCAGTCGACTTTAAAATCGAATAACTTTGGGTTAAGTAAAGATAAAAATTTGGGCTTTATATCAAAAGATAGAGCAGACTCTTAGCTACAAAATGAATACAAATTAAATTATTGAATCATCAGGATTGTTGAGATTAAGGCAAGAGACTTGCTACACCTCAAAATATCATCAAGTTGCTTCCAAAAAATTTTTCAAGTTTTTCAACTTAAAGCTGTATTTTTGAGTTAAATATAATTTTATAGCTTGGAATAAGCTATGTTTCGATAGAAAAACGAAATTTATAGAAATTTATAGGACGATATAAAATTTATTTTTATAAAAGTTGACTACACTTGAAACTCGATCCTATGAAAATTTTGAAAATATAAAAATTTGAGAAAATCGGAGAAAATTTTGAAAACCCGACTCGAACCCCGAACCGACTTTTTGGCCATTTTGGCCAACATGGCCCATTTCTGAACGCCAAATAAAAATCAAGAGAAATCAAGAGAACCAAGGAAAAATCAAGAGAAATCAAGAGAACCAAGAGATAAGATAAATAACTATAGAAAATTATTAAAATAAAAGAAGGTCATAATAAATAGTAAAATTAGGCAATAAATAAAATATTAAATTAATAAATAAAATTTATTAAAAAAATAAATCTCTCCAAATATAATCATAAATATGTGCCCAATTATTATTATGCGAAGAGAGAGGGAAGAGTCGCTATTAAAGTAAAAGTTACTTAATTTTTCTGATCAGTTGGGTAGATTAGGAAAAAATAATAATAATTGAGAGAGGATATATCTAGATGTTTAATTTCTTATTTTAAATTATTTTTTTTTAATATTCTCTTAGAAAAAGTTTTTTTCGAGGAGTTGCGCAGAGCTTCTCTCTTTTCTCTTAGGATATTCCTTTGGGAACAAGAGAGAAATTATCGAAAAAAAATTATAAAAAAGAAGAGATGGGACCCTAATCTGATCTAATATTCTGATTTTTAAATATTTTACTAATGAGCAAAAATAAAAAAAAATATTTATGAACATGTGGGGAGGGAGAGGGATATCTCAAAAGTTCTGAAAATTTTTTTTGTAGTTGTCAGAAGGAAAGTTTACTATAAAAACGAGACACGCCCAAGTAGGCGCGCGGCGATAACGGCGCAAAGCCACAACTAGCTGGAAAATTTCAGACTCTTATCAATTTTGGCACCATTTTCTCTAGCTTGATGAGAGGAATCGCTTTATACTAAATTTGGTAAGATTCAGAAATCCTGAAGCAAATTATAGCTTTGCGCCGTTATGGTCGCGTGCCTACTTGGGCTGTACCCTATAAAAATTATCGGTCAAAATTAAAGCTTTAAAAATTTTTTTTTAATTTTTTAAAAAACAAATAACGGGTTTTTTGGTAGCTATAAGGTAGAAGGATGAGTAAAAACATTGGAAGTAAAGGAAAAAATGAGGGAAAAGAAACTAGGAGGGGGAGAGGAAGAAGGAGGTTTGTTTTGAAGGATTAAATATTTTTTTATCTGGTAGCCAAATCTCTAATAGAAGAAAATCTAGGAAATCTGTGAAAAATCTTTTGGGAGGAGAAAGAGGTTGGGGATGGGAAAAAATTGAAAAAGTTATGATAATTGGTAGTGTATATTGGGGGAGGTTATTTTTAGGGAGCTTTATTGTAATTAATTGGAAAAAGAATTGTAATTTGCAACCTTAATTGTAATTTTAATCAAGTTGGAATTAATAATTGTAATTTTAAGTTTAATTATAATTTAAAACTTGTTTTACAATTGTAACTTGATTTGTAATTTCCAATTTAATTTGTAACTTTTTAAGTCTACAAATAAATTTTAAAAAAAGGAGTACTAAACTTGTATTAATCTTAAAATTATGGGTTTTTAAAAACTTAAGTTTTCTTTACCATCAACAAAAATACAGAAGCCAGTTGAAGTGAGCAATTGAGAGAGATTAAAATGTTTTGAATTTAAAGAGCGGCAATATACATAAATAAATAAAAATATTTTCGTTTTCGAAAAAAAACTTAAAAAAAGATTTAACTCGTAATTTCTGGAGATTTTGAATTAAACGAAGAAAAAATGATTAAATTCTGTATTTCCAAAAAAATTAATTCCAAAAAAATTAATTTCTTGAAATAAATATCCTTATATGTATTAAAACAAAGAGTATACAAAATATAACGAGAACGATTGTTTGCTCTTTCCCTTATTTTATTTTATTTTTCCTATTTTTTTCTCGATTTTTTCTCGATTTTTCGGCATTTTTTAAAAAATATTTTTTAAAGTATTTATTTCCTCAACTTGTTAACCTTCTTCTCTTTTTAGTAAATTTATAAAGCATTCTTCTTTATTTGGCATTTAATATATAAACAATTTATTTTTAAGTAACTTCAAAAATTAAAAAAATATAAAAAGTATTAATATCCAATTTCATTTTTCTTTTATTGCGCAAGAAATAAAAATACAAAAGAGCGGTAAAATTGTAAAACTTTAGAGAAAATAAAACTTGAATTTTTAAATAAACTTAAGTAAAAAAAGTTGAATTATTAAGTTTAAGATTGCGAAAATAAAACTTGAAAAAGAATAAAACTTGAAAGAGAAAAAGTTTTACAAATTGTAAAACTTTTTTAAGTTTGTAAAATTAAAATAAAACTTGAATGAATAAATAAACTTGTAAAGGTTTGTAAAAACATCAAGTTTGTAAAAGAGAGAAACAAAACTTTAAAGTTGTAAAACATTTTTAAGTTTGTAAATTAAAATAAACCTTAATATAAGTAAAAACTTGTTGAGAATAAATAAGCTTGTTAAGTTTGTAAAACTTTTTATATTTTGTAAAACTTAAGTTTTAAGAAAATAAAACTTGAAGTCGATGTTTTTATATATTTAAATTTTTCTATTGAGTATTTTAACAAAAAATGTTTAAAAAACAAGTACATTCAAATTTAAATAAAACTTGACGTTGATTGATATAACTCTTAAATTAAGTCGGTAAACTTAAATTTGCAACAAATACATACTTTTCTATATTTTTTAATTTTTAGGCAAGCCATGCTTCAAGGCCATAAATAAATTTTTTATTATATTAATATTCATCCGTTTCTTGGATTATCTACTTAATAATTTTCTTATTATTCAGAAAAAGGATAATCCAATTTTCTTTTATTATTGTGAACAATTTTTTTTTAATTCCAAGGATTTTTTATATTTAAATTTTTTTAAAAATATTGTTTTTAAATATTTTTTTTTGAATTTTTCAATTTTTACAAAATTTTATTTTTTTTTAATAAAAAACTATTTTCTTTTATTCCTTTCAATATTAAAAAGAATTTCTAAATAGGGCAACTAAAAGTGCTAAAAATTTGTTGCTATTAGTTACAATAAACGTGCAGCCATTTTCTTCTCTCTTCTTATTGACAGCCTATTATAAACATCTCTTAGATGTTTAAGTGAATTAATAATCGTTAGGACAAACTTGAGGTTCTTACAAACTTGAAATTAAAAAATTTTCAAGTTTATTTATTTTTATTTATTTTAGTTTATTAAAATAAACTTAAGTTAATACAAGTTTATTATAATAAACTTGGCCAAGTTTTTAAAGCGAACTTAAGTTTATAAACTTAAGTTCATTAAAACTTGACCAAGTTTATTTTAAGGCAAACTTAAGTTTATGAAAAAATTTTTTCATTAAAACCTGACCAAGTTTATTTAAACAAACTTAAGTTTGTTAATTTAACTTGACCAAACAAGTTTATTAAAGAAACTTAAGTTCACTAAAGCTTAATAAAATAAACTTAAGTTTGTTGTGCTCAATTTAACAACAATTTAGGTTGCATTTTAATACCTGAAACAAAGTTTACAATTACAAACAAAAAATAATGGTTGTAGAGAACGAAAACATGCTAGCTTCATCGTCTGGAGAGCTACTCTTTACTGCTTTAGATGAGGGCAACTTAACTGAAGCAAACGCTATACTTGATAAAAAGCCTGTTAGTTTTTGAGATATTTTTAATAGTTAAAAAATTATTATTTTTTTATTTTCAAGGAAAGTGTAGCAGCTAGGGACAATGAATTACGAGTAAGAAAAATATTTTTAAAAATTTTTATTATAAATTATTTTGAGGTACCTTTGCATTATGCTGCAGATTGTGCAGATATTGCCACCTTCCAACGAATTTTTAGTTTGTAATTTTTAATCTTTTTATTAAATAAAAATATTAAAAATTATTTTCTTTGAAGCATTGGAGCGTTCCTTAATGGATGCACAAGACCAATTTGGATTCACTCCCCTACTTGTAGCAGCGATGGCAGGGAACGTTTCTGTACTTGAATTTTTAATAGAACAAGTAAATTTAAAAATATTTATTAAATAATTATTTTTATTTAAGGGCGCTCAATTAGGACAGTTAGATAGGGATGGACACTCTGCAGTACATTGGGCTGTTGTTTGTGGACAAGTAAGAATATTAAAATATAAAATAAACTTGCTTCACAATTAATTAATACCGCCCAATAATTAAAACTTAAGCAAAACTAAAACTTAAAAAGTTGAGATCAAGCTTGGAAAATAATAAAACTTGGATTTTTACGACTTGAATTTTATTAATTGTAAAACTTGAATTAAGTTCAAAATTTGAAATTAAACTTGAATTAAATGTAAAACTTGGATTTTACAAACTTGAATATTATAAAGTGTAAAACTTGAATTATTAATAAAATCTGGATTTTACAAACTTGAAGCAAAATTAAAACTTAACTAATTAAAGTTGGACGTTCTAATAGCATTGCTTCGCCATGGTTCTCCACTAGCTCTAGCGGACATTCACGGAGCTCATCCACTGCATTATGCCACAGTAGGATTCACCGAAACAGAAAGTCATCGTGAAGTGCCCGTAGAACGCTCAGAAGCCATTTTGCACGTTCTTTTGAGGCATGGTGCCCAATTAGAATGTACTGACCTGGATGGGCGAACACCTTTAATTTGGGCTGCTAGTGGGGGTTTGTAAGAAAAATTGTTTTAAAATATTCTTAATAAAATTTCAAGGCAATCTACGAGCTTTTAGCAGTTTAATCCAAGCGGGAGCCAATCGTTTCACTGCTGATAGGGATAAACTGGGAGTTTTGCACTGTGCTTCAAGTCATGGTCATTTACCTATAGTTCAAGCAATGTTAGATCTTGGCCATCATTGGGTGGTTAATGCTAGGGATAGAAACGGCGATACACCCCTTTTCTTTGCTGCAGCTTATGGTCACCTTGAATGTGTTAAATTGTTGTTGGAAAGAGGCGCAGATCCAAACCATCAGGACAGACGTATTAGAACTGCAGCGCACTGTGCGGCAGCTAAGGCACAGCTTAGAGTACTTAAACTTTTGAGACAAAGAGGTGCTAGTTTGGATTTGCAAAATTATAGAGGGGATTTGCCTTTTCATGAAGCTGTGCAAGTTGGAAGTAAAGGTGGGGGAGATTGCTACTTAAAATATGTTTCAAGTTTAATTATAAAATTGTGTTTAAATTAATTGTGAAACAGGCGGAATTATAGAAAATTAATTTTAAAACTGGCGGAATTATGAAAAATTAATTGTAAAACAGGCGGAATTATAAAATTAATAATTGTAAAATAGGTGGAATTATAAAATTAATAATTGTAAAACAGGCGGAATTATAAAATTAATAATTGTAAAATAGGTGGAATTATAAAAAATTAATTGTAAAACAGGCGGAATTATAAAAAATTAATTGTAAAACAGGCGGAATTATAAAATTAATAATTGTAAAGCCGGCGGAATTTAAAATTAGTTAATTGTAAAACAGGCGGAATTGATATTAAAGAATTGTAAATTTTACAATTGTAATTTACAAAATTAACTTAAGAATGTGTTGATTGGATGTTAGGCATTGAACCTCGTTTTGTTAGCTCTGCAAACTTTTTTGGGAGAACAGCATTACATTTAGCTGCAGCCAGTGGAAATATGGAAATGGTTGTTCTTCTGTGTTCGAAAGATGCTCCTCCAAATTCTCTTATGATTTATAAGGTTAAATTGAAAATTTTACTAGAAAAAATTTTCGCAAAAAATTCTTTTAAGGGAGAACTACTAACCCCTTTGGATGTTGCTAAACGTCGAGGACACGATCTTATAGTAGACTACTTAACTGTTAGGTACGAGGCTTGTTTAGCTTCTGAGCTTTCCACAACAGAGCTAAACTCTTCTAGACAAAGTATTGAAGAACAAATAAAAGCGGGTAGAGGAAAAGACTTTTTTAAGTTTCAATTTAATTTTTAGCCCGCCTTCGCAAAGTTAGGGCAGAATTAACAAATAGTGATGAATTGGGTAATTATGAGAAGCAACCTCCTCCTATAAGACGTGGAATTTCGTTGCTAACTAGAGCGGCTCAAAAACTGAATGATGAAAGTTGTGGTGCAAGAGGAGAGATGGTAGATGCTAGTACAATGGTTTCTGTAAGTTTGGAAAAATTGTTTTTAAGTTTGTAAAATTCGTTTGTGAATTCTAGGTTTATTTTTAAGTCTAGTTTCAAGTTTATTTTCAGGTTTAATAAAACCTTTACAATTACAAATTATAAAAAGTTTACACTGGTAAAAGCCTTACAATTGAACAAACTTATTTTCAAGCCTATTTTTAAGTTCAGTCTTAAGTTTATTTTTAAAGTTTGGTCAATTTTTTTGTTAAGTTTGATCTTAATTTTATTTCTAAGTTTATTTTCAAGTTTAGTCTTAAGTTTATTTTTATGTTTGGTCAAGTTTATTTCTATATCCAAGTAGGTATATTAAATTTGTTTTGAAGCGCCGCTCATCCTCTGCTTCCGCAATCTTTGGCAAACTTCCGAAATCAACTAGCACCACCGACCTTAACAACCACAGCATTGAACAATTTTATCAGCAACAAAAAGCCTTGATAGATTTAGCTATGGCTACAACAAATAAATTACCGAATGAAGCAAGGAAGGAAAATGAAAAAGAAATTGTTAAGGAAGTAGATAATCTAGATGCTTCTACCAATACTTTGTTGGTTCATGACTTTTCTAATGCTTCATCTATTTCTGCTTTACAACAGCCTTTAGAGGAGGAGTTGCTACGCCAAAATAACTCGTATGTATATTTCAAGTTTATTTTACTCAAGTTTATTATTTTCAAGTTTATTTAAGTATAGTCTTATTTCTAACTTTTTTACATTCCAAGTTTTAAGTTGATGCTTAAGTTTTAGGTTTAATTTTTATAACTTAAGTTTATTTCTATTCCAAGTTTATTTTTCAAGTTTATATTTTTTAAGATTATTTTCCTCAAGTTTATTTTTTATATTTCGAGTTTATTTTTTATTCCAAGTTTTAAGTTTATGCTTAAGTTTTAAGTTTAATCTTTATATTCCAAGTTTATTTTATTTATTCTATTCACACTTAATTTATAACAATGCCTCAAGTTTATTTTTCATAATTAGTTCGCCTGTAATAAATACAGAAGGTGAGCATGCTGAAAGTGTTAGACATTCACCTAAAACATTATCGGATAGAGAAATTGGTTTGAATTATTTTTTAGACAAACATTCATAAAAATTAAATTAGGATTTCCCTCAGCTTCTTCCAAAAAAGTTCGTTTGGCAGTAAATAGTGATTTATTACAACCTGACGATAGTTATGAAGATAGACCTAAAAGAATTCGACGTAAATGGACACCTTTACCTCCATCAGATTACAGGCATCAATCATTAGATGAAGCAGTTACAGAGTTGCATATTCTTGAGGATGGACTTTCACCGCCTCCGGGTCGCTTAGCTACGTTTGGAGGTGGGAATTAGTATTTTCAAGTTAATAAATAAGTTTATTTTTAAGTATTCTAGGTTTATTTTATATTTCAAGTTTATTTTATAATCCAAGTTTATTTTTTTTATATTACAAGTTTAATTTTATATTCAAGTTTAATCTTAATCATTCAAAGTTTATTTTATACATTTAAGTTTATTTAATATTTCAAGTTCAATCTTGAATAATCCAAGTTTATTTATATATTCCAAGTTTATTTTATTTCAACTTTAATCTAAGTATTCAAAGTTTATTTTTATATTTAAGTTTATTTAAGTATATTCAAGTTCAATCTTAAATATTTCAAGTTTATTTTTTCTATTTATTTACTCTCGTAATTTTACAGACCTAGCCAATTCCACTACTCGATATGTTCACGAACGTGCTATTTTCGACGAATTAACACACTTAAAAAGAATGCAAATACAATACGGAAAAGTTCGGGAAGAGGTGTTAGTACGTTCCCTAGTCCAAAACTTTTGTCGAATGCATGCAATCCACCCCGCCCATTTCCGGCGTATTTCAACTTTACAACAATGGGAGAAATTTTTATACGGTGAGGAAATTGAAAATTAAGTAAAAAATAAATTTTTCTTCTGTGGAGATTGCCTTTCAGATCAACTAAAAATGATTTATTTGGAAGAAAGAGAACGTTTAACGGCTGCAGCTACCTTGGCAGCACAAAAAGCAGCGAGCGCTGCAGGTATGCGTCCAGCTGCGGCACTCTACTCTGCTCAACAACGAGTATTTGTTAAAGCAAATAATAGGAATGGGTTGGGATTAAGGTTTGAAATGAAAAGTTTTCAAAGAAATTTTGTTATTTTTTAGTGGAGGAAGAAGAAGAAATACTAATAATGGACACAATTTGCCTAGTGTGGGCGTTCCTCGCGTTCTTCCTAGAACGAATCCTTTGGATCAGCGGCTCCAAGAGTTGGGGCGAATTTATAGTGGAAGGTATAAGTTTACTATGCTAGATTCTTTTCTATAAGCGCAAACTTGAGTGTAAGCGCAAACTTGCTCTTATAATTTAAAACTTGAAGTATTTACAAACTTGTTTTCTGCAGAACAAGTTTCATAAATACAAAAGTTTACTCAAGTTTAAGTCCGAGATTTCAAGTTTTATTCAAGTTTGATCTTAAGTTGTATTTTTCTTTAATAAAAGAAGTTTTAATGTTTTAGTACCAAAAGCCGAAACAATTCTGCTATATCTGACGCAGCAGTTGCAGCAACAAATACAATAACTAGTGAAGCTTCTGCTAATGCAGAATTTCAAAAGAAAAAATATCTAAATCGAAATAATCCCTCAAAATCTCAACAGAAATTAAGCAATACCAAATCTGAAGCAGATTTGTTAGCAAGAAGTGGGAGAAGTGAAGAAAAGAAAATTTTAGAAGGGGAAAAGCACAGAAGATGTGAATGTTTGAATAAAGAATAAAATACCTATTTATTTTTTAGAAAAATATTTTTAAAAATTTTTTCGATATTTTTTGTTAGTCAACTTAGAGTTTTTATTTAATTTCTAAAATTAAAATTTTTAAATAAACATATTCGTAATTAACTTAAATTGAAAAAAATATATTTACTTAAGTTTACAAACTTTTAAGTTTATGCTAGAAAATATTAAACTTGAAAAATAAAACTTTTTACAAACTTAAGTTACAAGTTGCTTTTTATTTTAATTCAAGTTTATTTATTTGTAGTCAAGTTTATTTTCAAGCGTAAACTAACTAAAACTTGCAGCATTAATAAACTTGTTCGAAGTTACAATTTTTAATTCAAGTTTATTTTTTCAACCAAGTTTATTTATTTGTAGTCAAGTTTATTTTTGTTTTCAAATTTACAAACAAAGCGGAAATTAAATTAAAACTTGAAACATTTACAAATTTGAAATAATCTCGTATTTATTTTAACTACAAAACAATTCTATAAATTTCCCCAGAATTTAAAAACAATTAATAATCCCCTAATTTCTTGTTTTCTAAAAAATAATAAATTTATTGGACTGCCAAAAGAAGAAAAAGACGGATGACTGACGGCATTTGCATCCTCAAAGCTTTTATCCCCTTTCCCCCTCCAATTGTTTCCTTTCCAAACAATGGGCAATCGATGGGTTTAGTATATAGCTACACTGCCAATATTGTCGCAAACAAAATTATGGCCAAAATTGAATTAAACAAATGAAAAGTTGATAAAAAAGGAAAATTGTTATTTTACCCGTTTTGAAGGTTGCTATTTTTAAATTCCAAATGTTTCAAGTTTGCGCTTAAAAAGTTTTGTAAACTTTGCAAAAACAAATTTTAAATTACACTAATTTTTATTGAAAAATAATGACTGACTTTGCGTTGCTTAAATAATCAACGAACAGTATAGGCATAATAAATCGTGGTATTTTACTTTATACGTCAAGTTACTTTTTTTATTTTTTAAATTTATTTTGTTTTTTATGGCTTCCTTAAAAAATTAAATGAAATTTCTAAATGCCACCTAAAAATATTATTGTTAAGGGATTTATAAGTAATTTTAAGTCTACAAACTTTTTTGAGCGCAAACTTGAGAAAATGTTGTAGATAAAATTACAACTTTTTTGCAACTTTGTTTTGCAACTTAAAACTTGAACTAATTGCAAACTTGACCTTAAAACTTATTTTCTTCTAAACAAGTTTATTTCAAGTTTTATTTCAAGTTTAAACTTGGCTGAAAAAATAAACTTGAATTGTAAAAAAAAGTTATAACTCAAAACTTAAGTTTGTAAAAAAGTTCTATTTTAAATTTTATTTTTTAGTTTTATAAATTCAAGTTTTATTTAAAGTTTATTTTATTTTCAAGTTTTATTTTTAAGTTTGTACTCTTATCCATTAAAAAATAAAATATTCAAGTTTTCCCCATATTTTATCCATAATTTTATTCCTTATTTTATGCTCTTGTCTTTCTTGGCAAGCTTTTTCTTTTATACATTAAGCATCGATTTTGTCATGAAATACCCCCCAATTTGTCGTCTATATATTAAATATATTCCCGAAAAAAATTTTTTTAGTTGTTTATTCTTTTGAGAATAATAAAAAAAGAAAATGAGTGAAATATTGCCAACCAAAAATTACGTGAAAAAATTTTTTTAATGAAAAATAATTTTTATTTTTTAAGAAATTAATTGTTATGATTTTATTTTTTGTTTAAAAATTTTTATTTAATAAATGGACCCATGTGAAGGCCCTTCCCACACAGCAGAGAAACAATTCGACGTTCATGCAGGCAGAAATGCCTTCAGGTTGAATAATTTTTGACTTAAATTTAAATAGTAAATAATTTTAAAATAGAAGGCAGATATCAGAAAGAGCTTCGCAAATGATGGGAAAACAAATAGGTAATTAAACTTAAAATAAATATTTAAAAATGAACTTGAAAAAGAATTCGAGTTTGTAATTGTAAAAATAAACTTTAAATGAATAAAAAAATTTAAGTTCAAGTTTATTTATTTTTAAGTTTGCTGTCAAGTTGATTTTTTATTTTTTACAATCTCAAGTTTATTTATTTAAACTTGAATTAAATATAAATAAACTTTAAATAAATAAACTTGAGATTGTAAAAAAAAATTAAAAAAATAAACTTGAATTGCAAACTTAAAAAAATAGACCTGAACTTAAAAATAAAAATAAACTTGAATTTAAAAAAAAACTTAAACTTAAAAAAATAAACTTGAAGCATAATAAATATTTTTAAATTTTCATAAAAAATTTAAAACTGAAAGAAGAAAAAAATATTTTTTGTCAAAACAATACATTCTTTCAAGTCTATAAAACAAAAAATAAAAACATCTCAAGCTAAATGCCCGTTTGCTCATTTTGCCATTTAAGTACACCCAATTCCCATAGGCCATCTCGCTTTAACTAGAAGCAAGTCTTTTTCTGCCTTTTTATAATTTTGTTGTTAAATATATCCACACTTGACAGAATTGTATAGTGGAATAAGAAAAATTTTGCTTTCTACGTAAAAATTTGTTTTATCGAATTTCAACACCTTTTGACCTTAATTCGCTATAATTTAAGGCGGAATAATTTATTCAAGTTTAATTAAATTACAATTTATCAAAAATAAACTTGTTTTTTACTATTCAAGTTTATTAAATAAAAATAAACTTGAAATAAATAAACTTGAAACAATTACAATTCAAGTTTATTTAATTTACAATTAATTAATTCAAGTTTAATTAAATTACAATTGTAAAAAGCTAAATACTAAAATTACAATTCTTAATTTTACAATTCAAGTTTATTATAATAATAAACCTGACCACAAAAATAAACTTAAAATAAAATAAACCTGAAACAATTACAATTCAAGTTTATTTATTTTACAATTTAATTCATGTTTATTTTCTTTAGAATTAATGGATGTTGACGAATTGAGAAGGCAACAATTCGCCATCAAAAGTTTTACAGAATCTGTTGAGGAGGATTTAGATGAAGACTGGCAAAGACGGCATTTTACTACAACTAGAGGCGAAATTGATAGTGGAATGAAAGAAAGCAGTACAGATGAAACAATTATTGAAGTTGTAAGTATTTGATAAGTTTATTTTTAGTTCTTAAGTTTTTAAGTTTACAAATTCAAGCTTTAATATTTTTTAAGTTTGAACATTTTTCAAGTTTTATTTCAAGTTTAAACTTGCTCAAGTTTTATTTTTACAAGTTTTAATTTTTTGAATAATTGAAACTTGCTTCAAGTTTTTTAATGTTTGTTTTCCTTTGTAGACTCGTCGTGTTGACCCAACAAAAGGAGAAACACAAAAATATACAATGCGTGTATCGGGCCCAGAAGTTTGACATATTTTATTAATTTAAAATTAAAATTTAATTAAGTTAGTAGATCAAGAATTTGAGCTTCATAAGAGTCTAGTTCACAGTGCTAGTGGGGGCGAGTTTGTGGAAGATGAGGAAGAAGCACAAACTTCAAATTGTAAGTGATAATTGAAACTTAAAAAAATGAAAAGGTACAAATGAAGCAAAAAGTAAAATATGAAGCAAAAATTTAAAAAAAACTGAAGCAAAATTTAGAAAATGAAACATAAAAATGAAAACATGAAGCAAAACCTAAACTTGAAGCAAATTAAAATTTCATTATTTTTCCTCAATTTTCTTAGCTATCTTCACCCTTCCATCAACAACACATGACATAATACCCACAAAAAAATCTGTTAAAAAGTCATCATCGACTGTTGTTCGGGGAAAGGAAGAAGAAGCCTGCGCAAGCTATTTTAAATCTGCGTCGGTAAGGGAAAAATATTGGCATTTAAGTAAATAGAAAGAGAGAAAAATTTTAGAGATATATTTTTTATAGTGGAAAAGGGGATTAAAAACAAGATTAACGTTTGGATAAGGACTCATTTAAAATATTTTAACATGGTTATTTATTTAACTATATTCCCTCACTGTTAAAATTTTTGAGATTTGTTTTAAGTTTACAACTTTTTTTCAAGCTTATAATTGTTTCATCTTTTAATATTTTTAAGTTCAAACTTAAACTTTCAAGTTTTATTATTTTTAAGTTCAAACTTGAAATTTCAAGTTTTAATATTTTCAAGCTTAAACTTAAAACTTTTTCAAGTTTAATTACTTTGAAGCAATGTTTCAAGTTTACTTTTTTAATATGTAGCCTTAAAGAAAAAAAAAAAACTTTTTAAAACTTTTTCAAGTTTAATTACTTTGAAGCAATGTTTCAAGTTTACTTTTTTAATATGTAGCCTTAAAGCAAAATTACAAAAATACAATAATCTTTTATTTTACTATTTTTAAGATGAGTACTAGACCACGTTCCTCCACTACAACAGAGGAATATCCCGTAGGCACCAGTTTCGCTCCCCGACCAAGAAATTCATCTCCAAGGCCCAGACTTTCACTTACACCCAACACAACATTGGAAATTGAAACAACAAAATTAGAACCAACAAATGATTCTTTTACTAATATTGAAAAAATAAGAGTTGTGTTACCCCCAAAGTGCAAAAGTAGGGAATTAGATTTTAGATTAAATTTTTAATAATTTTTAAGATTTAAAATCTTCTCAAAGGCGATATTCAACTGGGCCGGAAGAATTAAGTTGTCGAAGCCCTACAATGGTAAAATTTTACTTATAACAAAGAATAAGCTTGAAATATAAATAAACTTGAAACTTTTACAAATTCAAGTTTATTTAATTTACAATTAATTAATTCAAGTTTATTAAATAAAAAATAAACTTGAATTTAAGTCTACAATTCAAGTTTATTTATTACAATTGCTTCAAGTTTATTAAATAGAAATACAAAAATAAACTTGAAACTTTACAATTCAAGTTTAATTTACATTTAAACTTTTTTTAAAATGAAACTTAGACCCGACTTCGTTGTGATTCTACTGCTGCAGCCTATCATTATCACCAACCTGGAGAGGATATAATCGAATCAAACCCGGAATATGCCCGGAAAGCACCTAAAAAGCCGGTAGTTCATAGAAGACAAAGTCGGGGTGACGACTGGGAAAATTTTTCTGAGGAAGAACAACAACAAGCACTTTCCCTTGGTGATACAGAAGATGAGTCTGTTGCTACAGAAAACTTGGGTGGGGATTTTTAAATAAAATTTTGAATAAAAATTGCAACGAGAATAAATAAAAGTTGCATTAATTTTCCCTTTATTTTTTCCTTTCTTTCCTCGTGCTAACAAGCAAATGCTACATATTAACGTGGCATTTGCTGCCAACCGGTTAAATCAATATATAACAGTGAATTTACATAAAGCTTGTTTTAAAAGTTATGTTAATGCTTAATTTATATTTTCTATTTAAAACACATAAATTGAAACAGAAACAAGAAACACAACTAGTAATAAATGAAACAAACTTAAGTTTACTAAAAAATAAACTTAAGTTTACAAACTTAATATATACAATTATTTCCAAGTTTATTTATATCTCTTCTATTCAAGTTTATTTTTGTATTTAGTAATCAAGTTTATTTATATGCTTCTATTCAAGTTTATTTTTATGCCTTCTATTTCCAAGTTTATTTTAATACTTATAGTTTATTTTTATACCTTCTATTCAAGTTTATTTTTATACCTAGTATTCAAGTTTGTATTTTTAAGTTTATTATATTCAAGTTTATTTTTGCAGTTGACTAATATTTAATTAAACTTGCTTCAAGTTTAATTAATTAAAGTTTGTATTTCACCCAATTACAAATATTAAAAATTACAATTTAAATGCTAAAAAATATGCCTATGCTTCTGAAGCACAATTTCCCTCAAATAATAAATATAACAATAAAATTCATAAAATTTTTCTACCGGCTGGCAATAAGAAGCCTTTTCCAATATAATCAATCTTGCCTCTTTTTTCATGCCTAACTCCTTTACATATTTACTTTTACTCTCCCATATAGGCAAAGTCTGAGTTTTTTTGCTACTCACAATGGGAGTGTTTCTTGCTTTTTCCCTTATAAACATGAAAATTTAAGTATTCCTTTACTTTTCTTTTTTTCAAAATGCTTCCGTTAAAATGAGCACAGTGTGACGAAATTTTAGTGACGGCATTTCTCCTTTGCTTCAAAATTTTTTTTCTATTTTTTTCCTTCCTAAAATTTACCTTTATTTATAGGATTATTTAAAGGCTTATTTTGTTTTTGCTTCAACTTTAATTTTAATAATATTTCTTTTTATTAAACTTGTTTCAAGTTTATTTTAAACTTATCACATTTAAATTGTAATTGCTTCAAGTTTTCGTTTTCATTTAAAACTTGTTTCAAGTTTTATTTTTTAACTTGTTTCAAGTTTATTTCAAACTTGTTTCATTTAAGTTTGTAATTGCTTCAAGTTTAATCTCTCCTCTCTTATTTAAAACTTGCTTCAAGTTTATTTTAAACTTGCTTCATTTTAAATTGTAATTGCTTCAAGTTTATTTTCTCTCTTATTAATATAAACTTGTTTCAAGTTCATTTTAATCTTGCTTCATTCAAACTTGTATTTGCTTCAAGTTTTCCTCTCTCATTTAAAACTTGCTTCAAGTTTAATTAAATTATCCCTTTATTTTTAAACAGAATTAGCCAAACAATTGCAACAACAAGTACACAAATTAATTGACGAAGTTGAGCAGCATAGACAACAACTTGAAGAAGAGGTTGAACAACAAATAATGGTATAACTTCAAAATTCTTCTTTAGCTTCAAATTCATTCATTTTTAGGATTCCTCGGACAAGCCCCAACCTTCCAATATTTCAAACATTCAACTCCCCCCACTATCCGATTCTAGCTACGAAAATACTTTTGAAACACCAGCACATTTTGCTTCAGAAAATTTTGCTAGCGCCCATCAAAATAATCAAGCAAGTAATGCTCCTATAAGAACTGTGCCAACTCAAATGAGCGAAGAAATTGTGGAATCTAGAGAGGAAGCACATTGGAGCACAAAAATGGAATTTGCTTCAGAATCGAATAAAGCAACAATTAAAGAAGCTGGAAATCCTTTCACACTAGAAGAAACTCAAGCTTCTCAATCCCAATATATAACTGATTCCTCCAATTTATTTTATAGTAATGGGATGGGACAACAAGAATATCAACAACAAAGTTATACTGAGAGTGGCTACTATTATGGAAATGAGACGGCTAATACTGCTGCTAGTAAGTTGCTTCAAGTTTTAATCACATTTTAATTCCAAGTTTTATTAAAAGTTGGAATTAAGTTTTAAGTTTGTAAATGCTTCAAGTTTTAATTTCCAAGTTTTATTTTTAAACTTGCTTCAGGTTTTAAATTAATTCTAAGTTTTATAAAACTTGAAATTAAGTTTTAAGTTTGCGATTGCTTCAAGTTTTAGTTTCCAAGTTTTATTTTTAAAGTTGCTTCAAGTTTTAAATTTATTCTAAGTTTTATTAAAACTTGAAATTGTAATTGCTTCAAGTTTTAACTTAATTCCCAGTTTTATTAAAACTTGAAGCACATACTTAAAATTTTATGTAAACATTTTCAGCAGCAGAAGGGTATGCTTCAAATTATCAAGATTATTCTTATGCCCCTTCAACTTATGAGACAGGCAGCTATTATTCCACAGATTATGGAGCTAATAATCCTTATGGAGCAGGTTGCTTCACTTTTTATTTTTTAAATAAATTTCTGCTTCAATTATTCAAACTTGCTTCCCTTTCTTTTTAGTTCCTCCCACATCAGTAGATATTTACCAATACAATTATAATTATGATGGGCAATATGCTGCTGTATCAGATCAACCAATAGAACAACAAATACCTGTAACAGCACCATATTCTGGCCTAAATCCTTTTAGTGAGGATGGAAATGCTGTGCCCTACCAATCCGATCTCCCACCTCAAACAAATGAAACTCCTGTTGATGTTTCAGTTTATGGGTCACCTCCTCGTGCTCCTCCTCTCCCGCCTCCCCCTGCTATTGCTGCAGGACTTGGACTTCCAGGATTGACTCATAAGACAAGAACACATGATCCATTCTCTTGGGAAGCACAAGAAAGTGAAATTGAGCAGCATGGAGGAGCTCCTTTGCCTCCAAGGTGGCTTCAAACATTTTATTTATGTAATAAAAATCTTTGAAGGCCTCCTCCAAGGACCTCTGAAGACACTGTGCAACAAAAAGAAGATGAAACAGCAAAAAGGACAGAGCCTCCAGCACGGCCCAAAATCCCTCCACCAAGTCGACCACCTGCTCCAACTGCAGCAAAAATTCCAGATAACCCTCCTAGCAACGGTTCACCTTCTGTAGTAGAGAGAAAACTTGAAAATAATGAAGAAGAGACAGAGATTAAAGAAGAAAAACATGAGGATGAAGAAGATCCGTGGGCACGCTTCAATAAGATGACTGAGAAGGTAAACTTGAAACTTTATTAAATAAACTTGACACAGCAGACTTGAAGCAAGTTTCAAGTTTATTTTGCTCTATCAAGTTTATTTTATATATTCCCAAGTTTAATCTTGAAAATAATTTCAAGTTTATTTTTAAGTTTATTTCCAAGTTTATTTATTTTCAAGTTCAATCTTGAAAATATTTTCAAGTTTATTTTAAGTTTTATTATTTCCAAGTTTATTTCTCTTTATATTTTTCAAGTTGAATTAATTCTCCCCTATTTTTTTAGGTTAATAAGGCTGTTAAGAATACCGGTGAAAGGCTTGGTCAACTAGGCGAACAATCAGCAGCTTCCGAACTACAAGACGACCAGCAAGTACAAAGCTATTTATCAACTGTAGGTGGGACTACCATGCAACTGACCGCTTTACAACGCCAACAGATTTTAGAGCAAGAAGCACACCACAAAAAAATGAAAGCTGAAAAACGGCAAAAGAAGCTAGAAAAACTTGAAAAAGGATTTGGTTCAAAAATTGGAGGGGTTTTAGCTGCTGGAATTAATGCTGGGAAGGAAGTTGCATCTGTTGCTAAAGGAAAGGAGAAGAAGCGAAAGGAAAAGAAAATTGAAGAAAAATACGATCCTAAAATGGAAGAGGATATGGAGAAGGCTGCTACTGAGTTGGCTAAGAAGATTGCTGCTCAGCACGGATTTAAGTTGGGGAATGAGGAAGAGGAAAATGGAAGCAAGGTGAAAGAGGAAGATGAAGAGGAAGAGAGCGATGAAAGCGAGGTTGAGCAACATGAAGCTGAAAAAGTTGAAGCAGAAACAAATTCGGAAGCAGAAGCAAATTCAGAAGCAGAAGCAAAACAAGAAGCAGAAGCACCTCCATCAAAAAATTGGGCGGCCGCTTTTGAAAGTGCTTCATTGCTTCCTCCTTCTGAATCTGATGTACACTTGGCAGAAGTACTAACCTCTGAAATAACAGATCCCTTCGATACAAGTCGGGCCAAAAATTTGGCTTTGGGAGGTGGTGGAGGTGAAAGGGAGGTGGATCCGTTTGCCCCACTTTCTCAGCAAGATAGACAAAAGAGTGTTATTGATGATCCTTTTGATGTCCGTCCAATAGAGGAACTCATTGCTGAAGCACGCCAACAAGCAGAAATGGAAAGGGCTAGGAGAGAAGCTGCAGGAGAAGCTGGGGAATATATAGAAGAAAATGAGGGAGGTATTAGAAGACCTACTTCATCTAGACTTTCAACTCCAACTCAAGAAGGTGGTAGTCCGGTAACGCCGTCAATGGTGCGTCCTGTTGGATTTGAAGACGATTTTAAGGTAAGATAACGAGAAACCCCAAAATTGAAACTTGAAGCATGAAGGAAAAATGTTTTTAGAATTAAAACTTGAAGCAAAATATTTGCTAAAATTAAAACTTGAAGCAGACTTAAAAAATAATTAAAATTTGAAACATGAAACAAAAAAGTTTCTAAACTTAAAACCTGAAGCAAAAAAGCACCAAAATTAAAACCTGAAGCATTTTAAAATTAAACTTGAAACAAAAATTTTTTTAATAGAATATGGCCATCGATGAACAAACTCCTCTATATGACGAAGATGATTCTCAACCTCTTTCTGAGTTTCCTCCGCGTTTTACCGGGGATGGCTGGGAGCTTTTGCTACGATATCCACCAAAAAAGAAGCTGATGGCTGATCGTTATTGGAAACCTATTTTTGTTCGACTTAATGGGAATATGCTTTCTTTGTATGCAAATGCGCAAGAGACTAGGCCATCTCAGGAAATTTTACTACAGGTTGGTAAATCGTTTCTATTTAAGTCTAAATAATGCGAGGGACTTAAATTTACATATTAAAACCAATATTAAAACCAATTGAAGCAAAAAAGTGTGCTTTGCTTATAAAAAAAGTGAAGCAAAGAACTTGAAGCAAAAAACTTGAAGCAAAAACTTGAAGCAAAAAGTTGAAGCAAAGAAATAATTTTATCTGAAACAAAATTTTCTAAAATGTGGAGCATGCTTTTAGAAAAATTAAAAATTATCAAAAGGTGAAGCAAGAAAGCGAAGCAAAAATTTATTTTTTAAGAGTGAAGCAAGTTTATATTTTTTCAATAGGCCAACTATTCATTATCCGACCCAACATTACAAGCTTATGATATTTACGGCAAAATACACACAGTCAAGCTACAACATATTCTGTACAGAGAACGTGTGGGTATACGTCCAGGCCAAATTTCCAGGCTTGTAGAAGGACACATTACAAAATATGGACTTCCCCTTGAACATGCAGCACAATGCAACGTTATAGCGAAGTTTGGGTCGTTGGATGCTTCTACTGTTTTGAGTTTTACGAGAGCTGTGGAAGACGCTCTATTTATATGTCCTAGCAAAAGAGAGTTTACTGCAGCAAATGCACCGTTATATAGACAGGATGAGGTTCAGGTGTGTATTTGGAATTGAACTAGGGATAGTACTCTCCCTACTATAAGATACCCTCACTATAAGACCCAGGCACTATAAACCCTCCTCTATATGATACCCTCCAATAATATAACCCCAAAGAGCCCAATACTAGATACCGTATTTCCTATATTAGAGCCCCATGGGGCTCTATTTTTCAACTATCCTCCAGGGTGGGGCTGTATTAAAGGGTGGGGCTCTAATTGAGGGTGGGGCTCTATTTTTCAACCCTCTTTGAGTTAAAATCCCATTTATTAACTGTCCATTGCAACAAGAGATAGGCCGGAGGGGATGGTCGATAAAACCGAAAATATCAAAAGCGAATCGATATTTTTTTTGATTTTTCATGAAAAATTAAAACTTTTTAAGCAATGAATAACAAAATAGTCACAATAATTCAATAAGAGTAAGATTAATATTAAATATTAATAGATTTGGACGGATTAAAGGAAATATTAGGGGACTAGTGTTTGACATCGATGGATCAGAGGTATAAGAGTGGCTTTTAAGGGATTATGGGGAATACAGAGGATTAAGCTTATATTGAGAGATTTAGCGGGATTAAGAGGGATATTCTGGACTAGGGGTATTAGGAGGCAAATGAAGGGATTTTGTTTGATGAAGCTTTTGAACAAGTTCCAGAACTGGAACCGATTTTGGAGAAATTTTGGAACTTCATCACTGATTATAAGCGAGATCTCTAATAGATCTTTAATAATCTCTCGAATTATCGCCAAGTGCCTAACACGATTGCAACCCTTCATATTGAAACCCTTCAAAAATTGCAACCCTTCATAAATTTATTTTATTGGAGATAATAGGAGGGATTTGGAGGAATATAGGCGATTCTAGAGTATTTGGGCGGATATCGAAGTTATCCCCTCCTTTTCATTTCTATATTCCTATGATCCCTCCTCCTTCTTGATCGCGATATCATCGAGATCCATCCCCTTTATTTCCTTAACTCTCTTAATACATCTAAAAAGTTATTGGGATAATTTTTCCTCCAATATTTTTTAGGTGGGGCTTTATTTGGGGTGGGGCTCTAATTGAGGGTGGGGCTCTATTTTTTAACTATCCTCCAAAGTGGGGCTGTATTAGAGGGTGGGGCTCTAACAGAGGGTGGGGCTCTAATATAGGAAATACGGTATCCTCAATTTACCCTGTAGAGAAGGCTGTCTAAGCGATACCCTCTATTTAATATACACTACAAGAATAAGCCCATAGGGTTTACCTTATAGTGGGGCTATATGTATCTGAAGTAAATTAATTCATTATATTAAAGATTCATTGTTATGACGAATACGAAGCAAGGATTGACCGTGAAGGTTTTGTTCATGATCAAAAAGCACGTGTTCGCCTTTTCTGCCTTGCTTTTCTTACTGGTACAACGCCCACCTTAGAGATTGGATTAAATGATCGTCGACGTGAAGGGAAAGAAATAGTTAGAAGAAAAGACATTTTGCCAATGTACACCGAAAGATGGATACGTTTTGAGGCTCCAGAGTTCCACAGTACTGTAGAAAAGTCTGTCTGGGAAGAAGACCAAGTAGTTAGACTTGTCCCTCCGGATGGCTGCTTCTTCGAATTAATGCGCTTCAGAATCAGACCTCCTAAGAACCGAGAAAAACCTCTCAGTGTAAAATGCATAATGCGTCTGTCTGGGAAGCAAGTAGAAATTCGGATAGAAACTGCAGCAGCCCTACATCAACAATGTGCTAAAGGAACAGTGGAATCTACTAGATCAATCCCTTGTGAAAATATTTGCATCCGTTTCCCGATACCGGAAGCTTGGATTTATATTTTCCGCGAAGAGAGGCATTGGGGTGTTGGTTCTGTTCACTCAAAGATGAGAAAACCTGGAAAAGTTAAAAACTTGAAGGATAAATTAATGGGGACCGTGCAGCAAAATGAGCCTTGTTTAATTGAGGTGTGTTTTGAGTTTGTTTCAAGTTTATTATTCTATCACAATCTTAAGTTTATTTTTGGTCGCAATCTTAATTCAAGTTTATTTTTTTACAATTCTTTTCAAGTTTACTTTCATTACAACCCTATTTCAAGTTTATTTTTCTATCACAAACTTGTTTCAAGTTTATTTTCTTATTACAATCTTAAGTTTATTTTTATTCTAAGTTGCAATCTTATTTCAAGTTTATTTCTTATTCCAACTTGATTCAAGTTTATTTCTGTTACTAGCTTAAGTTTAAGTTTATTATTCTTTCACAATCTTGTTTCAAGTTTATTTTCTTATTACAATCTCAAGTTTATTTTTATCTTAAGTTTCAATCTTATTTCAAGTTTATTTTTTATTCCAACTTGATTCAAGTTTATTTCCTACCACAAACTTGTTTCAAGTTTATTTTCTTATTACAATCTTAAGTTTATTTTTATTTCAAGTTTATTTTCACTATTAGTATTAAAATCTCATTTTAAATAGGTTGGAACAGGTGAAGCAAAATATGAGCATTTATTTCGTTCACTAGTTTGGAGAATCCCTCGACTACCAGATAAACAAAGTGCTGCATACAAAAGTTATATGCTCAAGTAAATATTAGATGTTTAATTTCACTTTTTTCTGACTTTAAAGATGTCGTTTCACCCTCACTTCATTCGATTTAATGCCAGAAACTTTTATGCCCCAAAGCGAGTTGGAGTTTACTATGCCTCTAGCGATTGTTAGCAATACAGTGGCTCGTTCTGTTGGAGTTGAGCAACACGAAGACAGTGATAGAGTAGAAAAATTTGTTCGGTATTTGGCAAAATTCCATTACAGGTCCTTAATTATGATAAAACAAGATTGTAGATATTTTACAATTTGTAAAATGGTTAAAACTTTAATTACAATAATTTTTACAATTGTAAATTTATTTAAACTTATTTTGTAAATTAAACTTTAATTCAAGTTTAATTAATTTTACAATTGTAAAATTATTAAAACTTTTTCTTGAATTAAGTTTGTAATTTAAGTTTAAATTACAAATTGTAAAAATTATTGAAACTTTAAGGTTGCAGTTAAAGTTGTAAATAATTTTACAAATTGTAAATTTGTTAAAACTGTAATTGCAACTTTAATCCACAAAATAAGTTTAATTTGTAAATTAAACTTTAATTCAAGTTTAATTAATTTTACAAATTGTAAAATTAGTTAAACTTATTTTGTAAATTATTACAATTCTTCAACTTGTACATATTTATTATTCTTTTAAGAATTGATAATGACTATATTCAATGCCCAGACTTGGATGTAGAAGATGTTGTAGTTGAACAACCCCAGCAATCTAATGATGATAAAAATGAGGAAGACGAAGCTGTAGTAAATGAACCTTATGGAGGGTAAAGGGGACTTTTTTTAAAATTTACTTTTTTTAATTAAAGTTATCGAATTGAATTGCCCGACGATAATATCCACCAGCAACAACAAATTCCGTCCACTACCCCACAAAATTGGAACCAACAAGAATCTGAAAATATAAAACGAAACACAAATCTTTCAAAAAGTAGTAGTAGTGGAAGTAGTGATAGTGGACGTAAAGCCTTCCCGGTTATTCAAATTGATATGAAAGGATATGGATATTAAATAAATATATTTTTTATATTTGTAATAAGGTGATGGAATTGGGATTAATTTTTAAGTAGAGACTATTAATTATGATTTCTTAAATTATTTTGAGACATAAATACAAACTTGATTTTAATCAAGTTTGTTAAGAAAATTAATTACAACTTTATATATAAATTTTTAAAAATCGCAAACTATGTCTTAACAAGTTTTACAAATTGTAAAGTTTACAAAATAGGTTTTAATATTTTTTACAAATTGTAAAATTAATTAATACAATTTGTAAAAATTATTCAAACTTATATTTTGTGACTTATTACAATTTGTATTTAAAGTTGTAATTCAAGTTTTAATTATTTTTACAATTTGTAAAAATTATTAAAACTTATTTTCTGATTTTTACAATTTGTATTTTAAGTTGTAATTTAAGTTTTAATTACCTTTACAATTTGTAAAATTAATCTTACATATTGTAAATATTATTCAAACCTATTTTATACTTTTTACAATTCAAGTTTTTATTTTTATCTGATTCCATCAAGACCATAATACTTAAAAAATATTTTCCAGGTGATCATATATTGATCTCGAGCGCAAATAATTATTTTACAATCTTGTTTCAGTTTAATATTTTTTATTTTTAAAATAAAATTTATTCTTAATTTATGTTTTTACTGAGAAAAATAGAACCCGTGGTTGAACTTCCCTGAAGCCCCCTGTCAATTTGTATGCCACATTAAGCATTTTAAAATAATTTTTTTAAATTTTTCTTGAGCTATTCCACACCTTTAATTAAGCAAATAGTTTCAGGATGTTACCAAAGCATGTTTCATCTCTTTAATATTTTAATTAAGTTCTCTCACTCTCTCTGTTAGCATATGATTTTTGGCCTCACTTCATTTGCCAACTCATCGGGTAAAAATATTTAAGTATTGCTTGCCAACTAAGAGAAATCCATAAATTTAGCTTAATATGATTTTTACTTTTTTGGTGGGAATTATCCTTGAAATTTTCTTAAACTTGAAAGTTTCAGCACAATTATTTCCAGGATATGAGCCTGATGGAAGTAAATTTCAATTAAAATTTCTGTTATTTACAAATTTATTTTTAAGCGTGTACGATGGGGAGATGCCTCCAAACAAGTCAAATATGTGATAGAAATACAAACAATTGCTGTAAGCTTTTAATAGTTTTTGAGAGAAAAAAATTAAGTTTTAAGTAATTTTTACAAATTGTAAAAAGTTTTATAAAGTTTGTAAATGTAAATTACAATTTTTGTTAGGTTTGTAAATTAAGGTTAACTAAGTTTTACAAATTGTAAAAATTTGTAAATAAGTTTTAAGACATTTTTACAAATTGTAAAAAGTTTTATAAAGTTTATTATTAAAGTTTTATTATTGTAAAAAGTTTTACAAATTGTAAAAGTTTATGTTTGTTTTGTAAATAAGTATTGTAATTACTATTAAGTTGTAAATTAGGTTTTAAATTATTTTTACAAATTGTAAAAAATTTTATTAGGTTTGTAAATGTGAATATCTATATTATAAATTCGCTATTTATGGTGTTCTTAATGGTTTTACAATTTGTAATTTATTATTAGACTATGAATTTATTTGAAATTATCATATTTGATGATAAAAAAACTTTTTTTGAGATTATTTTTGAAATTATTTTTGAAATTATTAACATTTTTGCAGTCAAAATTTCAAGTAGACAAGCAGTAAGAAGATACATTAGAAATGCAAGATCTGGCGTTTGTGAAAATACACTTTGCCCACCGGGAAGTATCAAAGACAAGGATGGTATGTTAATAGAAAGATTCAGCATATAATTTTGAATTTTAAGGCTGTTCTATCAAAGGTGTCTGCATAACTTTGAGTCAAACTTGTATTCAAGGAGAGTGTTGCGAAAAGTCTTATTTGCCAAATGCGATGCAAGCAATGCAAGAAACGTGCAATCCAAATATGCCCTCCAATCCGAATATGCCTAATCAGAATATGCCATATAATCCTCAGATGACAGGTGGCATGCCTTATGGACAAGGAATGATGCCAGGATATGGACAGGGGATGCCAGGAATGATGCCAGGAATGATGCCAGGGAACATGCCGTACAATCAAATGGGTTATGGACAAGGAATGATGCCAGGAATGGCAGGAAACATGCCGTACAATCAAATGGGTTATGGACAAGGAATGATGCCAGGAATGTCAGGGAACATGCTGTACAATCAAATGGGCTATGGACAGGGAATGATGTCGGGATATGGTCAGGGGATGATGCCGGGATATGGCCAGGGGATGATGCCGTACAATCAAATGGGTTATGGACAGGGGATGATGCCAGGATATGGACAAGGAATGATTTCGGGATATGGCCAGGGGATGTCAGGATACGGACAAGGAATGATGCCAGGATTTGGACTTGGGATGTCAGGATATGGACAAATGATGCCCGGAAACATGCCGTACAATCAAATGGGCTATGGCCAAGGAATGATGCCAGGATATGGACAAGGAATGATGTCAGGATATGGCCAAGGAATGATGCCAGGAAACATGCAGTACAATCAGTTGGGTTATGGCCAAGGAATGATGCCAGGATATGGACAAGGAATGATGTCGGGATATGGCCAAGGAATGATGCCAGGAAACATGCCGTACAATCAAATGGGTTATGGGCAAGGAATGATGCCAGGATATGGACAAGGAATGATGTCGGGATATGGCCAAGGAATGATGCCAGGAAACATGCCGTACAATCAAATGGGCTATGGGCAAGGAATGATGTCGGGATATGGACAAGGAATGATGCCAGGATATGGACAGGGGATGATCTCGGATTATGGACAAGGAATGATGTCAGGGAACATGCCATATAATCAAATGGGATATGGGCAAGGGATTATTGGTGGCAACCTCAACGGATTAGGACTTGGTGGAATAAGCAGCTTAAATGGAATTGGTGGCATGAGTGGAATTGGTCTTGGAGTTGGTGGAGCCGGTGGAATTGGAGGAGTAGGAGGATATGGAGGTATCGGTGGTATTGGTGGATATGGAGGCTATGGTTCTTCGGATTATTATCCGCAATGTGTGCTATTTTCCCAATATTGTGCACTTTCCGCAATTGCTGATGCTTGTCCTGGAAGTTGTGGACGCTTTGGTTTCTCTAGGCGTTGAAGAAATCTTTCTTGATTATTTATAAACTATATGTATATTTCTTAACCTCCTATCTGAATCTCAAAATTGTACATAAATTTATTCTTGTAATAAAAATATCTTTTCATAAGAAGCCGCCTGAACCCCTACCATGTTTACATCAGAACCAAGAATAAGCGGAATATGAAAATACAGGGTGTGGCAAATTAAGCGCGCGTTTGTTTTTTGCCATAACTTTCTTCAATTTTAATGAAAATTGATAATTCTTTTTTAGTTTTATTCCCAACACTTTAGGAAACTTGCTGATACCAAAATTGCTTTTTAATTTTAAGTTTACTCTGAGTAAACTTCCCTCAAAGTTTGAGCAGAATTTTTTGGATAAAAATTGGCCTAGATTCAAGGCTGGGATTTTAATATTGGAAATGTTTATATCATTCGAATCAGCTCTTCATTCTGATTCGAATGACATAAAAATCATGGGGCTAAGACAAAAATCGAATGAGATACGGTCCTCTGAATGATAAATTAAAATAATTTTGATAAAAATAAAATTTTTGTGTAAAATTTTCAAAAATGAGATTATAAGCTATTTCGATGCTCCTGAACGAGATGAGTCGTTTAGTACCAAAATCATTGGTATTGAACGATTTTGAACGAAGTTATGATCAATTAAACTTTGGCATAAAAAATGTTTTTAAATTTTCCAGACGATCGAACTCGATTATCTTTGCCAACAGTGAACCAAATTTTTAATATTTGGTATCAGCAAGTTTCCTAAAGTGTTGGGAATAAAACAAAAAAAGAATTATCAATTTTCATTAAAATTGAAGAAAGTTATGGCAAAAAATAAACGCGCGCTTAATTTGCCGCACCCTGTACTAATAGCTTAATGTTGTTCTTTCTCGCTCACTCCTTCGCTCACTCCTTTAGAGAGATTCACACTTCACTTCTTTAGGGAGATTAAATGGGCTATATCTCCTCCGATCGGGCAATCACTATAATACGGACCAGGGTTCGAGTTGACCCTATTCACGATTCCCAAAAATTGGGTATTTGGTTTTCTGTCGGCGCGCTCCCTGGTACAGACTATTCTCTTGACTAATCCACCCACTAATCCTTTCTTTCTCTTATTTCCGAAATTATATTGGTTACTGATAGGCAGGATTGGTGGCAAAGTTATATCAGGTATTATTTCTCAAATTTTATTTCCGCATAAAGTACACCTGTTGGCATTTCTAAAAATATTTTTTTTCTTCCATTTTTAACAAAATTTAAAAAATTTTTTTGTTTATTTAAAAAAAATTCTTTAATGAGTGAGAGTTTAAAATTAGAGGATTTTTCGTTGGCAAAATAAAAGCTGAGTAAATATTAAACCGAACATGCCATATCGATCCTCTCTCTATTTTAGATTCTCGATTCAACTTTGAGAAAAAATATTTCCCAAAATTTTTAAAAATAAAAATTGATTATTATTCAATTAATCCCCTTAAATTGTAATTTTTTTGAAATGAAAAAATTTTTAATTTTCCCCAAGAGTAATTTGAAGAGGAAAAAACGGCCTTTATTTTCTAATAATTCTCCCCATTTTTATTTTTCAAATGATTCAAGAGGACCCCAAAAAAATTTTTTCATTATTCTTTTGTTGCTTCTAAAAGTGCTAGTACCTGGTAATGGACAAGCTGCTTTTGGCCCCGTAAATCAGTGCCCAATGGGGCAGATAGCAGATGGATGTAAGTAGAATATAATTGTAAATATAATTTTTAAGATTGTAAAATTGTAAAAAAAAAAATTATTTTTTTTACAATTGTAAAATACACCTGATTCCGATTATAAAAAATACGCCTAGTCACAATTGTAAATACGCCTGATCACAATTACATATTCATAAAGAATACGCCTATTAATATTACAATTTAAACTTTTTTTACAATTGTAAAATACGCCTGCTTGTTAATTCCGCCTGCTTCAGTTTTTATGGCTATAAATTATGAAACAGGCGGAATTAAAAAATAGGCGTATTTTACAATTGTAAAAACTTTAAAATTTAAAATATAATCCGCCTGCTTCACAATACCGTAAATCCCCTAAAACTACAATTAATAATTAAGCATGCTTTATTTATGGCTTTTGCTTCAATCAACAAGAGCGGTGCTTAAACGGAGTTTGCTGTAATTATTTTTAATAAAATAATTAAATTAAAATTATTATTCTTAGGTCGTCCTCTAGTGCCTCAATGCCCTGTCGGCTTCATTCCCGATGGATGTAATTATTTTTTTATTAAAGTGTGGCCCAAAAGTAGCTGGCCACGTTTCTTTCATCATAACTTTTTTTCTAATTTACATTTTTAAATATATTTATACTCATTTTGTAGCCCAAACAATTCTCTTTCATGGCCTTAAAACTCTGTGTCCCAGCAAAGTGTGGGCACCAGGAATGGGCCTTCCCGCAACACATAAAATCCGGAGGAATTCTGCTTCAAAATAGCGGACTTCTTCGGAAGGCGGAAGATAGTTCATCCCTTGTGGGCACCTTTAGTTTTTTGATTAAGCTTGTTCCTTCCTTATTTCCCTATCATTTAAGCTTTATTCTACCTCATTATCCCTTGCCTGACTAAAGTTATGAGATAAATAAGGTGTCCAGTTACTTTTGGGTCTCCCTTTAAAATTATTTTAAATTAAGCTTGTATTTTATTTTTCAAGTTTGTTCATACACTGGAATTTGTTTCGAATTAAATCAGCGTTGCCTTAATGGAGTTTGTTGTTAGTTTATTTTAATTTTCTCAAAAAACTACAAATTTTATGAATTTAAAGGCAGACCAAACCAAGTATATCAACAATGCCCCCCAGGGACATTTCTAGACGGCTACTGTTCCTATACTCGAATTTGCTTTGATCCGCGCGAAACTTGTTTTAATGGACTTTGCTGTAATTTTTAATTGAAAATTTGAAATATTGAAAAATGATTTTTAGGTCAGAGTTATGGACAAGGACAGATTCCTCCTAACTATCCGCCGAATCAGATATACCCCCCTAATCAACCTATATATCCTCCCAATCAACCCATATATCCTCCGAACCAACCCATATACCCTCCCAATCAACCAATATACCCTCCAAATCAACAAATATATCCCCCTAACCAAATATACCCTTCTCCAAATCAAATTTACCCCCAAAACCAAATATACCCTGTAAATCAAATTTATCCTACCAACCAAATTTACCCCACCAACATCTATCCTTATCCTCGACAACAAATTCCAGGAGGAATTGGTGGCATCTATCAACCATATCCTATTGGGTAAGTAAATCCAATTAAATTTTAAATTATAAAATATTTCAGTGGTCTAGGAGGAATGGGTGGTATACGGCCTATTGGTGGGGGAATAGGCGGCCTTGGAGGAATTGGATATGGCGGAATTGGCAGTCTTGGAATGGGAGGACTTGGAGGCTTAGGAGGACTTGGAGGATATGGTGGAATTGGAAGCCTTGGACTTGGTGGAGGACTTGGAGGAATGGGAGGCGGACTTGGTGGCCTAGGAGGAATTGGCGGCCTTGGCGGTATGGGTGGAATGGGAGGACTTGGAGGAATCGGTTTCGGGTGTGTAGATTATCATCCATATTGTCCCCTTTACACTACTTACTGCTTTTCTTCAACAATTGTGGAAGTATGTATGGAAAGTTGTGGACTTTGTGATATTTACAAAAGGTGAAAGGAGGACATAAATTAATTAAAAAATAAATACTTATATAAAAATAGATTATATTTTGTAATAATTGTATAATTAAAAATTATTTATTTAAAAATTGAAAAATAAAATTTTGACAAGTGAGAGGAGCTGGAATGATAATATCAAGGATATATCTACACATAAAATAAGGATTAAAATAAATTGATAAAAATCAGAATTATTAAATATAGGGGCGAAAGTACATAAATAATTCTGATTTGCAAACTTAAAACTTGATTTTGCTTAAAGTTTGTTTATGTCTGCATTTTACAAATGTATATTCTGATTTGTAAAATAATTATTAATTGTAAAACTTGGATAATTCTGATTTGAAAATTCTGATAATAAAATTCTGATATTTTACAAATAATTGAGTGAAGCAGAATACACAAATAAAATTCTGATTTTTTTTCAGAATTTTTTTTAAAAAATTCTGATTTTTTTCAGAGTATTTTCAAAATAAATTCTGATTTTTATCAGAATTTTTTAATAAGAAATTCTGATTATTTTCAGAATATTTTTTAAAAATTCTGATTTTGTAAAACTTAATTGCAAATTAATTCTGATTTGTAAACTTAAATAAGCAGCCTGAAAAAAACATTTTCTGATTTGTAAACTTGAAATTGTAAACTTGAAACATAATGAACTTAATTATCTTTTTATTCTATTTTCTACCCTTTTTGCCCTTTTTCTATTTAATTTCATATTTCCTTCATGTCTCCTCTTACTAATTATCTCATTATCTTCATTCTTCAATTTTCTTCTTTGTCTTCCACCAATTTTAAAATTTTCCTTTCTTCTCATTTCCCCACTTCTTTTAGTTAACAACACCCTCCTCTTTGTTGTTTTTATTATTTTTGGAACAGAAATTCTGATTTTATTTTTTTTCTGATTTTCGTCACTTAGAGTGGTAATTACTGCTTCTGTATTATTTAAATTTTCCCTTCTCATTTTTTCTGGTAGCAATTTTTCTGTGTTTATTCTCTCCTTTTTTGCTTTCCTTCTGGGTGTTTTTAATGATTTTATTTTTCGCCTAGTTGGGGTTGTTCTGTGTTTTTGACTGTTTTTGGTGGTTGGAAGTGTGGTTGCTTCAGTTAATAAATTGAATAGACCGGCAATGTTTGTTGTGAGCTTGAGTTCGTCTTGGAAGGCTTTGACGCAGTCTTCGGGGACTTTAAAGGGAAAATAATTTTTTTGAAAATTTTTTCATAAAATCAAAAAAATCACGTTTGCGACAGCTTTGCTTCATTTGATCATCTTCCATGCATATTTCCCTTTCTGGTTTACAATCCAATTCGCACTGGTCTAGAACGGGAACCCATTGGGCATCCGAAAATGGCTGTCCGCCTGAAAACTTACTTTAAAAATTTTAATAAATACAAACATAATATTTGATTCCTGAAGAGAAATTCTACTAATTCTGCAGCATTTATTGGTGTTAAAAATATTAATATTAAATTTAATAATTGTAAAAACAATAGCCTGACAAGTAAACAATCATTCATCTACTTAAATGTTTCAAGTTTAATTTTAATTTTGCTTCAAGTTTAATTTTAATTTTGCTTCAAGTTTAGTTTTATTTCAAGTTTATTTATGTGTTTCAAGTTTATTTTGTATTTTATAGGCTTCAAGTTTTAATAATCCAAGTTTGTATTTCAGACTGATTTTTGTGTTTTAAGTTTATTTGTGTGCTTCAAGTTTATTTTTGTATTTCAAGTTTATTTTTGTAATCCAAGTTTATTTTTGTAATTCAAGTTTATTTTCGTATTTCAAGTTTATTTTTGTAATTCAAGTTTATTTTCGTATTTCAAGTTTATTTATAAGTTCTAAGTTAAGTTTGCATTTTAAGTTTGTAATTTATTGTGTTTTAAGTTTATTTTGCTTCAAGTTTATTTTTTTAAGATTTCTTGCTTTTTATTACTTGTTTTAATATTTATAATTAAAAGTTTCAACTTACTAAATGCTTCAAAAAATTAAAAATAGTACATATAATCCAATAAAATAAATAATAAAAAAAATATTTTTATAATCTAATAAAATAATAACAAATAATGTGGCCAAAAGCTATTTGAAGCAAATTAATTAACAACTACATAGAAGCAATTTAATCTACTATTAGGTGTGTAAAATCGCAACCATTAGCATTTCCCCTCCAATAAAAATAAATTTATTAAATTAACAAAAAGAGAGAATTGGGTGAATTAATTAATAGAAAAAGAGGGAAGAAATTTTGTAGAGAGAGATTGATTGGTCAGGACCGGTTGTCGGATTTGTCAATTGCTTCCACCCTCCCCCTTACCTTAGGGGAGAATGTTTATATATATTTATTGTTAAGGAAAGCACCCCTTTTTTGGATTTATTTTTTATTATCCTTCCGCGTGTCCGTGATCTTTATCATTTTAAGGGGGTTTTATTTGGTAAATTATCAGTTTGAGAGAGAGAGAAGCAAAGAAATGTTTCTGAAGCAAAAAATGCTTCAACTTTACATTAGAATAAGTTGCAACTCTAATAAAAAATAAACTTGAGATTACAAACTTAAGTTAAATAAATTTAAGTTTTACAACTTTAACAAAAGCTTAAAAATGCTTCAACTTTGCTTATAAAAATAAAGTTTCTTAGAAGCAACCCTTAAAGAATACTGTATTTTTAATTTTAAAAATTTATTAAATAAAAATTATATTTATTTTTAAATTATTTTCATAAGTATATAGCCAAAAAATTATTATTTTAGATAGATTATCTAAAAAGTGAATCTGTCAGAAAAATATTAAATAGCTTTTGCCTTTAGGTAAAGGTTGCGCAAACATCTACCTCTCTTAGGTTATTTTCTCCGATTGACCTTTATACAGCTACCAATAATTTTTATTATTTTTTTAATGATTTATTAGATGATTTATTAAAATATAAAAATAATTAAAAAGGAAAAAAGAAAAATATTATTAAGAAAATCAAAGTTGAAGCAAGCAATAAATTCTGAAACTTGCTGCTAGCCGAGTTACAAAAATTCTCCTTACAAAAACAAAGGGAAGGAGAACCAGAACGACAATGTAAATTCTGTGGAATAGAAACATCTGCTTTGTAAATTCGAGATCTACATCCACGTATAACAAATTCTAAGCCTGTTAAAGTTTAAAAAATAATTTTAGAAGCAAAAAGTTTCAAGTTTATATTAAATTCAAGTTTTTAAGTTTACAAACTTGTAGTCTTAAGTTTATTTAGAAAATTGTAATTCAAGTTTATTTAAAGTTGGAAACTTTTGTTTTATTTAATTCAAGTTTACCAACTTTAAATTAAAGTTTGCGGTTGTTTCAAGTTTGATAATAAAGTTGAATTATCAAGTCTATTTTAAACTTAAGTTTTTAAGTTTGCAAACTTGGATTTTCAAGTTTATTTAAAAAAATCAAGTTTTACTCTAAATTCCTACTTAAGTTTATTTATTTTTTAAGTTTAAGCTTAAGGTATTTTGCTGTGCGCAACAAACGCCAAAATACTAATTTACGCCGAAATTGGATTTAAAAATAAACAAAACGCCAAAACATAATTTTTTAATATTTATTTAAAAAATTTAAAATATTACCTTCATTAACCGCCTTAACCTTTACACATTGATCATTTGCCGTTGAACATTGAATAGTGGGGATTGTTTTAAATTCAATATCGTCTTCCATATTGCAAAAACGGCTAACTTAAATTTCTTAAATAAAAATAGAAACAAGTTAAATGCCTGGGGGCAATTCATAAACAGAATTAAGAAACACTCGAAGGGCCATTTTCGCATTTTCTTCAATATTAGGGTTTAAAGTGGTTGTACAAGAGTAGCAAATGAGTGCCCAAGAAGGCACTAGAATTTTTATAATAAAAAATAATAATATTGGAATTTGTTGGTGGTTATTAGAGAACATTTTGTAAATAAGTCATTTATTTTTAATTTTGCTTCAAGTTGTAAACGTTGTTAATTATTTCTATTAAACTTTATTTTTCAAGTTTAAGCTTAAAAATAGGGTTGTACCCTGAACACTCAAAAGCAAGAAAAAAAATTTTTTAAGTTTATTTTTAAAACAACTTTGCTCCCATTTATTTAAAATATTTAGTTGATGGCAAGTCGGTTGCCAGGGAATATATTTTTATGAAAATAAATCTCTTCAAAATATTTTTCAGGAAAACATGGAAAGTAAAGCATTAAAAACAGGCGATATTTATGGATATATTAAGAAAATAAATTAATGGAGGAAAAAATTTTTCTCTACTTTTTTCTAATTTAGGTTAAACTTTAAGCTTATTTTTCAAATTTAAGCTTGAAGGGTGCCGTGCGCAAAAAAACGCCAAAATTATTTTTTCTAAATTTTTTTCTATTTTTAACAAGAAAAATTTTTCACAAAATTCTTCACAAAATTTATTTATCTTTTCATATGTTCAAAATTAAATTGAAATTAATAGTACAAAGCAGGGATGTCACGGGTTACCCGAAACCCGATACCCGAAACCCGGCCTTTTTTTCGACCCGATACCCGAAACCCGATCCGAGAAATTTTCTAAAACCCGACCCGAAACCCGACCCGAGAATTTTTATTTTTCAAAACCCGACCCGAAACCCGACCCGAGTTTTTTCAAAATTTTCGCCCGCGTCGCAGAAAAATGGAAGATTTTTAGCTTAATGACCTCCAAAATTCTGAAAATTTTCGCCTGCGGCGCTGAAAAAGTGACTTTTTTCGACCCGAAACCCGGAACCCGATCCGAAGAAAATTTTGGAAACCCGATCCGAAACCCGACCCGACTTTTTGCTCAACCCGAAACCCGATCCGAGAAAAATTTTGGAAACCCGATCCGAAACCCGACCCGACATTTTTCTCAACCCGTGACATCCCTGGTACAAAGTATAGTGTATATGTATATCACAAAAAAAAAAAGAAAAAACATTTTTTAAATAAGCAGAAAAAAATAAAATAAAGTATGTAGTCTTTAAAGGTAAAACAACTAATAAAAAATCAAAAAATTTCCCCCTTAACCCCCTCTACCCAAAAAATATTTTTAATCAAAATTTTCAATTCAAATGAAATCCTTTTTCATATGTAGCGGCCAATAAACGTTCCCGTAAAATTGTGGCAGTGCTATATTCGGGCAATTTTAAATAATGTACACAAGTATTTACTGACTGAAAAATTAGAGGAAAATTAATTTAAAAAAATTTTTAAAAAAACTTACAGGATAAGATCCATCTCCAGACCCAACTTTTCTTACAATTGTTAAGCGTGGATGTAAATTTGCAAGTCCGCCAGGTGGTAATGAAGAACAACTATTGTTAAAAATTATGTTAATTTTTAATAAAAACATAGTCGAATCTCTATAAAATTATCTCTTATAATGAGGTGTCTATTAAATAGAGAGAAAAAGTATTTTTTAGATATAGAGTATCACTTAGACTGTTACCCAACCTAGTGGCTCAAATTATAAATTGTCTATTAAAGAGATGTAGAACACACTATAGGATACTATTCTTTGGAATGGTAAAATCGTCCATTACAATGAGGTATATCTTATAATAAGGTATTAAATTTTACAAAAAAATTCTTTATTTACCCGGTTGTAAATTGTAAAAAGGCTTTGCGTTCAGTCGAATCGAAATTATTCAGAACATCAACAAAATTGATAAATACAGGCGAATCACGAGTATATCTTTAAAAAAATATTCAAAAAATTTAAAAGCACGTTTTAAATATTTTAAAAAATTGAGAGGAGTACAAAATATTACTTAAAAAATATTTGAGAGGTATTTTTAATCTTTCTCAGAAGAAATTTAAAAACAACATAATTTCTTAAAGTGGAAATTGAGGTTAGGGGGGTCATGGGTTCGATGCCGCTTGGGGAAATTATTTTTCAAACAATTTTAAATGTGTTGGTAAGTCTAAAACTCTAACCAAAATTAATTTTATATGTTAAAAAGATTTTATTTAAAATTAAAAAAAATTTACCCAAGTTTAGGTTCTGTATAACGTAATAAATCTTCTCTTGTCCATTTAGGGCATTGTTCACCAGAAATAAGTAACTAAAAGAAATTTTTTTATAAAATAATATTTCTAATTAGAAAATAAATTTTACTTGAAGTTCTGATGCAGAAAACGGACTTAAAGCAGACAAGGGAAGAACCATATTGAATCCATGTTTAAAGGCAAACACCTTTAAAATGAAAAAATTTTTTTAAGAATTAAAATAAATTAATATTTTAAAGCTTATTAAAATAATATACAGTTAAAGACATTGGGTCTCATTATAAGAAATTAAAAAAAAATTTTCTTAAAAAAATTTCTTAAGAGATCATGAACTTTAAGAGGTAATGGGTTCGACCACGCATGGGGAAATTATTATTTTTTAAAATGATTTTAGATGGGCGTGGGGAGTTAGTGTTAATTTTCCAAGCCCCACAGCGAACAGATGTTTTGTTCAAAAAATTTTTTCAAAAATTTTAAAAATTTCCCTCTAAAACAAACCTGTTCTTTAATTCCCGTATTTAAATAAAAATCAAGGCATTTTTCAATATAAAGCTCAACATTTTCTACAGTCACGTCAATATTCAAACCATTTTCAACAAGTTCAGCATGTGAATATGGAAAGACTTTAGATGGAGGATTTACAGCAAAAGTTAAAGACAAATCTAAAAAATAAGAGAAAATGATAGGGTAGTAAATTAAAAAATGTGAATAAAAAATTTTAAACAAATTTGCGGACAAATTTTTCGTCCGCAAAAATTTTTGCGGACATTTTTCAGAAGAGATCACCTATTGTTCGTGATAAGAAAAAAAATATGTAAAAAATAAATATTAATTAGAAGAAACAAGGAAGAAAAAAATCCGCAAAAATTGTCCGCAAAAAATTTTTTGTTCACAAAAATAAATCAATAAAAAAATTAAATCAAAAAAATTCTTTAAATAAAAATTTCCAAACCTTCCAAAGAACATTCAGAATCCCCAAATTGCACAAGTATTTTTTCAGAATCATTTTTATTGTTTACTTCTTTTATTTTTAAATTATATTCAATTAATGATTTGAGCAATTTTGCCTTTTCTGGGAATATTTGCATAAAATCATCCAAATTGAGAACTGAGTCAATTGAAGGTGTTGAAGAGGAAGAATTTAACTTGAAAAAAAATTTTTTAGCATTAAATTGGAAAAGATTTTTTTGTTAAAATATACCTCTGAAGAAAGAATTAATTTCAAAAATACTGGAGATAGGGGTAAATCAACAAGCCGATCATCCTGAAAAAAAGATAGAATTAAATATAAAAAGAGAAGTCTACAAAATTTATTAGCAAAGTTTTTGTCCGTAAACAATATTTTTCCGCAAAAAATATTTTTTTAACTGATATATGCCCACAAAAAAAAATTTTTTGGAAAAGGGTAAACCTATTAGAAAAGACACACACAACGTTAGCATAGGTTCTAAAAAGCTAAAAACGGAACAAAGGTTCTCAGCTCTTGGAAAAAAAAGAAGTAAACCAAATTTGATCCCGCAAAAAAATATTTAAAAAAAATTTCCCCAAAAAATTTTAAATAAAAATTTTCACAAACTTGTATAGCTTTAGCAATAAAAACTCCAAATAATTGGAAAAGTTCCAATTGTTTTGAAAAATTATCAGCACAATTTGTAATTGTAGGCCATGGAGCCGGGAATAAACCACCAACAGAATGGACATAAAAACCTGGAGGTTTACAACAAGGATTGAGTATTGTTGAAGAAAAATCTGATGATTGAATAGAAGAATTTTTGTTTAATGAAGCATCAACATCTTCTTCATCATCACATAACCACATACACAAATCTTTACGTTGAAATTCTGTAGCAATCTTTAAAATAAATAAAATTAAATTTAGAAAAAAAATTTTTTTAATCAATTTAATTAACAAAAAATTTTTTTGTTAAACCATAATATAAGGCTCATTGTTTTACATCTAATAAAATCTATTTTAGAAAAAAGACAACAAAATTATTCAAAGGTCATCCCAAAAATAATTTTTTAAAAGAGAGAAAAAAAAAGTAAAAAGAAAAACAGTGCAGCTGGGTATGGCTCCGGGAAGTTAAGAAAAAAATTTTTTAATGTACCTTTTTTTAAAATCTATATAATTGGGTTACAAACGTTAATCCCCAAATATATTTAAAAAAATCTTTTTCGAAATAATTTAAAAAATACCAAAGCAAAAAATTCCAATGTAGGCCCCAAACCAGTTCCTTCTTCACCATAATATTCAATTTCAAGAATAGATTTACGTGTAGCATGGAATTTAAGTACTTTAATTGCATTTTCCAAAAATAGTTTATCACTTCGATAAACCTATAAAAAAAGTTGAATACCTTTAGTTATTTCTTTAATGAACTGATTTCAAGGACGGTCTTTGATCGGACATTTTTTGATTCAAAAAAATTTTTTCCAAAAGTTCGAGGGAAATTTTTCTTAAATTACCTTTACCCCCAAACAAAAGTCCGCAAATTTCCCAAACAAAAGTCCGCAAATTTCCCAAACAAAAGTCCGCAAATTTCCCAAACAAAAGTCCGCAAATTTTGTCCGCAAGTTTTACTAAAGTTTACCTGGTTAACCCCCTATTTTTGCCCTAAAAAATATTCTATCTCCCAATAAAAAAATATAAATAAAAAACCTTTATTCTCTCATGTTTAACACGTCCAATTCTATATTCAGGATAATGATCTTCCCTTCTCAATCCAGCCATATTACTTGTACCAGCTGCTGATGTAGCAGCAGAACGGCTTTGTTCAAGTAAATGATCACGGCGATTTTGTAAATAACCTATGGCGCGAGATGTTCCAAATGCTTTGAAGAAAAAAAATTTTCTTTATAAAAAAATTTTTTAAATAAAAAACCTGTTGTATTAAGGTACATAACACGTGTATCCATAGAGAATAAACAAGGAAATTTGTAAACTGAAAAAAAAATTTGAATTAAAATTTAGACTAAAAAAACGAAAAATTATAATTTTTGGAGTTCAAAAAAATTTTTTTGAGGTTTAAACTGCAAATTTTGTCCGCATTTCGAACTATTTTTAAGTAAAATAATCGAGAGGGTTAATTTTGAAGAATCGAGTAGAGTATCCCTTTTTTGAAAGCAATAAAAAAATGACAAACTCAATAAATTATTTAAAAATCCAAAAAATCAAAATTTGTGAACAAAAAAAATTCAACAACTTGTCTATATAAAATTAAAAAAGAACAAAACAAACCTAATTCATTACACCAAGAAGGCAAAGTTTTTGCAGCAACAACTAATGGATCTGCCAATTCTTGACATAATTTTTGAGTTAATTTGGCACTATAAAATACATCTGATTTTAATGAAGATAAAGAAGTAGTGGAAGAATCAATTTCTGATAAAGAAGATTGTTGGTTGTTAATTGTAGTTGCCAAAAAATTTAAAATTCGAACGAGTTCGAGAGCCTATTTAAAAAAAAATAATTTTTTTTTAGATTTATTTTTAAATTTAGTAAAATTTTGTAAATTTTTAGAAAATTTAATTGAAGATCAAAACCCCAAAAAATAAGAAAAATACGATTTTTAATTAGAAATTTTTAATCCTTAAACCACTTAACCACAATAAATATAAAGGGGGAAAATTTTAATTAAAAATTCCACTTATGATTATTTTGGTTAAGTGGGATAGAGAACAATTTTTAACTAGATTTAGGTGAATGTATAAAAAATAATTTTTGGGTTTGATACCGGATAACAAAAAAATGTAAAAATTTAAAAAAATTTCTCAAAAATTAAATTCATTAAAATTTTCAATAAAAAAATTTTTTTAAAGTTAAAATATTCATTTTTTTGAAATTTATTAAAAATAAAAACCTGTCCAACTAGAGGAACATTATTACTACTTTCACCACAAATTTTATTGTTATCCAAACAGTTTAAATTTTCCTCTACTTCTTCTTGTTTCAAAACTTGATCATTTTTTTCATTTTTATCAGAATTTATTTCATAAATTATAGTATATGTATTTTCCCACAATTGATTATTTAATTCAAGAGAAGTACCTCCACTAGTTGCTTTGTGTTGTGAATTTTTAATTAGCAATTCTTGTACTTAAGAAAAAAAATATTTTTTTACTAGAAAAAATTTTTGGGACGTTTTTGGAACCGAAAAAAATCATATATTGGGGACACCTTTTTATCTCCGCCAAGTCACTAAACACCCTTAGAAATTGAATACATAAATGAGAGAAAACCAAAAGTGAGAATGGGAGCGATAAGAGAGACAGAGAAATCCGTAAGATGGGCCGAACGGTTTCAAACTTTTCTTTGGATCCTATTTTGGATTTAGGGTCGAAAAAAAAGTTCTGATTGTCGGGGTATATGTGGCCCGGCCCATCCTTGATATACATCAGAGAGATGGGTCGGGTTTTAAAAAAACAAAGAAAGCTCGTTTCGGGTCGCCGGGTAACCAAGTCCATTCCCTAGTATACATAAATGACGCCCTCATAATTATTTTAAAAAATTCTAAAAAAAAACTACTAACCATATTTAAATAACGAAACATTTTCATCATTTAATTCAACCAAAACTTCTTTTTTTGCCATTTTTCCTTCTTTATTTTCCAATTTGTCTTCTTCACTTCTTTTTTCTTCTCCAACATTTTCAACAACAACATTTTTCTTATTATTATTAACTTCCATTTTAAGATAAAGCTTTAATTGTAATTGTTTCAAACATGATTTTTTAGGTTTAATTTGTTGTTGATTATTTGAAGTATTTGTAGTAGAAGATTGGTAAGTATTAAATTGAATATTATCGACGAGTTCAACTTCTTGAGTCTAAAAAAATAAAAAGAATTTTTTAAAAAAATTTAAGAGACTTGAAATTATTTTTCAAATAATTAGACTAGAAATGTGAGGAAAAATGTATGGAAATGTACTCAAATATTTTAGGTGAAAAAAAAAGAAATTTTGATATTTGATTATTCAAGCAACAGCGTTTTTAAAAAATAGAATTTAAAAATATTTTTTGACAAGGATAAAGGAGAAAATTAATTTTCTTCAAATTCCCATTCTAAAAATTAGTGGGAAAGTTCAATAGTCAGAATCGGACAAAAGTCATTTTCTGAGAAAACGAACATTTCATTAACGATAAGAAGTTAAAGGAAATAAACCGTATTTATGGGCGTCTTCGTCTTAAAATCATACCAATAAAAATATATCTCAAATTTTTTGGCTTCCCCTAGCAGAAATATTTCTTTAGAACGATTGGTCCCATACGAAAAATGCCAATAAAAATTTTAAAAAATTCTTAACAGAATATGCCCAGTCAACAAATAATAAAACAAAAATTATAAACCTGATTAACATTAGTTCTACCAGGTCTTGGATCAAAAGCTGGGATTAAAGCATCAAAGTGTTGCCTCAAAACAAATTCATCATTCCACCCACCATTATTATTATTTGTAGAATTTGAAGATTTATTAATTCCAGCACCTCCTCCTGAACGTATAGCACGTGCACAACCACCACCAGTTCTTTAAAAAAATAAAATTTTTCCCCTTCCTTTCTATCAAAAAAAACATACTTATCACCAATATTTCCACCACTATTTGCTGCCAAAATTTCTTCTTGAGAAAACATTTGACGCCAACGTTTATGTGTATCTGAAGAAGAAGATCCTCCACTACCAAATATATGACCACCAAAAGCATCACCTCTTTCTATAATTGCACGAATTGCAGCTAATGCAGCTTGAGGATTTCCAGCAGCTTGGCTAAAAATCAAAAAAAAATTCTCAAATTCTCATTGTCATATTTATAAAATTATATGTAATTCAGCCCTTTATTTTAAATCTCATAAAAAAGAGGAAATGTAGGTGTTAGACCAAGGGCGTAGACAGTCTTAACGTCATAAGAATAAAAAGTTTTTGTTTACAAGCCCAGGAAAAAATTTTTTAAAAAAAAATTATTAATTTAACAAACCTGATACTTTCCAATGCAGCAACTGCTTCACTTAAAATACTTGTAGAACCAATTCCATCACCAATAATATTTGAAGCTGTAGTTGTAGGTATAATTGCTGTTGCTTTCTCTCCAGTATTACCCGAAGAATCTGAAGGAAGTGAAAAACCTCCTCCTCCAACAGACTCATTTAAATCTACAGGTTCACATTCTGCTTCAATATAATATTGATTAAGTAATTCATCATCATAAATATCACTTTCAAATTCATTATCATCCACAAATGTTTCATCGCTAGTATCTCCACCTTCAATAACCTTGAAGAAATTAAAAAAAAATTTTTTTCCTTAAAACGAAATTATTAACCTGACTCATCATATGCTTTAAAATATCGGTGTAACTTCCAATTTTTTCACGTATATTGCCGATACCAGAAGAAGCTCCAGAGCCTGATGCTATTAAAATTAGAAAAATATTTTTGATTAAATTTGTGATCAGAAATTCTGATGGAAAATTCTGACAAAAATTCGTCTAAGAATTCTGATCAGAAATTCTGGTCATAAATTCTGATGAGAAATTCTGATCAGAAATTCCGATAAAAATTCTGCTCAAAAATTCTGGAAAAAATTTCTAATCAGAAATTCTGATAAAAAAAATTCCGATCAGAATTTCAGACAAATTTATCAAGTTTCTGATAATTCCGGCTATTTTTTCTAACCCTGATTAATACTCTGACACATAATTTAGCTACAAAAAATACTTACTAGAAGCTTGCTGATCAGTTGTACGTCTCGGCATCATAGCAGCTTTTCTTTGGCTATGTCTACTTCCTCCACCGCCTCCAGTATTTGAGCTCGCAGTTTTTGTAGAATTATTATCTCCAGCAATATCTTCTTCAGAACATTCAATTGCTGTTTTTAATGAAGATGTTTCTTCTTCAATAATAACATCACGCATTGGTATACCAACAGTAGCAGAAGAGTCAGTGGCAGTCAGATCAGAAGCGGTTTCAACAACAACTGTTTCATCACCTTCTGCAGTATGTTCTGATTGATGGACTTCTACTTGCTCTTAAGAAAAGATAAGAGTTTCATGTAAGAACTCACTTTATGAGGTGTCTATTATATAGAGATTTAAGTAGTGCTCCCCCCTCCTCCACCGTTTAGGTGACTCGCCCGACTCCAGAGGCTCAACGAAAGGAGGAAAGGGAAAACAAACTCCCTCATCTTATCCTTCCTCTTCCCCTCTCCCAAAATTTGACTTTTGGATACGTCCTTATAATGAGACGTATATTGACTAGAGAGTGTATTTCTTACAATTAAGCATCTCCCACAACTTCAGAAGCCATCCAAAAAACGTAACTTAAATCGAGGATTATCATAAAGTGAAGTCTGACTCCTTACTTAAATTTAGAAAAATAAACCCTTCATTATTTCACCTTCAATAAGATCACCACCAAATAATTCTTGTGGCATCATAAATGGACCATCCATAAATTGTAAAAGATCAGCTACTTCTTGTTCATGTTTTTGAATAGATTCTTTAAAAAAAAATTAATCTTAAAAATCAACAAAAGAAAAAAAAACCGTTAATAGTATCAGTAGAAGATTCAGTACATTGTTGTTGATCTTCCTCTTCTTCTAAACGTTCATTGGATGAATCAACAGTGTTACAACGCTCTTTAGTATTAGAAAATGTGTTTGTATTGAGAACTGGTTGGGAACCGCCGGCAAATGAACTAGAAAAAATTTTGTTCTGGTTAAAATTCTGATTTTTGGGCAGAAATTCTGATTTCAAGAAAATTCTGAGTTCTGACAAAAACTCTGATAATCTGACTAATTCTTAACGCCCCAAAAAGCATTATTCATTTACCTTGCCCCAATAGAAAGTCCACTCTGTGCAGCAGCATCTTCACTTCCTTTTCTCTGATCAAATCTTCCAGGTAAATTTTCAAATGTAGGTAAAATTCTAGGCTCTGGACTGCCCGAATTTGGTGTTGCCATAGATTCTTCAGGAATACTATAATTATGTAAAAGTGCCTTTGAAAGTAAATTTTCTAGTGAAGGTGTTTGGTGTTGAAGTGATTCTGCACTAGCAGCTTGGTTGAACGCAGCAGAAGAATTAACCTTAGAACGACGATCGGCCTGGAGAAACAACAAAAAAAATTTTATTAATTAAAAAATTAAGTCGACCTCAATAAAAGATGGACCCAATACTTCTCTAGGCCATTAGGTGGCAGCTGTCTAACAATAAGACACCAACCTCCTATTTAAGATACCCCCTCCAACTATAATACTCCCAATAATAGAAACACCCCTATATTAGACCCAATACAAAAAAAGTTGACTGGCGGGGTTGGGGAAGCTATCAAACAATAAACCATACTCTCTATTTAAGGTCCCTCATTATAAGAGACGACATTATTCAGACTCTATATTATATCCAAAAGTGGGGCCCGAGTTAATAACTTTATTAAAAAAACCCTAACATCAAAAAGATTTGTAGTAGACATAGATTTTTGTTGTTGTTGAGAGACATTTGATCCTTCATCCTTATTTGAGGTTTTCTAAAATTTTAAATTTCTTTAAAGTTTAAAAAAACAAAAACAACCTCAGACAAATCTTTTTGTTGTAAACCTCCACCTCCTCTTTGTGTTCTAGAAGATCCACCACTTGTTTTAGTACTTGATTTTTGAGAACCTGTAGCTAATCCAGACTTCTTTGAACTAGTAGAAGAAGAATATTTTCCTCCTTGTCTAGTAGGCATTTTTATATTTCCACCAATCTTTAAAAAAATTTAATTTAAATTAAGGATTAAAAAATTAAAAATTAGTTAATAAATTAATCAAAAATAGGTGTGGTAGTTATTAAGTATGTCTTCGAAAATAGACAATTATTGTTTGTCTTCGAAAATAGACAATTATTGTTGCCAATTTTTTGGTAAATCCAATAAACCAGTGACTGGATAGGTACAGGAAACCAAGCCTTATGCTGACTTTTTTTCGAAAAACCGAAGTCCTATCTCAAGAAAGTTTTAAAATCTGATTGTGAACCGAAAATATTCCCTATCTGTTCCATTTTCTGCTTTAAACCGTTTCTATTTAAAAATTTTAAACCGAAGAAAAAGAAGTTCCACTTCCTTAAAAGTTCCTGCTGAATCAATATATAATCAAAAAAACAGGAAACCAAATTTAACAAAAAATTAAAGTTATTCCCCTATTTTTAAACAAAAGTCTTTGAACTACCTTAAAAAACCAATAAAAAAACACAAAAAAACCTTTTCCAAACAACTAGAATCACGTGTACTCCACGGATTTGTATTGGCATTTATACTAGCAGCATTACGTCCATTATTAGCTTTTGTAGTTGTATCAGCTTCACCAGAAGTTGTTTTCTTTCTTAAATCAGTTATATTTGTTGCAGCTGTCGAAACATTTGAAGCAATCTTTTCAACATATTTAGGCAATTTTCTTGCAATTCTTAATGATGCGGCAGTTGGTGGACGAGTATAATGTTGAAGATTTGTTGAAGTTGCTGTTGTGGAAGTAGTGGTTGCTGTTGAATTTTTTGAATTTGTAAAATGTTCATTAAGATAGGATTTTAATGCTGCAATTGTTACTAATGGCTCTGCTTTGAGTGAACGATTTGTTCTAAAAAAATAAAAAAAAAATTTTTTTTTCATTAGGAGAAGACATTTTATCCCAAAATAAAGTTTAAATCAACTTGGGTTATAAAAACTCCAAAAAAATTTTTTTAAGGTTAATCCACCCTTTTAAATTATTAACTCAAAAACCCAAAAATTAATAGAAATTTGAATAATCAGGTCAATATAAAATTTGATAAAAATTCTTAAATAAAAAAAAAGACATTTCATCCCAAAAATTAATAAAAAAATTTCAAAATCTTTTCTTTAAACAAAATTCAACAAAAACTTACATATCAACAAATTCTCTTTCGCTTTTTAAAGTTGAAGGAGCAGAATTCTTCTTTTTTGCATTTTCAAATCGAAAACGTAAACGTCTTGTTAAAAGTTGAAAACCAAAAGGACTTCCACCAGGACAATCATACAAAAATTGAGGAAATTTTTCCATTGATTCCAATACAAGGATTACAATGCGAACTAAAGCGCTCAAATCACGAGGATTAAAGAAAATCTAAAAAAGAAATTTTGGTGAATGAGACATTTTATCCCAAGAAAAAATTTTTAAATGAGATTGGTTTTCGGTTCAAACAGAACCAAAGTTCGTTCGGTTTGTCGGTTAACAGATTTTCGGTTCTGTTTCAGTTAACCGAAGAATTTGGTGAAACCGACAACTCTAAATGAGACATTTTGTCCGCCCAAATTTTTATAAAAAAATTAAAAAAAACAAGAAAAAAACCTCAGTAAACAATTCAGCAAGTATTCCAGATGGATTTGCCTCAATTAATTTTACCAAATTTAAAAGAGCTGGAACAAGACCCGAAATTGAAATTTCAAAAATAGATAATTGACGATCATCAGATAAAGAAGAACGAATTTTTTTGAGTATTGAAACAAACTGAAAAAATTTCTTATAAATCTTTAAAAAATTTTGCGGATTTTTTGTCCTATCCGCAAAAGAATTGTGCAGATTTTTTTCTGTCCGTAAAAAATTTTGCGGATTTTTTTATCCTCAAAAAGCTTGTGGATTTTTTCCAAAAAATATAAAATAAAAAACCTCAGCTTTACACTTGTCCAAATTCTTTTCATCCTCTCCATCATTTTTTCCTTCCATTTCAACAATTTCATTTGCCAATTTATCCAAAGCTTCACAACATTTTAAAATTTCTTGGACTGCCTCTCTTGGTCTATCACAAACCTCTTTTAAATAATTTTCCCAAATTTCTTTTGCTAATTCGCCAACTTTTTGTTTTTGAACTTCTACGCGGAAATAACGAAGGCGTCGACCACCTCCACGTGCAGCCCATCCAGTCACAAAATCGTGGCCTTTAAAAAAATTTTTTTTATTTTTAAGAGTATATGTTAAAACTGAGGTCCTAATTGAATACAAAAAAGGGAAATTGTAATAATGTCTACAAAAAAGGGATACACTTCAATCATGAAAAGCAGCTTTTCATGCTCATTTTTTAAAATTTTTCCCCACGATTTTCAATATCCCTTAGTAAAGATTGAGAGATGTAATCTAATGGAAAAAATAGAAATTGTAGAAAAGTCGACAAAATTTATAGTAAGTCCTCAAAAAAGTACATAAACTTAAAAAAAAAGCTCCTCCTCTACTCACATACCTAATGTAGATTCTGCAGTAAACATTTGTTTTTGTTGTCTACTCGATTCAAATACAAATCCTGGCATATCATCTTTTATTGTCATTTTTTGTTGAATTCCTTCTTTATTTGTAATATTTAAAGTATTTAATTCTGACGAATTTAAAAGCCAATTTCCAGATTCTAATGGCTTTGTTGTTTTTTCTGGGCGAGGAATTGATAAAATTGAATGGGAAGGAGCACCAACTGGGATTGAACTTTTTGCTTTTCTTATTTTTTCAAAAAATTCAGCACGAGTATCAGCATTATCAGCACCATATTCTGGGCTTCCACTGCTGTATAATGTGCTTAAGCGTCCATTCATTAAGAAACGTAGCCAGCCGTTTGAGCCATCACTATGAAATTTTAAGATTAATTAGTATTTTCCTGGCCCAGAGAAGAATTAAAAACAAAATAGGGCTCTGTGAAATGGGTCCAACGGTTCAATCGCAGTTCCTAGAATCAGGAGATAGCCAAAAAGCCGCGGTTCCAACGATGAATCTACGTCATGGAAGCAGGGAATAGCAAAAAATACGTCAAATATGAATGCCTTTTCACCTATCCACTGATCTCCTAAATTTCATCTTACACTATCTGGACCGGAGACGTTGGAGCATTTTATTTTTCGGAACCGGGAGAACACCAGGGATGTCACGGGTTGAGAAAAATGTCGGGTCGGGTTTCGGGTCGGGTTTCCAAAATTTTTCTCGGATCGGGTTTCGGGTATCGGGTTGAGCAAAAAGTCGGGTCGGGTTTCGGATCGGGTTTTCAAAATTTTCTTCGGATCGGGTTTCGGGTTTCGGGTCGAAAAAAAGTCCGGGTATCTTCCCTTCCCAGCGCCGCAGGCAAAAATTTTGAGAATTCTGGAAGGTCCGAAGCCAGATTTCTTCCTTTTTCAGCGCCGCAGGCGAAAATTTTCAGAATTTTGGAAGATCATTAAGCTAAAAATCTTCCCTTTTTCTCCGACGAGGGCGAAAATTTTGAGAAAACTCGGGTCGGGTTTCGGATCGGGTTTTGAAAAATAAAAATTCTCGGGTCGGGTTTCGGGTCGGGTTTTAGAAATTTTCTCGGATCGGGCTTCGGGTATCGGGTCGAAAAAAAGGCCGGGTTTCGGGTCTCGGGTTTCGGGTAACCCGTGACATCCCTGGAGAACACTGACAATAAGGCTGGATTAATTATACGACCAAAAATAATTGTTTATTTAAAAAATTAGAAAAATTCAAAAGAAACCTCAATTCCAACGCAACAGCGTCACACCAAACAAATAAAGAATCATTTGCCCGAATTAGACGCCAATCACGCCAACGATAGTAAACACCGGGAGTTAAAGTCCAAACATCATCAGAACCAGCAACGGCTGGAGTTGCTGTCGAAACAGATTCTTTAGATTTAGACTCTTCAGGTTTGTTGTCAGTAGAAGCAGCGTCTTCGACTATTTGAACACCCAATGCCTTAAAAAATTTTTTAGAGAAAATTTAAAAGAAAAAATAATAAAATCGGATTCTACATGTAAATACATCCTCTGGGTTTGTAAAAAATCGTAAAGTAAATTGAGTGTATCTCAAAACGTAAAAAAGGTTTAAGCATCTCCCTCGCCCAGTAACCAACAAAATTAAAAAAACGTCTCTTAAATAGAGGAGTGGATCCTATTATAAGAGACTCCCTCGATGCTGAAAAATATTGCCTCTTATGAGGTGTCTCTAAAATAGAGGGCATTGCTTGGACAGTTTACCCCAACCGCTTAAAAGTCAAGAAAAACGTCTCCCAAATAGAGGTTAGAGGTCCATCTCTCCCCTAATCGTAAACCAAATCAACTCCCCCCCCCCCCACTCCCCACCTCAAAAAATTAAAAAAAAACCTGTGCAATAGTTGTAGCAGCTTCAACCAAATCGCTATTAAATATTTGTGTATCAATTTCAACACCTTCTTCCTCTTCTTCTCCTATCAAATTATTTTCGACTTCTTCTTTAGCTGTAGAGCATGAAAGTCTCCGTTCATCAACAATTAATTCATTTGTTGGGGATGGAGTAATTTCATCATTATTTGCAGAATTTTGATTATTTCTTGCAATGTTTAAATCAGTTGATGGAACTGTCGAATCAGAACGTAAACTGATTGAAGGTGTTGAAGATATTGACCTTTAAAATAATTAGTTTAGAAATTAAATTTTAGTTAGATCCAATCCCTCCCGCGTAACCAATAAAGCCAGTTCGAAAAAAAGAAAGCCCTAACCCCAAAAATAAGTCAATAAAGTTGAATAGACAATCGAGATTTCATCGATTGGTAGTGAATTTTAAGAAATAAAATCTCCATTCATTTTTGAATTGGTTTGAGGTTCTAACGATTAGAATAGGCAAAAATTTAATTTTATAAAAATAAATCTAGAATCCCTAAATGGAGTTTTTAAACTCGTTCACTATCCAATAAGTTCACATAGATATATTCAATTTTAGGCGATTACCCCAAATCAATTACCCAAAGGAATTTTAATCCAAGCCCGAGTATCTCTATTTAATACTTAACGCAGGACTCCTAAAAAATCCAAAAAAAGGCTAAAATAATGACGAGGAGGAGGCAAAGGAGGATGAGACAATTATTTAAAAAATTAACAAAAAATATAATTAAAACACACAAACCTATTAGCTGTATAAACAGAATTTGTTGAAATATTATCCTCTTCCCTTTTTTCACCACAAGACAAAGCCGCCAAATTATTATTATTATTTAATGCTGTTGATTCAGCATTTCCTCCTCCTAAAGCTGTTGTTGAAGAACAACCACCAATTTTTTCTTCAAAATTATTTTCTTTTTCATTTGACGTTTTTGTTGTTGTTGTTTCTTCTGCCTCTCTAGCCAAAATTTCAATTTTTTCATAAACTCCCAATTTGATTAATTGTTCAGACCAGAATTTGGCATTTTTAAGTAACAAAGATTTAATTATCTAAAAATTAAAAATAAATTTCTAAAGAGAAAATGTTTGTATCATAAAAAAGGGTTTATGTTAACAGACCAAGGATGTCTCGGATTACTCGAAACACGACACATGGACTTTTTCGAACCGAAACCCTACCTGACTTATTTTATATACAAGACATCCCTTTTATACTACACACACTTAAAAAAGGTCTAAATTAATTAAATGAAACAAATAAAGATTCTTAAAAAATTAAAAACTTTCTTCTATTATAATACAGGTAAAAATATCCCTCCCACTAAACATTAAAAAAAAATTCACTACCAGTTATGGGGACTCCTGGTCCCCAAAATTTTTGAATTCAAATTCAAAATTCAAAAATTTTGGGGACCAGGAGTGGGGGATTTTTGCAATTTTGCACAAGATAAGCTTGCTCTCTCATATGGTAATAAATAACAAAAATCCCCCCATCTCTTTCTCAAATTTCGAAAAAAACAACGAACCAATAAAGCCTGTTCTTTAGCATCTACATTATTTTCTCCACTTTCCAGAATAATTATTAAAACCCCAATAAGCATTTCAACAAAACCACTTTGTTGTTTTTGTTGATTTGTTGAGATAAATTCATTTTTTGAAGAAATTACATCTAATAGGCCATCATTAGAAATATGAAAAATACTTTTGCGTATTAAAGTAAGAGTAACACGACGAATTGCAGTTGAAAGAGAAGACTAGAAAATAAAATTTTTAAAAAAATTTAACACTAAATGGAAAAATGGCTCGCTTCAGTCAAAGGTAAGGGTAGTTAGTCTACAGGGAGTAATAAACCTAGTAAATCGAGCCTGGCTAAATTTTGGTGTAATTTACTGAATTGTGTAAAATGATTTATTTAGAGTAGACCCCAAGCCTTCGGGTGCGGGGTCGGGACCGGACTTCGCCGGTGTAGAGCCTTCGTAGTTCGGGTCGGGGTTTTTGTCAAAATAATAGTCGGGATCTGGGTGCTACCATAATTTAGAGATCGGCTTGTGAGAGATCCTGTCCCGGACCTCAGGGTTATAAGCAACGAAACGGGGTTATCGGGATTAATTCTGCGGGAACCCTTCAGTTCAATTTTTTGAAAAATAGGAGTGACCCTGCCCTGGAACCGGCTAAGGGCTTATGGAATGTGATTTTTAATTTTATTTTAAAAAGAAAATCCCCCCTCCTCCCTATTAAATTACCCAAAACAAAAAATCAAAAACCTTAAAAATTGTACAAAAAATTGGTAACAATTGTTGAATAAAACTTTCAGCTAAATCAGGGTCTATATTTGTTTCTTCTTCAATTTTTACAGCCTCCTTTTGTTCTTTAACTGTTGATTGTTTTTCCTCCTTTTTATCTTGTTCTTTTAATGCCGCACAAGTAATTGAAGAACTCATATAAATTCCTGGATTTGAAAGAATTTCACAAACAACTTGGTGAGCTTCATCATTGCGTTCACGAGCCTTATCTAATGCTATGCGGCCTTCTTCCTTTAAAAAACGATTTTTTAAAATTCATTTCACAATCTTAAAAAATTTTTTAAGTCAAATCTCGCTAAAAAATAAACCAAGGCCCGTAACCAGAGGAGGAGGGAGGGTATCCTACCCTCAACTCCGAAATAAGAAAAAAATCTACGGAGGGGAAACGAAAAAAAATTTGCGGAGGAAGCAAAAAGTAAATTCGGTTTTGGCCTACAGATATCCAATTACTAAAAATTTTAAGCTCCTTCAGTGACGAATGATTTCACCCCGAAAAAAATTCTGGTTACAGGACTGGATAGACTCAGCTAAAATCGTTCTTTAAAAATAATCTTATAATGAGATTCGATTTCAAAGGTTAATTTAAAAAATTTTTACATCTTGCAAGTCAGGATTAGCTCCATAACGCAAAAGAATCTTTACAATCTTAAAAAAATTATTAGAAATATTTTATCAGAAAAAAACCTCAGCCCTTCCAAAACACGCAGCATAATGTAAAGAAGACGACCTCAATCCTTTATTTGGATCAGCCCCCTTATCACACAAATAAATAACCATATCAGGTGTTCCAAAAGCTGCACACCAATTTAATAATGTTTGGCCTACATCGTCTGTCATATTTGGATCAACCTTTTTTTGAAATTAAAAATAAATTTTCAAAAAAAAAATTTTTCCCACCACAACATTTATTTCTCTTTTTTCTTACTTTTCTACTAAAAATTTTTTCTCTTAAAAAATTCTAAAATTTGTTTTAAAAATTTTTTTGGCCTCCTAATAAGATTCCTACAAATTCACAACGTCTTTTTTAAGCTGCGCATCTTAGTCCCATAATCATTTGTATTTTTAGTAGAAAAGTAAATACAAAAGGACAGTGTGAGGTAAATTTAATTTATTAAAAAAAAATTTTTACAGATTCATTTTCAACAGCGTCAATTAAAGCATCAGTGTCTCTTTGTCTAATTGAGTCGATAAGGTTGCGATGTGCCTTGTCTAGAGAAGAAACAGCACCTTTAAGAAAAATTTAAAAAATATCAAGATTATTTATAATGATTCGGCGATTTGGAACAATTATGGCCAACATTTTCAAGTCTATTCAATTAATGATCTATCTGACTTTGGGGAAACCAAACGGGGATAAAAGGGATAAAAAAGGGAAGGAAATAGTTCCAAATAGAATTGGAATAAAAATAGAATTGGAATTCTAGTATTACGTTCCCAGTTTAAAACGTTTAGTTTCAAAATTATAAAAATCCCAAATTTAAGAGAAATTCCCCCAAAAATTCAAAAAACCTGTATCCGCAAAAGAACAATGTTTAGAAATTGAAGCACGCCCTTCACAGAGCAAAACAAGCAAAAAATCAATAAAACGAAGGCAATCCTGTTTTAATAAAAATTTTAAAATAATTTTTGAAAAAAAATTCTTACATTTATGCAACGCTCATCTTTACAATTGAGAACAACCCGTAAAGCAAAAACAAGTTTTGGAGAACTGAAAAGAGAAAAATTGAAAAAGTATGATTTAAAGAGATGGGATTGAGAGGACTGAACCCTCAAAAACGCATTAAATACCCTACTGTGGAAAAAACATAACACCAATTGGATCAACATTCCCAGCCGTTGGGACAAGTTTCCCCGTTTTTGAGACAACATCTCAATTTTTTGTAGTTCAACAATTTTGGGTGTTTGGAAAAGTCAATATTCCCAGCCGTTGGAACTTTTGAAAAATTAAAAAAAAACAAACTGAAGAATTTCTGCAGTAACAGTCGGACTTGCTTTACACAAATTAGCAAATAAAGCCAAAACAGCAGAAATAAAAGCAGAATTGCGTGAAAGCTCCATATTTTTTTCAATTTGTTTTTCCTTCTTTTCATCTTCAGAAAAATTGTTTTTCTGTTCTGGAGGTATGAGCAAATCAAATAAATGTACAATTAAATTGCTAGGTCTAGCCAATTCTACAGGATCCATTTGACGACGGATAAAACGTTCAGTCATTGCAGCGAAACCTTCAAAATTTCGAAAAAAATTTTTCCGACCCTCAAAAAATTTTTCAAAAATTTTTTTTCGACCCCTCAGAAAAATTTTCAAAAATTTTTTCAACCCTCAAAAAATTTTAAAAATTTTTTGACCCCTAAAAAATTTTCAAAAATTTTTTTTCGATCTCTCAAAAAATTTTCAAAAATTTCTGAAAATTTAAAAAAAACCCCCTTACATCTCAAAGCACACTCCGCAATTTTTTCATCATCATGACTTAACAAATCGCCCAAATTTTTGCTATATTCTGACAAATTTGAGTCAAAAGGTTCAATCTTGGCACACAGTTTGGTGATTACAGCCATTGCAGAATGCATTGTGTCTTTGTGTAAATGGTCATGGTGGCTAGAAAAAAGAGGGGAATTTCAAAAATAATTGTAGAAAAGAAAACAAGAAAGAGAAATTTGAAGGGCTCGTAGATGTTTTTGTTAATAAAAATAACAACCCGCAAGTTTTGTCCGCAAGTATATGTTGAAAAAATAAAATAGAAACTAGATCTGAGACAATGTGATATCACTCCAAATATTAGATAATTATAGAAACTAGTAATAAATATGGAAAGGAATGGCCTCTTCCGGATTTTAAAAAGCGAAAAGCAAAAAAAGCGGAATTCTGCAGAAGACAGCCCATCCCAGGTGTGGATCTGTAGATCCGACAGAAAAAGTCTTTGCATAGTGGAGAAGACGAAAAACATTTTAGATGTCAAAGGAAAAAAAAATTAAACTCTCATTATACCTTATCAAGTGAAGCATTGCCTGTAAACCACCCGCATCATAAACAGCACTAGCCTCTCTTTGACAAATATGTTCCAAAAGTTTAACACATTGTTCGGCCAAATCTTTGCTCGTTCTGTCAGTCATTTTGGCAAGTAATAGCCTATTACAAATTGCTTTAATTGCTCCTTCAACTTGAGTAATTCGACGAGTACATTCATTTGAAACATCCAAATAATAGGTTATTGCTCGAGCGGTTACCTATTAAAAATGTGATATCAACCAGGTTTCAAAGTTAGACAAGGGTCCGCGGGGTAATTCAAACTTAAGAAGACTTTATCTACCTCAGTTGCCTACCTCTGGCAACTAAACTCGACTAAAACGAGTTAAGACTGGCAAGTCAAAAGGCCTTAAGGACTAATAGGTCCGTGATTGAAGATTTGGCAATCCCGGAGAATCGTGGTCCCTGCGGAAAAAAATCTTAAAAATAAGAAAAAGGATTTTTCTAGGGTAAAAAATTATGCTGATTACGAATCTGAACTCGGATTTTGAAAAAGTCGAACCCGAACCCGAATATAGGTCCACGAAAATCGAAAAACCATAGGGGGGACCAAGCTGATTTTGGGGTGAAAAATTCGAATATGCAAATTATACCTCATTCGAAAGAGCTCGTCGAGCTGAGTCGAATGACACCAAAATCACCGTGATTAAACAAAATCGGACGAAGTTATACCACAAAAAACAAACAACTTAGACCTATGTTTTTTGTGGCATAACTTCGCCCGATCTTGATCAATCACGATAATTTTGATGTCATTCGACTCAGCTCGTCGAGCTCTTTCAAATGATATATTATTTGACCAATTTGCGCTCTGTAAATTTTTCACAAAATGTCAAATGTCCGAATTTCGGGTTCGGGATTCGACTTTTTCAAAATCCGAGTTCAGATTCGTAATCAGCATAATTTTTTACCCTAGAAAAATCCTTTTTCTTATTTTTAAGATTTTTTTCCGCAGGGACCACGATTCTCCGGGATTGCCGAAGATTTTACTTATGGGTCTCAAAATCGAGCCAAGGGTCCGCTGGGAAATTCTAACTTAAAAGACCACTTTTTTGGATCCCTAGTTGCCTTCTCAACCTCTGGCAACTAAGGCTGTTCCTATGAGTAGTAGAGATAAGTATTTTCAAAAATCCTGAATCCGAATTTAGCTTATTGTTAGTAATCTGGACAGGAATCTGGATCCAGGAAAAATCGAGACTTGTCGAAGTTCGACATTTTTAGTAAAATATTAATAAATTTTTATTTATTTCACATATTTTTCACGTGTTCCATTTTCTTTCTTTTTTAATCTTTGTCCCCTTATCTCTTTAAACTTAATCATTTTTTCTCTCTTTGTAGCGATTAAGTTTCTCATTCATTTGTGCTAGTATAATATTTCCGCCCTTAGCGGCGATGACTAAGCTTGAGAATAGGAAAGAATGATCGCCCTTAGTGGCGCTAATTAACTTCCTATAAAACTAAATGTATTTTCCCTTTCTTTGGATTTCAATCATTCATTCTTTATGTATTAATCTAAACTAATCCCTTTCTCTACGATTAATATTATTATTTATTATTGGAATAAATTAATTAGTTGGAAAATATTTGGATTAAATATTTAATTATATTTTGGAAACAACCTACAACACTTGTTTCCAAAATATAATTAAATATTTAATCCAAATATTTTCCAACTAATTAATTTATTCCAATAATAAATAATAATATTAATCGTAGAGAAAGGGATTAGTTTAGATTAATACATAAAGAATGAATGATTGAAATCCAAAGAAAGGGAAAATACATTTAGTTTTATAGGAAGTTAATTAGCGCCACTAAGGGCGATCATTCTTTCCTATTCTCAAGCTTAGTCATCGCCGCTAAGGGCGGAAATATTATACTAGCACAAATGAATGAGAAACTTAATCGCTACAAAGAGAGAAAAAATGATTAAGTTTAAAGAGATAAGGGGACAAAGATTAAAAAAGAAAGAAAATGGAACACGTGAAAAATATGTGAAATAAATAAAAATTTATTAATACCGTATTTCCTAAAATAGTACTCCCGGGAGTACTATTTTTCAACCCTCCTCCAAAGGGGAGTACTATTTAAGGGGGGAGTGCTAATTCAGGGGGGAGTATTATTTTTCAACCATCCTCCATGATTTTTCATAGGAAAATTTATTTCAAAATTAAAAAAAATATTTTAATTTATTTCAATTTATCTCAAAATAAATTCGATTAGAGTTCGCTATTTGAAAAATGCCGGATCCGGACCCTGATTTTCAAAAAATTTCTTTAATAAAAGTTGTAGAAAATATCCGAATTAGTATAAAATTGAGCAAATTGCGAGACAATTAAACACAAGTGACTTAAAATACGGGTTATTGAGGGAAATCAAAAAGGATATAAGTGAATTTGGAGTGATATCGAGGGATATAAGGGGATTTTCGGGTCTAAGATTTATCAGGGTCAACTAAACCCATGTGTCTAGGGATTACCTAATCTCTGTCTAGTTATTTATCATATTAAACACCGATATCCTCCACATCCCTTTTGTACTTCCGATATTAGTTGATTAAGAAGGATTTATGATTCAACTTATCGCTTAATCGCTCTTAATCAACCAAAATCGCCTAATATTACTCCCCCTTCATTATTCCCTCAAATTCCTATATCAAACCTTAATCCAATGATGTCTTTTAAATGCCACTTGATTAATACAGAACCCATTTTACACCCGATATCAATCCCTTTATATACCCAAAATCCACTTTTACTCCACCAATTAATCGGATTATATCTCTTTAATCCTCGAAAAATTTTAGTTTAAAATTTCGATTCGTTTTCGGTTAACCGAAAGCTCTCAGGTTTTGTTTATCAAAGAATCAAGTGAAACCGACAACGATACTTAGAATAAATAAAATAATTCAATGTCTCGTATTATTTTTTTAAATATGTATAGAGGAAAAATATTTTTGGGGGGAGTACTATTTTAGGGGGAGTACTAATTCAGGGGGGAGTACTATTTTTCAACCCTCCTCCAAAGGGGAGTACTATTTAAGGGGGGAGTGCTAATTTAGGGGGGAGTACTATTTCAGGAAATACGGTATTTTACTAAAAATGTCGAACTTCGACAAGACTAGATCCTAACCGATCTCTAATGAGTAGTCAAGTCTTTAAGCCCAATATGTTCCCTATCCCAAATTTAGTCCTATCTCTTTAATTTTTAAAATAAACCTCCAAAATATTTTCAGGCGCACTTTCATCAATAAATATCCGACCCAATGCTGGCAGAAAAGTGCGTGGAGGACAACTTTCAAAGCATCTATCAATATTGTCGCTCATCAATAATGTCTTAAAATGATAAAATTAACTAAAATTAAACTTAAATTTGTTAAAAAACCATGCACAACTGTTCAAGTGCCATTAATTGCATATCCCGTTCATCGCCAACACCAGTCTGTAGCCATTCTAATAATTCCATTCCGTCAACTACACCGGATTCCATTGACTTTAAATCTCTAAAAATAAGGATTAATTAACAAAATGACACGAAAATAAACATAAAAACACAAAAAATAAATTGAAAACGAATTAAAAACAACGCGAGAATGCAAAGGAAGAATAAACACAACTATAAAATAGTCAAACAAAAAATCGATCGGGTTCAGTCATCAAACCCGTGACTTGACTACGTCATAGACTAAAACACTACCCATTAGGCCACAGAGAACACTTATTAAAATCAATTAAAATTAGCCTACATAATTAACTAGTTTTAGGCTAATGACGAAATTTAGATTAGAGACCGGCGCAGGACGGGATCCCAAAATCCCGGATTTTTCTGATTTTCGGGATCCGGGATTTTTTCGGGATTTATCCCTCTGGAGCCCATCCCGGCATCGGTTAAGAAAAAAAAGTTCGATTTTTTCCCGGAAGTGCGATTTTGCCGGTCTCTAGTTTAGGTGACTTTAAATTTAATTAAAATCAAAGTAACATATCGATGACAAAATTGAAAAGAAAAAATTAGAAAAGATAAACAATCTCTCTCGAATAGACATACACAAAGAACAAATCGTTAACTGCGACAACCTCTCCTATAATTTTGGGTAGGGGTAAAAACATGACCCTTTTCCACCTCTCTTAAAAGACTTTATTCACTTCTAGAACCTTTTTTTGTTAAATTTGAAGAGTAGTTAGAGTAAGAGCAAAAAATTTTTAAAACCAACTAAAAATCGACAAAAATGTAAATATTTAAAAGAAGTTTAAAAAAAAGAGAACAGAAAAGCGTATAAGCATCTTTAGAGCTTTTTCCCTTCTACTCCCAGCCCTTTACAAAACAGGCGCTTTCACTCATCACGAGTAATGGAAAGAAATAATTGCTTATTTTTTGTGTAAAAATGATGTGATTTACTCGTGAAAAGCTTGTGAGATTTAAACCGTGGCACCACATTTTGCCAATCCCACATTTTGCCAATAAAGCTAGAATCCCACATTTTGCCAAAAATTCTATGGCAAAACGTGTCTTTTTACTCTTATTGGCAAAATATGATGTTGGCAAAATGTGTAGTAGCCGAATTAAATAATATTAACTGTCTAACACACTATTTTCTCTGTTATTTTTCTCTGCCTGTCGTGTAAATTTAAAGAGCAGGTGCTGACTCTCTTCTTTTCATAAACTATTTTTTCCTTCTATATCTCTTCTAACGCAAGAGACTGTCTGACTTATTTCTTTGTGTTTTTACGAAAGACCTAATTATGAAATGTCATAAATTTTTGCAGAATGCTAAAATAATAGAATGCCAAAATTTAAATTGGTTCATTAACTTTTGGCCACTGAACATTTCGTCGTTTGTGAGATTCTCTCAAAATTAAAAAATTAACAATAGTGAAACTATAGAAATAATTTTATCATCTTTGTGAGAAGGATTAGACCCTTTTAAAATTTTAATTTTAACAAAGTATCTAAATAAGATCATATAAACTAGATCATAGAACAGACAAATTGTAAAATTCCAATCTTGCCATTTTGTCTTTAATCGGATAACAAGCCCCGGGAAGCCATGATCCTACGACCTTCTGGCATTTATTGCAGAGCTCTAGCTCAACATGTTTTACAATTGTTCTACCGACTGAGTTTTACTGAACACTACTTAAATCTCCTCTTTTTAAAATAAATTTTAACCCTTCTTCTACCACTGGCATGAAAAGCCCGAAAAACGGCTCGATAACCGGGCCCCCTAATATTTATGTATAAACAAAAAATTTTGAACATTTGACGATAAAATATTATATTTTTATTTTGTTTCAAGTTAATCTGAAGCAAAAAAAGTTTATAGATAACAAAAAATAACAGCAGTCGATTTTTAACACAAAGAGAGAGGAAAACTTCTTCTCTCTCATTTTAACCAAACCACATTTTTATGTTAAAAACAAAATAATAAAAATAAAAAAGTGTTTTTAATCAGTTTTATTTACCAAATGTTTTGTCAGTCTTAGTCAAATAAACAAGAAAAAATATTATTTTTTAATTTAATTTTCAGAGGAAATTTTGGGAGGAAATTAAATAATATTTATTTTTCCCCTCAAAAATGACTGATTTTGTGAGTTTTCCTTTAAAAATTTAAAAAAATAAATTTAAAAAAATTTATTAGCCTATCCCCTTCCATCACCAACTCGTTAATTTCAAATTGCCCACTAAAATTCATTTCGGTGGAAATATTCCGGAAGGCGCCAACCGGTTTGAAATTGACTTGAAGAGCACAGAGGGAGAAATATTCTTTCATTTTAACCCGAGATTTAGTGTAAGTAATAATTTCAGAATTTATTTTTGTATTTTCCGGAAAAGTCAGAATTTAATTAATTAGATATAACAATCAGAATTTATGTATATTATTATACTATGAGTATATAACCTATAAATTATTGTGTTTTCCGGAAAATAATAATAGTAAATTATCAGAATTTTATTATTTTTATATTTTCCGGAAAAACCAGAATTTTAGTTATTTCTTTCCGGAAAAATCAGAATTTTTGTTATTTTTATATTTTTTGGAAAAATCAGAATTAACTTATTAATTAAATAGGTATGTATAAAAATCAGAATTTGAAGAGAAATAACTATAATTAATTTTCCGGAAAGCATGTGTACATATTATTTCTATTAGTTAAAGAAATATTTCTTTATTTTCCGGAAAAATCAGAATTTTATCTTTTTTTATATATGTATTTCCGGATGTTAATTTCTGATTACTCTAGGAAAACTGTGTAGTTCGTAGCAGCACAAAAGACGGGCAACAATGGCAAGCTGAAGAACGTGACGGTGGAATGCCTTTTGCTATTGGCAAGCCTTTTCTTCTTGAGATGTTAATTGAAGAAAATGGAATTAGTGTAAATTAAATTTAAAATAATCAGAATTAATTTTTAATTTTTTTTTGTGTTCTGTCGACGGCAATCAATTTTGCTTTTTCAAAGCCCGGGACAATTTGGAAACTTTAATTTCCGTGGAAGTGGTAGGGGATGTTCTGTTGAACAATTTTAATGTTACTTGTATTGGTTCTGTTGGTGAATAACTTGAATTAAATTAAAAAAAATTTTCCTTAAATCTTAAGTTGATGAACCTTCAGGGAAGGTACCTAGAGAGGCTGGTGGAGGAGGAGAACTTCCGGAATATACCCCAACAGAGCCTGTAGCTCCTGTTCCTGGTCCACAAGGACAATTAGTATAAAATCATTAGAAAAATAAAATTTAAAAAATTATTTATCAGCCAATACCTTATCAAGGACCATTGGATACTCTTTTAACTACTAATAGAATGGTTAGAAAAAATTAATTTTATTTGAAAAAAATTTATTTAGCGTGTTGTTGGCACGCCTCACCCTGGCGCTCAACGCTTCACTGTGAATTGGAAATCTGCCGATGGAGAGACTTTGTTCCACTTTAACACGCGTTTTGATGTATTTTATTAATTAATAAAATCAGAATATATTTTCGCTTGATATGAGTCAGAATTTTTAAAAATCAGAATTTAGTTAAACAGAATTTAATCAGAATTTAAATAGAACATTAAAATCATTAAATAACGGGCAAAAATAATTATACAAATCAGAATTTAAAAATCAGAATTTTTAATTTTTTAAAAATCAGAATTATTAAATCAGAATTTTTTTAATTTTAAAAATCAGAATTTTTAATTTTATAAAAATCAGAATTATTAAACCAGAATTTTTTTTAATTTTAAAAATCAGAATTTTAACAAAAAACATAGTTACTCGTACTAAATCAGAATTAAAAAAAATTAAAAACCAGAATATCAGAATTTAATTTTTCCGGATCAGAAATTCTAATAAACAATAAATTTTTAAAAATCAGAATTTTATAGCAAAACTGCATTGTTCGGAATGCTACCGTAGACAAACAATATCCACCAACTAGTGAAGAGCGGGAAGGGCCTGGATGTCCATTCCATGTAAATTATTTTATTTTTTAATTATTATTCTGATTTTTCAATTTTATTCTGATTTATTTTAGCCTGGGAAACAGTTTGCGTTAGACTTTCTTTTGCATGGGGACATTATTCGGGTTGGAAAAAAATTTTTTTTGAAAATTTTTTCGAAAATTAATTTTAAAAATCCAATTTTAGTGCTTCGTAGACGGCATTGAATATTGTCGCTTTCAAGTATTTTTAATTTAATTAAAATAAAAAATTAATTGAATAGGCCCGTGATGACCTTCACAAAGTCGTTCTTTTGGATATTCACGGAGATATAGCACTTGATCAAGTTTTGATTGCTTGAATAATAGAGGAGAAATAAAGAAAATATTGAAAAGTTGGGATAAAATAAATAAAATGATGAATAAAATTAATTAAAATTTTATTTTTTTAATAAAATCAAGAAAAAATTTTTTATCAATAGTAATTGTCAAATGTATAATTTATAATTAATTAGGCACGTAATGCCACGGCCTGGCACCACACTCCACCAAAACGAACGTTACAATACCCATCCCCGCTAGAACTAAAATACATATTTTGTGGAAGCAAAAAATTATTTTGTTCTGAATTTTCCGTCTTTTCCTCTTTTAATGTTGCTATAGCGGAAGTTTGTATTTGTTCTGGTTTTTCTTGGTAAATTGCACAATTTACTAAAAATTTGCTGTTATTGTTATGCCCAAAGCGGTTGTGCAATGCTGTCTGGATTGATGTTAGGGAAGAAATAGCATCGCCAGCAATCATTGACTTTAATTTAAAAAATCAGAATTTATTTAATCCTTTAAAAATTCCTTACAGAATTCATTAGCTCACGCCATTCAATTTGTGGACATGGAACTTCATTGCTCTTCAAGTGCGGCATTACCACCTGTTTTTAATGCAAAAATATTATTTTTATTAATTCATATTTTGTTTAACAAAAGGACCTCTCTCTTTTTCCTTCCGCAGCAAGGCATACAACAACCTAAGAATAAAATAATTTATTAAAAAATAAGAAGGATCACCCTAAAAAATTTTTTAATTATCAAAAAACCTCTACAAACCCCCTCCTCCTCCACCACCGCCACCACCGCAGCAACATCCACCACCTCCTCCTCCGGTTGGAAAACCGATAGAGCTAACTAGTGCCATAAGGAATGAAGAGAATAGAATTATTAATAAAATTTGTTTAGTTGAAAGCATTTTAAAGAAATTTCTGTAATGAAAAGAAATGGACGAATATGGGTATTTTTATTCTCTTAAATACTCCCCCCAAAGTTGCTATCCGGAAAAATAACTATAAATTAAATCAGAATTTATGTCAGAATTTTATTTATTATAAAATCAGAAATTAAACTTTTTTATATTTAAAAACCAGAATTAACGCTTAAACAAAGTTTAAATTCTGGTTTATTTAAATATAAAAAAAGTTTAATTTCTGATTTTATAGTGGTGTTTATAATAAATAAAAATAAACTTTTTTCTATAAAACCAGAATTAAAACTTTAATTAAATAAAACCAGAATTTCAACTTTGTTTACAATAAGGCAGACAGTAAAAAAAGTTTTTAAAAAATTCTGATTTATTAAAAAAATTCTGATTTATTAAAAAAAAATTCTGATTTATTATTATTTGATAGACTGTTGTAAAGTACACTAGCGCTTAACAACAAGAAGGAATTAAAATAAAATAAAAAAATAATTTGTTTCAACGAGAATTTATATAATCATTTCAACATTAATATTAATCACTTGTTTAACCTAGAAGAAATATTTTTGTCATTTTTTAAAATTTATTTTTGACTGGAAGAAAAATTGGGTAAGTAAAAGCTGCGCGCTTTTACTTTTTTATAGGGGAAAACGTCGCAAATAAATCATTTTTAAATTAATTTTGGGTGATATGAACGAATAAATTCTTTCAAGATTTATTGCAAAATTAAAAATTAAGGGTTGATCGGATAACTAAAGTTAAAGAAAAATCCGGAAACTTTAAAAAAGAATTTTAGTCAACAATTTATTAAAGGAATAAATATAAAGATTCCGGAAATAAGTATCGACTGATTATACGTATTAACACTAAGTATATACCAGATTATTATATTCAGAAAATTAAATTCTGATTTTTTAATTCTGAAATATTCAGAAATAAATTCTATTTTTTAAAATAAAATTCTGATTTATTTTCAGAAATAAATTCTGATACTTTTAAATAAAATTCTAATTTTTAAATTAGGTAAATTCTGAATTTTCCGGAAAATTTTTTCAAACTCTTTCCGGAATAAAAATTCTGATTTCTTTTATTCCATGTTTATTTTCTGATTTAATATTTTTACAAATTAGATTTATTAAAGAATAAAGTAATATTTATATGTATAAATTACCATTAAATTAAATATTACAGCAATTTTACATTAAAATTTAAAATAAAGGAAAAATCAGAAAAAAAATAAATTGGTAATAGTTAAGTTTAAGTTTCCCTTTTTTCTTAAGAATGTATATAATGGTCAACTTCCTCCTCAGTCTCCCTTTTTTTTCCTGTGAATAGGTCCAAGATCCTCTTGATTGAATGGCAAAAACAAGGGGATTTTAGAAAATAAGAAATGGGGAAACACAAACTTAACTATTACCAATAAATTTAAAGGGGATTAAAGTGCTTTTGGGATTAAAGTACTTTTTTATGCAAAATTTTTGTGGACATTATTTTAAATAGAAAAAAATTTAATATTTTAAAATAAGCACTTTAATTCCTTACAAAGTTATAATCCTTAAAAATATAATTTATAATTAAGTATTAAAATTAAATTAAAATTAAAGTCATTTGACAATAGAAAACAAAAATATCCGCACATAAAATGAGATTCCTAAAATTACAAAAAAATACAAAAATAAATTCAAATTTCCCTTTCTAAACCTAATAGAAAGGCTTATAACCGTAGGTTTTAACATACGTAATGTACCAATGCCCAATATTATCCTCGTCATCCTTTCTACACTTATATTCAATTGTAGCACATATTTTTCTACCCAAATGCTCTTTTTCTAACACATTTAATTCGTCGAAAATGTCCTTAAAATCCGGAAATTATACATATTATTCTATTATTTATTCCGGAAAGTATTAATTTCTGATTGTATTTTATTCTTCCGGAAAGAATCTAACTCAGAAAAAAAATAAATTTGGAGTTTCCGGAAAAATATTAATTTTATAGAATAATTCTGATACTTCCGGAAAATATTAATTCTGATTTTATTTTTCCGGAAAGAGTATAACTCAGAATTAATATAAATTAGAGGTATTTCCGGAAAACTTATAGTTTCCGGAAAGTATTAATTCTGAAAATAATTGATGGAAATTTAATTCTGATCTTCCGGAAAAAATTAATTTCTGATTTTATTTTAATTGAAATTTTATTGCTCCGGAAAATACATTCAAGCTTTCCGGAGAAATTAATTCTGGTTTTTCTGATATTAATAGTCGCTGCTATACTATATCCGAAAATAAATTCTGATTTCAAATTCCTTTTCTAATGCTTCCGGAAAATACAAATTAATTTAATATTAAATAACCTGAATAAAATAATTTTTCTTGTTAACAACAAAAGGTTTGTAAAGCTTTGTATGAATCCTCGCATTTTTATCCACCCAAAAATCTTTATGAATAATAATGTCACATTCCATCTGGAATTTTTTTGAAAATTTTTTTAATAGAAAAAATTTTAAAAAAATTTATTTTTTTTTTAAATTTAATTTTTTCAAAAAAAAATTTCGAAAAAAATTTTCAAAATTTTTTTAAAAATTTCCAAAAAATTTCCTAAAAATTTCCAAAAAATTTTTCAAATTTTTTTTTAATTTTTAAAAATAAATTACCGCCACTTTCCCCAAATAAGGCATAGTCAAAAACCATTCTTCATGTCGACGAAATGTCTGCGAATTAATTTTTCCTGTTATCATATCACTTCAAAAATTCAAAAAATTTTTTTATAGCCTTCCAAAACTCTCTTCAACTTACTCATTGTCAATACAAATCCATTCCCCCAAATCCAACACTTTAGACGTGCACAATTCCAATTCTGCCGGGTTGTCTTTTTCAGAACAAAAGGGAAAAACCAAATAAGTATTTTCATATAGACCGGTTCTGTTCGATTTTTCTCTGCTTAAAACATTCACGATTACAGCTATAGTCTGAAGACGTGGATTGAAAACTTTACGGCTTTTGATTGTTCGAGTTTTTGTTTCTGAGAATCCAGTCATTTAATTTTTATTGAATTTTTTCTTTAATGTTGTCTATTAAACACAAGAAAATCGAACGATTAAAAAGAATTTTTTGTTGTAAAAAATTTTGTTGTAGTGAAAAGAGTATGTAAATTGAAGAGAAAAGATAAAAACAATTACTCTTTAGTTTATTTGGCATTTTGTTTTATTAAAATGACATTTGGTCTAATTTGCGTGAAAAGACGTTTTAAATATTGTTAGTCAATTTTTCCGAACTCGGGCCCGGATTCCTATTTTTAAGCTTGCGCAACGTATCCTGTCGGATTTTTCTGTATTAATCCGGTCTGGAAAAAAATCCAGAAATTGCAAACCCCCGAATCTGGGACAAGGACTCCTGAAAAATCCGGCTAGATCCGGTCCGGCGCCGTGCACTAGTAAGTGTTTCTCTTATCTAAATCCCTCGTTGTTTTCCGGAATAATTCAGAATTTATTTTCCGGGTACAAAATGTTTTTATGTTAATCTATAAACGAGTTGAGAATAGCTAGAAGATTAGTCTGAAAAAGAAAAAAAATCTTCATTTTTGCTGTAACTTAAAAATTAATGGAATAATGGATGCTATTTATTTTTTAAATTTTGTTCTAATAAATTTCATCCTCCTCCTCCATCTCTTCGTCATACATAAGTTCCTCGTCCTCCTCATCTTCACAATCAACAGACCTGCAAAAATATTTTCTAAATTTCAAAAATTATTTAGCACCTATAGCTTGGCTCATATCCACTACTCGGTTCGGTAACCACAATTTGTGGCAGAGCCGAAGAGCAGCGATGCTTTCCACTGATACCGCCACTCTCCACTGGTACATTGACTGATCCTTTCTTTATCAATTTCTCACGAAGTCCAGTTCCTGTGGCTTTTACCTTTAGAAAATGGATTTATTTTTACGGATATTCTATACATAGGACCTCACTATAAGATATCCCCTTTTGATTAAAAATCTAATGAAATATCGTGCTTTATAATGTGATGTATCGTAAATAGAGGGTATCACCAATGACCAACCAAATTTTTAAATAAACGTCTCTTAAATAGAGGGTGTATCTAGTATTGAGTATTTCTTATACAGAGGTCCTTACCTTGTAACGAGGTGTGTCTTAAATAGAGGGCTCGCTTAGAGAGCTTCTCCCACTCGGTAGCTAATCAGATTTTAAAGAGCATCCTTTAAATAGAGGAGTATCCCTATTGGGTGTATCTTATAGTGAGGTATGCCCATTTCTTACCAGTAATGAATTAACCCTGTTCAACTTTTTCCTTTCTTCCCTTCCTTTAAACACACTGCTATTACTGCTTCTACTCTTCCCGCTACTGCTTCCACTACGTTTCCTACGTTGCGCATTTTTGCGGGCTATCACTCTTTTTCGTTCCTTAATTACACCTCCAGCCCTTAATAAACGCTCAATGCAAAAGTTGCGGCAAAGGTGTGAGCGTAGAGCAAAGTGAACCCCACAGGCGATTGTTACGAAGCAAATGCAGAAAACGATAAATAAAATTGTTGGGTCAAGCTATAAAAATAGAATTTAAAATCAGAATTTATTTTCCGGAAGCATTTAAATATATTTTTCCAGAACTTAAGATTAAATTCCGAAAATACCGAATTTAATTAATTGTTTCTGTTATTAGTTTCCGGAATATAAATGAATAAAATTGTATTTTCAGGAATAAATCAGAATTTATATATTTTCCGGAAAAATCAGAATTTCTATATTTTCCGGAAGAAATCAGAATTTCTATATTTTCCGGAATAATCAGAATTATATATTTTCCGGAAGAAATCAGAATTTATAATTTTCCGGAAAAATCAGAATTTATATATTTTCCGGAAAAATCAGAATTTTATATTTTCCGGAAAAATCAGAATTTATATATTTTCCGGAAAAATCAGAATTTATTTATTTTCCGGAAAAATCAGAATTTAATTATTTTCCGGAAAAAAATCAGAATCTTTGTATTTTCCGGAAGAAATCAGAATTTAAGTATTTTCCGGAAAAATCAGAATTTATAACTTTCCGGAAAAATCAGAATTTATTTATTTTCCGGAAAAATCAGAATTTATTTATTTTCCGGAAAAATCAGAATTTATTTATTTTCCGGAAAAATCAGAATTTATCTTCAATATAACTATAAAGCACAAACTTGGCAGCAATCCACACCACAACACCAAGACCAGTATTGTGAGCAGTGAAAAAACAATTGAATAAACGAAGACGGATTGCCACCGGGAATACCATCTTCATAGGCTTAATATTAAATAGTTAAATTTTTTGTTCAAAAAATTAAACTACCTAAATAGAAAACTTCATTAGAAGGCACTTTGACTCTGCATACTTGGCCTATGCCTACTTCAATTTGACTGGTTTCGCTTAATTTTTTCAAAATATTTCATTATTCTTTTTATTTCATTCTCCGTTTAATATTTAATTTTTATTTTCCCTCAAAATTTTACCTTCCATACTCCGTTCCCATTTTATTTTTGTGTGCTTCACCAGCGTCGTTCTCTCCAATTCCATAATAATAATATAATTGTGTTGGTCTACTTATTAAGTGAACTATTTTGTGTTCATCAACACTACTTGATTTTAATATTTGTGAAGGTGATTCGTTGAATATAGAGGCAGAATTGACGTATGAAACCATATTTTTTAATTATGTAAATAGTATGCCCTAAACTTTCCCGAATTATTAGTAATTCAATAATATTGTAAGGCTGAAAGGTGTAATCCTTGAGAAACTAATAAAAACCCCGCCTAGAGAGAAGGTGCATATAAGCTAAAGGAAAATGGGGAAAAGCGGCTTAGTTGACGATCATTCCAACTTAGTTCCTATTCAATCAATGGCCTAGTGTTCGGTCGGCCTAGAGCCTGACCAAGTGGTATACCAACAATCATTCACCCCGCTCGCTTGCGCTACCTCTGGCAATTATTCACCACACGCATTTCCATCAACATCTTCTCTCTTTAATTAGGCTGGGCCCCCTAATTAAATTATTTACTATATTTTCCCTTAAGCTTAATTCGGTAAATATATTTCCGGAAATATATTTCCGGGAATTATTTTCCGGAAAGATAATTAAAGTTAAACATATTTTTAAGATTGTAAACTTTTCCGGAAACTTTTCCGGAAAGTTTGTAATTTTATAGTGTATTTTGGGTTTGTAATTTTCATAATAAAAATGTGTTTTCTTCCGGAAACCTATTTTAAGTTTGCGATTTTGAATAAAAAAGTGTATTTACGTAATTTTACAATTTTTAATATAAATGTGTTTTCCGGTTTTTCCGGAAAGTTGTAATTTTATTTAAATATTTTTTAAGATTGTAATTTTGTAAAGATGTATTTTCCGGAAATTATAAACTTAAAAGTTGCTATTTTGCAAGCTTAAAATTTTGTATTTTAAAAATAATAAGCGTGTTTTCGGAAGCATACTAAATCTCTTATTTTGACTAAATTAATTCTTATGGTAGGTTAAAAATAATTAAATCAAGTGTGTATTTTTTACCCTTAAAATTATAACATTTAAATATTTTTTGGATTTAAATTTGACAAATAAAAGTAGCTAAATAACAATAACAAATTTTACAAATGTTTAAACAAAGTCAGTCAACCTAAATTTAATTTGAGGCTTCAAAATAGCGTTAAAAAATTTTTTTATTCGTTTTATCACGAGGAATATTAAATTTATACAAGTTTTCATCATTTATTTCAAGTTTAAAAGAATAAAGAAAAAAAAAGTTTTTTGACTTAATTTAATTTACAAAAAATTTGAAAAAATAACAAATAATATTTGTAATTAAAAAAGCAGCTTTTTTAGTTTAAGCTTGTGTATTTATTATAATAGTAAAGTGTTTTCCGGAAAATTTTCCGGAAGCTTACTTCAAGTTCAAAATTTTATTATAAATGTATTTTCCGGAAAACATATTTTATTTTTACAATTTCCAATGAAACTGTATGCTTCCGGAAATTTTCCGGAAACCTATTTTAAGTTCACAAAGTTGTGTTTTCCGGAAAACTTTTTCAAGTTTATAACCTTAATATAGGAATGTGTTTTCCGGAAATTTTCCGGAAGCATTTTATTATAAATGTATTTTCCGGAAACATATTTTACATTTACAATTTTTAATGAAACTGTATGCTTCCGGAAACTTTCCGGAAACTTATTTTAAGTTTACAAAAGGTGTGTTTTTCCATAAAACTTTTTTTATGTTTACAACATTAATATTGGAATGTGTTTTCCGGAACCTTTTCGGAAACTCAAGTTTACAATTTTAATAAGAGCTGTGTATTTTCCGGAAAATTTTCCGGAAAACTTTCTTTAAGTTTACAATTTTACTATAAAAATGTGTGTTTTCCGGAAGCTTATTTTTATATAATCAAGTGTGTTTTATGATTTATCCATAATTGTAATTATAATTGTAAGGGTAGTAGTAATTATTGTAGCCATAACCTCCATTATTATAACCACCATAACATCCACAATTATATCCATACCCACCAGTATAACTTCCATAGCCTCCATAACCATATCCTCCTCCATAACCCCCTCCATAACCTGCTAAATTCCCCAAAATTGTTCCACTTGTATAACTATCAGCATAACTTGCCAGGCATATTTTATGTCCAATAAAGAGAAAAAAGTAGAGGAAAAGGACAAAATTAATTTTTATTGAGAGGAGCATTGCTTGGGGGGTTTAAAAAATTTTTTAGAGGTTCTCACAAAAATGAAGCGCTTTTAAATGGAAAATTTTTCAAAGATTTCTCCATTAACTTTTTAATTTTTTAATTGGATTAAAAATTCTTTTTCCCCCCAAATTTGACTACACAAGATGTTGAACTTTAGTTTTCTTTAGTTAATCATTTTAAAAATTAAAAATATTTTTTTTGTTTCCTTTTCTAAAATTTTATTTTCTGTTAATTTTTAACGCTTGAATTGTAAAACTTTTGTGTTTTAATTTTTATTTTCTAAAAATGGAATTGCATATTGGAATTAAAAGGACATTTTTATTAATCATTGCACATTAATCATTTGCAAGAGATTTAATAAAAGAATAATCAGTGTTACTTTTTTTTAATTTATGTTTTAAACTATTAGACACTGGAGAAATTTTTCTGTGAATATAATACATTTTTATCATAATTAGTTTTCCGGAAAATAAATTATAATAGTATCTTTCAAGAAAATACAATATTATGTACATATAACTTAGTTTCCGGAAAAATATATATAATTTATTCAGGGATAATTGTTTATTCCGGAAATATAGAATATACAACCCATATTTTTCCGGAAAATATAATCCACGCATATTTTCCGGAAAATAGATATTACATACATGTTTTTCCGGAAAATATATTATAACTTACTTTCCGGAAAAATATTTAAATATTATATTTAATTTTCGGATAGATTATAATATACTTATTTCCGGAAAATAAATATTACATATATTTCCAGAAAACACATTATTTATAATTTAGTTTCCGGAAAATACATTTTATTTTTCCGGAAAGTATACACAACTTAGTTTCCTTAAATATAACCTATAGTAGAGTAAAGCAGCTGGGCTATAGCTATTTCTCTCCTTTAGCTAGAGCAAAAGGTTATTCGGCGGCTGGGAGCGAACCAGCATCTTCAGTAGACCGGACTGATGTGTTAGCCATTACACCACGCCGCCTACTACTCAGCCCTAGGAAATTAATAGCTATATGCTTTACAGTAGTTAAGTACATTCGTTAGCTACCATTTTTAATTTTATTAATCACAAAATTCATCGTTGACCTTTCCCTCAAAATAGTCTCATTTATTAAGCAATATTTTCTTTTTTTTGTAAAAATAAATTTAAAATTAAACAGTTGCTTTATTATCCTATTTAAAAATAAAAATAAGAAAATATGTAGAGAGACAATAAAAAAAGATTTATGGCTAATTGTAAGGGAAATGTGAAGGAAAAAATCAGAATAGTTATTTATTTGAACAGCTAAACTTTTTTTCCGTTTTGTGGTGATAGGAATAAAATAGTAGAAGCTTAAAAATATAGGGCATAATAATGTTTAAATTTGGACACTTTTTTGCTAATTTTCTATTTTTTTTTAAATTAGTTGTTTGCCCAGATATACACGAAAAAATTTAATAAAGACAAAATAAATTCTGAAAAATAAATTCTGATTTATTTTAAATTCTGAAAAATAAATTCTGATTTATTTTAAATTCTGAAAAATAAATTCTGATTTATTTTAAATTCTAAAAAATAAATTCTGATTTATTTTAAATTCTGAAAAATAAATTCTGATTTATTTTAAATTCTGAAAAATAAATTCTGATTTATTTTAAATTCTGAAAAATAAATTCTGATTTATTTTAAATTCTGAAAAATAAATTCTGATTTATTTTAAATTCTGAAAAATAAATTCTGATTTATTTTAAATTCTGAAAAATAAATTCTGATTTACATTATTATTTATGCTTTATTTTCCGAAACTACAAATCAGAATTTTGTAGTTCCGGAATTGATTTCTTAATGTATTTTCCGGAACTATATAAAAATGTATTTTCCGGAAGATTGGTAATAGTCTTTTTATATTATCAGGAAAATAACTCAGAATTTATTTTCCGGAAATAAATCAGAATTTATTCAGAATTTATTTTCCCAATTATTTCTGCATTATATTTATTTCCGTAAATTATCCCAGCATCAACCAAAAATTCTGAAATTTAAAAACCTGACAGAAAAAAACTAAAATTACACCCTTTATGAAATTTAATTTTAATTTTATCATTTTGTCTTCTCTTATCTATAATTAATTAATTAACTATATTTTAGGAAAAAATGCAACAAATAAATATTTTTAAAATATTAATTTTAATATTCCTTCCAGCTATTATTAATGCTCTAGACAATGGTTTAGCACGAACTCCTCCAATGGGTTGGATGTCTTGGACAAAGTTTTACTGTGAGATTGACTGTGCTCATCACCCTTTTAGTTGCATAAATGAGAGACTTTATAAAGTTTGGAAAATTTTCTTTCATTTTGGATGCCCCCCCCCCAACCCATTAATTTAATTCTTTCCCAGGATATGGCCGATAGAATGGTAGAGGATGGCTTCCGCGATGCAGGCTATGTTTCAGTCCACATAGACGACTGCTGGATGCAAAGAAAACGAGACAATAAAGGACGCTTATTAGCGGATGATAAACGCTTTGCTTCGGGAATGGGGGCATTGGCAGATTATGTGAATAAATTCTCTTAAAAAATTTTCTTTGAATGTTCCTTTAGATGCATTCGAAGGGTCTAAAATTAGGAATTTATGAAGACATTGGAACTGCTACATGTGAAGGATATCCAGGCACTTGGGGACATTTGAATGAGGATGCAACCTCTTTTGCTGATTGGAAAGTGGACTATCTCAAATTGGATGGGTGTAATCTGAATGCTTCTCTTATGGCTAAACAAGGTCATAATACACTCTATTTAAGAGACGTTCTTGAAATTTGGTAGAGAATTGATGGGGACTGATTTTCCAGTGGGTGGGAAAAGCTGTTTTCTAGTACAGCTTTTTAAACACATAAAGTCAATGGATGTTTAGAAAAGCTGCTCAAATTTCTGACCAAAAAAATTTAAAAAAATTTTTCTAAAAACCTCATAGAACAATTTTTAAGAACAAAGGAGTATCAAAAAGTGAGGTCCAACAGTATTTTAAAAATATCAAATGGCCAATTTTATTTTCTAAATAATTTAAATTATAAAGGTTATATGGCAATGGGTCAGGAGTTGAACAAAACTGGCCGCCCTATTGTTTATTCATGCTCCTGGCCAGCTTATTTATTATTTAGTCATCAACAGAAGGATATCAATTACACATTAATTGGGGAAAATTGTAACCTATGGAGAAACTTTGATGATATTGAACGTTCGTGGACTTCAATTTTAAGTGTGTGAGTTGGAGAGGAATTTTTTTGAAATTTCTGAAATTTTCAAAAAAAATTTTAATTGGGCAATTTTCTTATAATTTTAAGAAACTATCGATTTCTACATCAAATATCAAGATATTTATCGAAAGGCTCAAGGACCAGGGCGTTGGAATGACCCAGACATGGTAATTAAATACAGCTTTGCTAAACAACCAGATTTAACTAGTGTTAGAAAAGCTCCTTCATTACAGCTTTTTAAACAAACGAAATCACTGGTTGTTTAGAAGAGCTCCTCAAATTTCTAGAATTTTTTTTTTTAAAATTTTCTCAAAAAGATTATTGTTGGCAACACAGAAATAACAGTAGCACAATCACGCGTACAAATGGCTATTTGGGCAATATGGTCAGCACCTTTAATAATGTCAAACGATCTAAGAACGTTATTGCCTGAACATCGTGAAATTTTGTTAAATCCAAGAATTATAGCTGTTGACCAAGACCCTTTGGGAATTTTTGGAAGGATGGTTTACAACGTGGGGGAACTAAAAAATATTTTAAGAATAAAAATATTTCTTAGGAAAAATCAGTTTATGTTTTTGTGAAGGAGATGACACCCGCAATACCCTCTCGTAATTTATATTCGTATGCTGTCGCTGTACTTAATTATGGGACAAATCCAGTGGTTAGTCTAATTTAAAAAAATTTTTCAAAATAACGAAATTTTTAAAAATTTTCAAAATGCAAAAAATTTTTCAAAATGTCGAAAAATTAAAAAAAATTTCAAAATGTCGAAAAATTAAAAAATTTTCAAAATGTCGAAAAATTAAAAAATTTTCAAAATGTCGAAAAATTAAAAAATTTTCAAAATGTCGAAAAATTAAAAAATTTTCAAAATGTCGAAAAATTAAAAATTTTTTCAAAATGTCAAAAAATTAAAAAAATTTCAAAATGCCAAAATTAAAAAAAAATCCCACAGCAATTCACCACCGATCTTAAATCTATTGGCCTTACAAACAAAGCTGGATACTCAGTCCAAGAATTATGGAACGGTACAAACTTGGGGCATTTCTCTCCCTCTACCGTTTACAACATTACTTTGGAAAAGAATGATGTTGCAATATTTAAAGCTACTTTAGATGGAATTACTAAAAACATTTATTAAATTATATTTTAGTTATCTCTGAAAAATGCTTTAAATAAATAAAATACATTCTCTAATAAGCCAAAAAATTCACGCAGAAACCTAGCAGACGTGTGAACTTTCGTTCACACGTCAATTTAATTTGGTAATGTTAATTAGGTACTGAGCATGACGTAATATCGAAGCGCCTCTCCTTATAAACCGCTTCTAGGCTCGGCTGTCGTAATAACGAGTAACGAAATTCCACTGAATCCCTCCCTATAAATTGCCATCAAGGACGTAACTAGAGAGAAGTAGGGCTAGGATTCGATGCTTAATAGTATATATCGGTCGGTATTTGGGGCGATATTCTCATAACGGTTTCGAGATCGATAGTGGAAAAAGACCGATATCGATATAGAAAAAAGACCGATATTCGAGATTGATATATCGACTTGTCCAACTCTACTTAATAGTTACCTAAGTTATGTTTTCTGGTAATAAAAAAATTAATTTTTTATTAATATGAAAAATATTCACAAAATTCAATTCTTATTTTATATTTTTTCTAAAAGATTTATTTCCTACCCCTCCAGCAGGTTTTCTAAACCCAACAATATTTTTAACATTTTTCTTTTTTTCTGGCATTTGTTTTTGTTTAAATGACAATTCTTCTGGGTCAATTAAAGCAACTTCTAAAAGTTCTTCTGGTATTATAGTTGAAGTACCGGGTCCGTAATGTTGTTCAGGTAAATCGTCATAACGCTTTTTAGGTTTTTCTGGTTCCTTCGGTAGAGGGCTGAGAGAGAAAAAACAAATTAAATTAACGAAAAACATTTTAATTAATTACAGCTTTGCTAAACAACCAAATTTAACTAGCGTTAGAAAAGCTTGTCTAGAACAGCTCTTTAAACACACAAAGTCAACGGATGTTTAGAAAAGCTGCTAAAATTAAAAAAAAAATTTTTTTTAATTTTTTGGGCAAAAAAGATTATGCTGGAAAACCGATCCCCGTCGTCTCCACAGGCTGGATTTTGGATTAAAAAAAGTTAAGCAAACTTACTCAGGCTTCGGAATTTCTTTCTTTACAGGAACCCACGGTCCATAAGGATGCCCACCAGTACTAGTAACATCAATTTGAGTTGATTCAATTAATTCTGGTTTTGGTTCTATTCTAATTAATTCTTCGGGTCGTTTGGATTCTTAAAAATATAAAAAAATTTATTTTTCAAAAAAAATTTTCTAAAAATTTTCTGAAACTTTTTTTGAAAATTTTCTAAAAAATTCCAAAAATTTTGTTGCGAATGCAACGAGAAAGAAAAAGAAAATATTAAAAATAAAATGATTCATGATTAAAAAATTTTATGTTCATATTTTTAATATTTTCCGCCCACAAATTTGCTTTAAAACAAAAGCCTAAACCCCAAAAATTCACTTCTTATTCATTCTTCCATTCATTTTTTCTTTACAAACCCTCTCATTCAATCTTTGTAGGCTTTTGTGTTTCCCTTATTAAAAAGAAAGTTTTTGATAATAAAAGAATTAGAAAGAAGTTGTGTATTTATTTTAAATTTAGGTGTTCAGGTTAATTTAATTTTTTCCTATTCAATTTATTGAATAGAAGACGGAAAAGTTAAGATAAAGATATATCTTTTCTGTACATGGTGCCACGACCGATTTAAGAATCGGAAAATTTTAATTTTATTTTAGTTACCGATAAAGGATCGGAACTTTTTAATTTGGAGAATTTACCTGAAGAAATTTGGAGTAAAAATTTTTTTTAATTTGGTAGATAAATTTATTTGTGTATTGGAGTGATTTAAACTTGGATTGAAAATTTTTTAATTTTGGGAAATTTATTTAAAGGAAAATTTAGAAATGTCTGTCGTCTTAAGGTCGACAATAAAGCCTGCAATTAAAAGATTAAGAGAGTATTTGGACGAATTGCGTCCTTTGGTAAATGCCCAGGAAAGAACCCAAGAAGGGGTTGATAAATTAAGGGCTGATGTGATTAAAGTTAAACGTGTTTTATCATTTTTGGATCTAAAAATTGATCATTGGCAGAAAATTATTAAAGCCTTACCAGCTGATGAAAGGGCAGCTGAGGAAGAAATATTTAGTAATTTCTCGGAGGGAGAAAGACATATTGCTGAATGGATAGATTCAGGCAGAGAAATTATTGATGAAATTGAAATACTTTTAGCAAACGATGAAGATAGTTCAGGATCTTCTTATTCTGAGGAATTAGGTGTTAGGCCAAGAAATAACGTAAGGAATGAAACATTGAATGGAACAAGGAATGAAGCAGAAAATGAGATAAAAAACGATAATTTGGTTAATTTTGGTGTTCCTAGTCATTTACCAAAAACACGACTCCCTGAGTTCAGGGGCGATCAGTTAAGATGGCCAGAATTTTGGCAGGGATTTGAGAGGACCGTTGATTGTTTGAGGATTGATGATGGATTAAAAGCGCATTATTTATTGCAATGCGTAAGAGGAAAGGCCAAGAGGGCTGTTTGGGGCTATAGGCCAATTTCAGAACATTATTTACCTTTAAAGGAAGCCTTGTTTAGGCAGTTTGGAAATGAAAAAGCAATTAGGGAAACACTACACGCGGAATTGATAGGGCTACCAATGGCTAATGAGTCAGTAGCTTCTTTACGCAATTACTTGGAAGAAGTAGAGCGTATTTGTCGTTCTTTGGATGCCATGGGGCACTTAGAAGATAAAGATATTGTTTTAATGGCTATTAAAAACAAATTACCGCGCAATGTTGTGTTGGAATTGCTAAGAATGGAAAGAGCAGAAAATATTGAATGGAATGTAGGAAATTTAAGGAAAGGCCTATCTGAATTGGTCCAGTTGAGGGAAGAGGCACACAGGTGCACACAAACATTAAGCTCGCGTATGGGCAATCAAAAATTTAATAATTGGAACAACCAAAAGAATTTTAATCAGAAAAAGGATTTTAGTGGTAGAATAGAACAAGGAAGAGTTTTTTCGGTTCAAAATCAGAATAATTTTAATAAAAACAAAAAACAGGTATTATCTTGTTGGTTTTGTCAAAAACCGCATTGGGCAACGAATTGTGAACAGATAAAGTCTCCGTTTCAAAGGATGAAAATATTATCGGAGCAAAATCGGTGTTTATTATGTCTTAAAAAAGGTCATGTAAAATCGAATTGCAATTTAAAAATTAGTTGCAATTTATGTAAAGGCAGCCATAATAGAGTGGTATGCACTAAAGGCTATGAAAAACCTAAAAACAATTATAAAAATTATTCAAATCAGGAAGCACCAGAAAAGGTTGAACCCGTAAATTCAATCGCAAAAGAAAATGCTAGTATTTTATTAATGAATACGGAGATCAATGTTTTATCAGGTACTGGTACAGGTGTAATTGGAGCAAAAGCATTTTTCGACACAGGGTCGACTATTAGTTTCATAACGGAAGATAAGGCAAATGAATTGCAATTAAAAAAGGCAAGTGAAACGGAACTTAACATTTTGCCATTCGCAAATGTTGATCCAATTCGACTTAAAACCTCTCGCTTTTTAATTAAAATTATGTTAAATGATGGAAGTTTTGAAGAAATTCTGGTGTATAAGATAAATAAAGACATGATGCCAAAAATAAAATGTGCTAACATACAAACATGTATTATCAAAATAGGAGATGTGATACCAGATATTTTGATTAGCATGAAACATTTCTGGAGATTTTTCAAAAAACTGAGTCCTTTGACTAAATATTTATTTAAGATTGAAACAACGGTAGGTCCGTTGGTTTGTGGTGAAATAGAGCAAAATAAATTAGTAGAATTTAAAAGTGAAGGACAGCCAGTAGCTGTTATTGGGGCAAAAATTAAAAAAGAAGAGGATTCTTTAGCTAATTTCTGGAGTTTAGAAGCTATTGGAGTTAGAGATGACCCAATAACAAAAGATGATCAGGTGGCTATGGAAGCATTTAAAAAGACAATTAAAATGGGGGAGAATGGCAGATATATAGTTAAATGGCCTTGGAAGATTAAGAAGGAGAGTTTGCCTTCTAATTTTAATTTGGCTTACAAAAGGTTCGTTGGTCTTTTGGAAAAATTAAGAAAAACTCCAGAGCTTTTAAAAGAATATGATAAAATACTTGAAGAGGACAGGAAAAGGGGAGTGTTAGAAATAACTTCAAAAACTGGTGGCATCGAACACTTCTTGCCTCATCATCCGGTTATTTCCCCAAAAAAGATTAGGATTGTATATGATGCATCGGCACATATACGAGGTGGAACAAGTCTAAATGATCATTTATTTAGGGGGCCGATAATAATGCCCGATCTTGCTGGTTTGCTTATTCGATTCAGGATTCCCAAAATAGCAATGTGGTCGGATATTGAAAAGGCCTTTCATTCTTTGGAGCTTGATAATGATGACAGGGAAGTCCTAAAGCTCATTTGGTTAAAAGATATTAATTCACCGGTCTCATTGGAAAATGTACAATATTTGAGATTTACTAGAGTACCATTCGGTGTAATCTCAAGTCCATTTTTATTAGCAGCAACAGTAAAACATCATCTGGAAAATTGGAATGATCCACTGGCTAAAATTATTAAAAATAATTCTTATGTGGATAATATTTTAATAGGTTTGGAAACTCCGGAAGAAGCTTGGGAAGCATACAAAAAATTAAAAAAGGTATTTAAGGCTGCTAATATGAACCTAAGGGAATTTATTAGTAATGATGAAAATTTAAATAAAAAATTTCCTGTGGAAGATAGGCTTGAAAAAGAAAGGCCTAAAATTCTTGGAATACCGTGGAATATTAATTCGGATAAAATTTACATTGATTTTTCAAGTGAAAAGGGTGAAAATAAATTTACAAAGAGAGGAGTTCTTTGTAAATTAGCAAGTATTTTTGATCCTTTAGGGATGGCTGTTCCGAGTTTATTGGCAGCTAAATTATTTTTCCAATCACTTTGGGATAGTAAAAAAGGTTGGGATGACACACTTGATTCAGAAGAGATAAAAATTTGGGAAGAAATTACAAAGGTATGGGATATACCTTCGATTGAAATTGAAAGGAGGATAACAGTTTCTGGAGCTAGTTATCAATTACATGTATTTTCAGACGCATCAAAGGATGTTTATGCAGCTTGTGTTTATCTCAGGACTACTCTTGAAGATAAAATAATGAGTTATCTAGTTTATGCTAGAAGCAGGTTAAAACCCAGGAAAATGCCGATTAGTATTCCTAGGATGGAATTATTAGGCGTTTTAATTGCGAATAGGGCACTAAAATTTGTTAGAGAGCAAATTGGAATTTTAATTTCGGAATATTTTTTGTGGTGCGATTCAAAACCAGTTTTATTTTGGATTAAAACAGGTCAAATCAATGAAAAATTTATTGCTAATCGAATAAAAGAAATAAGAAAAAATATTGGATTAAAAGTAGGATATATCCAAACACACAATAATCCGGCCGATATTGGCACCCGCGGCTGCACGCCGTTGGAATTAAAAGATTCTAGTTTGTGGTGGACAGGTCCTGACTGGATGAAACAGCAGGATGATTTTTGGCCAAATGAATTAAATTTTATTTTAACTGAACCTTTGGAAGAGGATATTCAGTTAGATGAAAAGGAAAAACAAGTTAAACCACTTCTTTGTGTGGATGGAAAAGAAAAAGACACATTTATACAATTTTCTAATTGGAATAATTGGCATAAATTAATTATGTGTATTTCACTGGTAGCAAAATTTTTAAAGATTTGGATGAATAAATCGGGCAAAATTATTTCAGGGAATTTGTTAAATAGCTTCAGCAATGATTTAAAATTAAATACACAGGAAACAAAGCAAACGGAGAAATTCATTTATAAATTAGCACAAAAATCTTTGGACAGGAAAATCGATAAAAATTTGCATTTAGAAGAAGATTTGGACGGAGTATTACATGTTAAAACTAGGATTAGTAATTGTAATATTGAAGGAGATTTTTCTAGACCAATTTGGTTACCAAAAGGCAGCCCATTAATAAAAATACTTATTAGAAACGAACATGAGGATTTAATGCATTCAGGTGTTGATTCAACTTTGGCTAATTTTTTGGGAAAATTCTGGACGCCTGGCGCTCGAAAAGAAACTAAAAGTGTCGTTAAAAATTGTAAAAAGTGTCAAAAAATTGAAGGACCCAAATTTGGATTACCGGAAATGCCAACGCTACCTAATGAACGTGTTAGAAGATCTCGGACATTTGAATTTACAGGTGTAGATTATCTAGGTCCATCTACATGTAAAATAAATGGAGAGAAAATTAAATTCTGGATATCACTTTTTACTTGTTTGTCAACTAGGGCAATACATCTGGAAATAATTTTGGATTTATCCGCATCCTCGTTTTTACACATATTGAGAAGGTTTATCGCTTTAAGAGGATGCCCCAAGAAAATTATATCGGACAATGGCACACACTTTAAAGCGGTAGCAGATATTATTGGAGCCAACATTAAAGGAAACTGGAACGATAAATTAATTAAAAATAATGATTTTAGGCTCAATAAATTTTTATTAAAGAAAGGAATTGATTGGAAATTCATAAATGTCCTCTCACCTTGGGCAGGTGGATTTTATGAACGCCTAGTTAAATTAGTAAAGGATGCATTTAAAAGATCATTAGGAAGTACAATTTTAAATTTGGAGGAACTCAAAACATTTGTTAAGGAAGTTGAAACTGCAATTAATTGCCGTCCTCTCACTTATGTTTCAACAGAAAAGGATGGAATTTTGGCAATACGGCCATTGGATTTTTTAATTCCGGAAGTTGAACTTAATTATTTTTCGGCTGAAGATAGCGATTCGGAGGAATTCATACTAGGTAAATTAAGTACAGCCAAACAATTACAAAATAGATGGAAGGAAACTCAGAAAATTTTTGATAAATTCTGGGATAATTGGGTAAAAAATTATTTGGTAACACTACGAGATAAATCAGGCTGGAACCATCAAAATGGACGATCAACAATTTTAAGGCAACCAGAAATTGGTGAAATCGTAAATATTCAACAGGAAGGCCAACCCAGAAATACTTGGCCACTTGGCAGAATTTTAGAATTAGATGGTAATCCAGTAAAAAGTGCGAAGGTAAAAATAGGAAAAAAGACTTTGGTCAGGCCTATTAATAAATTATTCCCCTTGGAAGTAGGAGGGGAACAAGAGGAAGTAAAAACAGAACAGGATAAACCAATAAAGGATAAAAAAGCAAATACAAATTTGCATCCCATGATTACACGGTCAAAAGCTATTGCATTGACTATTATTCAATTATTTGGATTATTTACATTTTGTTTTGCCATAAATGGTTATCCCATTCGGAATTGCAGAGATTGTAGGTTGCGATGCACTGACAAAGGAGTTATATCTTTTGTTAATCCGTATATTCGTAGAATTGAAATTTGTTGCAGGGAAAAATGCGTAGTAAATACGGAAGGTAGAAGAAGCCTACACTTTGAATTGCCAAAGGAAATAATTATAAAAAAATATAATTGTGAATCAACTTATTGGGAAAGGGATAGAAAATATAAAGATAGAATTACATGCCCAGCAGTTAATCCTTGTAAAATTGTATCAGGATTTATGGAACGAATAATTAATATTCATTGTGAATCAAAAGAAATATTAATTATTGCAGGAATTGTCATCGGATTTTTAATAAGCATATTCTTTAGTATATGTTTATGCATTTGTAAAATAATGTTTATTTTCGGAAAAATAATGTCACTTATCTGGTGGATTATAAAAATGATTGCTAAAATATTTAGGAAGAAAAAGAGACCAAATAAGGACGATGATAATAAATCACTATTAAAAAATTCTGAAAGAAAATTATTTAAAGACAGGAAGAGAAATAGACGTTTGAGAAAATTAGGATTATTGGCAATAATTTTTAACTTTTTTCCTTTAATTAAAGCCGAAGTGGAAGTTGTTTCGGTACAGGCAAAATCGGAAGACTGTTATCAAAAATCAGGAAAATCATTCTGTAAAATTAGTACAGTCAATACAATTACATTGCTACCTGATAATCAAGTAGCTTCGTTTACCATTAAAGATGAGAAAGGAATTATTATTGGAGAATTAGAATTTGTTATGAAAGCCCTTTCCACTACATGTAATCAGGAAATTTTAGAATATTTACGTTCATTTGACGTTAATATTGAATCAGTAAAGAAATGTCCATCAACAGGTACGTGTAGAGCAGGGAAATGTGGCAATATTAAAACCAATGAAAAGGTTTTAGAGTTGGAAAAATTTGAAAACTATCCTGGAAATTCGTTTTGTATTGAAGGTCAATCACTTTGGGGTTATAAATGCGGATTGCCTGGAACAACCTGCTATTTTTACAGGATATACGCGACACCAAAATCGGAAGAGATTTATACATTAGTTACATGTCCTACATGGGACTATGTAGTTGAAGTTGAAATGTCGATGATTTTAAATAAAAACAGGGAAAAGACTAAATTTTTACTTCACCCTGGTCTGACGGTACATTGGAAAGATTTAAAAATTACTTTATGGGATCTCACACCACCCATAGCGCCAATTCTAAATAGTAGATTTATTGTTAGTAATTCAGGAATTGCTATTGTTGATGAATTTACTTCGTATTTGGATTGTGGTGGAAATTTCAGGAATTTTTCTATGTGCTCTTTAGACCCTAAAATATGTCAGGAATGTTGGGAAGATAACGAACTGGAAAGAGTTTCATGTACTTGTTTTGAAAATTCTATAGAAAGGATACTTAATGACCCTACTAAAATACTGCCTCTGGATGTTCAGAGAGTGAAATTGCGCAGTATTGGGAAGAAAATATTTAGTGAAACAAATTATTTGCCTATTCAAGTCATGGTAAGAATAGACAATTGGACAATTGCCGCGAATACTGAATTAACCTTATGTAAAGTCGAACCAATAAAATTAACAGGATGTTATTCATGTTTTGGCTCGATATTTAGATTTAAGTGTAAAACAAATTCAGGAAATACTTTAGCTGAAATAAAATGTCAGGATAACACTTTTACCGCTCATTGTTCAAAATTAGGTACAGAACAGTACGTTGTACTTTCTTTCAATAAGGCTAAAGTTTTGGAAACTTGTGAAGTCCTATGTCCAGCTGGAAAATCAGAATTTACATTGGAAGGTAGATTAGAATATTTTCTGGCTGAAAGAGTTAAAGTAATAGTGAAAAATGGAACCCCAGAAATTTATTCAAATAAAGGTAATTACTCTTGGATAAATGAGATTTGGAAGAATTTCCCCCTAATTGATTTTAGAGGATTACTATTGGATTATTTAAATTGGAAGATTATAATTTTTATTATAATCGCTTTTATCCTCATTTGTATTTTTATAAAAATTATTTGGAAGATAGTTCCCTATTTTTTCGGTTACTCAAGATTATTCACTGTTCTATCTTTATTCTTTCTTTTTTCTCTTACCCGCGGAGGGTGTATCACAGAAGAGAAAATATTTTTACATATGAATAATGTTGGTTGTTTAGGAGAGATGAAACAGGCATTTGGCGTCTCTTCTTCTTTATTTTTTTACATAAATCATTCTTTTAAACTTTATTTTATTTTTAAAAAATATTCTTTAAATAAAAATTTATTTTTATTTTTTATTTTCAGGGAAAATAATACAATTTATTTAATGTCTTCATATAATTCTTTAATTAAATACTCGGCACTTGTTTTGGACTGTGAAATACAGGATGTGCCTTATTTACTCTATAAATCATCAAATTCTCGGGATATTATTTCTACAGCCTTGAAAAATTTGGAAGAGGAAGGCTGTAATTTAAATGCATGGATTGCCGAACCAGGACAACAAGAATTAATTACACCTATAACTGGAATAGGAGATTGGTTACTAGTCAAGGAAAAATTCTTACATGCTGTTAAACCTTTGAATATGGAAGAATCTTGGTATAAAGCACACATTACACAATCTCAGGTAGTAATTAATCCTGAAGAGGAAAATTTTGACACAGGACCTGGCTTAATAGTTAGTCACTCCTTTCGGAGTGCAGAAGAGTTCTATCCCTTAAGTTCAATCTTTATAGAAAATTTGGAAAATAGGGATTTAAATAAACTATTAAATGCTGGAAATTTGAGAAAAATTGATAAATATAATAGAAATAAATTTCAGGCTTTAAATGAGGAAGAAATTGAAAATCCAAAAATTCAGGAGGAAGAATTGGAAAATACTCTCAAAATCGATGTAGTTTCTGGAAGTAAAAAGGTAGAAATTAAATATCAGGAGAATAAATGTAATTTTTCCGTTAAGGTCGAATCTGAAATTCATGAAAAGTCTACTGGAAAAACATTATCACTGGCTAATTTTTGTGTCAGGATTGAAATTAAAAAGAATTTATTAGTTGGAACATTGTTATTTTGTTTATTTGGGTTCTTGATGGCAGCCCCTGGAAATTACTCTCCTCTCTCTACTCCACCGGAAAATCAATGGGATAGTCTATTGGAGGAAATTGAGGCTTTTGAACCCGAAATGGTATTCGAAAATATAGGCCTTCAACCCACAAATCTTTCTAATCCCCAAATTCAGGTGGAAAATACAGAAGGAAATTCTACTGAAAATATACAGGAAGGTCCAAAAACCCCGCAGGAAAACAACCAGGAAGAAAAGAAAGCTAAAAGAGCTAAACTGGAATCCCTTTTTGAAAGCTGGTTGGCAAATCGCCCTACAACTGTTTGCTCTACATCGGCACTCGGGGGACAGACAACACTTATTCCTGGACCATCATCAACAACAACAAATGTATTTTCTTCTACTTCAGCAGTTGGAGCAACAACTACTATGCAATTTGTTTCTGCTACAAATTCAGCAACACCACTCCCATTGGCAAGCTATAAAATTCCTAAAATTAGAAAAGAAGAGATTAGTGGACCCCCAAATTGTTACAACAAAAGACCAGCAAGCAATTACGTGAAGAGTTGTTTTTTATGTGGCAACAAACAACATCTAGCGAAAAATTGCCCTCTAGCTAATTGTGGTCAACAAAGTAATCAACCAACACTTTCTCACCACAACAACAACATTCCTCCAAATGCTGCTGAAAACTTAGCAAGAGATCTAACCGAACTTGCACAACGACACCCAGCGCCCTTAGCAACGCTTCTTTTTCAACTTGCTCGTGTTCTTCTACTGACAATTCAGGCAGCACGACAACAATGAGACTTGCGCACCCCCCGAGTGTTGCGAATGCAACGAGAAAGAAAAAGAAAATATTAAAAATAAAATGATTCATGATTAAAAAATTTTATGTTCATATTTTTAATATTTTCCGCCCACAAATTTGCTTTAAAACAAAAGCCTAAACCCCAAAAATTCACTTCTTATTCATTCTTCCATTCATTTTTTCTTTACAAACCCTCTCATTCAATCTTTGTAGGCTTTTGTGTTTCCCTTATTAAAAAGAAAGTTTTTGATAATAAAAGAATTAGAAAGAAGTTGTGTATTTATTTTAAATTTAGGTGTTCAGGTTAATTTAATTTTTTCCTATTCAATTTATTGAATAGAAGACGGAAAAGTTAAGATAAAGATATATCTTTTCTGTACAAATTTTCTAGAAAATTTTAAAAATTTTCAAAAAAATTTTTCTCAAAAAAATTTTTTTTAACCTTCATTATTGTCCCATCTTCTTTTTCTTTCCTTCTTTAAATAATCCTTCTGATCCTTTTTTGGACGCTCAAGAGGTGTAGGTACTTTATTATTTAATCTAGCAGGTAATTGGGGAGCTGAATTGGGAGGTATCACCTTTTAAAAAAAATTTTTTTCCTAATTTTTATTTTATTCAAACCAGACCTGATTCCTTTCAAAATTATTAGAAACATTCCCAGAATTAATTAAAGACTGATTTTTAGCTGCTATTTTTGCAGCAATTTCAGTGTAATTTTCAGCATATTCTTCAGCTGTGTAAAACCTTTTGGAATGTTGTGACTTATAGGGGGTTTTTTTTGGCTGGACCGATTTGGACAAATGAGGTGTCATTCGAAAGAGCTCGCCGAGCTGAGTCGATTGAGGGGCGAGTGGAGTCGATCCGACAATCAGGGACCGAGATACAGACCCCTGAAGTTTGAAAAAGAGCAGGGGGGAGTAAGCTCATTTTGGGGTGAAAAATTCGAAAATGCAAATAATAGCTCATTCGACTCAGCTCGTCGAGCTGAGTCGAATGACACCAAAATCAGCTCGATATCTTGATTCTGAGCCAAGATAAACAGGTTCAAAATGGTCAACATAAACCTATGGAGCGTAGGCGAGGCGCTTGTGCGAAACCCCGCGCTTCGCGCGGGGTTTCGCGGCACGCGCCTCGCGGGGAGTCAACGGTCGCTGGGTCTGGGTCAGTAACATAAACCTATTCCTATCTCTCTTGCTCTGGACGTACTTGGGGCCTCTGTAGCAGCAAAAACCTCAACAAAGACCATAGGTAAGGAGCTAAAACAAACGATCATAACTTTGTCAAATCAAGTCGGTTCTCGGTGATTTTGGTGTCATTCGACTCAGCTCGACGAGCTGAGTCGAATGAGCTATTATTTGCATTTTCGAATTTTTCACCTCAAAATGAGCTTACTCCCCCCTTCTCTTTTTCAAACTTCAGGGGTCTGTATCTCAGTCCCTGATTGTCGGATCGACTCCACTCGCCCCTCAATCGACTTAGCTCGGCGAGCTCTTTCGAATGACACCTCATTTGTCCAAATCGGTCCAGCCAAAAAAAACCCCCTATAAGTCACAATACCCACCTTTTGGGTTGGTCCCAACGAGTTTCTAGAATAAAATAAAAAATAAAAAGAGAGAAATTTGAGGGGAATTTAAGGGAAATAAAGAATATGGGGGCATTCAAGGACAAATAAAAGATTTGCGGACATCCGCAAATTTTGTCCGCAAAAAATTTGCGGACATCCGCAAACTCTAAGAAAATTATAAAATGCCTGAAAACCATGAGGACGCTTAAAAAATAGAAGAAAATTCTAAGGACATTTAAAATATAAAATAAAACCTCCAGAAAATATATGCCAGTAATTACGCAATCCAGTCGCCGATTCTCCCTGAACCCAGCAAAGAATACCATCAACTTCATCACTTTCTATCTTTTCTTCCTCTTCGGGTTGGTCATCGACCCAAAATTGGGATTGTTTTGCACTTTTCTTTAATTCATCCAACTAAAAAATAATTTTTAAAAATTCAGAAATTTGCGGATGTCCGCAAATTTTGTCCGCAAAAAAATTTTGTCTGCAAAAAATTTGCGGATGTCCGCAAATTTATTTTTATGTCTAAATTTATTTAAAATCTCATAAAAAATTTAATAAACCTTTCGTTTTTGTTCTCGTATTTCTTCCCTCAAATCTGCTTTTTCTAAAGATTGTGCAGAGCAAGAAGAGACAATTCCTTCATTAAACTCTTCAGGCATACTAGGCACACTTTTTTGACCTTTTGAAGACATACTCGATTTAGCTGCTTGTTCCATTGATAAAATAGTCATTCTTAAATCGTGATCCTAAAATTTTGGGAAATTTAAAAAATGGTAGAAAAAAATATTTAAGGGCAAATTTTTCATTTTTGCGGACAAATTTTTCATTTTTGCGGACAAATTCTTTGTCCGCAAATTCTGAAGGCTATCAGATCCACCTAATCTATACATCATTCAACTCACAATCAGCTCGTTGTCCACAAATTTTTAAATGCCTTCGCTTGTTTAAAAAGCTGTACTTGACAAGCTTTTTGAACGCTAGCTAAATTTGGTTGTTTAGCAGAGCTGTAGTCAATTAAAATTTTTTCTTTTATTTTTTTAAATTTATTTTTTTTGCGGACTATCCCCTGGTTACTCTTAAGGATGGGAAAAATGTGGTAAACTCCAAAAAAATTAAAAAAACATACCTTAAGCTCTTTATCCTTCGCCTTTTTAGCACTTTCCCTCAATCTTTGTTGCACCATAACTTTATGTTTGGCCCCAGTTTCATGCCTTTCCGAGCTTATTTTGTTGTCGGCATACCAAACCTTGGATGAATAAAGTTAATTTAAATTTAGAAACATTAAAAATAACCTTGCAAATCTCGCAAAACTTTTTAGAATAAGATTTCCAATAATCTGTCATCTTGAAAAATGAAAAAAATGAGTGAAATTGAACAAAATTTGGCTTGAAATTGATTAAAAGTTGGCTAGATTCCAATGCAATAGCGAACAAATTTAATTTTAATTTATTTTGGCATTTTGCCCTGTTAAATAAAATAAATGACACTTTATCCCAAAATTATTATTTAATTTCTTTCTCAGTCTTCACTATTTTTACCTTCTCTTTCTCTTTCTTTCACTCATTTTCTTTGTCTAAAGCGTTTTATTCTTAATATTTAGCCAATCCACATTTTGCCAATAAGGCAAAAAATTTGTGTTTTGTCAACAAGCTTAGTGACAAAATGTAGATTTTTAGCCTTATTGGCAAAATGTGAGGGAGACGTTTTATGGGTATATGATTTTTGGGAGGTTTTCTAATCTTTTTTAAATTGGGCTAAAAAATTTTTTTTTCAAGTAGAAATTTTCTTTTAATTTTGTATTTAACTATTAAAATTTTTTTTATAAAATTTCCAGATAAAATTAAATTTTAACCAAAAAAATGTCCTTTTACAACGACAACGAAGAAGAAAATGAACTTCACATAGCTTGGCCCAACTATACACCAGAAAAACAACAATCTTCACTACTTCCACTAGTTTTAATGATAAACGAAAAATTGCGTGAACGTCTACCTGCATGGGAAATAATTTCATTAAATTCTCAGCACTTTCCTCAATTTTTTGAAAAAATTTTAAAAATGATTTGTGACGAGAATTTGGGTTATTCTGTTCAAATACATCTCATTACTTTTTTGAATTATTGTTTTAATTCGTTAGAAGTGGATTTTGTGAGACAAGAAGTAGGGAAACTGTGTTCTTTGCCTATTTTGGTTAATTTGTTGCCGGTTAGTTTTTATTTTTTTGACTTTTTTGGGGTCAGTGTTGTTTACCCCCCATTTCTCACTTTCAGTTCTTGTTAGGTTAAGGTGGTTATTTTTTATTTACTGACAGCGTTAAGCTTCAGAACCTTTTTTACCTGGATCTGGAAATTTTAAAGAAAGCAACAATAAGGTTAACGGATATCTCCAAACCTTGTTTGCTCAGCTCTTGAAACCGAACTATGGTTCTAGAGCAAAAAAGGCAGCAATAAGCTAATGGACATTCCAAACCAGGGATATTTTGGTTCCAGAAAAGGTCGGGTCGGGGTTTCAAAATACTTTTCGAATCGGGGTTCGGGTTGAAAATGTTCGTCTTTCGAGTAACCTGGAGCATTATTGTATCAGATCCAGTTTCCTTAGGTCTTTAATCCAAATAATGTTTTTAGAGCTAAAAGTAGCCATGATGTCTTTTTTATTTTTTAAAAATTTTTTCTTAAACGTTTCTTTAATTTTAGTCTCAACGTAGCTCCCTATTCGAAAAAAATCCAAAACTCAAAAAATATTGGGTCAAAATGGAACAAAAATTTCAACAATTACCTCCTGAGGAATTCGAGAAAATTGATTTTTCACGTCGTCTGCTTTGGAGATTATTGCAAAGATTAAAACGAACTGTGGATTTTATTGATGACGAAAGCAAAGGTATTTTTTAATTTATTGATTTTAAATTCTAGTTACTTTTTTGATTTTTTACCTTTTGAGTGGGACGAGATCCCGGACTGGATCGCCTCTGCAATTTGGGTCATTTCTTTTTTGGCTTTTCAATTATCAGAAGCCTAAGGTCCCAACTACTCAAAAGAACAGCAGCGCGGATTCCAGGCACCCGATGCGTGACGAAATCCGACGCAGGACCCTGCGTCTACAACCCCCGCACTTTTTTTTGTTCCCGAAAACACGATTTCTACTTACACTACTTTTAAGTTTGTTTTTTTAATACAAGTGGGTTCATTCTCTGGATTATTTATTTCTTTGCTTGATTCTCTTACCGATTTTTTTTTATTTTTTATTTCCAATCATTTATTTAAAATTTTTTTATTCTCTTCATTGTCAGATTTGGAAATTGACGCCATAACCTATTGCGAACGCCTACTCTCTTTCTTAATTGATTTGGAAGCTCAATTGACTACAAGGTTTTTTTCCATAATTTTTAAAAACTTAAAAATATTTTTAGACGTTTCTTCAATTCTTTACTCCATTCAAGCCATATACTCACACATTGTTGTCTTTCCCAATTTATCCGTTCAGAGCATGGCTCTCTCTTTTGTGAGCTTTTTTCAATGCTTAAATTTTATGCTCGTTTTGAAATTGATGAACTTAGTGGACAACAATTGCTACAGGCTGAGGTTTTTATTTTAATTTAAGGACCTGTAAAGTTTGGTTGGCCTGGTCATTTTTTCTTTATTTTTGTGGGTTTGTGTTGCTATAAATTAATCGAGACAGTGTGTGGGGAATTTTTAAAAATTGACGAAGAAGGGAAAGAAGTCCTTTAAGATATTGCCCAGCTAGTCCTCAAGACATTGAAAGAAGTCCTTAAGACATTTCTCACATCAGCTAGCCGACCCGATTTTCAAAATCGGTAATTTATTCTTTCTGGCAGACCCTTAACCAGGATTTTTTGCGGGAAGGAGGGGGGGCAATGGGGAAAATTCTTGTTATTGGCCTGTTTCTTGGTATATATCAGGGTTTATTCAATAAAAAAGTAATTTCCCAATTTCGGGAATCGTCTCGGCTAGCTTCCGGGATTGTCCTCAATTACTGGCCTTCTACTCTTTACAAGTACCTTTTTTTATTTTTTTAAATAATTTTTTTTCGAAAGGTAACCAAACGACATTATGAATTTGTTTCTCAATTACAAGCTGCCGCGTTCAAATTTCTAAATGAAAAATTGGCTGAATTTTGTTTGTTACCAGTTGGATCTGTTGATTCTAGTAAATTTTTGCGTGAACAACTTGGCTCTTTAAGGTTTTTTAGGAAATTTTTTGTAGGCTTTTTTGAGGAAAAAAAATTTTTTTAAGTTGTGATGACCTCTACAAACTCGCAGAATTTTTAAATTTGGTCCCTTCAATGAGTGAGAAAGAAGAAAATTTAGTTGAAAATTATTGTCGTTATGATGACCCAAATTATTTAATTGAAGCTATAATTTTTGTTTGTGAACGTAGACCTTCACAATTACAACGTTTAAATGCTGAACCTCTTTATCCTAGTGAAAAAGTGATTTGGGATGAAAAGGTTTGTTTTTTTAAAAATATTTTGTTAGTTTTTAAGTCTAAAAATGTTTTGGCTTTGAATTGGGTGAATTTTTATTTTTTGTGGAATTTTGGTTTATTAGGTATCATTGTTTTGGTTTTGTATCTGATTTGAGCTTATTATAATAATTTAGAACATATGGGCTTGGTTTATTTATTCAAAATTTGAATATTTGACAATTTTTTTGTATAAATTGAGGGAAAATTGTTGTATTAATAATTAGGCTTCTAATTATATGGAAATCCATATTTTTTCCTGAATTCCTAGGACTATGAAAAGTACGAAAAACATGTTTTTGGCTTGTTTTAGGGTTTTTAGAATGTCCATATACTATAATTGGATGCCTTATCAATAATAACTTTATTATAGATGTTAATTCTTCCAAGAAAAAAATATTCGAATATTTTTTTGGTTGTTGGACTAAAATAAAAAAAAATTTTGTTCAATCAACTACGGGAATTTTAGATATTTTTTTAATTTTATTTTTATTAATTTAAATATTTATTTAAATTAAAAAATATTTTTTTTCTAGTTAATTCCATATGATCATTATGATGGTAAAAGTGTGCTTCCTTTAAACAAATTAAATCTTCAATTTTTAACAACACATGATTATTTACTTAGAAATTTTAATCTTTTTAGAATGGAATCGACATGTTTTTTAATTTTTTAAAAATTTTTTAAGAAAATTAAATTTTTATTAAAGATGAAATTCGTCTCGATTTGGAAGATGTAATGTTTCGAATGAAACCTTGGAAACACGAATTTAATGAATCTGATGTTGTTTGGGGTGGTTGGGCAAAAATGGCACTTCCAGTTACTAGTTGTAGAATTGTGCATATTGGAAGGCCTTTAGTTGGAGAGGTTTGAGTAAAAAATTTTTATGAAGAAATTTTTTTAATTTTCTTGGAAATATTATTTTGAATTTTCAAAATTTTTAATAAAAAAATTTTAAAAATTTTTTTAAAATCGAAAAATTTTTTTTTCAATTTTTAGAATTGAGAAAAATTTTTTGAAATTTCATTTTGTGTTTAAAAAAAATTTTTTTGGACTTTTAAAATTAAAAAAAAATTCTTAAATTTTTTTAAAAATTTTTTGAATTTAAAAATCCAAAAAATTCTTTTTTTTAAGTCTGCTCCTTCCGAAGTTCGTGCAGATCTCCAAATAACTTTACCTTCAAGAGAAGATTTGCGTCAAGATTGGATGTCTCTTCGAAAAAATGATGTTCTCTTTTTACTTAAAGTTAAACCTATACAAAAAGTTGGCTATAAATTTGATTTTCGACGTCCATTTAAAGAACAATTTGGAATTTGTATAGTTAGAGGGTGTGAGGTAGAAGGAATTTTGACGAATGAGGGAAAAATACTTGATGAAATGGGTTTGTATTTTTTTGTATTTTTGAGGGGAATTAATATGGGAATATTAAAGAGAAAACACATAAGTTTTGATAGTGAAATACAATCAGAATTTAGTTAAAATAAATCAGAAATTCAAATAAAATACAAAGAAAATACAAACAATATAAAAGAAATACAAGATCAGAATTTAAATAAAAATACAAATATATACAAACCAGAATTTTATAAAAACACAAATCAGAATTTAATGAAATAAGAAAACACAAAAACAGAATTTTAGAAAAACATATGAGAATTTAAATTAATTGAAAACCAGAATTCTATGAAAACACAAACAATATAAGAAAATACAAAATCAGAATTTAAACAAATATACAAACCAGAATTTTTATTAAAGGGAATCAGAATTTTATAAAAACACATTAGAATTTAATTTATCTTATATCAGAATTTAAGGAAAATACAAACGAAACACAAATCAGAATTTTTATAAAATACAAATCAGAATTCAAATTAATTGCAAATCAGAATTTAGTGAAAATACAAACGAAACACAAATCAGAATTTTTATAAAAAACATCAGAATTTAAATTAATTGCAAACCAGAATTTAGGGAAAATACAAACAAAATACAACCAGAATTTAAGAAAAACACATCAGAATTTAGATTAATTTAAAATCAGAATTTAGGGAAAATACAAACAAAATACAACCAGAATTTAAGAAAAACACATCAGAATTTAGATTAATTTAAAATCAGAATTTAAGGAAAATACAAACGAAACACAAATCAGAATTTAAAGAAAAACACATTCATTTTTTTTCAGAAAGCCGTGAAGCTATCCGCAAAATGGAAGGGGATTTACGCACATTTCGAATCCGTTTCGATCCAAACCAATACAAAGAAGATTCTGATAATGGAAATATTGAAGATATTTATTTTTCTTTTAATTTAGTAATTCGAAGAGACCCAAAATCAAATAATTTTAAATCAGTTTTGGCAACAATAAGGCAATTATTAAATACTGAATGTGTTGTTCCCGATTGGTTATTAGATTTAATATTGGGGTATGGAGAGCCTGATATTGCACATTATTCGAGGTTTGTGAAATGGGAGGGGAGGGAGTGAATTTTTTATTCGAAAAATTTTTTTAATTTTTATGAATTTATATAATTAGGGTAAAATTAAGAGTAAAATTTAAGAATTAAGAAATGGTGTAACTTTTTAGAAGCGGCAGTGACTCCAAAAACAAAATTTTTTTTAATAAAATTATTTTTGATATGAAATTTTAACATTAAAATCATTGAAGAATAGTTCAAAAATTGAACTAGCCATAAAAGCTTTTGATTAGAATCTAAAATTTTAAGTATTGTATATCAGCATTTTTGGACGTTTTATTTTCTAATTTAAAAGTCTGTTTTCCTTGAAAATATAAGTTTGACCATTATGTACCTTTTGAAAAAAATATTTTTAAAAATTTTTTCGGAAAATAGGGAAAAGCCTTATTTTTTCGGAAAAAGCTTTAATTTAAATTTTTTTTTTAATTTTTTAGAATTACAAATACAGTTGCAACAGTCGATTTTAACGACACCTTCCTATCCTTTGAACATTTACAAAAATCATTTCCAAATAAAAAAATAATTTGTGAAGAAACTGTGCCTAAACCTCCTTTCAGGTTTTTTTAATTTTATTGAATTAAAAAAATTTTTTCAAAGATTAACTTTCAAAGAATTTGTCCCTCAACACAATATTGAAAAGGAAGAAGACCGTGATACTTCAATAATTGTTGAAAATCAAAAAGTATTTAATAGAATATTGACAGAAAGTTATCAAAAGAATAATATTGAATTTACACCGCTACAGGTTTATTAAAAAAATTTTTTTGAAATTTCTTGGAAAATTATAGAAATTTAAGGATATTCTAGTCTGACCATTATGCGTCATATCAAAACAAATTCTGAAAATTTTATGGAAATTTTGTTTGAAATTTTTAAAAATTTTTGAAAGTGTTCTTGAAAAATTAAAAAAAAATTTTTTTTGGAAATTTTATTTGATCATTATGAGCCTTTTGAAAAAAATACTTTCAAAAATTTTTCAAAATTTTTTTGGATATTTTCGACATTTATCATAATTATTTTTAAATTTCACCAACAACAAAAAAGCTTTTTTTAGATAGAAGCAATAAAATCAGGAATGCAGCCAGGTTTAACACTCGTTGTCGGCCCTCCCGGTACAGGCAAAACAGACGTTGCTGTTCAAATAATTTCAAATATTTATCACAACTGGCCAGAACAACGAACTTTAATTGTTACACATTCAAATCAAGCTTTAAATCAAATTTTTGAAAAAATTATTTGTTTGGATGTTGATGAAAGGCATTTATTGAGAATGGGTATATTTAGATTTTTTTTGAAAATTTATTGACTTTGGGTTGTTGAAAAAATTAAAAAAAAATTTTATCAAAATTTTTCTTAAATTTTTTGAAAGACATTTAGGTTTAATTTTAAGACACAACCCAGAAATTGGTTATGTTAAGAAAAAATCGGTTAGGATTTTCAAAAAATTTCTTCAGATCGGATTTTCGATTTTCTTGTCTAAAAATATTTGGGATTTTTTAGTTCGAGTAAATAAGCGGTATTAGTTTTATGAAGCTTTATCCATCCAGTAAAAATATTTGTTTAATTCCTTTTGGTTTTTACGTTTGTTTTTGGATTCCATAAAAATTTTGAGACTTTTGGACCTTTGGGTGTAGGACCTTTGGTTAGCTTATTGCTATACATTTTTGATAATTTGTAATGTTTTTATGAAAAGAATGAACACTTTAATGGGACGCATGTCCTAAAAACAGAGCTTATTTTTAAGTCAAAATTTTTTAGTAAAAATTTTTATTTTTCTTCCAGGTCATGGAGAGGAAGCTTTAGAAACAGACAAAGATTTTAGCCGTTATGGAAGAGTTAATTATGTTTTAGCAGAACGCAAACGTTTACTTGAACGTGTAGAAAAACTTTGTGAATCAATGGAAGAAATTGGAGATGTTTCTTATTCTTGTGAAACTGCTGGATATTTTTTTAGATATTCTGTAAGATTTTTGGGGGATTTTTTTAAAAATGGTTTGGGTGCCCAAAAAAAATTTTTTTAAAGATTTTTTTCCGTTGGGATAAAATGTCTCATGAGAGGAAAGATTTTTTTTAAAAGATTTTTAATGATTTTTTTTTGGAATTTCTTTCTGGATATAACAGCCAGATATATGATAGTTCTTATTTTTTTTAAATCAGGATTCAACTTTTTTACGTATTTTTTTGTATTTTTAAGGTTACTCCCAAGTTGGGACAAAATGTCTCATTGATAGAAAATTCAAAAAATTGGATTAAAAATTTAGAAGATTTTTTTATGAATTTTTGCAAATTTCTAAGAATCTTAAAATCCAGAAAATTAAAAAAAAAATTAATTATTTTTTAGGTCTGTAAAACTTGGGAAAATTTTCTTGAATTAATCGAACAAGCAAAACAGACTGCTATAAATGACGCTAAAGAAAATAATAATTCTGATAATTCCACAAATGTTCCTTTGCCTTCCAAAGATTTTGTTGCTGATAATTTTCCTTTTACAAAATTTTTTCAAAGTGGGAAGAAGAAAAATTTTTTACCTTTGGAATTTAAGGTAAAATAAGTTTATAGTGGAAAACCTCATTATAAGAGACACCCAATATTAGGTACACTTCTATTTAAGGTACGTCCTTTAAAAAATTTTGGTAGGCCACTGAGTATAGGGGACTGAGTAAGTGATACTCTCTTCTTAAGGGATACCTTCTATTTAACATACACCTCATTATAAGAGACAAAATTTTTTTGACCCAAGTGGGCATCTTTTAATTTAATTTTTATTAAAAAAATTTTTTTAAATAATTTTTTAGAGAGAAAATTTTAATGAAGATTTACAAGTAGCAATGGAAGGATGGAATAGAATTGTTGATATTTTCAAAAAATTAGAGGAATTTAGAGCTTTTGAATTATTAAGAAATGGACGGGATAGAGCTGATTATTTACTTGTAAGTGAGGTTTTTTTAAAAATAATTTATTTTGAGGGGTCTGATTTAATTTTTAAAAAATTTTTAAGGGAGGGCAGAGACTTATTTTTCACGATATTTGTGAAAATAAAAAATATTTTTTAGAAAAAACTTGAAAATATTATTTTTTGAGAGGTCTGACCATTATGAGCCTTTTTCAATAAATTTTTTTAGGGAAAATTTTATTTTTGGAACAAAATGTCTCACTAAGAAATTTCTTTCAAAAAATTATTTTTAAAGGTAAAAGAAAGTAAAATAATTGCAATGACTTGTACTCACGCAGCTTTACGTCGTCGTGAATTGGTAGAACTTGGATTTCGTTATGATAATATTTTAATGGAAGAGGCTGCACAAATATTGGAAGTGGAAACTTTTATTCCTTTACTTTTACAAGTAAGAAGGGGAAAATTTTTTTAAATTTTTAATAAAAGAGATCGAGCCTATTTTATAAGAATGTTTGGGGTATCAGTTTTTTTCTGACCATTATGAGCCTTTTGGAAAAAAAAATTTAAATTTTTTTAAATCCATTAAAATTTTTAGAAAATTTCTTTAACAGATTGAAAAATTAAAAAAAATTTTGACACTGAAAATTTTTTTTAATAATTCAAATTTTGGGTGGGACATAATGTCTTAATAATAAATTATTTAAAAAATTTTTAAATTAATTTCTGGATCTTTTAATTTTTTTAAATTTTTCTACTGCCTTTTTAAAATTTTTTTCTTTTCATGACCCTCATGATGGCCGTTCTCGTCTAAAACGTTGGATTATGATTGGAGATAATCACCAATTACCCCCAATTGTTCAAAATGTTGCTTATCAAAAATATTCAAATATGGAACAATCTCTTTTTGCTCGTTTAATTCGTTTAGGTATGAGATAAAGGAGGAGTTTTTGGAAGGGAATTTTTTCGGTTGAATGGAATTTTGGTTTCCCACGTCTTTTTTCATTTTTAACAGTTCGGCCCTAAAAACCATGGAATTTTCCCCAAAATAGAGAGAAATTCGAAAAGAACCTTATGTGGTTTCAAATCAGCACTGCCTTGATATAGGCCCCATTGGCGACCAAAATTCACCCAAAAAATCGAGGAAAATGTCCCAAAAAATCAATTTTTCTAGGTGTCCCCCATATCCAATTAAACGCTCAAGGCCGTGCCCGTTCAGAATTGGCAAATTTATATAATTGGCGTTATAAAAATTTGGGTGATTTAAAACATGTTTTGGATAATGAAGAATTTAAATTAACAAATGCTGGATTTTTGTATAATTATCAATTAATTAATGTCCCCGATTTTAATGGAATTGGGGAAAGTACTCCTAGTGCTTATTTTTATCAGGTGTGTGGTGTTTTTGGGGGAATTTTATATTGAAAAATAAATTTTATTTTTAAAGAAAAATATCCGAATCTCAATATAAGAGACTCCCTTTGAGGTCTGGAAAATAGAGTCCCTTATAATGAGGTGTATCTTAAATAGAAGGGTATTAAATAGGCAGTTCTCCCACCCAATGGCCAGTTGAATTTAATAATTGTCTCTTAAGTAGAGGGGTGGAACTCGCTATAAGAGACACTCTCGGTGCTGAAATAGAGTCCCTTTAATGGGGTGTATCCTATATAGAGGGCATTTCTTGTTAGGTTTCCCTAACCCAGTGGCCAGTTAAAATTTTTAATGTCTATTAAATACATAGAGGGTATATCACTTTGACTGTCCCTCAACCCCGTAGTTCATATTTTTGGAAAAATCGTTCCTTAAATAGAGGTTCATCTTATATTGAGTGTATCTTACAGTGATATGGTGTCTCTATAAGTGAGTATATTTTATATGGAGGTTTAATTTTCATATTTTTCAGAATCTTGGAGAAGCAGAATTTGCCGTAGCCTTATTTGTTTATATGCGTATTTTAGGATATCCTGCAGAAAAAATATCAATATTAACAACCTATAATGGACAAGCTTCTTTATTACGTGATATAATAAATAAAAGGTGTACAAATAATCCTTTAATTGGAATGCCTGGAAAAGTAAGAAGAGGGGGGGGGGTATTAAAATTTAAAATTTAAATTTTTTTTAAAGATTTCTACTGTTGATAAATACCAAGGACAACAGAATGGTAATGGAAAAAATAAAGTTTTCATTAAAAAACCCTCTTTATAAGAGACACCCATTATTAGTTATACCTCTATTTAAGAGACGTTCTTTAAATTTTGGTTGGATATTGAATGGAGGGAAATTTTTAAACGATACCCTCCATTTAAGAAACACCCCTATTTAAGAGATAACTCGTTATAAGATACAGACCTCTCTATAAGAGACACCCAATATTAGGTCTGCTCTATTTAAGAGACGTTTTGTAAAATTTGGTGGGCTACTGGGTGGGGATAACTGTCTAAACGATACCCCTATTTAAGAGACCCTCATTATAGGGTAAATTTTTTCACCCTTAATGGTTTATCTTATATAGAGGTTTTGATGTATCTCCTCAATTTATTTTTTTTCTAGATTACATAATTTTATCACTTGTGAGGACTAGAGCAGTTGGACATTTAAGGTGCCTTTTTTGCTATAATTTTAAGAAAAAAATTTTTTTTGAAGAGATGTACGACGATTAGTAGTAGCTCTATCACGTGCTAGACTTGGCCTTTATATTCTTTGTCGTGTTTCATTATTTAGAAAGTGTTATGAACTTGCACCCGCTTTTGAAAGGGTAAATGTTTAAATTTAATTCTGATTTTGTTTTTGAAACTTTTGTGTTTTGATTGTGTTTTTTTAATTCTGATTTTATGTTTGGTGTGTTTTTGTTAGGTGTTTTGGTTAGTGTTTTTCTGGTTTCAAGTTTATATTAATTTTGATTTTATTTCGGAGTGAATGTTTAAATTTAATTCTGATTTCGTTCTAAACACTTATGTTTTGTTTGTGTTTAAATTTAATTCTGATTTTGTTTTTGTTGTTAGTTCTGATTTCTTTTCTGGGATGAATGTTTGAATTTAATTCTGATTTTGTTTGTGTTTAAATTTAATTCTGATTTTGTCCTGGATGTTTGGCTAGTTGTGTTTTGTATTTCATTCTGGTCGTGTTTTTAATAATTCTGGTTGTGTTTTTGTTGTATTTTTATATTTTTTCTGATTTTTAAATAAATTCTGATTTTTTATTTTATTCTATAGTTACTCCAAAAACCAACTCGTCTTCTTTTATTGCCTACAGAACAGTTTGGTTACCCTAACGAAAATAGTCAAAAAGTAAATTTTTAATTTTTCTAAATTAATTTTTTTAATCTTTAATTCTTTTCAGCAACCCCTAGAAATTATAGACACTCAACACATGTCACATTTTGTTTCAGAATTTTATTCTGCCAATATTGAAATTATGAAGGGGCGTAATAATCAACTAGAAAAGGAACAAGAGAAGGGGGACGAGGAGGTGATGGAAGTAGTAGTGACGACAGAAGAGACGTCAGCAACCACCACCACAACTATTCCTTCCGTGGAAATTCCAAAAGAAAAGGAAGGTGAAGAAGAAGAAGAACGGATGGAAGAGGGGGAAGTAAGGGAAGGGGAGGAAGAAAGGATGGGAGAAGACAAAAACAAGGAAGAAGAAGGACCTAAAGAAAGTGATGAGGGAGCTATAGTTTTTGAACAGGTGGATTTCGAACGGTTACAAAATGTTCCAAAATATGGATAATTAATTAAGTTGATGATTGATCTCTTAATTATTATTTTTTTAATTTTGTTATTTTTTAAATAAATTTTCTAAAAATAATTCTTAAAAAATTTTCACAACTAGAGACAGTAGTTTATCGGTATTCTCAGTATCGGTGGTAAGGTACGATACAAATTTTCGATCTCCATTCAGAACTATTTTCAAAAGGAATTTTTTTATTAATTCTTAAAAATGGGATGTAAAAATGTAAAAAAAATTTTTTTCAGGTTTAGCCAGCCTATATTTTTTTATTCAAAAAATATTTTAAAATTTTGGCTATACCTTTTTAAAAAGAATATAAAAAAATATAATTTTAAATTCTCATAAATTTTTTGAAAAATCTAAAATTACATCTTATACAAATTATTGTAACCATTATTGAGGCTTCTGCTGCAAGTAGGATTATGAAGAATTGGGTTAACCAAAGTTCATTTTTGGACACCTCTGAAAAATAGGAAGGAAATTTTTTTTAATTTTTGGTATTTTTAGAATTTTTGTTACATTAGAGTCTTAACCTATTTTAGAGTTTCAGGCTGTTCACTAGAGTCCCAGAAGGTATAGCTGGGTCTCATTGTAAATTGTAGCCTTAAATTGTACATTTGAGTCTCAAATCGTCACTCAAATTACAATCCGAGACTCTAATGTACAATTTAAGACTCAAAGGTACACTGAGGCACAGCTGTACTATCTGGGACTCTAGTGCGAGACTCTAAAGTTTTTCTGAGACTCCAATGTTTTAATTAACCCTCTTGCGTGTGGGGCACTGACAGCATCCCTCCACGTCTCCTATTTTCCACTTCTACACCCTTTGTAAATCCAAAAATGCTTGAAAAGACAATTATTGCAACTAATTTTCCAAATGCCCCGAACCCCTGAAATTAAAAAAATTTTCAAAAAATTGTTTTCCAACCGAGGCAATAGCACAAAACCACAAAGTTGTAATTTCATCCCCTTTTCTATTCATAGCAGCAAATATGGTTACTGTAACAACAATTAGGGGGAAAGGAACGACACTTAGAATTGACCTATAAAAATTTTATTTAGTCGAATCCCACTATAGGAGACTCCATTGGGGCCGAAAAAGTGTCACTTATAATGAGGTGTGTTTTAAACAGAGGGTAATCCCTTTCCTATTGGACAGACATTTTTTAAACAGACATCTATTAAATAGAGAGTCTAAACGATGCCCTCTATTTAGGATACCCCATTATAAGGGACGATTTCTCACCCCATAAGGGGGTATCCTATATAGTAGAGATCGAGCGGGGTCTGTATAAAGGCCTGAGTTTTTCCTGTACCCAGAGTCCAGGCCTAGGCATTTTTTGACCTTCCTGAATTTTTCCTGTGCCATTTTTCCTGACTACAGGCCCAGGATCCGGCCCAGGTCAATAAATCAAACCCAGAGTCCAGGATCCAGGCTTTTCAAAAATCTCGAACTCTACTATATAGCTATGTAAAAATAATATTTGACTAGATAAAAATTTAAAAAAAAATTTGAAAAAATCGAACAATGGGTAATAGAAGAGAGCCAAGCATATTGAAATAAACAAGTAAATACATACAAGAATTAAGGTAATACGCTGAAATAAAAATTTAAAAAATTTTTATTTTTCCAAATTTTACTTGTAAATATCCATTTTCAAATCCATCCCTTTCCCTCGAACTTCTTTGCCGTCCTCGTTGTTTTCCTTTTTCGGTATCCTCTTCATCGTCATAACAATCAACGTCAACATGACGTGGATTAATAAACATCATTTTTAGGGGAAAATAATTTTTAAATTTATTTTTAGGCTAAAAAAATTTTTTGAAAAATTTAAAAATTTTCTAGAAATTTTTCTAGAAAATTTTCTAACCAAAAATATTTTTTTAAATTTTTTAAAATAAATTTTAGACGATTGGGAAGTGAAGGGACTCGAACCTTCGCCCTTTAAATATCTAAAACATAAACATTTCCCACTTAACCAAAAATATAAAATTTTCTTTTTTAATTGAATTGAGGAAATACTTTAACCAATTCAATATTAAAAATATATTCTAGTTGATAACTAAATTTTGAATGAGGTTATGGTAATTTTTTGTTTTCCTACTGCCTTTGGGAAGGAAAACACAAAATAGTAGTTTTTTTTTTTTGAAATTCTGGAAATGCCAGAAAGCAAAAAATATAGCAACGGAAATGCAAATGGACAAAATTGGATGGGCAAAAAATTAAAAAAATTTAATTTAAAAAATTTTCAAAATAATTATTGGAATTTCAGAAATATAAATAGAAAAAAGCTTCTTTTTAAAATTTTAAAAAAGTCCAATAACCAAATCCCCAATAAAAATAATTAAATATCGGAAAATGCCCCAACTTTTCGCATTTTCCGATATTCGTTTTGTTTTTTAGATCTGAAATTAAATTTAAAAAATTCAAAACAAAAATAATAGAATTTTGAAGGAACAAAAAAAATAATTTTGAGACATAAAAAAATATTTTTTTAATTTTTATAAAAAATACCGTATAAGCTAAAATAATTCCCCTAGGTAAATTATCGTCTTATTTAGGGTAGCAACCCGACCCTTTCGCGTTGAAAAAAATCCTTTGGATCAGGGTTTACCGGGAAGGGCATGTCGGGGTTCGGGGTCGGGGTTGACGTTTCGGTAGGGGGGTCGGGTTGCTACCCTAGCTTAATTTATCAAGAGAGGATAATTATTCGAGTTTTAAAATTTAACCGCGCACTAGGGCAGCCGCGGGAGGGTAATTATTGTTTCAAACTTCTCGCTGGAGGGCGCAAATATTTTATATAAATTTTCAACATTTTTTTAAAATTACAAGTCTATGAAAAATAAAAAAAAATTTTCGTAAGAAAATAAGGAGGGAGGATTTTTAGCTTATTTTTACTACTAAAAGTGTGACAAAGAAATAAAAAAATATTATTTTATAAAAATATTTAATAAGAAAAAAAAGAAAAATGGATATATAAAATAGATTTTTTGGGCAGTTGGCCACAAATTTTTTTCTTTTATTTTTTTTTCTTTGTTTGTTGATATTTTTTGTTTATTTTATATACACAATTTGTCTTTTTTTTAATGGTTGATTAAATTTATAAAATTAGTAAAAAGGTGTAAAAATAATAAAAAAATATATATAATTACTTAAGTGTGAAAACACAAATATTTTTCTTTAAAAAAATTTTTTTTGAATTTTTAAAAAAATTTTTTGAATTTTTAAAAAATTTTTGAATGGGAAAATTAAGTAAAATATAAGCGGAGGGGGATAATTCAAGCAGAAATTTTTCAGAAAAAAATTTAAAAATAATTTTAAAAAAAATAGAAAAAAAATTTTCTTAAAGTGAAGGGCCACAAAAAATCATAATTTTCAAAAAAAATTTTCAAAAAAAAATTTTTTTCAGAAAAAATTTTTTTCAGAAAAAAATTTTTTTTGAAGTGTGGGGGGTCACTCGAAAAATCAGTAAAACTAAGTACTTTTATCGCTTTTTTTTAATCTTAAAAATAAAATAGTAAAATAAACTGGTGGAAAAAACAAGAAAAACAAGACAACAAAAAATGTCAAAATTTAGAAAAAAAATTTCATTGTTTCCTTTAGGGAATTGGGAAAAATGAGGAGGAGGGGGGGGGGGATAAAGCAAATATTTTTATATGAGAATTTATGTGTTTTTCGTTAAAATAATTTAGGAATTATTTTATGTTCAGTGTTTGTGTTTTATTTATTCTGTTTCTGTAAAACACAAAATCAGAATTAAAATTAAAACAGAATTAATTAAACAAACATAATTAATTGGTAAAAATAAATTCTGTTTTTATGTTGTAAAATAATTCTGTTTTTTGCTTATAAACTAATTTTGTTCCAATGTTTTAATTTAATTCTGGTTTTGTATTCATTTAAATTAAGTTCGTGTTTCTTTTGTTTTAATTTAATTCTGATTTTATGTTTATAATTAATTCTGGTTTTGTCTCTATGTTTTAGTTCGGAATATGCCTTAATTTTATTTCAAGTGTATTTCCCTGCCCAGCCAAAAATATAAATTAATCAAGAATTAAACAATTAATTTAATTTTAAATATAAATTTTTAAAATTAATTTCCAGTTATTTTTAGGAAGTAAAGGTAAAGCTTTAAGTATATAACATTTGTCAATCAATCACTTTTTTTTAATTTCTAAAATAAGTACACCTGAACACGTGCATTTTTTACTGTTCATAGAGGAGAAAATTGATTTTTTAAATGAAATTTTAGACAATTTTTATTTAAAAAATAATAATTTTTTGACACTTCCAAGAACAAAAAAGAAATATTTTTTCTGATTTTTATTAAAAAAAGAAAAAATTCTGATTTTTCTAATGTTCAAATAAAATTCTGATTTTTAATGTTCGTTAAAAATTCTGATTTTTCTAATGTTCAAATAAAATTCTGATTTTTAATGTTCGTTAAAAATTCTGATTTTTTAATGTTCAAATAAAATTCTGATTTTTAATGTTCGTTAAAAATTCTGATTTTTAATGTTCGTTAAAAATTCTGATTTTTAATGTTCTTTAAAAATTCTGATTTTTTTAAACAAAAATCAGAATTTTTCAAATTAAAAAATCTACCTCTTATTTAACATCAAAAGCAATATCTTTAAATTTATTATAAAATAATCCACCACTTTCTTCTTCACTTCCATCTTCATCTTCTTTTATTAAATTAAAATAATTTTTGGGATATTTTGTTGATAAGGAGGCAAATACTTCTTCAAGTTGAATTTTTCTTTGGCTTGTTTCGGCGTTGTACTAAAAAAATTTTTATGAAAATTTTCAAAAAATTCTTTTAAATTTTTATAAAAATTTTTTCTGAATTTTTCGAAAATTTTTTTTCTGAAATTTTCAAAAATTTTCATAAAAAGTTTCCCCCTCACCCTAGGCTTAAATGTTGAAGCCATATCACCAGCTTTTTCATTGTTTTCTTCTCCTATATTGCTTATATTTTGTTGTCTATGTAAATTTTTAGCAACAGAATTAGCCAAAATTGATTGAAGTACTGGGTCGTTGACAGATTCAATTTGTTCTAACTAAAATATTAAATAAATATAAAATTCTGATTTTTATAATGTTCATATAAAATTCTGATTTTTATTTAAAAAAGAAAATAATGGGTTGTCAGATAAATAATGAGCCCTTTTCGCATTTTTAGTCTTATTTTATGTATAGGTATTCGAATTTTAGCGAATTTTAGATAAAATTATTTTACATTTACTTGAGTCGATAGTTCACGATTTTTCCTACTATATAAAACCATTTAAAAAATTAATTTTGATTTTTGCAGTTTTTTAAAAATTTTTTAAAAATATGTCCTCAAAATCTGAAATTCGGGCTGTTGTTTTTTATTGCTTCAAACGCGGTTTAGGTACAACTCAAGCCAAAAAAGAAAATGCCGCCTTAAAGGGCACAAGTTGGGCATCTTTTGCTTTATAAAAACTTCTGATTTATAAAAACAAAACAGAATAAATTCTGATTTTAAATGTTCATATAAAATTCTGATTTTTAAATGTTCGTTAAAAATTCTGATTTTTTTAAATGTTCATATAAAATTCTGATTTTTAATAAAAACAACAAAAAATACAAAAAAATTCTGGTATTTAATAGTGTATTTTCTTTTAATTAAAAACCAGAAAAATACAAAAAAATACAAATAATTCTGATTTTCTACCTTTTTCTGTTCAGCCAATTTACCCGTTGCAACATCCAAATCAACCAAAATATTTCTTTTTGCTTGCAAAGCTAATTGTCTCAATTCTTCTTTTCTTTTTACTATAGCTTCACGTTCAGAAGTTGTTAAATAAGGATTTAATTCCAATGAGAAATAATCGGATTGCAAATCGTTGACTTTTGTGACTTGTCTGGGGAAAAAATTTTTTTTTTGAAAAATTTTTCAGAAAATTTCAAAAAAAATCTAAAAATCTTTCAAAATTTTTTTGAAAATTTCCAAAAAAAGAATAAAAAAAATTTCAAAAAATTTTTTTCGAAAACTTTTTGAAAAAAAAATTCAAAAAAATTTTTTTTAATTTTCTTAAAAAATTAAATAAAAAATCCCCAACTGATCCTTATCCGCCAATAATAATTTTTGTTTGTATTTCTGTGCGTTTTGAATACTTTCTGCTAGAGAGGACAAAGACAATTTTTGTTGAATTGATTGAATATCCTCTAAATTCCCTCCAGAATCCAAAATATCAAAATTTTGTAATTGAGGGTTTGAAGTTAATTTTCTGAGTAATTCCAATGCCTTTTTATCTCGGTTTTTGAGAATCTAAAAAAAATTTAAAAATTTCCGAAAATTTAATTTAAAATTGTTCATCAACATGTACTGCTTGAACTCGATTAATTTATTTTAGGGAGGGGGGCGAAACTAAGAATTGGCTACTTTAGGGAGGGGGCGCTTTTCTAATTTTTAATACCCTACCTAAATAAAACCAATTTCTAGTTTCGGCCCCCTCTCCATTTTTTTCTTATTAGGCTCATAATGGTCAGACTTCCTTACTCAATGTAACTCTACTTTCACTCATTTATTTAAAATTAAAACGATTGAAAAAATTTTTTTAGGATTAAAAAAAACGGATTAAAAAGGAATGCTTTTTCGCTGTAGCTGCCATAGGCAAGCTTAAGGAAATGACGAAAAATAAAATTAGAGAGGGAAGGGGACGAAGCTAGGAATCACCCAAAAATAAAAGGGACAAAGCCAGAAACCACCCAAAAATTTAAAAATTTTTTTAAAAATAAAAAAAAACCTGTCTTTCCTCTCTAGTACAAACAATCGTCCCACAATAAAAACAAGGACCACTTCCTTCTTGTTCACACACTACCCTTCCACAATTTAAACAATTCCTTATTAAATTGTGTATACGTGCTTGGCAACCACAAATATGCCTGCCTAAAATTTTTAAAATTTAAAAAATAAGTTCAAAAAAAGAAAACCTGGACGAAGACGATAGGAAATTTTATCGACTCCATCAACTAAAGTAAACTTCTTTTTAAGCATCCTTTTATTTTTAATGAACAAAAAAATGAGGTGAAGTAATGCCAAAACCGCCGAAATACCAAAACACTAGAAATGGTGTAATAAAGGTATCTTGCCTGTTTCAGCTGCTCATTCCTTCTTCATGCTTATCTTTTATTAAGATAGGCATGATTTATTCAAATAGTCAGTGAAAGAATAACTGATACTCAACCCAAGGAAGATGGGAGTACGCAAAAAATAATGGAGTTTGGTATTTCAGCGTTTTGTCATTACCACACGCTTCGAAAAAAAACGAGTAAAATTAAAAAATAAAATTTTCGAGTTAAACAACTAAACGAAAAAAATAAAAATTTTAGAAATATTTAATAACCAAAAAATTTTTGAGATCAAAACAACCTTTAAATTAAATAAGTAAATAATTATCATCGTCCTCAAAACTAAAATGTTCACACAATCAGCATTCACATATAAGCGCTACCACCATCAAATTCAAAATTGGAGCCTGACTGAAATGACCGTCCACAATTCATGCAGATACTAAAATAATAAATTAGAGTTGCTGTTTTTCGGGCCTTGTTTTTATCGAATCGGGCCTTACGAGTCTTTTTCTGGCCAAATATCCTTACCCTAATTCGATCTTTCGGTCCATTCTGGCAACCCTTACACTAGTAATGCTGGATATTGTAAAAATATTTTTTAATATAAAAACATACCGATTGTTACCAAAACCAGGATTAAGAACGTTTGATGACATTGGATCGTCTAGAACATTATAACGGCCTAAAATTGAAAAAATTAAATCAAAATCATTCAAATTTATAGTAGAAAACTCCATTCCCTTTAATTCCTCCAAACCCCTCGATATTCCCTTTCAATTTGTTGTAAGTCTTCAGGATCAATTCCCGCCCCTTTCTTCTTATCCCCTATTTTCTGAAATAAACAAAATTGAAAATATGGTCTAACACAAGAGCTTTTTACGCAATAATAAAATTAAAACTTAAATACTACTGGTCCTCTAGTAGTATTTACTCTACCAAAGCAATGAGCACACTGTCTAGTCTAAAAATAAAATTAAAAGAAAAAAAAATTTTTTTAAATAAAAATACTGGTGGAGGAGAATGATGAACTTCTCTCTTGCATGCCAACTTTCCAGCAAATTCATCAATCAAAGCGCAAAACTGTTTGTTGAGTAGACGAGCTTTGTTTAATTGATAGAAGTCGAGACATTTGAAAATATCAATTTTAATTTCGTTTGGCAGATTTTTCATTTTTTTCTTTCTGTTAACTGGAAGACTAGAAAAAATGCTTTTTGAAAACTAAAAGAAAATAACAACAAAATGCCAAGCTCTTAAAAACCGCCAAATGTAAAAAGTGATAAATGGGTACAGCCCAGGTAGGCGCACGGCCATAAAGGCGCAAAGTCATAACTTGCTTCAAATTTTTCGAATCCTTCCAAATTTGGTATTAAAAGATTCCTCTCATCGAGCTAAAGAGATTGGTACCAAAATTGTTAAGGTCCAGAAATTTTCCAGCTAGTTATGGCTTTGCGCCGTTATGGCTGCGCGCCTACTTGGGCGTGTCCCTGGAAATAACGTCATAATGGAGAGGTAGTTTGGCATTCCGACGTTCTGATAACTTTATAAAATTTAAAAATAAAATTTTTTTAGTTGTAAAAACTAATCGGAAAAAAATAAAAAAATTTTAATTTAAAAATATTTAACAACCAAAAGAAAAAAATTTTGAGCACATAAATATTAAATATCAATCAAGAGAAAACTCAAAACCTAAGCTTGTCTGTTCACAATAAATTCACAGCAAAGAGTTCTAACGCCAACTAAGACAAATATTTAAAAAAAATAAAATTTTTTTTAAAGTTTAAAAACTACCGGCGGGTTCTATCAGGAATACAACCTGAACTACGGCCTAAAAATTTATAATTTAAATGAAAATTAAAAAGTTGGCAAGGACCTCAACTGCTCCCGGCCCCTATAACTTATGAATGGATGGTCACTTCTTGATGTTTTTGGTACCAATAGCGCTGCAGGTGGAAATTTTTTGAGAATTGGAGGGTCAAGAGGATTTATAAATATATTCTTGCGTTAGATTTCATTTTTTCTTAACGGTCAGACAAAATTTTAGATTTTTGATATTGCGGCGCATTCAATTCCCTGTCCATTGATACCAAGAACATTAGAAATTATCCACACATTCTTGAGTTATAGGGCCGAAACGCAGTTTAAACTGCTCCGCAGTCAATTTAAAAAAACAGGATACACATCAATTCTTGTCAAGTAAAAAATTAAATTTCAAAAACCTCTATTGCCATGTAAAATGTCCGGACTAGTCTAAAAATAAAATTAAAGAAATTTTTTAAATAAAAATACTGGTCGACGAGAACGATAATAAACTTGTCTCTTGCACGCCAACTTTCCAGCAAATTCATCAATCAAAGCACAAAACTGTTTGTTAATTTGACGAGCTTTGATTAATTGATTGAAATTGAGACATTTGAAAATATCAATTTTTACTTCGTTTGGCAGATTTTTCATTTTTTCTTTGACTTAAATTGGAATATTATTTATTCAAATTATCTGAAGAAAATAATTTAAAAATAACAAGCCTTTCCCATAAGATACCCCTTTGGACTGGAAAAATCTTATCTTAAAACAAGGAGTATCCTAACATAAATAGAGAGTATCGCTTAGACGCCCTCCCCCCCCCCCCTAACCCAGTGACAACCAAATTTTAAATATCTTTCGGTAAATGGATTTTTTGTTACCAGTACTGGTAGTACCAAAAAGTACCGGACCGGTACTTCCCGGAATACCGCGGTAGTACCGAACAGCGCTGAACACTAATTTGAAATATTCGTGCTTATTTTGGAAGCACAGTACTTACAAATTGGATTGGGAGAGCTACCTCGGAGAAAATTTAAAGGTAATTAGAGCAAGTATTGATAAATTTAGAGTAATAATGAAAAAAAGATTTAAAAAAATAAATTGCAACAGCAACAAATATAAAAAAACAATAAAATTCGATAAAAAGCAACAATTTTATCAAACAAAAAATAGGTATTCCTATATTTTTACAAACAAATAATGCCTATTCCTTAGGTAAACGATTACTATATCCATAGGTTGAGGTAGACAAAAAAAAAGAGATTTTGGACACCACTATTAGAACCATTCTCCTGCATCACGCACATCAAACATGACAGCGTGGCAACTTTTGCATAAGGAAGCCATGGCAAATTTTGAGAAGCATTCTCCTTTTCCATATCCTCCAAAAAGTTGGGCCAAAATTGAGTACAAAACTGGCCACCTTCAGCGCATACACCATTTTCACAATGCTTCAAAGTCAATGAAATGAGCGGATTTGTGTTCTTGAATAGCAACACAATCATTATTGGATTGAAGATAATATTGGCAAATTTAGCTTCATATTTCACGTAAGAACAATTCAATAAGAGTCTAACCAACCAACTACGCCAGAGAAGCATCTCTTTGATATTTTTTGGAATATAAGGCAACTTTAAGAGAAGACGTTTGGAAGAAGTGTCATCTGAAAAAATTTAAGTATACTGATTATCAAGCCTTGTATATATTAAAAATTCACCTTTTCTTTTAGGCTTCTTTACAGTCACACAAATGGCAAAGTTGATAATATAAGGCTCCTTTGATTTGAGACTTTCAGAAAAATAATACATTGAAGTTTTGTTGTCTATAGCATGTTGCCACTGAAAAATAAAAGAATAATGTTTAATTAAACCCCTGAGATCCCCCCAATACTAGCGTTCTTTAAAATTTGGCTAGAGAGATGCCCCCAAACCCTGGATACACCCTTCCCAAGTATCTTATAGTAAGATCCGACTATTTTTTCAAACACTAACCTTCTCCTCAAGTTCCTTACTCAACTTAAAACCAGGTAATCACCCAAGTCAATGACCCAACTCAGGTTAGGATTCGAAAATAAACATAGACCAGCCCAAACCTTTTAAAAATTCCCTCACCTTCCCCTCAAGTTCCTTACTCAACTCAAAACCACCAGCCAAACCAATATCCTCTTCATTTAATTTTAAATATTTGTTCTTGTCATTAACCGATTTATACACAATTGTCTCAAAAGAATAAAATTTCTTCTTTGCCAATATCCCAATATATTTATCAATTAATGAACAGAAATAGCTATTTGTTTGTTGAATAGAGGATATTTGGTTAAAGTTGAGATATTTAAATATGTCCAGATGGACTTCCACTGGCAGAAGAAGAATATTCATTTGTTGTTTTTTGGGGTTGATTAGAAGGAGAAGAGAAATGAAGAGAAAAGGAAGGTAAGAAAAAAATCCGCCTTTTATAGTATCCAATCTGTAAATCAAAATGAGTGAATACCAAATCCCTACTTTAGGAAATGATTCTGGACCGACTCCAATTTATGTTACATCCTTTAAAATATGGTTGCCCATTGGATTGAACAAGCTACACCTGAACGATAACCTACTCCCCTCAAAATTTAGGCAATCGTCTTTAAGTTTTCTCAAAAAATTTAACGGAAATGAAAGAAGCAAGCATTACTAAACTAGGACTAGCGTGAAAAATGATTATAAAAAATAAATAAATTGCAACAGCAACAAATATAAAAAAACAAATAATTCGTTAAAAGCAACAATTTTATTACACAAAAATATTCCTATATCTTTACAAACAAATAATTTCTATTCCATAGGTACACGATTACGATATCCAAAAGTTGAAATAAAGCAAAAATTGAGTTCCTTAACCAAACCAGAAGCATCCACATCTTGCAAGAAGATCCAACACGACAACTGAGCAAATTTCGCATAATGCAGCCACGGAAAATTTTGCGAAGCATTCTCCTTCTCCATATCCTCCGAAAAGTTTGGAAACATTCGAAAACTAAACTGGCCCCCATCAGCGCATGTACCACTCTCACAATAATTCATTTTTAATGAAATAAGCGGGTTTTTCATAGTCTCGAATAGCAGTTGAATCATTATTGGATTGAAGATGACATTCTCAAAAACAATTTTTTCTTCGTAAGCACAATGTATTAAAAGTTTTTCCAACCAAAAACGCCAAAGAAGCATTCCTTTGAGATTTGGAATATAAGGCAACTTTAAGAGAAGACGTGCGGACTTGTCACCTGAAAATATATATGTGCTTAATTATACGAATTCACAGAAATCAGACTTGTTGACTCCTGCCAAGTCCGACGCACCTTTATGCGTGATCGGGTACTTATTGCCATAGATTGGATGAGTAAACATAGACTTTTCGGTTTTTGTGTAGTTTCCCCCCCCCCCCCCCATAAGCCCCGCCTCTTTTTTCTCACTAAACGAAATACGCAGAGGCTGTAACGAGAGGCTATAATCTTGGCACAAAAACTTTTATAGATTAAAAATTAACCTTTTCCTTTAGGCTTCTCTTTAGTCAAACAAATAGCAAAGTTGATGATATAAGGCTCCTTTGTTTTAAGACTTTCAGAAAACAAGTACATTGGAGTTTTGTTATCAACAGCAACTTGCCACTGAAAAATAAAAGAAAAAATTAATCGGGTTTTGAAAAAAAATTGAACAGGGTTATCCTAAAGCAAGAGTTCATTTCAAGGCGGTCCACAAGTCCATGTTTATTCGGATATAGTATAGTATACAGGTGGAAAGGTTTCGATATGAGACCCATACCATTCGATTCGTCTCGGCGAGCTGAGTCGAACGGTACACTCTTTTTATCCGGAGATGCCTGTGAACCGAGATATAGGTCCCCGAAAATCGAAAAACCATAGGGGGGAGTGTCAAAACTGTGCTTACTCTCTCCTATGGTTTTTCGATTTTCGAGGACCTATATCTCGGTCCACCGGCATCTCCGGAAAAAAGAGTGGTACCGTTCGACTCAGCTCGCCGAGACGAATCGAATGGTATAGGTCTCATATCGAAACCTTTCCACCGGTATACTATACTACAGCCGTTTATTCATCCAAAAAATTTAAAGTTATGAATCGAGAAACCTAAAAGTAGGGTTGGGCCCCGACCCCGACTTTGTCAACCCCGACTTTTCCAACCCCGAAGGCTCGGGGCCCAACCCTACCTAAAAGTACTCTAGTCGAGGACCAACCCATGTCAGGATTCAAAAACTAGTCTAGAACCAGACCCAAACTTTTAACAATCTCCAACCTTCTCCCTAAGGTCGTCACTCCAACAAAGCATATCATCCAAACCAATATCCTCTTCCTTCAATTTTAAATATTTGTTCTTATCATTAGCCGATTTATACACAATTGTCTCAAGAGAATAAAATTTCTTCTTTGCCAAAGTAAGTTTATATTTATCAATTAATGAGCGGAAATAGCTATTTGTTTGTTGAATAGAGAATACTTGCTCAAAGTTGAGATGTTTAAATATGTCCAGATGGACTTCCACCGGTAGAAGAAGAATATTCATTTTTGTTTTTTTTGGCGTTGTGTTTATTAGAAAGGGTAAAATTTAACTTCGTGTACCACATCATTTTTCCTTGCTCAAAGTAAGGACAAAGGACCTTGCACAAAGTATTACACTTGTAATCCTTCATTGACTGATAGGAAAACAGTGAATACTTTTTAGCTTTTAAATCTCCTTCCCCACAAAAAAAAGCTGAGGAGGAAAACAAGATCTGACCATTTTTCAATACTTTGAGCTAGGGTTGGCCCTGGCTCCTTGAGGGCGCGAATGCGTTGCAATATGACTAAAAGAAAGCACTAATAATTTGTTGTTCATACTTCAACACACCAACGTGCCTTTAAAGATTCGGGGCCAAACCCTACTTTGAGCAAGGAAAATTGATGGGGTATACAAAGTTAAATCTTACCGTAGAAAAAGAAGAGAACTGAAAAGAAAAATAAGCCTTTTATAGTAAGAAAAAATAAATAAATTAAAAATATTACGTTGCAAAGGCAACAAATGTCAAAAAACAACACATTAAAGAACAATTTTATCAAACAAAAAATAGTTATGATCTTATAATACCTAAATTTCAAAATACCAAACACGGTAAAAATGCCAGGTTCTAAATCCACCGGCCATAAAGGGAGTACGCCCCTTTCCTCCAACGTTTCTGAGGGAGTGGCGCTCATCTTTTTTCCTTTCCGTTACAGCATGCCTTTTGACACTTGGAAGGAAAAGGAGAAAAACAAGGAAAAAACATGTTGCCAAAAAAATTTGGGAAACATTCTCAAATCTGGGGGATAGCCACCATTAAAAGCTTAAGGACCTTTAGGGTCTGATATTATAATTTCCGGTTTGGGATTTCAAGCTTTTGGTATTATAAGACGTTCCGCAGAAAATGCTCTAATAATTTTTACAATAATTAAAATCCCAATACAATTTATTTAAGAAATAGATATACAGCTAGATATATCCACTAGTGAATTTTTACCAAACATCTTTTTTATTTTTCAGAAATTAATATAATATTGGAAGAGGGATAGGAAGATCTTCTTTAGAGCCCATTCTAACAAAAATAATCGGACTTTTCTTCTCGAATAACAACGTAAACATTTTTGGATTGAAGATAATACCTCCAAAAGCAAATGTAACGAAGGAACAGTTTAATAAAAGTTTATCCATCCAACAACGCCAAATTAACATTTCTTTGATATTTTTTGGAATATAAGGCAACTTTAAAAGATATTTGGGCGAATTGTCATCTGAAAAAAAAGATTTGCAAATTTGTTGTTAATTTCAAACCCGAGAGTAAGCTTTTACTTTGACAAAACCCCTCCATTCCCACAGTGACATAAACCGAGATACATTTATGGAAACTTGTGCAGATTACGTGTCACGACACTTGCAGATATGACATTTGCAGACCCGACACTTGCAGACCCGACTTTTGCAGACCCGACATTTGCAGATACCGACACTTGCAGATACCGATACTTGCAGATATGACACTTGCAGATAAGACATTTGCAGATTCGACTTTTGCAGATTAGACACATTTCGCTCTCTTCTTTACCTTACCTATAGTGGAGTGTTTGCTGCTGCGGAGGAATCCTGGGATGATAAAATCTCATCGATGATAAAAACAGGATCATGTTACGAGCCCAGAGCCTAGCAAGCGCCTCGCCGACGCTCTATAGGTCTACGTTGAACATTTTTAACCTCCGGAAAAAAGAGAATCCCCGGAAAAAAGAGTGGTGCCGTTCGACTCAGCCCGTCGAGACGAATTGGTATGGGTCTTATATCAAAACCTTTCCACCATTATACTATACTATATCCTTTGATTTTTTAAGATTTTTAAATTTTTTTAAAATTTAAAATTTTTTTCAAGAATTAATATCTGCAAAAGTCGGATCTGCAAATGTCTGATCTGCAAGTGTAATGTCTGCATGTGTCGGTATCTGCAAATGTCGATCTGCAAAAGTCGTCTGCAAATGTCGGGTCTGCAAATGTCATATCTGCAAGTGTCGGATGACCGCAGATTAGGTACACACCGAAATTATTCGCAAGACATAAGGAAGGATGATTCACCTAGAGTATTTAAAAGGGTTAACCGATCTAAAAAGGAAAAAAGAAAGCATTAGGCGATGCCCCGGTAGCTCAGTGGTAGAGCTCCTATGTATATGTGGTGAGCGAAAGCTCCTAGCAATAGCTACGAGGAGGTCGCAGGTTTAATCCTGCCCAGTGGCTAACTCTTTATATATACCTTTATTAACCCATATTCGACAATCAACTTTTTTTTACCGTTGACGCCCGCGAAACGCGTTGCCGGCACAAGCGTCTCGCTGACTCCGTAGGTTTGGTCGGTCATTTTGAGCCTCTTTTACGTGCGAATAAATGGGGTGTGTACCTAAATATAATAAGTTCCCATTTATGAACCTTTTACTTCATAAAAGGAAACGCTCTATCAAAGAATGGCGGGTAAAATCACACAAATACAATCATATAACGAGCAGTACATCTATTCAAAAATTAGAAGTAAATGTTTCTAGAAATGATTTAGCCATTCCTTGATGAGGATTCATAAAAGTTATGCAAGGAATATTAAAACCAACAACGCCATGGAAGCATTTCTTTGATATTCTTTGGAATAAAAGGCAAATTTAAAAGAAATTTGGACGAATTGTCATCTGAAAATATTGAATTATTATTTTCTTCTAGACTTTTTGTTAAGGCACTTGAAACTAAGAATAGGATTGTATGTACATTAACAGACTCCTTTCCAGTGCTGTGTATGGCTCCAGGAGCTAGCTCCGGTTGAGCCGGAGCCAAAGTCTCAATTCCCCACGGCTTCTGACTATTGTTTCTGATTTTTTGTCAATAGTCTTTGGCAGTCTTTTCTCACATAGATTGACCCCTACCTCAAAAAAAAGAACCGTAGCCGCAAGGGATGGCGTTTGCAATCACATAAATGGAAGGCAAATTCTTCGCTTTCAAAAAGGCGAGGAAATATTTTAGAAAATGTTTAAGCCATCCTTGATGAAAAAATACACCATGAAGGAAATAATAATTTAACTTAACCTTTTTCTTCACTCAAACAAATAGCAAAGTTGATAATATAAGGCTCCTTTGATTTAATACTATCAGAATAACAATACATTGGAGTTTTGTTATTTATAGCAAGTTGCCACTGAAAAATAAAAAAAATATTTAGTTAAATCTATTCAGCTAGGGGTTTCATGCACTCAGAGCCAAACCCCAAGTATTTTTGAACCTCTTAGATTTTTTTTGGATCACAAGGTTCAGGTTAACCTTTATTTACTTGATGAAGGAAAGGGAAATCTCCAGATCAACAAAATCTGACTTAAGTGAACAAAGTTGTGACCATTTATTTTATCCACTTGCATTGGCACAAAAAGTTTACCCAACTAAGATTCAGCTTCATAATTTTGGTAAAAATGATCAGATCTAGCCTATCATGGTATCTTTCGTCCAAGCTCGAAGAGCTTGGACGAATGGTACATAATAAATTATGTATTAAACAAAAAAGCTCAAAATGGTCAGAGAAACGATGAAAAAAAGGAGAGGGGGGGGGGGGCGAACTCCAAACTATTACCGATCCCAGTCAGGAACGAAGCCTAGCCAGGATTCAAAAAACTCTTAAAAAATCTCCAACCTTCCCCTCAAGTTCCTTACTCAACTCAAAACCATCATCCAAACCAATATCCTCTTCATTCAATTTTAAATATTTGTTCTCGTCATTAACCGATTTATACACAATTGTCTCAAAAGAATAAAATTTCTTCTTTGCCAATATCCCAATATATTTATCAATTAATGAACAGAAATAGCTATTTGTTTGTTGAATAGAGAATACTTGCTCAAAGTTGAGATGTTTAACTATGTCCAGATGGACTTCCACCGGTAGAAGAAGAATATTCATTTTTGACGTTTTGTTTTTTCAGATTTGTTGTAGAAAGAGAAGAAAAATTTAACTTCATGTACCCCATCATTTTTCCTGGGTACAGCCCAAAACGGCGCGAGGCCATAACGGCGCAAAGCCATAACTTGCTAGAAAATGTCTGGCCTTTGTTGGTTTTGGTACGAATCTTCGTAGCTCGATGAGAGGAATTGTTTGATACTAAATCTGCTAAGATTAGGAAATTGTGAAGCAAGTTATGGCTTTGCGCCGTTATGGCCGCGCGCCGGCGTGTCCCATTTTTCCTTACTCGAAGTATTCAAAAATGGTCAGGCTTTGCTTCCTTCCTCAACTTTCCCTATGACATGTAATCAGTCAATAATCAAACCTTCCCCAAAAAAGCTGAGGAAGAAGACAAGATCTGACCATTTTTCAATACTTTGAACAAGGAAAAATGATGGGGTATACGAAGTTAAATTTTACCGTAGAAAGTGAAGAGAACTGAAAGAAAAAATAAGCCTTTTATAGTAAGAAAAAATAAATTAAAAAAATAAAAAGTTGCAAAGGCAACAAATGTCAACAAACAACAACCACACATTAAAGAACAATTTTATCAAACAAAAAATATTAGGCGATCTTATAATACCAAAATCTCGAAATAACAAACTAGTTGTTGGAACTAGAACAATAGATAGGTGCGGGAGAGGTCCCGAACAAAATTTTACGAGATCACGGGATTAATCCCGCGTCCTCCATCTCGTACGATCTTTTGAAATTCAATCACGATACGAAATCCCCAAAATGCTTTTTTGCCTCATTCTAGTCGGAAAATCAGTTTGGCATAACGATGGCTTTTGGTATTATGACATCACAAAAAATATCCCCATATTTTTTCAACAACTAAAATCCTAAAACAATTTATTTAAGAAAATCTGGATAGCTTTTGACACGCCTTGTACAAACTAGATCTTTGACCGATCCATTTGCATAGGGATATAATTCGTTTTGCTTAACATGATCAGCTAGTGAAGCAAAGGGAAATAAATCCAAATAATCTTCCCAATCGTCCTCCTTTTCAAATTTTTTCAGAAAGTCGGAATATTGTTGACGAATAGTACGAGCTATATCATTTTCAAATTTTGCATCAAATTCAAAAAAAAGAAGCGGATTTTTGTTCTCGAATATCAACATAAGCATTGTTGGATTGAATACAATATTGTCAAATTTAACTTAATTGGAGGGTTAAAACATGAAACCCAAGATCTGGATTTGAAATATATTGAGTTCGAATCCTTTTTTCTATGCGACTAAAACTCGCAGAGATACAGGAACCTGAAAATTTGAAACCCCACAAGGGGGCGTAAGCCTATTTTTGGAGTAAGTATTGAATATGCAAATTATAGCTCATTCGAAAGAGCTCGTCGAGCCGAGGCGAATGACATCAAAATCTATATGATTGAACAAGTTTGGACAACAACATTAGACTACGGGCGTCGGCGAAACGTCTTTTATCAGCGAAGATTCAGTTGCTCGCAATTTTGCTCAAAATCATCGAAACTAGCTGATTTTGGTGTCATTCGACTCGGCTTGAAGATCTCCTCCGAATGAGATATAATTTGTATAATCAAATTTCGAACTCAGCATGACAAGGAATCGATTGGTACATAAATATTTCGAATCTAATCTCGGGTTCCACGTACCATTGATGGTTGCACTGAATTGACCGCCGTTAAACCCATAGTGGGGCACTTTATTGAAACAACAATTTAATAAAAGTTTATCCAGCCAACAACGCCAGAGAAGCATTTCTTTGATATTTTGTGGAATATAAGGCAGCTTTAAAAGAAGGTATTCGGACGGATAGTAAGCTGAAAATGTTTAGTTATAAGCCCCGCTTTAATATAAGCTCGATCAACGACCTATCCCAAGACGTATATTAGAGCAATTACGGTATATTATCGAAAAATGCTAAAAAAATTCAGAATCCGTCAATAAAAACCAGGGTGGAGATCGGTACCGGTACCGTGAGTACCGCGGGCGTACCGAACCGTGCCGAACACTAGTTATAACTTTCCCCTTAGAATCATATTCAATGATGAGGGTGCCTAGAGTTATGATAAAATATTAAATTAGTAACCCTCTTCCTGACTCAAACGAATAGCAAAATTGACAATGTAAGGCTCCTTTGATTTGTAAATCTCAGAATACAAGTACATCGGAGTTTTGTTATCTATAGCAACTTGCCACTGAAAAATGAAAGAGCCAATTTATAATTTTTTAAGCCCCTGGTCGAAGAGTTCAACTGAGCCTCGGCCCTATAACCCAAAAAGGAATTATGCCCTTGGCAACAATTAATAAAGTCAAGGACCCAGCCCAGGACCATACACAAACTTTTAAAATTCCCTCACCTTCCCCTCAAGTTCCTTACTCAACTCAAAACCATCAGCCAAACCAATATCCTCTTCTTTCAATTTTAAATATTTGTTCTTGTCATTAACCGATTTATACACAATTGTCTCAAAAGAATAAAATTTCTTCTTTGCCAATATCCCAATATATTTATCAATTAATGAACGGAAATAGCTATTTGTTTGTTGAATAGAGGATATTTGGTTAAAGTTGAGATATTTAAATATGTCCAGATGGACTTCCACTGGTAGAAGAAGAATATTCATTTTTGTGTTTTGGCGTTTTGTTTTTTAGAAAGAGAAGGAAAATTAAAGGAAAATAAGCCTTTTATAGTAACAATAAAAATAAAAAATAAAAAAAATTGAAATGCAGCAGCAACAAATGTTATCAAAAAACAATAATTAAAAAACAATTTTATCAAACAAAAAATATTTATAATTTTATAATATCAAACCCCTGAATACCCTTAAACATTTAGGCATATAAAACTGGTCTATACAAAACGAAATCCATCATCCATATATTTGCTAAAGGATGAAATCCGAGTAACTTAACGGAACTGGCCAATTTAGCATAGGGAAATAAATCCCAATAATTTTTCCAATCGTCCTCTTTTTTAATTTTTTTCAGAAAATTGGAATATTGTTGAAGAATAATACGAGCTATATCATTTTCAAATTGTGCTTGAAATTCAAAAAATAGAAGCGGATTTTTGTCCTCGAATAGCAACATAAGCATTGTTGGATTGAAGATAATATTGTCAAATTTAACTTAATTGGGAGTTAATATAGTATGTAGAGCATATAACTATTTAATTCCTAAGGCTGTGCAGTAGGCGGCGTGGAGTAACGGATAACACATGGAGTAACGGCGTGGAGTAACGGATAACACATCAGCCCGGTCAACTGAAGATGCTGGTTCGCTCCCAGCCGCCGAATAAACTTTTGCACTAGCTGAAGCAGAGAAATAGCTATAGCCCAGCTGCTTTACTAGTACATGGGACCCGAGAAATAGATTCGAGACCTAGGACGTTACACGATGGCCGTGCTTTACTGCGGTCGTGCTTGCTTCGCTCGAGGCAACCATAGCGAAGCGGCGGGCGTCGTTCATCTCGACTTGCCCGGCTTCCTCCGCAGCAGCGAGTTAATCTCCGCAGCTAAAAGCCACAACGCTACAAGTTAATTCCAAATTAATCGATTGGTATATATTTCGAATCTAGTCCTCGGTCCCCAAAATAAGCTTACATCCACGGTGCAGTCCCCTTTCAAAAGAACAATTTGATAAAAGTTTATCCAGCCAGCAACGCCAAAGAAGCATTTCTTTAATATTTTTTGGAATATAAGGCAACTTCAAAAGATATTTGGGCGAATTGTTGTCTGAAAATATTTAATTATATTTCTTTGAAATTTTAGCTTCGACGCTAATTCTTAATTTGGGGTCGCTTAATTATGTATAGGCCCGCGAGTATAGGCCCCCGAACTGCGAGGCTCCCTACTAGAGATCGAGATTTTTGAAAAACCTGGGCCTGTTCCTGGGTCCTGGGTTTGATTTATTGACCTGGACCGGGTCCTTGGCCTGTAGTCCAGGAAAGCCCAGAAAGGTCAAAAAATGCCCGGGCCTGGACTCTGGGTACAGGAAAAACCCAGGCCTTGGTCCAGACCCAGCTCGCTCTCTACTCCCTACTACTTAAAGATTCAACCTTAGGTAGGTAAGTCATTTTTTAAAAGGAATATAAAATTATATGACCTTTTCCTTCACTCAAACGAATAGCAAAATTAACAATGTAAGGCTCCTTTGATTTGTAAATTTCAGAAAAACAATACATTGGAGTTTTGTTATCGACAGCAAGTTGCCACTGAAATATTAAAGAAAAAATTAATATTTGGTTAATTTCCAGTCAATAGAGTATAATGAAGACAGAGTTTGAGAACCAGACCTACAAGAACATCTTGGGCCGCAAAGTTCGGCCAAAACCTTTCTTTGTTGAATAGAGATCATAGTCAAGGAAAGGACCCAACTCAGGATTTAAAAGTCAGCCCAGGACCATACCCAACCTTTTAAAATTCCCTCACCTTCCCCTCAAGTTCCTTACTCAACTCAAAACCATCAGCCAAACCAATATCCTCTTCATTCAATTTTAAATATTTGTTCTTGTCATTAACCGATTTATACACAATTGTCTCAAAAGAATAAAATTTCTTCTTTGCCAATATCCCAATATATTTATCAATTAATGAACAGAAATAGCTATTTGTTTGTTGAATAGAGGATATTTGGTTGAAGTTGAGATATTTAAATATGTCCAGATGGACTTCCACTGGCAGAAGAAGAATATTCATTTTTGTTTTGGCGTTTTGTTTATTTGGGGTTGGTTTGTAGAAAGTGAGGGAAAGATAAGAAAATAAGCCTTTTATAGTATCCAACATAAAAATAAAAAAAAGTCAGAATAATTTTATCAAAAAAGTCTGCCTAGAAGGCAAATGAAACGTAAAAAACGTCAAAGAAGACAATTGTTTTTACTCATTTTATTTGTTCAAACGAAGAACCAGCTCTCTTTTACTTCGAGACCGAACTGTGCAATTTGGGAAAAAATTTTTTGGCGTTCTGTATTTTTAATTTTTTAGTGGAAATTGAAGCATTTAAATTTCTTCTCTATATTAAAAGTTGGAATTTAAATTTGGGGAAAAATGGAATTTAAAATGAGTTGCAATTTGAAAAAATTGTTAGGCTTTAAAAGTTAAAAGCCAATTATTTAATAAATAAAAAATATTTTTGTAAAAAATTTTTTTGAGAGTAATAAAACGATTAACTTGTCTGTTTAAATTTTCTGAGAAATGGGTAATTTAGCCGACATTCAAATATTTTTGCTTTAGAAAAAATTAAAAAAAATATGTGAAAAATTCTTTGGATGGAAGATGGAATAGAACCTCTAACAAAAATAATCCTAAACGGAAGTACACCCAATTGTGCCACCATTCAACCCGATGATTGTAATGTAATTACTTGCCATTTACCTATAAATATTCTTTCAACTTAAAAAATTATCCTTCAATAAAAACATTTTATGTTTGTTTTAAAATTTTTAGTAACATTATATTTTCCAAAACTTTATTTTTTCCGAATTTATATAGTCAGGGTTGTTGTTTTTTTTGTCTCGGGTTGAGAAAATTTCGGGTTAGGCTTCGAGTCGGGGTTTAAAATTTTCATTGGATCGGGTTTCTGGTGAAATAAAGACCGAGTTTCTGGACGTTTGTACTAGGGTTTCACCGGAACCGAAATTTTGACCGGAACCGGATCCAATTTGAGTTCCGGATAGGGTTGTACCCCGTTCCCGAAAGTCGGGGAATTCGAGAGATTTTTTGAAAATTCCCCGTACCCCCCCCCCCCCGTGGCGCTGCCTCTCCGAAAATTTTCCCTGTGGCCCTCCCCCCTCCCCCCGCCGGAGAACAACCCTAGTTCTGGATTCCTGAACCGGAACCTGTTGTGAAACAGATTAAACATTACCCATTACTATTTGAGAGAGATACACCTCATTAAATACCTTTTATAGTATACAAAATTGTTGTTGAAAAATTTTTGTTTAAATTTTGTAATGATTCGACAAATAATTCGACAAATATACCTAATGATTCTAAAAATATTCCTAATTATTCTAAAAATATTCCTAATGATTCTACCAAAAAAAAAACCAAAATTTCCAAATGAATTATTGGTCGAAATAATTTATTTTATTCATGGATATCCTATACATATATTGGAGCAAATGGGATATGAAAGAAGATTAGATCTTTTTACAAGATTTAGTTTTGTTTGTAGACTTTTTTACAGAATTCTAGGGCATGGCTTATTATTGAAACAAGTCAGTTTTAAAGATATAGGTACATATTTAAGGGGAGCAGGCCGACGTACACCTACTATTATATGGTCCATAATTGTAGTCCTATAATTCTTTTCGGTCTCAATCAGAGGAACAAAATTCATAAACAAGAATACAAAAATTAAAAATTTTACGTTTGCTGAGTTTTAACCAGTGTTTGGAAGTTCGTACAAAATTCATACTCGTACCTGTGTATTGGGGCCCTAAAATAAGAACTCGGTTGCTGGTTACTAATTTTGCTGAGGCTTTGTTTAAATTCAGGGTTGGGAAAATTTTTACGTTTGCTGAGATTTTAACAATTTTTCCTTTCAAAATTAAATATTTTCACACTTGATTTTGATTTCAAAATTGAGAATTTATTTCTTAAATACATATTAATTGTGAAAAACTGTAAAAAATCTTAATTTCGGCAAAAATTTTTCAAAATTTTTGCCTTTGCGCAAAAAATGGAAGAAAAATTCAATGGAAAAAAATCGGGTTTTAGCTTTTGGAAAATTTCATATGTTGAGGTTCGGGTTGAAAACTCGAGTCCTGGACTCCAAAAAATCAAAAATTTTTTAAATTTTTTACATATTTCTTATGTACGAGAAAGTACGAGGTACGAGGTCAAAGATAGGGCTGGTACGAGTATGAGGTAAAAAGGCCTGTACGAAACTAGTACGAGCAAATTTCAAAATTCCAAACACAGATTTTAACTTTTTCAATCATAAGGGTAATGTTTTAAGGAGACCATGGGGTGGGTGATTGCTTAAGGAGACGTCGGATCATTTAGGCTTACAACAATTTAAAATTTAATATTTTAAGCGTGAAATAACTAGATTTTATGTTCCTCCCTTAGTTCGTCCTAGAATCCAAGAAAGATCAATTTGCTATAATATGACATTTGGATTATTATTCTTTTTCATTAGAGGCTTGAAAAATATTTTTGGTATTTAATTTTAATTTTAAAAACAAAGGAGAGAATTTTGCTTAAAAAGGACAAACATAAAATTGTAAAGGAGACATTTAGGCTAATTTTTTGATATATCAAATGTTTAAAATTTTGGCCAGATATTTTCTTCTATAGTTTCTTTTAGTGTTGTATTTGGGGTATAGTGTTGATTAGGGTTGGCAGCTCGCTCGAACCGAAACTCGAAAGATCGAGCGAGCCAAGGCTTTCGAGCTCGAAAAGCTCGAAAACGAACCGAAAACAACCAAGCTCGAAAAAATGCACCGAACGTCGGCTCGAATCGAAAACGGCAACCCTAGTGTTGATATTGCAGATACCGTAAATGCTCTAATAGAAGCACAGTGCTTGTATTTTTCGATCCTCTCGTAGGGTGTGCTTATATTAGAGATGTGCTTCAATTGGAGATGTGTTTTTATTAGAGCATTTACGGTATATTCTATTACAATTCAAAAAATTATTGTTTTTAAAATTTTTAGGAAATTTTGGGAAAATTCTAAATCCTTTTTAAAATCAAAAAAATTCAAATAAGATATAAAAAAAATTCCTTATTGTCACGGGGTTCGAACCTCCAACCCCTATAAACTGCAGTCAACAACACTACCACTACACCATTAATAAGATCAACTTAAAACAAAGAAAATAAAGGGAAAATAATGTGGGAAAACACCCTATGAAAATTTTTAGTTAAAATAATTCAAAATAATTCTCTGAATTTTTTTTCTTGGACTAATTATTTAAAATTTTTAGTGTGGTATTTAACACTTATCTCGTTGTCGTTTAATGGAT